TATATACATATCTTTTTATTGCACTCTTATTCTTTTATTTTAGTTTTCATAATTTGCTTTCTTATAATCTTTTCCTATATCTTTTCTTCGCACTTTTTATCTTCATTCGGTTTTATATGTTCTTTTATTTCTACTAAATTTTAAATGCTTTAAATGGTTTTATATGTTCTTTTATTTCTACTAAATTTTAAATGCTTTAAATGTGGAAAACCTGATAAATTCATAATAGGCTGCGTGGGTGGCTTAGATACGCTTTATCTCATCCTTTTTCTCGAGTTCTCTCGCGATAGCATTCCTCTTCAAGGCGACTTTATATTCCAGAGACAATCTTTACGCCTACTCTTTCACTTCACTTCCTGCGGAAGAGATCTTAAACGTGCAAGCATGTTTGCAACATAAACTTATCAAAGAAAAGAACATTTACAATATCTCACATATGTTCCTATAATCTCATATTTTTTAATCTTTTATTAAATCTTCTTTTATTTGCTTGTAAGATAAAGAATAAAATGTAAGAAGGTTCAACGGCTCAAATAAGAACATTGACAGTTAAATTTTTAAATTTCTGAATACTATTATTGTCTTTTTATAAACGTATTATTTTTAAACTAAAATATTATTAATTTTTATGTTCATTTGTCATTAATTGTAATTACTAAAAAATATATTTCTATATAAAAATCAAAATTTCTTTATTATTATATATGCAATGCTTTTAGTTCAATTCACGGAGGGTTGGATAAGGAAATTTTTATTTTTATATAGAAATATATTTTTTGGTAATTACAATTGACGACAAATGAACATAAAAATTAATATAATACTTTAATTGAAAAATAATACGTTTATAACTTATAAAAAGACAATAATAATATTCAGAGATAAAAAAATTTAACTTGGGAAAAAAGTTAATAAGTTTAAGATAAAAAATAACTAGTTAAAGTTAAAAATTAATACATTTTAAATTAATTAAGCTAAGTCAACAGTTATTAACTTTTTAACTTTTTTTTAATTTTTAACTAATTAACTAGTTATTATCCAACCCTGAATTAACATCGTTACTTTACTCGCTTAAATGTCATTTCAGAGACCTGTTTAGATCGTGCATCATGCAGTTCAGCACCGGTAATTTGTGATAAATGGGGTACAATATACGGCGTCGTAATTTTTTTCGCGAAAAAAGGAATTGCGATAGAAAGCCGCTGGAATCCGGAATTTCTATTCTAAGTTCACCCTATTTGGTAGCATACTTGTACGTACGTTCACTCGCTGACAGCGAAACACGTATATCCTATCGTGACTCTGCACGAATTCGTCTATTTTTATTCTTAACAGTGAGCTAATTTTTTTCAAGAATTTCATTTAATAAGAACCTCTTATATCTCTCGAATCTATCTACATACACATCAAATGATTGTAACGCGTAATCTCAAGGAGACGTATTTACTTTAAGATAGGTAATATTATTAATTATCATTATAAAAGCTGATTTAATGTTCAACGAAAAAATAAATGAATAATTGAAAATAAATATATTTGATATCATGTGTAGAATTGCAAGACAAATGTTGTAGCATTGAATAAAAATATCGTTAAAAATATTATTTGAGAATTATTTCATAGATACTATAAATTTGTTTTGAAGTGAGAGACGGAGATATTGAAATTATATATAAAATGTTTTAAAAGTTACTAATGGCTCACCAATATGATATTATATGCGTTATAAAAAAATTTGCAGATTTTATAATAACGACAGCATATAAGAGAAACCTATTACATCTTATACATCCATCAAAATGTCCGAAATGATTTCAAAATAAGCGGGATATCGCACCGCAACAACGCAGAGCAGTGAATGTCAAAGTGTTTTGACGGCAAAATGTTGTAAAACCCGATTCTTCGAAGTTTCACCGATGGATGTAACAGAAAAGAAACGAGTTCTTTTTTCTCCTTTTTTCTTTACCGTTATACCGGTTGGTCACGATTAACGACGCTCATTAATAATTCAGCGCAATCCATTGCATCCTCGCGACGGAGGCACGAATGACTTCGAATCTGACAATAAGAGATATATCTCTTATTTGGAATAAAAAGAAGAATGTCAATTCTTGCCGCTCGCAAAAAAATATTAATATTTCCCTGGAAAAAAACGCGCGCGCGCGTTTAAAAATCCGGCCATTAGCTTAATTTATCCGCGGTATTACAATCATTGATATGCGATGTACTCGATATAACTCGATACTTTCAGGCGTGGCAGAATGAGATAGAAAGTTGTAATACGATAGAGATTTGTAGCGCCGTGCGGAGATTGCAAAGCGGCATTTTACAATCGCAATTAGAACGTATGATCTGTTTAGTATTTATGACCATGAGAAAAACAATATTGACATTGTGTAAGCTGTGTAAAAGAATTATATAAACTGTAGAGACAGTGTAAGAAACTAACATAAAGTGTTATAATATTGAAAATAAATATAATATATAAATAAATTGAGAATCCATAGATACAATAGATTGTATCAGTTTCTATAATAATTCCAATTAAAACTGAAATACCGATGCAACAGCGTATAAAAAAAATATATATTGATATATCTTCTAAAAGAAAGAGAAATCCGATGAAAGAGATATTTAGCAAAATAAAATATTATTTTGCACAATTTGATAAAAAATAATTAACGATGGCGAGACGAGCTTAATAAAGTGCAAAAAATCCAGATGGTTTGAAGCAACAAATCGCTCGCATAATTTTCGGTAATTTTATCTAAAAATAAATTAATAAAAAACGAAACATTGCATATACTAACACATACATTATTCGCGGGCTCACATTAGTTTTTTTCATTTAGTACGAAATAATAAGATTTTTATGATTAGATAAGATTCGCTCGAGATGAAAAGTGGAAAGCGAAAAAATTTGCCGATTTACTGATTCAATTACACAGGTAATTCTCAAAAGTGCGCTTTCACAGCGCGTGAACAGGTGAATCTTATAACATGACGTTATACGAGGCACGTAATGAAGTTGTGATGGGATATATCCATTTTTTTGTACGTTCATTCAAATGATTTCAATCATACATATACATATCTGTAGAGAAAAGACCCGCCCACGCGCGACGAGGACATCACGCGATTACTCGGCGATTTCGATGCCTGTTCGGCTAAGATTTATGTCGTTATGTCAAAAAAAAAAAAATACGTCAACGAGGTCGTCGCACGACGAAAGTGAGAGGTAGCACCCGGAAAGACAGAACGAGTTCTCCATCAAAGGACTTCAATATATGCGTGTACATACGTACGGCCATACTCATTTGCATTTTCGCAGAATCGTTTTGTTGTATTCGAACGGATAGATTTTTGTGAAATGATGCGATTCGTGCATCCGAAATTTTAATTAAATTCTTTTTTGAGGTGTTTATTACTCGATAGATCAGTTTATCTTAATTATGATAATCAGCGTTAAAGTTAAAATTTCGAGAATTCTTATTTTACATCTTTATGACATTCTTATGTTAAATTAGTTCGTAAAATGATTATTTATTATAATAATTAGAGATAAATAGTTTTATATATGTATGTTATATTTATCTAAACTCGTAGTAAAATCTTTCAAGAAGAAAGCATTGACAGATCTAAGCTAATTAAATAAAATAAATTTAAAATTCCATCGATTGCACAATTAACTTCAGTAAATCGAATTGCATACAGATTTTGAAAGTCAGCTTAGATTAGAATTAATTATTCAAATGTGCATAATTATGAAGCGCTGTGGCAGACAATAGTTACATTCAAATCAGCAAGACAAATTTCGTTGAACAATATTTACATTATTTCATCGACAACAACTTTGATCTGATTAACAGTGTATTGTATTCGTCGATTTTAAATTTCTTGATCAATTTAAAAATTCTTAATGTTCGATCAATTTAATGTCTCCACGAAAAAAAAGAATTTTAGCTATGGTAACTAATATTTTAGCCATAGTTTAACGGAGAATGTTATAGCTAAAAAATATTAGCTGTCATAGCTAAAATTTAGACATGATAACTAAATTTCATGTAATATATGGACAGCTAAAATTTAGCTATGGTAGCTAATTTTTTTTCGTGGCGAATTTGACGTCGACGAAATAGCGACGAAAACATGATCGATGATTTAAATGTAAATAATCGTCGCGAACATACATTTGAATGATCAACTCCAAAAAAATCGTTGCCCTAATAATGACACGAGCAAGCGATTGCGATCTCCCATGTCTACCTATATAATCCGACATTTGAATCGAACTCTTTTCGGACCGGTTCCTCGGTGGTCCCGCATGAATCGACGAGTGATTATGTAACATAACTCCGTCATGCAAAAAAAAAGGATCAAACAGTTCGAAGATGAAGCCGCGTGTAAAAGAGAAACGTGTTAGACACAGGACATCCTGCCGTAAATATCTCTTCGTCGCGGGAGAGCGACTTTAAATTGTTTCTCTTTCATTTTCGATCATGATGCTCGCAAAATTGGAGCAAATCGTTTCGGCTAATCTCTCTACTTGAAAGATCTCTGATGGTACGGCGATCGAAATGAGAACCAACCGAAGAAACCCTCTTTTACTTAACGCACGAGTAATTTAGAAAATTATTCTTTCTAATCGATTAAATTTTAAATCTAATTTACATTATTTATAATTGTCATGAGCAGAAAAATATGGCGCGATGGTAATTTAACTCCCCCTTTAATTTCTTTTTCGAGTTACGTTATATAAGTTGAAGATGAAAATATGAGTATGTAATTATTTATTTTTTAACATGATTAAGATTATATAATTGTCTCAAATAAATACAAAAAATATTTCGACTCCAATTTTGTAAGAACATGAAAGACACAACATATGTCTTATGTGTTAAAAAAGTATATCTTAAATAAAAATTTGTGTCTACAATTATTAGAAAGTTCCAAAGACTTAACGATGACTCAATAATCAACGTGACAAAAATTGTACTCACCATATTTATTCCAACTATTCAAAACAACAAAAACAATAAAGGTCCGTGACGTAGCACCGCGCGAGAATAGAAAAATTCTCCGAACACAGTGTCTAATTTTTGAAAAAATAATTGAACAAAACGCGAACACTATTACTGGAGCAAAAAAAGAAAAAAAGGATCTCTTCGTTACGGATCAATACGAATCAATAATCGACGATTCGGCGCCGCATGATTGTGGAACTGTCACTGACAGCAGTTCGGGAAACACTGACTGGTGTGGCGAACGAGCCTACTGTCATTCTTTCTCTCTTTCTCTATCTTACTCTCTTTCATTTTCCCCTCTCTCTAGTTGTATCATTCCCTCTCTCTCTCTCTTTCTCTTTTTTTCTTTGCCTCCCTCTTTTTCCCTGAATGAGGTGCACCCCTTCTTTCTTGTTCTCTCTCTCTCTCTTTCTCCCTCTTACATTACTGCACATTTTCGCAGCACACTTCCAGATGACGACGACGACGACGTCTTCGTCGCCACCACCGTCGTCGTCGTCGTAGCCGTAATGGCAATTAAAGCCGCCTTTCATTTTGCGTATAGTAAGTGACAGCGCGCGCTATAGCTCAAATCGGCGCGAAAGATCGCAAAAGCACCGGATTTCGCCGACGATCATCTACGGAATATCGATCACTCTTACCGTCCATAACATCTTCGTTTTCGGCATGGATATTCAAACAGAGATCTTATGGATTTAATTTGAAAAAAAAAATTGGCCGATTACGAAGCTATATTTGATAAATTCTTCGTTTTTTTGTTTCAACGTTTTTCATAAGCAACAGTTACAGTTAACTAAAATTTAATTCATTTTTTATCAAATGCAGAACTATATAAGAGAAACGAAAAATTAGTTAGCCTACTTAAGAAACTTCAGCTAATATTTATGAATATACATTTAGCGGTTTTGTCCTAATTAATATAGTGTATTAAAAAATTTAATTTATAGACTTTTCCTTATAATACTTATTCAGAAACACAATAGTTTAAATTATCATAATAATAATAAATAAAAGACAGTATGTCAGTTGCTTTCAATCTAAATCTTCTATCTAGATGCCTAATAAAATTAATAATTTTAACAATATATGGAGATATTTTTTATAATTATCATTGTGATATAAACGTAAATAATAATTCAGCAGTATATGCAATTATTTCATAAGAGTAGCGATTCGTTTAATTTACCAAAATATGTGTCATCAAACATATATAAAAGAAGTAAACATAAAAGCTGTATAAATAAAATTTTTGCGTAATTGTATAACTAAGCCAAATATATGTAACAAGAAAATATGTTTTGCTTTGTCTCGCATAAATATTAAAATTTTATAATTATATTTGAATTTCGATAAATATATATAATAGAAAGCGCGATATTAATTACGTTAGAAGAATAAAACAAAACATATAGCACAATATAATAAAATCGGTCAAATCTGTGACTGCGCGAGATAAATTGCTTTTACTTTAACGTAAAACACGACTGGTTAAATGATTGATAGACACATAATCGATCGGTTATTTAAATGTTGCAACACTTGCGATATAATTAGGGAAGTGTTCGAACAAGTTGTCGATAGCGATCGTGCAATAAGTCTACATAATAGAGTTGCGCACGAATATACAATAAATATATAATTCATATTGTATTTATGCAGCGTATAATAAATATCTTTTAAAATCAGTTTCAAATCCGTACTTGTGCGTGTGTATACGCGGCGATTTGCCGCAAGTACAAAAGATATAGAAAGTACGACAATCGAATTTACATCTGGGAATTGTGCAGAAATTGTCTCTCTCTCGTTTGCCGTGAAAATCTCACTGCTGTCACTGTTGCAAAATGACAGTGAAGAAGGCACCGTCTGTGACATTGTCCTACCGCAAGCTGATGAAACGCGCTTTTATTCGCCCCAGCATAGTCAGGGTTAGCAAATTCCTCGAAATATTTATTTTTTATTTTTTTGAATATTTTTTTATTTTAATATTTATTTTAATTTTTTTTTTTTTTTGCAATTTCATCGAATAAGAGAGAAATTGAGAGCGATAGTTTTAATTAATCATTAGAGAAAGCAATAATCGATCCAATCAATCATCAAGCGAAAAACTTGTGCATTTGAAAGTATATAAAGAATATCTTATTACACATATGTTTTATTTTTCAAATAAAAAAAGCAAGTGTCTATCGTATAAGGAAGATATTCGTGCTTAATGAGCTTCCGTATAAGTATGTAGTCCTTGATTACTACTGGTCTGCTCTGATTGAGATCGTATCGTTGTAATTATATATTCCAGTATGATTAAGATTGGAGTTATACTTTCGCTAAAAAAAATTCGCGGCAAATTACTTCTAGAATACATTCCCTCTGAATGTTATCTTTTAAAGATGCCTTGTGAATTAATTGTGAGAAAAGAGGTTGTCGTTTTTTAAATAACTCTATTAAAGAAAGAAGAAATAAAAGCTATATATTGCAATAATATCTCTTTCATTATTTTTTGTTTGTCTATTATACGGTATAATAATCGCGCGAGAATAGCAATCATACGTGCTCCAAAAACCTAGATGCAAAGAACAGACGCGAGTGCTAGTTTATCAAAAGATTCAAGTCGTTTCTGACATATCTAGATTAAACTCAAGCGACACTTAATTGTACACACGCTCGCGTCTCGTAAGAAGCGCTGTCTCATTATGTGTAAATATATAATCATTTTGCGAATTAATCGCGCGCAATGACTCGCAAGTAGGGAAGGAAAGTGAAAGAGGATACCAATTTGCGTCGTCGCTAATTATTCGCGGAGACACGCGCCATCCGCGTCGTCCATCTCGCGGATCTTCCCTCTTCGCTCGTTTGAAAGGCGAAAGTGACTCTCGCGATTTTTCCTCTCTTATACAGGGTGTTCCAGAACTGGCGGAAAAGTTTTTCATGGAATTTTAAATTCCTGGTATCATTTGGAGACAATTGTTCCCGAGCGAAAATATCGAGACACCAATAATAATTTTTGAATTGGAAGCAGTTAAAAATCAAGGCTTTTTTGGAGAAACTAAGCCTTGTGGAAATAAAATATTAATAGAACACTACATTCTTCAATTAATTTTAAGTAGAGTTTGCCTTAATAGAATTTTAATATAAGGCTTAGTTATAAAAATATATAATAGAAAAAATTGAGAACATGCTAAAAATGATGGTCTCTCTCAAAATATTGAGACACCAATAATTTTCGAATTATAAACAATAAAAATAAAGGCTTTTTTGGAAACTAAGCCTTGTGGAAATAAAATATTAATAGAACTACATTCTTCAATTAATTTTAGGTAGAGTTTGCCTTAATTGAGAACAAAAAATGCTAAATGAAAATCTCTCTCTCATAAAATATCGACCGAATAATTTTCGAACTTATTAAAACAATTGTTCGTAAAGGTAAACTTTAAGAAACTGGAAGCATTGTGGCGGTATTAATTTTCAGAACTAACTAGAAGCAAAATAATAATAAGGTTTTATAAAGCTATACCATAAGGCAGAAAAAAAGAACATGCAATCACTAAGAGAAAATAGAATTTTAATATACCATAATAGAAAAAATTGAGAACATGCTAAAATGATGGCCTCTCTCAACATTTTCACTAAGGAAAAATCGTCTCTAAATGATACCAGAAATCTGCCATTAAAAACTTTTCCGCCGGTTCTGACACATCCTGTATATCTTCCATCAGCTCTCTTCATCTCTTCCTTCATTCCTTCTCGCTGTTCGCATTCATGTAAGAATTTTAATACCGTCCCTTTGTACGAAAACACCACGCCGCTCCTTTCTCTCAGCTCTGTCGGGCGATTCTTAATGAACCGTAAGTATTTTTTTGCGTATAATTAACGTTATAGAGAAATACAAATTGCTCGGACAGCGCATATAGATATTGCAGTTTAACCGCAAAACGGTCGTTAACCTTTTCCCCCCTTGAATGGCCGATCTCTGCGGTAATAAGCGCGACCATCGGGTTTCGAAAATTACATCTGCGGGAAGTTATTTGTTATACGGTATTTCCCACGTTCCTTTCCGCATGTCAATATGAATTACCCAATATATCGCTCGTGACTGGAAATCCCTGATTTTAAAGGATCCAATCAATTGAACGGAGAGGGAAGTCTTCTGTCATGTTTCAATGAGATTTTATATAAAATGATTTCGATAAACTTCTAATTATTGCAAGACGGACTGCTGGACGCAAAAACTCGACGAAACCAAACGTATCAAGCACCGTCTCTATAAAACCCACGACTCTCGAAATTATGTTTTATCGTCGTTTCGTTCGCACGTAGCTTTCGTTTATGCTGCAAAGTCTATATTTTGTCAAACAAAAGCGTATAATAATAATTAATTAATTTAAAATAATCTCGTGTAAAAATATTATATTACGAAATTGAAAATGAAATCGATAATAAAAACGCTCTAAGAAATTGAATTGCAAGATCAAAAATAAAATAAAAAAAGAATAAATCCATGATTTAATTGTCTAATTAATTGTTTAATAAATAATTAATTCTTCTATATTTGAAAATATTTGTTTCAATTTAATATCCCGTGTACATTATATAATTAATAGTTATACAATTTAAAATAATTTAAAATAATCTCGTGTAAAAATATTATATTACGAAATTGAAAATGAAATCGATAATAAAAACGCTCTAAGAAAACATCAAATTGTATAACTATTAATTATATAATGTACACGGGATATTAAATTGAAACAAATATTTTAAAATATAGGAGAATTAATTATTTTAAAACAATTAATTAGACGATTAAATCATTAATTTATTCTTATTCTTATTTTATTTTTGATCTTGCAAGTCGATTGTTTTATTACGTATTTTCAATCTGAATCGTACTTCTTAGATTGCCAAAAAGTCGAATGATAAAGCATTGGAAGAAATATATTTAACTCTAAATATCTTTAAAAAAAATTATTGTCCGCAAAGATCATAACAAAATAATAATTTATAATTTAGATTCCTGTCATTTCGATTCTTATTTCAATAAATGAACAAATTACGCGAAAAATGCGTTTTGAAATGATCGCGATATATTATACATTAATTGTAGAAATTAATTATTTGTTAATTATATTATAAAATAGATTTCTTAATATTAATCGAATATTAATTATCTCGAATATTAATTGTGATGGTATTTAGAAAAGGAATTCGAGCGTTTCAGAGAATTATTATACCTGTTCAAATATTGAAGCGGAAATGATAAAACAAAACCAACGTCAACAATAGCACGCTCAATCAAAGCCGAATATTGTTATTGATAATGTGTGTTGCCAAAATATTTTACGCATTGGTGAGCATAATTAGGGCGGTGATGAGGTATACATATAGTCTGCGTGCTACATTCCATAGTCTTGTCATTCACACAATAAGACGCGAATGAGAAGGTAGCGGATGTAATTTGCGCTCTATATACATACCCTATTATTATATTATTATATGTATAACATATCATATGAAATGCAATTATTTTGTATAATTATTGTAATTAGCAGTTATCAGTCCGAGCGCGCAATTATTTTAAAATTGTATAATTGAATATTTCCGTAATACAATTAGAGGCAAATACTTTATTTGATTATTTATCGAATATTTAACATAACAAAAAATTTCAATTCTTAAATAAAAATAAATATTATCAATCGTAATACATAATTACTTTATACTTTAAAATGCTTTAAAACAATTTAATACTCTGGGTATAAATGTATATGTTATTAGTACATAACATATTTCAGCAATATTTAAAATATCATATAATTTGTTTAATGCTTCATCATTCGATTTTTCTACATACCACATAATTATAATTCGAATTGAAAACGCGCACTATATAAATCAATTAAATCGCAAGATCAAATAAATAAAATAAAGCTAAGCTCCATGATTAATTGTATAATAAATAATTAATCTCTATTCTAAAATATTTTTATAATTTAATATTCTGCGTATACACAAGCAATTTCATTGAGTACTTTATAAAAAAATGAAACATTTCTTCATATTTAAAAACATCTAATTTTGTAAATCAAATTTCCTGTGTTCTTTAATTTATATTCAATTTGCGTTTCAAACAATTTTATTTTTATAGTATGTTATATATCACATTTTATTTCACATACTGTTTAGAAATCATTAATTAATTTTAAAATTTCTATAAATAACAATAGGTACATGTATTTTTTCTTTAGAAATTGACTTACAAATTTATAATAATTTTGGCAGATTTTTGTATTGACATTACCATCTATTTGTAACAACATTAAATTAACAAAATATTTTCATATGATTCACATTTTGTTAATATGTATGCACATATATAAATAGCAATACAATATATAAAACGACACTTCATATATATTATATTAAAATTATATATATATAAATTAATTAAAAATTAAAAAGGGAAATAGTTAATAAGAAATGAAGGAACAGAGAAAAAATTAGTGATTCTAAAATCTCGCGCACACCTATATCATGAATGTCAGTAGAAACAGTTAGCAATTGGTCAGACAACAAAAAGGGAGAACAGAATGGAACATCGCGACTGCAATTTCGATTCTATTCAACAAATCTGAAAAAATCCAAAATCGCAAATCAATATCTAATGATATTTTGTAATTATTTTCTTGAGATAGACGCAAAAGAACAGAGGATTTGAATTTCAGTCGCTGGTCATATTATATTTTTGGTAAGAAATTCGCGCAGAGATACATGTACAAGAGTTTTTTTAAATTTATAATTATCATAGTAATAATAACTGTATGTGTCATGTATAGTATATATATATATATGTATGTATATGTAACATTAGAGAAATTTGCATTTATGGTAAAGATCGTCAGTGAATGGGGAGAGTTTTACACGGTAAGTGCATCGGCGAGTGAGATGTGCAACGTGACGTCACATGGCATGCGGCGATTGATTCGACGTCGATCGATTCGGACGACAGCTTCCGCCAGACGTAGGTACATATTTCACCTCCAACAGATTTTCCGATTTCCTCTTCTTCCTTTTTGCTCCCTTCATTTCTCGCCTCTTCATTCCTCTTCACGCGAACATAATAACGATCAAATTTCTTCGATTTTCTTTTCTTCTTTCTTTCTATTTTTCGTATTTCTCGTCTGTGTCCACGTATCGATCGATGCACAGACGGAGATGCCGCGAAATATGTTTCCAAATAACAATCGGGCGATGACGAATCGAGAATCGGCGAGAATCGGAGTCGCACGCCGCGCGATGGAAAAGCAGTCTTGAAGGAATAATAACCGAACGATCTGGTGAACGATTCGCTGAAGCTCGATTTTCGATCGATCGATTCGTAGACCAGGTTCTTCAGGTCATTCAGAGTCGACGATCGAATAATAGATCCGCGATCGAGCCGCAGCGGATGTCTACCGGGCATTTCTTCCTCTCTTTCTGCAGCTCCACCTTCTTTTCTCTCTGATCTCTGCCTGAGATTCTTCTTCGCCGCGGATGAACGATCGGCTCCTCCTCTATCTCTCTCGCTCGGTTTCCATACGCACGCTTCCTTCCTCTTCTGCTGCTCTTCCTCCGCTGTTGGCCCCGATTACATGATTATGCACTTGCCTTTCTCGGCCCAGGGATTGTTCTTCTTGTCGGGCGCGTGTATCAGCGGGTCATTCTTCTCGTTCTCTTCCACGTACTCTCGCATTCTGCCAAGAGGAAGAAGAAGAATCAGCCGCGCGAATAATGCTGAAATCTAACAACGTGCTAACGTTGTTACTATTCTAACGGCTTACCTAAGGATGTGAAGGGTGGCGCAATAAACATGCGATTTAGATTCTGTTTTAATGGAATTCATTCTTCATTCTCCGAAAAATAACTAATTAAGTATACAGAAATCCAAGCACAAAATATATTTCATAAAATATTCAACAGGGTGTCCAGCAGACTCGAGGAAAAAAATTCTCTCACTTTTTCAGATTTTACAAAATCAGAAATTCATTTTTTCCCTGATTTTTTAGGATTATTTTTTCCAAATATATAATTTGCATATATATCTATATGATAAAGCAATTAAATGTTAAATCATGAAATCTTTGAGATATTTTTATCAACAATGAAAAGACTCGGAAGTTAAAAAAACAAAAATTTAAATCAATTACACAATCTGCATTATGTACGATAATCGAAACAAACATGTCACTATAAACTATTTAAATAATCACCTTTTTTATTTATATTATATTAAATTTTTTTAGTTTTGTCTCTATCAAACACATTGAAAACGATAAAAATATAAATTAACGAACACGCTGCAGATGAATCGATTTTTAACAACACAGAAAATTAGCGTGCTGGGAGTCAAGGAAAAATTTATATTTATGTACTAAAAAAATTTCAAATTATTGTAGAATAATGTAAAAAAATCCAAATAAATAGTAAAATTTCCTGACTTTTTCCCGGACAATTCCAGATTTATAAAATTCCCTGACAATGTCCGGTTTTTCAGTTTTCCCTGACCGCTAGACACCCTGTTAAATGAAAACTTTGAAATATCAGAAAATAATAAATAAACAATATGTGATATATGTATGTCATTTAAAATCGATTTCAATCTCAATATCGCAAATATATCTCGCGGCGACAACCGGTACTTCTAATTATTACATATTCGCATTCAAAACTCGCCCGAAGGCTCGAATCCGACGTGGATTTTCCTGGGTCTCCCAGCGAACGTTTCGCAAAATGTTTCTACAAACGCGATACACGTTATCTCCGATTTATTAGATCGCCGATAAGCTCGCACCTCCACATGTAGAGCGTTTTACGGTCATTCGCGATCGGTCGATCTCGTTTCGACGCGACGACGTCGGTGAAAGGGACTCGCATTCAGACCCGATTTTGCGTTCAAGGAGAGTCGTCGACAACTCGAAGCTTTCGGACTTTGTTGTTGCTAAACGCGCTATCGCGAGAAATATCCGCGGAATTTTTTCCCGCGGGATACACGAGAGCCCCCGTCAGCAAAGCATTATAACCCTTCACTGCATTTTATTGCATACAATTCTTAATCGAAAAATCACGTGCAACATTGTTGCTTAAGCCTCGAGCACGCGCTTCATTTCCGAAGGCGCAACATTCTTGTTGAATGATAATGCATAGTAAAGTTTGCACGAATTAATGGGGACCAAGAGTACATTTTTCTTTAATAAATGTGCATTTAAGAAAAATTTTTATTATTTATTTATTGATTTAATCAAATAGCAATATACTAAAAAATTATTTAAATTTAAATAAAAAATATATGTATACCTATATATACATATATATATAAATATATATATATATTTATATATATATATTTATTATATATATATATATATATATATATATAATAAAATTTATTTATATTATAAAAAAAAAATATATATATATATATAATATAAGAGTGAAATTACATCTCACGAAAGCATGAAAGCGACGTGATTTATCTAAGCTCCTGTAATGTTAGCGAAAGTATGGTTTCTTATACAACCTCCGTAGCGGATAAAAAAAAAGTATATTTTCTTCGAATCATCTCGATTTATTACACCGTTACGATGTAATGTAAATTTGATGTATCATAAGTTTGATTTCGTTAACACAATAATTGCGCATCTCGCGCGCTTGATTTATCAGAGTTCGTGCGGGAATCCGCGAACTTTCACTTATCAGGGTCCATCGCGCAATTTTTAAATGCGGGTGAATGACCTTCCTCGTGTCGTAATGTTATATCGATTCACGATTCCGCGATTGCCTATTATTTATCCGGTTAACGTTTATATAATGAACGGCAGTCGTCGCGAAATCGGAACGATTCCCGTCGTCGCGACATCGAGTAAGAAACCGTTCAGCGAATCTATCGCAGAAATGAATGCGATTCTGTTCACTTCACGCTCGAATTCACGGTTTGTCTTACTTTCGCATCTGTCTTTACGGCTCGCCCGATGGAAGTTACAATTTAATGCACGAAGCCCGAGTGAAACTATCGCTTGACAAAATGCCGGGAATAGATGTTTCGTTATTTCCACTTACTAAATATTTCAACTGTCAATATTAGACTTATGCTGCAAAATTCAGAAGAAAATATGTATGTATATTTTTAATTTCCTCAATTCATCAATTTTTTATTGGTAAACACTTTCCTTATAACAAAAATGTAAAGTATATTAATTTATAGTATATTATATATATGTATCTAGAGAATATACCTTGTATTTCATTCATCGTATGCAGCATCATAAGTTTCTTTGAATGATATTCCCGGGAGAGAAAAGCACAATTAAATAATGAGAGAAGGAAATAAAATATAAACTCTCGGTATTCTCAATATAGAATTTTCCATATAACTTTTTCCAATAAAAAAAAGTATCACTTATAGATTCTTTAAATATTCCATCTGATCACTATTAACGACTGTTTATGTTGCATAATGAGATCTCCGATGGCACGATGTTGCGAAAACAAGAGCGTCGGAGGAACACGACCCACATTGCGTACCGATGAATGCAACAGGCAAAAGGCGTCGGGTTCAGCCGAGTTTAAAGGAGGTCGCATCCTAAATTCGAGAGCAATCGTCGGCGCCCAACAATTTCTCGAGATCTCTCGAGAGTCTCGGCTCTTAATTTAAATCGGGGCTCGATTGTTAGCGAGAAACATCACCTGTCGGGCTGACATGACGGATATGCGGAGTGCATCGCTATAATGGAATCGACAGCACAAGCGGAAGTAGGCGCCGAGGCGCTGCGTTCCGGCGCGTGCTTCCGTTTTTTTTTTTTTTTTTTTTTTTTTTTTTCGAACGAGTGACAAGTTTGATGCGAAAGCGAAAAAAAGTTTCCGCGGTTTCGCGAGACTTCTTGAACGGTGAAAGGCAGCAACAGTTCTCGGCCTCCCTCCTCTTTTTTCCCTTCTTCTTTTCTCCCGCGTTTTTTCTTCTTTCCTTCTTTCTATCTATTCTCATCTGATCGACCTAATCTCAATCGTCCTAATAATGCGACAATACACGTTTCCATCCCGCTACTTCCTGATCTTTCTCTTTTCTTTCGTCACGATGATGTAATAATGGACTTTGCAAAACACGCGTTTCGATTAGTTTTGCTCGTAATATTGTATTCTTTTTTGAAATATTGATTGATTAATAATATTCGAGAACAATAATTATATATGTGTACATATGAGCGTCCGCAGAATTTTTTCCAGGAGAGGACATAATTAAATTTCTTTCTTATTTTTTTTATTATTCTGATATATATATTTTTATTTTTTTTTATATTAAATATGCAAATAAATTCCTTAAATAAAATAAGTTATAAATTAAAAGGCCAACTTAACGAGCTAATTAATTAGGTGTTAACAATTTATTCTACGTCATAAAATAATACAAAATAATTATCATTTGTATTATTTTCATGACGTAGAATAAATTGTTAACACCTAATTAATTAGCTCGTTAAGTTGGCTTTTTAATTTATTACTTATTTTAATTTTACACGAACCGAATTTTATTTTTCTTTATATATATTCCTTAAATAAATATAATATTTAAAAATTCAAAAAGAGAGCAAACTTAATTTTTTTACTAATTCCAAGCAAGGGGACAAATATAATGTTTTGTTCCCCCTGTGGATACCCATGTACGTATATAAATATATTAATAAAAATCAATGCAAAGAAAAAGGAAGTCTTTATCTTTTATAGCAAAGAATTAAGCTAGAGTTCTACATAATGCATGAGCCTCATTTTAATGATTCAAAAACAATTGAATACAGAATATATCTATAATTATTCTAGAATTATTGTTTGCGAAAAGTCGATTAATCTCGTTCTTCGCGAGCTTAATCTTGCGACATCTAGGTCGTTCGAATCATTAGCCAAAGCGCGACACGCGAGGGGATATAATTAGCTCGGTTTGCAATGTACATAAATAATAATCCTTACGCGATCTCGTTTTCCCATCCCGCCCCCTCGCTCTCTTTTTGTGTCCTTTAAAGTGTGACGAAACCGCGAAGTTACGTCGAGAGACGACTGCCCCGGCGATCGTCTAATTAGGCTCAATTAGATCATCGATCATCGCCGCCGCGTTGAGTCATCGGCATCAGTAAGCGCACCCGCGTCAGGTTTGTTGCACCTTTCCTCAATGTCCTTGTCTGACACATACATATAATGAGCGTCCGCAGAGAGAGGCATTTGCCTCCCTCTTGGAATAATTTTAAAAATTCAGTATTTCTTTTTCTTTTAAATAAATACTGGAATTTATTTGTATATAAAATTTATTTGTAGAGTGATATAAAAAAAAAAAAAAAACAAAAAATTAAATTTGAAAAAATGAAGAAAAAAGACAAAAATATTTAATTATGCCCTCTCCTGGAAAAAATCCCTCTCCAGGATCCAAAGCGGGCAAAATGAGGCATTTGCCTCTCCTTTGCGGAATAATTTAAAAAATTAAGCATTTCTTCTCCTTTTAAATAAATATTGGAATTTATTTGTATATTTAATATAAAAAAAAAAAATAACAGAAAAATAAAATTTTAAAAAGAAAAAAACAAGAGTATTTTCCTGGAAAAAATCCTGCGGATGCCTATATGAGCCTATATATCCCCTTTGAAATCAATCAAAAAATTAAGCATTTGCTCTCTTTTTAAATAAACACTGGAATTTATTTGTATATTTAATATGAAAGAAATGAAAATAACAAAATAACAAAAAATTAAGAAAAAAAAATGTAATTATACCACGTCCTGGAAAAAATCTCGCGAGGACTCTTATGCATATAATCGCGACTTTGTGCGTTACTATGTGTCTCTGAAAGTGATCGCGCCGCGAAAATGCGATTAACACGACGGACATACACGGGCAAGTGTGTGTCCAAGGAGATCCTGTCCCTCCATGTATACATAATACGGGGACGCATAATTCAGCCTTGACTGTGCGCCAACAGCCTGCACGGCTACGCGTACACGCGTTGTTTTTTCTAGATGCATGTATGGACGTACGAGATAATTTATCTGAGAAAAGACGCTTCGTTTTGTACGCGATCGAGAGCGCTTCGAAAGTCCGAAATCGCACACCCACATATCACGATCGGTTTTATCCGTGATTTTACTTTTGACACGTAAAGCGAGACTTAACGTCAGTCTCGCTTCGCGCATGACAAATGAGGTCTCTGTATAAGCTGCATCGATATACAACAGTATGTATGATGTAATTAATTCCGAGATAGCGATTGGCGATCCCTTTCTAGAAATATATAGCTGTGATACGGATGAAGGACAGAAATTACGTTCTATAATAAGTAAGCTAAAGTATAAATATTCTTTTTTTAATTTTTCATTGAAAATAATTGTTTGTATATATTAAGAATTAAAATTGATGAAAGATCGAAAATGTAAAATATTTTTTGTCGCATTTTTATTCTCATGCCAAACGAATCGTCGGAGCAGAAATAACTGAGCCTTGAGAATGACAGTAATAATGACCACAATATTACGTAGGTTTATGTGCGAACAAATTTACCTGAAAAAGGTATTTTATGATTGCCTACACTCTGGTGAAAATTACGTTGCCAATTATTAGGGAACTAGGAACTGCTGTTGCTGTTAAATAGCTTTCGCGTAATATGCCTTGCATAAAAAAAATTGCTAAAGTATTCGAATAAGTTTGTAATGAGACGACGCCCGTTCTGTGAAAACTGTGCACTAACCTCGAGATTACGATTATACAATGACGGTTTTTGTTTGTTGAATGCGTATATTGAAATTATATAAAAAATAGATACTAATTATTGCATGATATAGAGATTAGAATCATGACATCAAAATATGCTAATTGTAGGATAAATGGAATTGTGCCTTATAATTTATAAATATACATATAATAAATGCGTGCAACGTTATAATGATCAATGTCAAACACTAAAAAACTACATGTGCATGTTATATGTAAATAAAAAGATCAAATTATAATAAACAAAAAAATAAATATATAAAATGCTAATTCTCTATATAATTATTCATGTCTATATGAAGAACAAATAGAAATTAGATTGATTATTCATTTATACGTAAATGAATATAAAGATCTAAAAAAAACTGATACTATTTGAAGACATTATTAAAAATTAAAGTAGATTTCTAATAATTTTATTTAATTACGCCTTCCTAGATTAATAATTGACACTAAAGAATAGACCACATTTTTCTTTCAAATAAAGCAGAAGTTTGAATAATATATACAAAATTAACTTTTTGCTAATATAATAAAAAAATATTAAATAAATTTCTACACTGTATGTTTATCTAAAAAAATCATATACTTTATAAGCTCAGATGAAATAAAACCATCAGAAACGGTGATTATTTTAATATCAAAGCATCAGTTAGGTTATTGAATATCAACATCCAAAATATAATTACGAATCATATACATAAATATATATAAATAATATATAAATAATTTGTTTTTAAATAATTTTTAATAAATTTAAGCAATTAAATTTAAAACTTAAATGCATCGACATTGAATATAATAATGATAAGAAAATTACAATAAAATGCTAAATTCTCCTATTCCATGTTCGATCTGCAAAAAAACAATAAATTTCGCTTAACAAATTCACCAATAAGCTCGTAATAGAAAGCAAAATGACGAGATTTCTGAAACATCCATGTTTAAAGATGGGCAACGTCTTCTATGTGGTGTACGTTCGGAAGGGTTGAATAATATAATGCGGGCAGGAAAAAGGACGACAAGCAAGAAATAAGGAGGAAACGGAGTTTCGACTGGCACCGCGATGCACTTACGCCGCGATGCTCTTCGACAGGGGCCACCGTTCCATGGACGCCTGGTACTTCATGTTCTCGATCTGCTTCTTCAGTGCGTCCTTGTCCATGGTGGCGAGTATACTGGGATCCATGATTACAGCCGCACCCCCCTTGTCGCAATCGGGGACGGAGTAGCGCGTGCGCCTCCACGGGAAAATCAATAGGAACGACTGAAAGTGCCTATCGGGTGGTCCGTCTGTAACGCGAACGATGTCTCATCGGGGAAAAACGATGGAAAGAGAAGAACTCGGCCCCGCAATAAGAGCACTCGAGGGATCGTCATCAGATCTCGCGGCAGATCGTTAAACATATATTGCGAATGCAAACCGATCTGACGCATTTTAGCGCGAATCAGATGCTAATCGGATGAGAATGTCGAGATAGGAGAGGCACGTAATCAGTAGGCAGTGATGGGTAAAATACATTGAAAATGTAACTCGATACAGATACAGATACACAAGTTAAAATGTATATAGATACATAAATGATAGAAGATAAATAAATGTATAGAGATAATAAATATATTATAGTATATAATTTTTATAATAAATATATTTATTATAATAAATAAATAAATAAATATATATATATATATACATATATATATATTATAATAAATATATAATTTTAAATATATTATATTAAATTATATTAGATTTTAAATTAAATTATATTTTATCATAATAATGGTAACATGCACAAAATGTACTGAATAATTCTTTTATCTTTATTCATATTTTTGTTTTAAAGTATGACTTTATTCATTAGTCTTAACATGTGAAAAATACCTCGAAGATATCGTCGCTCAAACTATTTTGCCATGGTACTAAAATTTGACCAATGCTTAATAATCGCTCAATCGGTGTTGATGACGATATGTTGATAATTTGTAGTCTTGATCTTTTAATTTAAAGAATTGGGCTATTCAAAAAAATATGTGAAAATGTATCTGAAAGAAGCAATTCAGATACCACGTTTTATATCTAGATACTTCAATTCGAATATATCACAGATACAGACTCAGATACACAAAATGTATCTAGATACTGTATCTAGATACTGTATCTAGATACTACCCAACATTGTCAGTAGTATTGCGTTTGCATGCAAAAGACAAATTTTAATTTAATTAAATTTTTTTTTTTAATTATTAAAATCACTTAATACTTTTTACGAATTACGAAATGCTTTTATTATTTTCTATGTTTGTTTCAATATTTTATTATATAATCTTCTTGTCCCATTTTTTTAATTAAAAAATAAAAATATTCTATAAAGAATTAATGTTTTTATTTTTTCTGTATGGTGAAAATAATAACACTTATCTCTCTTGTTTAATATAATTATTTTTAAAAATCATGAACAATGCAATAAAGTAATGCATATAAAAAAGCAATACGTATTGCATGATTTCTAAAAATAATTATTGTAAAAATAAATCTTACAAGCTAATCTCTTTCATCACAACATTGATCCAGTAACCCCATTTAATCATGCTAACATAAACTTGCGTTGTTATTAAATTAATTCGATTTTAATAACGCATCTTTGAATTATCTCATTTAATTATAGCCTTCGATAAATCGCATATTGTTTCAGTGTCCGATTACGATCTCGCGTTCATGATTTACGGGGATTTGGTGATTCAGAAGATAATCTTGCAGAAGAAGGGAAGCTCAGATAGACATTTGTTATCATTCAATCCACCTTGCTTTACTAAGCCTCCACAATGTTGCCTTTTGTTTAAATTTTTAGGCATTCGAAGGCCATCTACATTAACCCATTTTGAGTAACCCGTAACTTCCAAGGCTTCGTCCATGACCGTATTCCATTCGCCTTATTCAGAAAGATCGTGTACACCAAGCCATGCTTGTTCTAGTTCTTTTTCTTCCAACAAGCCTAGTAATATATGATATTTTAAATCGGCCAATAGAGCCCAAGCGCGAAAAATTAATTCTTTCGGAACTGTATCTCTTGAGATTACTAAGTTCCATATATAAATTAATCTCGAACTTACATATGGAGAAAATAGGCGAGAAAAATATAAGTCCGAAAAGCCTAGTAATATTTTCTCTTCCGAGTTAGAGTCGATAATAGCCAAGTAATCTACGTTGACAGACAAATCCGCGTTGCCGATCAAATTCTGTGATTTTATTCTGATTATTATTATTTAATTTTGTCACGTCTTTGTTAGACAAACAATTGCAAAACCGCGGCATTCGATATCCGCCGCTTCATTAAATACGATTCTCTTATTATCTTATTATTAAGAACTCACCCTTTTCTTGAATGCAAACTTTACGAGCCGTGTTCCATGATAATTTGCGAATATAAAGTTTATGAACTAGATGTAATAAGATAATCTGCTAAAAGATCGGCATTGTTTTGCATTTTCGATTGATTCAATCCATAAATATAAATCATTTGTTGCAGTGGAGGCAAGTTATTTACAATTGTGTCTGGTAATAATTCGGCTGCAGCTGTAAAAGTGTCTATAATTTCACAAATTGAAATACTTCTGTCGATATTGATTATTAAATGAAATATTTAATATAAAATATCTTAAGAGAAAATATTTTTTTCACAATTTAACATTGAAGAAAAATGCAGCAATATTATATATTTACTGATGTAATAAATATTTCTTTAAAATCTTACTTTCAACGAAAAAATGAGATATTGCAATTATTTTCTTATTAATTTATCTGACAATGCGTTGGCTGCTGTATTATAGCAAATTCAAATGGATGCACCAGTGCGCACTGAATGCATATAAAGATTTATCACACACAAATTCACAATGACACAAGTAATTAAAAAAAGAAAATAATTAATAGTAAAATCTATTATTATCATTATTCATATTGAACAACAATAATAATAGCTCTTACTATTAATTATTTTCCTTTTTTAATTACTTGTGTTATTGTGAACTTGTGTATGATAAATCTTTATATGCACTCAGTGCGCACTGGTGCATCCAATCGAATTCGCTATTAGTAATAGAAGTAGTTGCAATTGAAGGTTTTGTAGTAGTAGGACTTGCTGTAGTTACAACTGAAGATTTCAACGCAATAAAACACACTATTATATATAAAAGCACCAGCAACGTATATGGCAACATATTTGGTATTATTATGTTAACGATACAAATACCCGAAAATAAATGACACGACTGACAGAAGATGCGTTTATATATGCATACCGATTACACACGATAAGATAAACCGTTATCGAGGGAAGTACAATTTATTTTTTTCTTAATAGGATATTTCATGAGAAAATATTTTAATATTTCAATAAAGACATATTTGTAAAATTAATATATAAAATAATATAACATTTAAATATTTAAAATAACGACACTTATTATTTCTTTAAAATTTTGTAAAATATTTTAATTTATTAGCAAATTATATAAATATATATTTTTTTTATTTTACTTTATTTAAGGAATTTAGACAAGATTTATATAAGTTTGATAATAAATATCTAATTAATTTCAGACACACAGTTTTCAATTGATCAAAAATCTAAATTTATCAGACTTTATTCAATCAGACTTATTTTTCAAAATTAGTTCATAAAAAAAGTCACATTTACACTATCACATAATATTTTTGCCAAATTTAATATTTCTTTAAAAGAAAAACATATATATTGTATATGTATAAAATTTTTCAAAAGTTTGTGGCAGAAAAGACACATATGTGTACAGAAAATAAGATATTTTACAAGCAGATAATAAATTCTATCAATTCCTATGAATGCTTCGATGATTCAACACAGGAAATATAATCAATATACACAGGATATTTATTTGTGCGAGCAATTTAACTGAGAACAGCAAACTATCGCGGGATACTCAGATTTTCAGTGTATATCACAAAACTAATGGTTTTGTTAATTAGACCAATTACAATCAAGATAATGTAAATAAAATATTGCAAGAATCAATAATACTGAATGAAATATGTATATTATGTAAATATAATTAAATTTAATTAAATTTAATTAATATTATTTCTTCTTAAGTTTCTTAAAAACAACCACTTTATCACTTACAATATACATTTAAAGTTTAACAAAATTAAAGACTAAAAAAAGTCTTTATTGTTTAACAGAACAATTTTTGTTTGTTTCATCATTCTGTTATTAATTTAAAAAAAAACGAAATAAAATGTAACCACTGTTCCGTTAAAGATTAAACTGCAACGTAGTTTGATTCATATTATTTAACCTAGGTACACAGAGTAATTCTTGAGGGAATGCATAATTGCATTCCAGATTGAAAGTTCAAATGTCATTGTAACGTGAGATCTAATGCGCACGCAAAGCAATCATAAAATAAATTTCGCATTCTGCATTGCGCGATTATCATATTTATGCTAGGCATTGATGTTTAGCATACAATTTTTAAGTCTTTTTATGTCTAATTTAAAATTTATTATGTATTAATAATAATTTTTTGCAGATCGGTTTGCAATCGCAAACTATTTGATTAGTTAAAAGTTATGAGAAGTGTGTAATGGAACACGATATATGTAATAGAGCTAAATGATGTGGTACTCACCTTGACGGAAGACGGAGAAATTCTGCGGCGAGGTGTCCGTTAGCGGGTTTCAAGACTCGCTTACGGAAACCTCGGAAAATCTGGGTAATCTAATTTAACGATAATTTCTCCGTCGATATCATCACTCGTTGTCAGTAGAAAAACATGCACTCACTAACAAACACATTCCACTGAACGTGTAATCTAACACGAATTCGATTAAACATAATACATTTTCAATAACTGACTATTAAACATTACAGGATTACAACATGTAATTCTGTTAAATTAAACAGCTTATTCTATTTCCATAAAAACCGTTTTTGTAAATCATGACTATGTGTTGTAAAAATATTTTTACACACACGCATTGACAGAATATTTATTCCTGCTTTTATATTTCGTATATATAGTACTAAAATATATTCATATTCATAAGTATCATTAAATACGTAATCATTATTTTTATTGTGTATTATATTATTTATTAAAAGTATAATTTATTATATGCAAAATATACTTTGTAAGTTTATTGCATTTCTTAAGATATCTTGTGAAAAGATAAAAAATAATTTAATAACATAATTAAAACCTAAGAAAAGCTCTTTATGAGATGAGGTTTTATATAAAATTTTTTGCTCGTGCATTTATATATACATGATTAAAAATGCATAATTATGGCAATATTCTTTAAAATTCTGTAGTACCGTAAAAAAATATTCGTGAAGAATTAGAACTTCATTTATATTAGATCGAAATATTGATTTTATATCAATTATTTTTTCTTAACTATAATTTTCTTAAAAATATTTAATACTTACTGGCACACACAATGCACAATAGCAGAATTATAATACACACGTTGTAATGTGTAAAATAGTAACCAAAATTATATACAAAGCAGTATTCAAAATATAATAAATATTTTAAAAATATTGCGTATAACTAATTTTTGTTTAATTTTTAAACAAATATTTTTTAAAATTATATAATTTACAAAAAAGAACTTTTAGATGTAAATTTTATAAAATATATAATAAATAATAGTCTAATTTTTATATAAATAATTATATAAAATTCTTTTAAACACAATTTTATAATAATATTAGAATTATTGTAAATATATTGTATATTAAATATTTTAAATATTTTAATAAAATTTCTGTATATATGCATGTATATAAAAAATATGTTATATCTAGTTTTATATATATATATTTTTTTTTTACAATAATATAAAATTATTATTGCGAACAATTAATTGCACAAATCGTAACAAATAATTATTTATTAATTATTGTAACAAATAATTATTAATTAATTAATTACAAATTACTCACTCAACAGTTGCTCCAATACCTCTCTTCCTCCTCTCTTTCTTCACTCGTCCTTTAAACACAATTTTATAAAAAATATAATTTATTGTCAATATCGAATATTAAATATTTTAAATATTTTTAAATAAATAAATAAATATATATATATATATATATAATATTGATATATATATATGGGCGCACACGTGTGAAGAATTATGTTATATATATTTCACAATAATATAAAATTATTATCACGAACAATTATAATTGCACGAATTGTAACAAATATTAAATTAATTACAAAATTTATAAAAAATATCATTTATTATCAATATTAAATATTTAATATTTTTAAATAAGATATATCTATATATATGGGCGTACACGCCCATATATAAATAGAGATATTTGTAAAGAATTATGTCATATGATATATATTTTACAATAAAATAAAATTATCACAAACAATTAATTGCACAAATTGTAACAAATTAATTACAATAATTTATACTCACTCAAGGATTGCTCCTCCACCTTCTCTGCTCGTCTTCTTTTGGCATTGACTCTACAAACATAGATATATATATCTACGATCGACTCACTCGCGAAAACATGATTAATTACGATCGGGCGCGGTAATTAGATCAGAATATAACAATAATTACACACTCATCTCGACGCGCGTTTTATTACCTCGAAATGGCGAAGGACAATGCAAAGACTCGCACTCGAAGGTTATAATGCGCCGACCATCAGAAAAATGCACAATTACATTCACGAATTCACTCACCACGACACGGTCCTACTTTTCTGTCATCGAGAAGTATAAAATCGCGCGGCTGAATATGATTTTACTCACTAATTAACGCGTCGTAACGCCACTCGATGCGAAGCCACTCCGTGACATTTCGTTAATGGCCGAAGTGTTCAAAAATCGAGATATCGACAGCTTCACTCGACTGCGCTCGATATTCGAGATATATCGATACGCGAGTCGAGTCAATGACTAGTTGGAACGCGGTTAACGTCTTCAAATAAATTAAAGCAAAATCAAACTTTATAGCATTGCGTAAGAAGAATAATTTTTTCACGAAAATTCCACGAAATACAGGTATTATCGGTATTATTAATAAATAGATATGTCATATCTTTTTGATACTTTAATCGCTCAACGATTCCGTGTGTATGAACGAACCGAAGATACTACGCTGATTATTGAGAAACTTTAAAGCGCGCAATTTTACGATCTTAATATATTTATAAAAATAATATTTTAAATTAATATATATTTCGCGCTGCTGGAAATAATTACATTTAATGCGTTCCGATATTCTCGCGCGTTTCGAAGAACGAGGAACTACTTTCTCGCTTGAGTCTCACAGTGACTGATTTGTGTTATGTTGATAAGAACGCGCTGTGGACGATATTTTTCTTGTTTATTCATAGAATAACAATGGTCTGCAAATTGATGAAATACGAAAAGTAAGTAGACAATGAAGGATAAAGTTTTCTTTCGAGACTAACCTCGGTCATTTGCATTTTGAATGTATAAAGCTCATTTTTTAATCTTTACGAGAAACCTAACCTTTATTTTCTATTCCTCAGGAAATTTTAGGAAGAGGAAAATTAATAACACGATTGCTCGAGCAAGTAAATTGAAAAATGAATAAATACGTGAATTTGGCGAACGTGAGCACTAATTATGCCATGCGTATGAACCGCTTGAGTAATCGAATTTTCGGAGAAGTGGTCAGACCGACTAACAAGAAATCGATGAAAGTCGTGCAGGTCCTCAGTGAGAAACCGATTCAAAAACGACCGGAGATCGTGGACTATTACCCAAGATACGAGGAGACGGATAAACTAATGACCTGTCTGCGAAATTATGGTCTATACAGGGACGAGCATAAAGATTTTAAAGAGGAATATGAACGTTTGAGGGAACTTCGTGGTAAAACGAAATGGATACCACCTCCGTATAGAAATAAAGTAGCAAAATCATCCGAAAATTAAATATTTTGAGCTATAAAATATGTATTTTATTTATAAATAATACGTTGCAAGTTATGGAGTAGATTACGATTAATACTTTTTTCATAGCTCTTTTATCCCCAAAAGTTATATATCCCTCTTACATTGATGTTGAAAAGGTTTTAATATATTTGAATTGACTGAAATAATCATTATTTGAATTAACATTCATGATGTTACATGAAATTTACAAGCAAATCTTTTAGGAGAGATGTATAAAAGAAATTTATTATTAAATTTCTAACAATACAACAAATATGGCACAACAGTATATATATTCGAGTATAAGGAGTCTTATATATTTTAATATTTACAGATTATCTTTATACATATATAATATATATGTATGATATTACAATCTTTATATATATATATATATATATATATATATATATATATATATAACAGATCATATTTCTTAATAAAATCTCATCATGTCTTAGTCTATTACTAAGATATCTATATGAATGTATTTGTTGAGGCAATTTATTCTTGTAGGTTTACAGCTCTTGCTTTGCATACTGAGAATTATTATTCAAAATTCTTTTATTATTTGATTCCTTGTTTTTCTTTCTTTTCTCTTTTTCGAGATCTTTCCCAGTGTCCCCTTTCTCGTACAGACAAGAATCATTTTGTTCTTTCAATGCACGCTCGGAACATAAATATCTGAATAATAAACAACAAACAATATTAATATTAATAATAATACTATTATTATTATTAAAATAAATATATAGGACATTACTTAATTAAAGAAACCTCTCCCTGATGATTTTTATACCAGTCTTCAATATCAGCTTCGTGATTCTCAAGCAAATCTTCACACTGTGTTTTTAGAGTTGTTATCTCAACAGAAGGCTTATCCCACAATTCATATGGAATTCCCAACTCTACTTTAACTCCCTTGTTTCTATAACAATTTATTTGTTATAATTTTCAAATTATTCTATAATATCACAGTATATTAAAATGTCTTACACAAGATTATGCAATGTCGTGAATGTTTGACTCATTCCCTTTGCAAATCTTGTACTATCTGTACGTTCTTTGTGTATATTGTACTCCAATATACGTTCGCAAACATTTTCCAGAGATTCTAGTAATCGTAACTCTCTGAAAAGAAGCAAGCATTCTATAAATTTTTTATTAAAATAATCTTTCACATTTTGTCTTAATTTATTATGAGATACTTACGATTTCTTGTATTCTTTTTTCTTTTTAGGTGCATCTACTGAATATCCCATCTCTAATACATCATGTGTTTTTCCAGTTTCATCTAATCTAGCTTCAAGTTCTGTAGCTAAAACTTTACATACTGTGTAACAAAAAGTTACTGTTAATTCCAACTATAATCATTATTATTTACAAATGTGTGTTGAATAAGAGATTTACAAATAATCTCTCAATATTAAGCAACAATCAGTAATATGATGTTTTTAAATTTATTATATTTCTGTCTTTAAAAAATATTGCTCCAAAAATTAAGACAAAAATCACCTTCACATTTATTAGCGTATTTTACTCCTTGTTCTTCTTCGGGACCGCCAAAAGCGGAATATATCAATAATAAATTAAGTAAAATTGCAGAATTCACGAGCATCATAACTTGTGATAAAAAAGGAATGTTAACTGGAAAATCATGAAATTATTGGAATGTTATTGAAATATGTATCGTACAAGGAAATATTCGACGACGATCACAATAACTTTGGTTTATACCGACATACACTAAACTATTATTATAAACGTCGTGTAAAACGTACGTGTGTAGATCTGTCATTGGTTAACGAATGGGGAATTTCTAGGACTCACTAAAAAATCTCGGGGAATTCTAGGAATTCTCCATGAGAAGTCCAATCAATTGTTCATTCAAGAGATACGAGTCAAGTCAGCTGTTACTCATAAGGGAGGGGATGTTAGAATGTGAAGACTTGATGCACCACGTGGTTGTTTATAAATGCATACTTAGTTTTGAATAACGCTAAAAATGAGTATTAAAGAAGCGTAAGTTTTATTCATATGCATAAGGGAATATTTATTCATATATTTTAGTGCCCTCTTTATAATTTCTTTATATAGTTTTTTTTATATTTTTTATATTATCAGTCTATTATCTCTATATCATATATTTTTATATTTCTTCATATATATTCTATTTGATAATGATTGTTATATTTATAGATTTGAAGTGGAATGCAAGCATGGAGCATTTTATACTGGCGGTGATGTACAAGTAGGTTCCTGAAAGATTTTATCTATTTTATTTGTACCCTTTTGGATTTATTTATCTATTTTATTGCATGCATAATGTGATTCTTTCATTGCAGTGGAGCGCAGATGCAGAATATTTATTCTGCCAGAAAGGAGGCACCATTTCAATACTGTCTGTGAGCAAAAGCAGTGTGATATCATTGTTGGGTGAAATCGAAAAGAATGATCAACAGGAGGATACAATAAATTGTTTTGCTCTTGCTGACAATGATACGAGTATATTCACTCATCACAAAAGTGGACTTTTTAAATTATGGGATTGGAAAGGTAGTGATTAATATTTAATTGATGCTTTATAGATCAAGCTTCAATATAATATATTCTTGAAATTCAAACTTTTTTCTTATCAGTCAATAAGTTGATAAAATTATGGAAGTCTATCCATAACGGACCTGTAACACGAATAACTTTTTCAAATAATAATACCTTAATGGCATCTGGTGGAAGCGATAGTGCCGTCAGATTGTGGAACTTGCAGCATCATACTTGCACACATAATTTGAAAGGAGTGCAGGGAGTAATTAGGTATTAAATATTCATATGAAATGCTACATTTCAAAATAGTCAGAATTAATATCAATACTTTTATTCTTATTTAGTGTATTGAAATTTCATCCGGATAGTACAAAACAGCTTCTTTTCGCCGCTGGCGACGACACCAAGATTCATGGCTGGGATATCAATACTGGACAGAAAAAGGTTACTTTATCTGGACATTTTAGTAAAGTTACATCTCTTAATTTCCATGAAAATGGAAATTATGTAATTAGGTAAGAAAGAACTTCAGAATACATGCTATGCAAGTAAAATTATCATAATAATAATGAATAATCTTATATATACAGTTCGGGAAGAGATAAAGTACTGATCTTATGGGATATATCATCTGCAACATCAGTACGTGTTTTACCAGTGTATGAAGGAATAGAAGGAGCATTTATAATATTGCCTCAGTCTTTACCAGCATTTATTAAATCATACAATGACGATGATATATACATTGCTTCAGCTGGTGAAAAAGGTATACTAACAATTCAAATACAATTTAACATATCAGTTACACAACTAACAAGGTATGCAATTGAACATAAACATTTTTTAGGTATTGTTAAAATCTGGGAAATAAAGGCAGGCAAACTGATTTATACGCAAGACAATTCTTTGGTATCACCAGCTAAGGAAGAAGGCAGTTTATCAATAACTCACTTACTTTATAACAGCATCCATAATATTTTTGCAATAGTATCTGTCGATCATAATATTATCATTCATTCATTGGAGTCGTTTGAATGTAAGAAACAGGTCGGTGTGCTTTGTATAAGATTCTGTTTAAAAAATAACTTTATATAACTATTAATTCATCTATATATTAATTGGGACAGTTAGTAGGTTATAGCGATGAAATTCTAGACGTCGCATATCTTGGAGCTAATGACAGTCACATTGCGCTCGCGACTAACAGTTGTGACATAAAACTTTACGATGTTGGATCTATGAATTGTCAATTATTGTGCGGTCACAGTGATAGCATTTTAGCCTTAGCAACAACTCCGGCAAATGTAAATTTGCTTATATCTTCAGCTAAGGTACCTATCTTTTAACAATAATAATAATAATAATAATAACTGACATTTTTATACATATAAAATTATTTATAGGACAATAGTGTTCGTATATGGCTATTTGATAAAGAGATGACAAGAATGTCTTGCATTGGATCTGCCATTAGGCATACAGCATCAATCAGTTCTGTTGCTATATCTCAAACATCAACTAAATTCTTTACAACTGTTGCTCAAGATTCATGCCTAAAGCTGTGGGAATTATCCAACAATCTTGATTCACATAGTATGTTAGAAAAAATGTATATACATGCTTGCGTATCAAATAGAAGATAAAGTAAATCTAAGATGATTATTGATATTTACAGAGCAAAATTTGTCATTAAATCCAAGCTACACAATGTTGGCACATCAAAAAGAGATGAACTGCGTAACCATTTCGCCGAATGATAAACTGATTGCTACAGCGTCGCAAGATAAGACTGCTAAGGTACCACATTGCAATAAACTTGCTTAGATATGTGCATGAATAATTTTAAAATTATATATGACATTTTAGAATTATAATATAATAACTATATTATAGCTGTGGTCTGCTGAAGATTTGCAATTGCTTGGAGTGTTTCATGGTCATCGAAGAGGCGTATGGTGCGTTCGATTCTCGCCGATTGATCAAGTACTTTTAACAACGTCTGCCGATTGTACAATGAAATTATGGTCCTTGACAGAACTCAATTGTCTGAAGGTAAAAGAGAAATATTATACTCGTAAATTTTATTATAACTTTATTATTTTTTTCTTATGGCAGACCTTTGAAGGGCACGAATCCTCTGTTTTAAGAGGAGAATTTCTGTCACACGGTATGCAGCTAATTACATCAGGTGGAGACGGTCTTCTGAAATTGTGGAATATCAAAACGTCTGAGTGTATTTCTACTTTAGACCAACACGAGAGTCACGTTTGGACTCTTGTAGGTGAGTCTATCTGATCCATGCATACGAGAATATCTTGTAACAATCGATATTTTATAAATATACATATAATATCTTCTTGTCCAGTTGCTAAAGATGAAAAACATATCATCAGTGGAGGTAGCGACTCATTGCTAGTCATTTGGAGGGATGTAACTGAAGAAAGGAGGACGCAAATTGCACAAGAACGAGAGCGACTCGTGTTTGAGGAACAAAAGTTGGCCAATTTACTAAAGGCTGAAGAACTTCAAGCTGCGCTGCAATTAGCTCTAAAGATGGAACGACCATTGCAAGTTCTTAAAATTATAGAAGGTATAACTATCCATATCATTGTCTAATTTAATTTTGTGATGTTGACATCATACATCATATGTCTCAACAATGATAAATGTACTTATTTCTAACATTTTATATTATTGTATAATGTGTATGTATATACATATATTATATTTTATATTATTTAAGATAACATAACTTTTATTATATTAATATTTTTGAACTATCTGAACTTTTTTGTTACTTAGAAATTTGTATAATTTTTATGTATTTATTTTTTTTACTTCTTATATATTTTATATATAAAATTTATTACTTTTGTGACAGCTCTATTGCAGAAACAAAGCGATGAGCTTGTAGAAATAATAAGGGATTTAAAACCAGCTCGCAAAGAAGCGTTACTCAAGTGCGCAATTTCGTGGAATACAAACAGCCGGAATTCACATGCTGCTCAGGTATGATATGAAATTTAATATTTCAGATATTTAATAATTTAAAAATTTGAAAATTAAAAGAAATTTATATAATTATTAATAGATTTAATTATTTAAATTAGAGTTATAACTGATTTTTAAAATCTTTTGAAATATTGACGAAACGCAATCTATGTACATCTCTTATATATTTTTTGCCTTATTATTATTTTTAGATAGTTATAAATGCCTTAATGACAGAAATCGGAACTCAGGAACTACAAATACCAGGTTTATCTTCCACTCTAGAAAGTATGATACCTTATACTGATAGACACTTTAAAAGATTGACAAAACTTTTACAAGATCTTCACTTATTAACATATACTGTTAATTGTATGAAACCTGATATTATATCAGTTGGTAATAAATAACTTACATATAATACATATATTATATATATTATATGTGTATGTTATATATGTAGATAATATTACATAGGTATATATAAGAATAAATTTTAGTATACAATTTTTTTTATTTTTTATTTTATATGATTATTGCCTGATTTTTTATCAGGTTATTATCTAATATGCTTAATTATGAATTCATATTTTTGAGTGATTATTATTTTTGCAATAAATTGCAATAATAATGCTAAATAAAAATTAATAAAAAACGTATATATCTGCATGCGTGATCATCGTGATAAATCGCTTACAAGTTCAGGAGGGAGATAAGAAAAATTTCATTAAACAGAGATTGTGAATCATGGATCATTATATTGAGCTTGTAGCATTTTTCATAACATGAATAAACAATTACACATTAGATGGATTGTTCTGGGAAGCAGTGAGTCGTTTAGCGATATCTGATATTATAAAGTCGCGCGTTTTAAATTAGTGCATTGCGTTAGACGCCGATGTATAAATTACACAATGACTACAGATGAATGCAAAAGTCTATACAACATTGTAAGTCTTAAACACATAATGAGTGTGTGCATGTATTTGTTGATCTCACACATTATCTCAGAGAATATGTATGTGCTTCAAACAAGTCTGGAGGACTCACCATGAGAGAGTGGGAGCAAGGTTTGGTCTGGGCGTCTGGTTTCCAACAAATTTGCTCACCCGAGCATACTCGCAGGCTACAAAGAAAGATCAGTCAGAATTCATTAGTTGTACAGTTAAGTGACGAAGAAAAACTCAAGAATGACTCTCGGAGGAAGGGTCTTCGTCCTGGCGCTCTTCGTTCATCTGTCACAGTTACCATCGCTCGTGGACGCGACAGTGTAAGTCGTACGTTTCATTCAATTAATAATATAAAAAAAATTTAAGAAGCTAAAATATATCATGTCAGCAAACGTGTCCAGGTCGCACACTGAAAATATGTTGAGATTTATTTTCTATAATATAGACATTGTATATACATTAGCCCTTTGAATTAAAATCACTTTTTCCCGGATGTATGGTTTTTCTTTTCGCTAGCCAAAGACGTCAACATCTTATACATAGTTAGTCATAAAATTATGACCGATCAACCACGTGCTTGAGACGTCTTTCGCGAAAAATCTGAGAAACGTTCTCTAATGCAAAAGATTTGATAAAAACATGTCTTAATTACCAGATAGATATGCTAATGCTAGGATTTAAATATGTATACATATTTTTACACGCATTATTTACACATATATTTATAATTTGATAAATTATATCTATAATATATAAAATGCATATAGTATATACTCAAATATAAGAATATTAAAATTTAGCACAGAGCATTTTTTCTGCTGCTATTTAAATACAATATAAATTACAACAGAATTTTAATATTTCTTGTATTTAATAATCTTAAATATTTGAAATTTTTGCTTTTTCTGTAAGAGACAATGCTTATTTGCTGCATGCGGATCAGCTCTTGGATAATGTTACGTTATTAGCGATTTTTACAAAATATATGCTTCATAAATTTTGCCAAACCACAAAGTTTACTCGCTCGCAGCTCATATACCGCCGTCATCGTCGGTTTCCATCATTATCAGAAGGGTTTTGCACATTGTAAAATAATACAAAACGAAGAGAGAAAAGGAAACACGTTAATGCCATTCATTCTTTTTTCCTTTTTCTCGTTTCTCGCGAATAATATATCTTTTACGTAAGTCCGAAGCTGTGTTGTTCACGTGTTAGATCACAAGGAAATACGGCGTCATAAGGTAAAATTCGCGTATTATAATTTTTAACCTTGTGAAATTTTATAGTTGCTTTCAAACTTATTAGCGCATAACATTCGACCTTCGAAGTTCTCGTAAATGCGACCAACCACCGCACCGGTACGATTAACAAATTAGAGTAATGCAAATTATTTATAGTGAAAGAGATGAAAGCGTTTTTATTAAGGCGCAAAAATTCTCGTAATTTGGAAAAAAAATTTTTTTTAAATTATTAACAAAATAATTGTCGAGAACTATTCTTCGTGTTTTTTGTATGCGCGCGAAAGAGCCCGTCATGTTTCGACAGTAAACAAGCATCGTGTTGGATTTACACTTGTTCAAATATCGGCATGTAAATTTAACTTTTGCCTTTTCATCAATCTTTTTCGCTTTTCATCGCGAATCTTACGATTAATTACGTTTGCTAGCTTCGTGACTCTTCGTTTGCTCTAAATGTCTCAAGAAACAGAATTGACAAAAGAAATATAAAAGGACCAATCGAGTAGAAATCTGGAGAATATATAACATGTATATTATTATAAATGCGAAATATAGAAAATGTTATTTAACATGATCATGTTTTTGGAAATATCTTTGTTCGAGTTTTTTATTAAGAATACAAAAAATATTTCATATTAAAGTTTTTTCTTAGGGGAACTCTTATACTTAACTTATATAAATTTTTTTCAACATTAATTAATTCTTATGATCTGCACATAAAAGTATTACAAAATTATTAAAAAGTAAAAATACTTATTTTATATGGAATCTATATATTTACTTAAAACGTGAAATTATTTTATTTAAAATAAATAGAAGATTTACTTATTTTCGCAGATTTCGACTCTTAGAACAAATTTGTAAAGTGTTCTTTTAGATTAAAATAATTTCGTCTTAAGGCATTTTTTTGTAATTCTTAACTTCTAAGGAAAATATATAATACAAAATAGTAAAATAAAATGAAACATTTTGTATAGACATTTTGTAAGATGCACACGTGGAATAAATTATAAAATTTACAAAAAACATCTCTCGGATCCATGGAAAAATATTTTTAAAGATTTTTTCAGAAAATTGTAGAGATTACATTTTAAAAACATTCTGATTCATAAGTGAAACTTCTTTTTAATTGTAACTGAAACTGCTTGTACAAATGTTTATTGTTCAGTGTACCTTGTGACACTTTGCATATCATACGACACGGTATAACGTCAGAGAGAATTTTAATCCTAATCTCAATTGGTACATACAATTTCATAGGGACACGTAAATACACTGGTATCTTAAATAAACAAGATGTTTGGCGAAGATATTTAACGTTATAAATTCAAGTAGCATACAGAGTGTGAGATAAGAACTTAATACAGTCGGCTTTCTTTTGTGAGTTCTCTTATACGAATAATAAGCACTCGGAGCGTTTCATATTCTTTTTTTTTTCAAAATCCCAGTCACGTGAATCAGCACATGATCGTGGAAAACAAAATTTTTTAGTGCAGATCATCGCTTCACGCAATTTGATAGCGCGTCGAATCTTTATAGATTCGTGCTTATAATTAACCGATTTGCGATAAACCGAAAAATCTTCGGTTCTCGTGAGCAAGCGTCACATGCTCAGCAAGTGACAAGGAAATTAGTTTCAATGTACAATCATATACATAGCCAATGTCATCTGTAATATGTCATTTACATCAATACAAAACACTAATGAACAATACGTCAGAAACATACGCTCGAAAAGATGAGGTGTAGAATATTAATTATAACTATTTTTCTTTTAAAGTTAGATCTGTAGGCTATATTTATAACATGTGTTTCATTATAATTGGTGCATTTAACTAGCGTAAAAGCCTTTGTACGTATTCTCTATTATAGTCAAAAGTTATAGAAATTCAAAATCACTTTAAGCAAATATTTATTTTCAAATATTTATTTTAAATGAATATTTTAATTAAATATATATAATATATATTTATTAACAAATATTCAAATATACTTTCTAAAGGATATATTTTAAAGCTTAATTTTTTGTACTCTTAGTATCTTTTGATCGCGCAAAGCTTTTTCTTTCAGGTATCTTTTCTTCTTCGAGTAATTTTTAGAAAAATCTTATTGTTAAACTATTTTGCGACAATACAATAATTTATCGAGATCGTCATTTTTCTGCCACGAGTGCTTTTGCGAATTTTTATTAGAGAATGTTATACATTCAAGAATTAAAATTGCGATCGTGTAAGAAAGCGCGCGTCTTTCAGTCTGAAATGTGTGTATATATATATGTATATATCTAATAAATTCTAAAGATAGATTTGACATTTCACGCGCGTTTGGAGAAAACTCAACACTGTTTATTACAGATCGGGAAATTGCCCGGTATTCGGCAGTTCTATGACGCAAACGGAACTTTTGCAAGAATTGGCGAACGAATGTCGTTACGATAAAATGGTTCGACCTCCAGGGATGATTAACGCTACGGATCCGATCAGGATTTACACGAAAGCCTTCATCTACACAATCAAGTCCAACATGGCCAAAACTCTGGTATACTTTTACAATTGTACTCATATCTTATATTTTACGAATTATATCACGAACACTAGCGGATCCTAACGTCAATAATAATAGGGGAGAGGGTTTTGGCAAAATTATTTCTTAAATATTTTTTTTATTTTATTTTATTTTATTTAAAACCTTTTAAACATCAAACTCTCTTCCTCCACCAGGCAGGACATGGGCGTCCAAGGGAGTATTTGGAATCAGTAAAAAAATTAAGCACTTGCTCTCCTTTTGAATAAACACTGAAATTTATTTGCACATTTAATTATAAAAAAAAATAAAAATTAGACAAAATAAAAAAATTAAAAAAGAACAAAAAATGAAAAAAAATTAATGATGTCCCCTCTTGGAAAAAATTCTGTGAACGTCCATGCACACGGATAATGCTTAATATAAATATCGCCTCGCGAGGATTGATAATAAAGATAGAATAAATTATATTGCAGCAATTTGACGTGCATTTGATGCTGCAGTTCCGGTACCTCGATAAGCGGCTGAAATTTTCGGACATTGCTCCTTACATGACTCAGATATACGGTGGTCAGAACGCTCATGCTTTGATCTGGACACCTACTGTATATGTCGCGAATGAACGTACCTCGGCGGTGATGGGAAACGGCGTCAAGGACCTACTCATCTCTATCAGTCCTTTCGGCATGGTTATTTTGAATACAAGGTATTCGGATGATACTTAATAATCTCGAAGGAAATCTTTCCAAATTACTAGACAGAAATAGAGATTGATTACGGAGAAATTCATTTGAATTTCAGACTCGAAGCGACACTCAATTGCGGTCTCCGATTGGAAAAGTTTCCGTTCGATGTGCAAGAGTGTCCGCTGGTCTTCGAAAGCTGTAGGGTGCTATTGTTATATTATATCATTGACATGGTTTATACGATGCTTTTTTCTTTTTTTATTACCGCCAATTAGTGTATTATTACTAGACTAATAATAAAAAGGCGCAATGTTTTAAAATATGCTATAATTAAGAATAAACCAGCTTATACTTTCTTTAGGTATGATAGTTAAATTAAAATGTTTCAAATTTACTTGGTCTAGCAAGAAAGCATCGTGTAAACTTTAACACTCTTATTTAATTATGATTTATTTTTTCCTTACACTAGGGACTCACAATATAAACGAAATGGTACTAGACTGGGATGAGGATCCGATTGTCGTCGCGAATAATTTGTATCTGACGGAGTACAAGCTTGTTGACACGTGGGTCAATCGCTCCGGGGTATCTTACACCTCGTGGCAGTATCATTACGGGCATTTCGGTAAAAATTAATTGGAATATTTCGATTTGATTCAAATAAAAAGAAAAACACGCACTTGAATGTCACATTGTTATTAAAGCTATCATATGATTGTGATTGCAGCCGGCAATTTCAGCTCAATAAATATCACGTTTAAATTAGCACGCGAAATGGGATTCTTCATGATGGACTATTATGTACCGTCTATATTAATCGTGGTGATTTCTTGGGTGTCCTTCTGGTTACATCAAGACGCGAGCGCGCCGCGAATAGTTCTAGGTAAAATAAAAATATCTGCGTATTCTTAAAATATAATACACTGGGCAAATAATATTTTTAAAATACATACGAGACTTACATATTTTCAGGAACGAATACCATCTTGACGTTTATGACGCTCGCGTCGAAAGTGGAAAATTCGTTGCCGAAAGTCTCTTACATAAAGGCAAGTGAGATTTGGTTTTTGGGCTGCACGATATTTCTGTTCGCGGCTATGGTCGAGTTCGCCTTCGTTAATACCATATACCGAAGAAAGTATGTAATATTTTTCATCGAGATTTTTTTCTTTATTCACTTTAACACCTTATATAACTCCTGGCCAGCCGATAAAAACTGCTTAGAGGTAACATGTCATGTATAATTGCGTATGCAGAAAGAACGTACCGTTGAAAAAGGTCAACAGCAAATACATCCTTAAGTCTACCTTGACGCCACGATTGGCACGAAAGCAATTCCAGAAGAATACAACCGGACTGGAACGATCGCGATCATGGTCGTCATTAGATAACGCAAATACGAACAGCGAGCAAGACTTTATAAGTCAAAATTATCTCACCGTACACGTGAGTTATTGATTAAAAAATATTTTTATTATTCCATAATATTTTAAAAATACAATGAAAAACAACCTCTTTTCAAGAAAGAAAATAGCCTTTAGATTATCTTCATTTAAGTCTTCATTAAATCTCGAACGAAATTACTTTCAAAAAATTTTTAATCTGTCACATAATTTATTTTTGAGATATGTTGTAAAGAAAATTAAAATTTATTTTAAATCTTCATTTAAGTCTTCATTAAATCTTAAACGAAATTACTTTCAAAAAATTGTTAATCTATCACATAATTTATTTTTGAGATATGTTGTAAAGAAAATTAAAATTTATTTTAAATCTTTATTTAAGTTTTCATTAAATCTCAAAGGAAATTACTTTCAAAAAATTTTTAATCTGTCACATAATTTATTTTTGAGATATGTTGTAAAGAAAATTAAATGATCTCACCGAGGCTTAATATTTCAAACGTTTTCTTTGGCGAAATTAATATCGATTGTATTAATCGTATCAATCGTTTCCAGAGTTTCCCAAGCACGATCAATATCCCATCAGTGAGGATAGAGGAGGATAAGGATCCGGAACCTGATTCTGTCGGCAGCATCACGACCATCGACAGCATTACTACCCCTCCTCCATCTAAACCATTTCCACGCAGGCCGACTCTCGCGAAATTGCATAATTTCACAACGATGACACCGCAGGAGATCGCTCAGTGGATCGACAAGCGCAGCAGGATAGTATTTCCCATATCTTTCATCATATTTAACATCCTCTATTGGTCTTTCATATGGATCTGAGAGCTGGTAATCATTTATTCAATATTCGATTCGTATAATGAAACTTGGAATGACTTGAGAAAACAGAAACGGAATGGTAGAAGTCGACGAAACCGATGCTTCCATTAAAAAGGTACAAAATTGCGATATTTCAGAAATTATTTATAGAAGTTTTCTCGCTAAAATTACTCGGAATTACAAATGAATACACTGTTTTTTTAATGCTTAATATACATACATATATCCAATTAAGAATGAAAATTAGGAAATTACGAAAAACTATTGTAAAAACATTTTACACAAAAAAATTGCAATTATTTATAATACTTTGAATACTTTTCAATAGCGTTATTCAAAATGATTGTACAAAATAGAATTAGCAGAGTAGAGGGCCATATATATAATTTCTATTTACACGTATTAAACTCAATGTTTTATTGTACGTTTTATTTTTTATCGCTAATTTATATAGCATCCTTTACAAGAGAGATGAAATTTGATCAATCGCGATACAAACGCACTTCGCATGTTAGAGGAACTTAACGCTTCTTTCATATCATATATTGTGTAATCACGTTTTTATTAGAAACAATGAATCACCGAAATCTTGGATGACGACTTTTTCCCCCTTTGCCCTCGAAACATTTCCTATCATTCCATGTGCGTGTCGAGTGAAAAGATACAATCAATCTTACAGAGATACGATCAACGCGCGCGCGCAAGACTTTATAGCAAAATGAATAATACGTATTCGAGAAACGACGTAAAAGTTCGAAGGACACTTTCGCTCGAAGGGTTGAAAACTGTCGATTTGCGTTTCCTTGCGATCAAAATTCTATATTTATATGTGAAGTAATTAAAGGGCTAAAACTTTCCGAGTAGAGCAGTTTTAAAAAAATAATAGTATGATATTACCTTAATACTTTTTCTCGTTAAATTCGTCATACTTGCGCTAAACTTTCATCGAGTCGATTAATTTTTTATATTAGTATACATTATATCGTTACTTAAGGTTCTATCATATTAATGTGTTATCGAATAGTATATATCCTATAAAATCGGCATAATGTGGCAAAATTGATTGATGAACTCGTTCATTATTTCCGTCGAATTTTCCTAGTTCTATTAATAATTCAGAGACGCTATTTAGAGGTCAGAGGTAGCAACCCTTTTCCACATGCCGCATAATGCTCGTTTAATGTTCTTCGTTCCTAAATATCGATCGGCAATATCTAACCAGCACCGCTGACCTCGATGCTTAACTGTGTCCAGCATTGATTACTTTCGTCCGTAGAAAATGATAGTGGAACGGATAACCATACACGTGCAGGGATAGACGCAGTTTTCCCTTTAATTCAAGAGAAAGATGGGACTTAAGCCCCAAAAATTCGGAGTCGTTTGTAAAATCGGATGAAATAACGCACGAGAAGTTCCACAATTATTTTAATCCCAATGTTTATATTCAAGGTAATCACAAAATTATTTTACTTAATTTTAATATAAAAAATATTAATCAATTCGCAATTCCAATTTATAATTTGCGCATTCACAGAAGTTGAAAAAGAACTTTAATTATAATTTTATGCGTTGTGTTACAGATAATATTTTTTTCCAAAAATAAAAATATAGAGATTCGAAATTATATTCAAATTAATACTTGAGCATACGGAAAATTTTATTTTCTTTCAATAATACGCTTCATATATATGTACGATATTTGGTATCAAAAAGTTTTAAACACTTTTCTTATTTATACCATCAATATAAAATTATAAATGGAAATCTGCGAATTGACTCATAAAATAAACTTAAGAAACAATCAATATTTTATCACTATATAAAATGGATAAATATTGTTTAATATACATATATATCACTGAGATAGTGCGAAAAGTCACAATGAATCGAAATTGCATTCGCGCGAGAGGAATTAATCATCCTGTTAAATACGATGCTATAGATACATATTTGATCGATTGCAATCATGAAATTGCCGTACGCCGATAAATGTAACTTCCTGAAGTGCTTCGTTCATCCTTGACATTTTCGCGTTATTAATCGCGGTCTTTATCGAGGAAGCGCAACTTGTTGAACGAAACGCGAGCCCTCACGAACAAGAGAGGTTTTAATTCCACTTAAATCGAATTAATATTGCGCATATAACTTCCACGCGGCTATAAGCTAAATGCTTCCTGTTCTTTATAAATAATTTGCTCAATTTTTCCTTCCAAATTGAACGCCGAGAAACTAGTTGCAAATGCCTTCTTTAAGCACATAATTGCGTAATGTACCGCAAATAAATTAATATAGGTCATCAATTTAATTTTTTTATGCATATTGACGGCAATACATGAATGATATATTACAACTGTTCTTTCTGTGAAAAAATTATGTTTTTCCTTTAAAGCTGATCATATCAAAAATACTTATCGTTAAAAATGGAAGAAAGTTTCATGTTGGGTACATATTGATTTGAGTAATTTTGGACTCCCGTAATTATACTTTCCGGAAGAAAATTATATGGTTTAAAATAGGTCTTTCGAAAAGTCACAATATCGCGTTGCAGCCGTCATATATCAAATTGATATTAATCAACTCTAAAATTTCAAATATGAACACATTTAAACAGACGTTTTACTCCAAGATATATAATATCCCTATATATGTTATCGAATAATATCGTCATAAATAAACGCACCTCTTAATTTAATATTTTCTGCGACGTGACAGCAACAGTTTGCTGCATATTATGCATTAATATCGACATTGTTAATGCAGATCCTCCGGTCGAATGTCGCGACACGCGAAAATATAGCTTGCGTACCCTTGCGTGATAGGGCCTCCTGGATGCCTTTACATGTGTACAGGTGAACAGGTGCGCTTCAGTTAGTCGGCTGACTGTGTCGCGATAACACATATTTTTCGAGCGTGTTCAGGCAGCTAAATGCACATTACGCACGCATATATCCGATTATCAATCGTATAACGTATATAATATGTATATATATATATATATTTAATTATTTATTTGAACGCGCATACGTATATTTCACATTAATTGTGGACAAGATATACCACAGGTATCTTTGAAACAATTTACTCTGCTCTTCTACATCCTCTTCCCTACTGCGCTTCTTCGTGTTGACAATTTATATTAAGCTTCATTAATTTCTGTCATCGACGATTTATCGGATTATTAAATTATTCGTGCAAATCTGCGGGATATATCTTAACTTATAACGGCAGAATGTTTGTCTGCACATGCATTTACACGACGAGAAGTGCAACGATGAATATTAATGCGGTCGAAAGGAAAAAGACCACATAATGTTAATGAAGTTAACATGTAGACACTTGATATAAACGCGACATTCGAATCAATCATCGAACGCGTCTCTCGTCAACATTGTTAGACGGGTCGAATCAGTTGATCTTAATTTTCACGAGAACAAGTGTGAAATAATTGCATTGTGCAAGAATATGACGCAATACAGCAGCGGTGGTAGCAGCAGCAGCAGCAGTACCAGCAGCAATGATTTCAAAGATCGCGGAGATCGAAGAACCCTGGAGCAGAAACTCATGGTACGTTCTTTCGCTTAAGATCGATGAAATCGACAAATATTATTTTTCATTGATGGAAAAAACAATCGATCACGAAAACCCTTCTTTAATATACGACCGATCAATCTATCGCTATATTACTTTTTCAAAAAATACATCTGCAATATTGCTGTAAAATTTTTTGTATCCAAATTTCGATTTTATTAAAATGAAGTAATTAAAGAGTCAATTAAAGAAGATTTTATGTTGCATACATTATTACGTCAAATATATGTTTATGTATTATCTTGTATTCCTAACATTTTTATGTTCTTTACAAAATATCACGTCAAGCTGTTCCTCTATAGTTATTACAAGTTCTAATTCATAAGGGTGTACGAGCAATATTATCTACCTTTACGAAAGTGAAGTACGTCGTTGTAAAAAATTCAGCATCGCAATGTCAGTTTAAGATCTCAACGAAGACGACGCGATTTCTACAGTAATATTGTGGAATAAAAAAAACTCCGCAAAAAAACAAATCGATATAGCTGAGTCTCTCATCGTTAATTATAAATCGATGACGGACAAGAGTAACAAAAGAGAACGAATGGAGAAGTTTTTAATCGATGGTTTCTCCGTTCATAGACCCCAAGATAATCATTGTTATCGTGTATCCGTAATTATACCCTTGATAAAATAAAAAGATAAATTTGATTACAGGTTGCAGTTCGTATTCGGCCCTTGGCCCACAACGAAAATGGTACTAGATGTTTGCACGCTGTTAACAATAAAGTAAGTTTCGCGTGTCAATTTATTCACTTTGTTGCCGATTAAATTTTCTAAAATTGAAGTAAACAAATACATACACATTTCTGCTAATCTAAATCGTTCAAAAAAATTCTTCGAGAATAGAAGTGTGATAATAAATTAAAATGATTTGCAGATGGTGGCGCTGGAGGATCAGGACAACGATAAGCAGAAACGTACGGCATCACGACAATATCTATACGATGTAGTTTTCGGAGAAGATTCTACTCAGGTAAATTATTTTATTAATTTCGAGAATTAAAAAAATATTTATTTTCTTTATATAGATACTATATATAGAGTAATTTAATTATTACATTAATTTTGTATTATATTAATATTATATTAATAATATATATTATATACTATATTAATAATAAATAATATTATTATAATTATTATAGTACAAGTTATTATATTTACACAAGTGTATTATTTCAGGAACAGGTCTATGAGGGTACAACGAAAAATTTAGCACAAGATGTTCTCAATGGTTACAATGCCACCGTGTTTGCGTATGGTGCGACAGGTTCAGGAAAAACACATACAATGGTAGGAACGTCATCGAATCCTGGGATCATGGTACGTGCTCTGAACGACATTTTCTTAGCGGCCAAAAAATTGCCGGAGGACGCGAAATTCACGGTGAGTTTTTCGAAAATCGGATAAATTTATTCCAAATTTTAACTCCTTGTATTTCTTTAATTATTAGCAATGTATTGTATTTAGATTATATATTTGTTTGCAAATAATTTTTAATGAATGTCTTAATCATTTCTTGACCATCTTCATCAGTTTTCAAGCAATTAAGAGTTTTTTAAAGTATAATTATAATTAAATTATATATTTTTCAATTATAATCATAAAATCTTATACTTTCATTTTTAGGTAACGATGTCATATATGGAGATTTACAACGAGAACATTCGCGATCTTCTGAATCCCAGTTCGGGATATCTGGATCTACGCGATGACACGCGGAGTCGTAACATTCAGGTCTCAGGATTGACAGAAATCTCCACCAATTCAACCGAAGAAGTACGACAGCTCTGTTTTTACAATATACCATGCGAGTTTAAGGATTGATTAAATGAATAATTTATTTAATATTCGCAGGTAATGCAGCTGTTACACAGAGGTAACAAAGCGAGGACAATAGAACCGACAGCCGCGAATAAAACCTCGTCGCGAAGTCACGCGCTCCTCAGCGTCATAGTCAGACAATCCTCTCGCTCGGTTCAGGATAGTGATAAATGTTTGCACACCAAAATAAAGCAGGGGAAATTATTTATGATCGATCTCGCCGGATCCGAACGAGCGAAGCAAACCAAGGTAAATCGATCTTGGTTTTCATCGTTTATTCATACAATTATATACATATATATAGGCTTCCTAGCATTTTTTTCATTACTTTTTATCAATAGAATTAACAGGTATACAAACATTTTATGTAATTATATCCATTAAAAACTGCAGACTTTCCTCTTTCCAACACAATTTTTGTTTTCTCAATAACTACTGTATGCATGAAAAAATGAGAGCTGATTATAGTTTCAGCAATTTCCTATGGAACACCTTCTGTATATCATGCTAAATAAATAAATAAATTAGTAGCATTTTTGTTACTATTAAAATAAATTTCATTCAATTTGATTACAGAACAAAGGCAAAAGACTGCAGGAGGGCGCGCATATTAATAGATCTCTTCTAGCTCTGGGCAACTGCATTAACGCATTGTCCGGTGGTGCTCGATACGTGAATTATCGCGATTCCAAACTCACGCGATTGCTGAAGGAAGCTCTAAGCGGAAATTGTCGGACTGTCATGATCGTCCATGTGTCGCCGGCGAGTGCGCATCGCGATGAGAGCAAGAATACCCTAATGTACGCGGATCGCGCCAACAGAATCTCGAACAAGGTCGAGCAGAACGTGCTGGACGTCAGTTATCTGCATGTCGCGCAATATCGCGACATAATCAGCGACTTGAAGAGCGAGATCTCGCGTCTGCGAAACAAGATGAAGACCGACATACCGAAGAGGACGGAATCGGAGGAGAAAATGCCGGATAACGGCAATGATTTCAGATCATTGAGAGAGAAAATCGTGTTCGCTTTTAAAGAACAGATGCGATTAAGGTGCGCGATGAGACAATGATAAATGCTACATAGAAATTAAAAATTTATATTTTATCTTAATTAATACTTCAGAAATTAAACATGATAATCTCTGACTATCGCTTATACGCTTTGCAATTTGTATTGGTAGATATATAATGATTGTTTCATTTCATAGGAGGAAATTAATAGAGCTGGACAGTCATCTCCTGGGTCTGAATATCGCTGCCGAACAGCAACATTCTATAATCTCGCATTGGGAATCAAAAAATAACAGGGTTTACGGAAAAACGCGGGATTCCGATACAGGTCGTCCTGGCACGGACTACCAAGTAGATGAAATAGACGACGTGGGTGAGCGAATTTTGAATTAATATAATATATATAATAATATATATTGATATTAATTATTAGACAAAGATTTACTGTAAATTAAAAAGTTAAATATCAAATGTAAAAAAAACTAATTTTTGAACTTTTGTCATATTTATATAAATGCAATTTCTTTGCAAATATATACCTACATATATTATTATGTAAAAAATATTTCATTTTAAAAGTCAAGTATTTTGCTTCAGTTAATTGAATTCATATCTCGCTTCATATATATAAAAAATTAATTTGAAGGAAAAAGTACAGATTCTTAAAAGATTTCAAAAAATAAATAAAAAGTTAAATTTACGAAAACTTAAAATCATTGGCTTCGCATTAAATTGCTCACAATAAAGACACTATCTCAATGAGCGCTTAGATCTCTTAAAGGACGATCTGGAAGATGATGCAGCCGTGCAACAAGCGTGGACGGAACTGACGGAGATTACGAGAGAGCGGGAGAGATACACCGAAATGCGCATCGTTGCAGAGAAGGAACTCGAGATTTGTCGGAAACGCAGCGCTGCACTGGAGGATGTAAGAGAACCTCTTGTACTCTTATTATTTTATTATATCAAATAAAATTTAAATTTAAAAAATAGAGAGAAAAAACAAAAGATTCTGTATATAAAAGCTTGTGGCACAAGTTCTTATTGCATTGTTTGCATCGATATGGAACTATAATAGCGAGGTGACCGAAAATGAGATTCTCAAAATCCTCAATCTAAAAAATTCCGCACATTTCTTCAGGAATTGCCGTCGCGCATCAACTCGGACGAAGAGCGTGAGTTGTTGGCGCTGATGCTGCGAGTCCACGAGCTCGAGGCGGACAAAATGATGCTGCAGAGCGAAAGGTTGGTTAAACAACACGAACTGAGACGTCGAGAGTTGCTGCTGCTTCGTTACGATCGACAGCGACAGATTTCCGACGAAATCATCACCAGGCAACGGCGGATCATGGAAGGTCAGTCAAATAATAATCGGACTTTCGTATCCTCGTTCACATCCTTATTCGTAAAAGCTTCTAATATTTTTTAACTGACACGAATTACTTATTCCTATAATATTCTTCTTTAATTGTATCTGCAAAGTTACATTAATTTTGTCATAAAAAATTAAATTTCTTTCATTTAATTAACGATTAATTTATCTAAATAACAGATGGCCATCTGGTGCTCCCGACCGACCTGCAGAATCTTTATGCACTGTACCAACAAGAGATTCAGGCTGCGACATACGTCGACAGCAACCTTGGCGATCTCGCGGTTTCTCCGACCGTGTCTTCGTTTAGTCGCGGAAGATTGCCGCCTATATCCAGCAGGCTTAGCTACAACAATCTTAGCAACGACTTGAGACTAGCCAGTAGGTGAGTAAAGTCGATTTTTTCTGATCGCTAAATTGGCAGAAACTATTCTCAAAAATTAAATTCTTATTTCGCTCGAAAAATATTAAGTATATTAAATGCGTGACTCGAAATTTCAACAAAAATGTTGTCGGAAAAACAGTTCCACGGATTCCGACTGGGACTCGCCGCTACCACCAATTCACGAACCGCAGGAGGAAGTGGAGCACGTGATGGGACCAGCGGTGCAACCGTTAATTTCACCAGCAGCTCTATTTCCGCCGATATCGGCGGCGAATTCACGAAACTAGTAAGAAACTTTCACCTCATTTACATACTAATCAATACGGATGTGTTGCGTTATACAGGAGAACGCAAGCGAAAAAAACTGCATTTAGCTATACCTACTTCAGACTTAAATTCATATCCTATCTTATATATTTTGTTATTACTAATTTTTGTTTATTAATCTAATTTTTCATTTTTTCTTAAATCAGCGACAAGAAACTTCGTCGAATAGCGAGCGACGACAGCATAAACTCTATGCGATTTGCACACAATGATAACAGTCGTTACAACGCTTTCGGAACGAAAACCGATGATCACGAACCAGGTAGCTGAGGTAAGAATTCATTGTTCTATCTGCATTTAATATCTATCGCATGTATCTATTTAATCAAACTTTTATAAAAAAATTTTAATATAAAATATTTTTATAAAATTATAAAGAAAAATATTTGAAATATATATTATCTGATTTTTATCATTGTACTTTTAAAATTAAAAAATTATGAACTGTGAAACTTAAGTAACTTTAGTAACTTAACTAAATAAACAAATATTCCTATTTTTCGTATTTTGAACTTTATACAGTATCGAGAAGTGCTTTAATGATTAATAATTTGCGATATGAAATCGATGATACATAGATCAATAGACACTTTAAAAGCATATTGAATATTGTATAAAACTTGTCTTTCCTCTTCATTATTTCAGGTCGACATTGAAACGGTCTCGACGTCTCTCGCGAGCAGTATTGTGCGACTTAGGGTATTCAGCGATTTCGGAAGATTCGCATTTCTGCTGCTCGATCATTTTCTCATGGTTACCTTGATCCTTGGAGAGGATAGTTTTGCCGAGCGCCGGATGATCCAAGAGTTGGCTGGTCATCCTTAGTATCGTTCCATCTGGTCGCGGTTTCGAAATGTTACGAAAGGAACTCTCGATGCGATATCTCTCGCGAGGAGTACTCGCACCTTCCGGATGCCCGTGCGGAAGACGAACTGTCGAAACCCGCCGCTTACGACACTGTTGATTAGTCTGTTTTCGCGTTTGATTTGGCGAACTCTCGATCGTTTTGCTCAGCGTTAACAGCTGAAAAAAAACGTGACATGTTATATATAGGAGATTTCAATCAATCTGATCACGCGCCCAAAAATATCTCGATTACTAATAGGAATATACAAAAAATATTACGGGATATTTTGATATATAAAAATGTTTGCTTCTTCGAATCAAGCAATTTATTCTCGAAAAATTTTTTATATTGCTATAATATATATATTATTAATATATAATATATATATATATATATATATATATTATATTAATAATATAATATATTAAGTATAATATATCGATATATTTCGAAGAATATACGATTAAATGAAACAACATTTTCGTAGGCCAAAAATAAGAAACAGATATTGTTGAAATAATTGTATTTGTTGAATGATTTAATGAGTCGTAGATATATGAAAATAATTTACCGCCAGGCTAGAAGACGCATCAAAATCTTCTTGTTTCGGTATTAATTCGGAGACCTTCCGCTGCAAGACGCCGACAAACCTGTTCTCATTGCTGAGATCGATCCTAGACTTCAATGTCTCGTTGTTTGTGAACGAGATCAGTTCTTGAACAGCGGATGCTGCCTGTATCTCCCATTCGTCCAGCCGCGCATTCCACTGCTTCTTCCATTCATCCCAATATAATTTGGTCTTGCCGAATATTAGGGGTTCGCCGAAGAGCGAGTATCGTCCCCACGGCTACGCTATCGGAGGAAATTGGGATTGATCTGGTTGATTTTCCATGCGAATGAATAATAGAAAATATAGATAAAAATGTTGATAAATCTCGCGTTAACTTAGGATATGAATGGAGATATGGAAGAGACTTAAAAATTGACATAGATTGTTTTATAATTGCGTCGAATACACATCGAATATTTATAATGCATGATAGAAAAAATATATAATTATTCCAATAGCGTGTGCACAAAAATTTATATAGATAATTATTAAATTGATATAACAAAAAATATATTTTCTTCTAATATGATTTTTAAACGAAAAGTGCGAATAATTTTTAAACAATTTTTTAATATTTGTAAGAGAACGCATTTCGCGCGATATTCTCCAATAAAATTAACGTGATACGATAGAATTATTATCTCGCTAATTTCGAGTATAAGTAGCGTGTAGATTAATGAACACCATTGTGTCTCGAGGCCAAGTTATGCGTTTTTTACCGATTTCGATCGCACAACTGCATTCACTTCCGATGATTGCGCGACGTCGTAATCACGGAAGGTTTTCATCTTCACGAAGAGCTCCTTTATAACGCTATCCATGAACTTGGACATCGCTTGCTGACAGTGAGCAGTCATGTACGCGGGATACATTCGGGACAAGTACTCGAATAAGGATGTCACGAGATTCTAAATGAAAGATTCGACATATCATCAAAATATACCATTATATATATATATATATATATATATATATATATATATATACGCGTATATGTATATATTCATAAATATCATTGAAATTTCCAAGAGAATTTATTATTTCATTAATTCGTCAACGAAAATTAATGAAAATTCTACGTACATGCATATCCTGCTCGACTAATCGCATGTCCTTATGTACCATAGCTATGTAACCGACTAATCGATCTAACTGTTTCGGCTTCTTGTTAAAATCCAGTAAAAGATATCCTATAGCTTCCATGATGTTTGTAAATTTGGCCGTGACACGTGTATCGAAACTCAAGTGCAATTTGGACTCCTGAGTGAAAAATTTCACGTATTGCGGATATCTTTCGCAAAAGCTGAAAGTCCATCGAAAAAGCAGAAATATCGACGTTCTTAAATCATTTTTCGAATCATCATTTTTAAATGTCAATCAGAAAATATATATACATAAATATAAAATTCCCTTTTATTTATTAATGTGTGATATTATACACACCTCCTGAAGCAAGCGCTACCATGAAATTGCGGATTAATTTCGATGCCTGACCATACTTTCTTAACCAGGGCATATTCTTCCGCGTTGAATTTATAATAATCCAAAGTACCCGGTTTCTCATAAACACTCTGCTTTGTGCCCATTTATCTGATAAAACGAAAGATACACTATTTTTGACAAGAATGCGCTGATGTAATAAAATATAAATAAAAATTGAATATACAGCAATGTATGTATATGTGTGTGTCATGAAGTATGTCTAACGATAAGATTTCATGCCTAACTACTCGCGTAATATATATATATATGTGTGTATAATAAATAAGTGGAGAACTTTTTATATTCTTAATAGAAAAATAAATCAATTTTTAAATTTATTTTAATGTAATAGTAAATATATACAAATTCAATATAAAATGTTGCAGGAAAAGCAATTATCAAGAACTGAATATGCAGCAATAAATTTAAATTATTTATGATAAGATAAATGCTACACCAGGTGCACCAATCTTCACTTGCCAATCTAACAATTTAAACAAATGTGTTGTTTTCTCGGCCCAGTGATATTTTGATCTAATGGAATCAATTCTCCAATGAATGATTAGTTTACCAGATGCATCGATAGAATGTCCTGTCTTAAATGGTTGAGTTGTGACACATAGATGCGCCATATATTTTAAGATTTTAGCAACTACATCTGTATTCGAAGTCTGCAAATCATCTTGATACGTGTGTGTAAGAATACAAAGCTCTGACAAAGGATGCAATGCTACAAATGACCTTAAGTATCTTAAAAAGTACATAACATCCTGTACACTGAGGCCAAAGTCAAGAAGATGATTTATATCGTCGAAAATAAAAACAACAGACTCATTGAATTTTGCTGCCTCATCATACTTCTTTCTAACACATGTAAACAATCTATGCGCAATATCTATATTCTCCATAGAAGAAAATCTGGAATTATCAATTCCTCTTGATTCACAGAATCCTTATCCTTACACATATCAGCAATATTGGTGGCTACAATTTTCATCGGTTCAGCAACAGTCACCTGGCCTTTTTCTTTCAGAGTCAGAAGATTATAACCGAGTCTCATGCCAATGTTGTGATAATGACTGAAGGTATTATGGCATAGAACGAGACAGACAGCCTTTATCTGCTTTACAGCATGCGATAAGATAGCATTCACCAAGAAGTTTGCATTGGTACCGTGTTGCTCTTCGATCAAGATTATTTTACTGTCCATATTTACTCTATCAATTCCAAGAATGTTGCACACCATTTCCATTGTACTAGCCATGATGAACTGGTAAAATGCATTATTATTATTAATATTATTATTATTTACATTTCAAAGAAAGGATTATATTTATAAAAATAATTCTAACCTGCAGTCTTGTGGTCTATTTATGTATTTTTAACCTATAAGAGTCTACTACTCATCCACTCGTAGAATGAACTCGACTCAAGCGCATAAGGCCAGTCATCAACTCTGCGAGAGGAGTATCAGCTGTTGTCGGGGTCGGAGCACGTCGCAGATGTCGTCAGCAGAACAAAGGATTATGTGAGAAACCCTTTCGATTTCGCTCGTCAATCATCGAACCATCGAATACAACTGGACCGAAACAGTGGAATTCTGCGAATTTCAAAGCTCGTTAATTGTAAGTATTATAGATTTTAATCTCAAGTGTTATCTAAAAGTTTACCTTAGAAAATTAATTCCAAGATATCTACAAACTAATGACGTACGTGTAATTTTAAGACAAACACAACTTTAATACAGGCTTGCATCAATTAATACTAATTATAATATTAATTATTATACAATTATTATTATGGCTATTAATAAGTCAATTTCATGAAACGATTTCAAAAAATCTTTTTTTATGCCCGCGAAAATTTTGACGAATAACGATAGAGCTAAATAAGTACTCGCTAACATTCCTAAAGTTGTCCTCCAGCTAAATACGCGCATGAATCGTGTGTTTTATGTTTACTTCGGCGAATCGCTATTATTGCACGGTCGCTACACATCGTGTTGATTTTAATTTTAGAACCGCTAACATCGTTTTAGCTGGACTCACATCTAATATGGAGGAACCTAAATTCATGGATTTTATACAGTAATTTTTGTAAAAAGAAAAGATATTTTGGAATATTAATATTAAATTTGTTGTATGATTTACATTGTGGAGAAAATTCATATATTCTTTCATCTATTTCTTCAAATGTATGTATATATATTTATTTTTAGAAACTGTATGGAATTTACATATATATGTTTTTTCAGGCTCTTCTACTATAAACTATTTTAGTAATGCATACACAATAAAAACTGCCATTCCTACAAAATAAATGAATTATGTATTAACGTTTCATTTTAATAATATATTTAGAAATAAAGGTAAGTTGAATTAATTATATACATATATATATATTTTTTTTTAAATGAAAATCTATCTTAATCAGCTTTTTATCTGTTGCAGTGCTACGGATATACTTTTAGTTGTTGCTTAATTTGTAAAATTAAAAAAACAACTAAACAATGGATGACAAAAGTAAGAAATTATCACGTTGGTACTTTGGTGGTGTTTCTTCCGCAGCTGCTGCATGTGTGACTCATCCTTTAGATTTACTGAAGGTTTTATTTATATCTTTCTTTCTTCTCAGTTTATTTTTGAGCATATTTTTTTCATTGTCATTAAGAATGATTAGAATAGACATTATATTTATGTTAATCAATATTTCAAACTCAACATTTTGCATAGATATAAATAATTATTTTTATTCCTCTCACTATCTTTTATGCAAATTATTAATAAATATCAAGTCTTATTATATGTTTTAAATTAATTTTTTAATTTAAAAAAATCACTACATAAATCTTATTTTTTTAGGTCCATTTGCAAACTCAGCAGGAAGGCAAAATATCAATAGTACATTCAACTGTTGAAATAGTTAGAAAACAAGGAGTTATAGCTTTATACAATGGACTTAGTGCTTCCTTACTTCGGCAACTTACTTATTCTACAATAAGATTTGGTGCTTACGACGTCAGTACGTGAAGAAACTTATATACATTATCTGTATACAAGTAAATGCCATTTCTTTTTTAATTAATTGTACCTGTATTGTTAAATGTAACAGGTCGGCAAACAAATGTTCGAAACACCTGATCATTCATTACCTTTTTATCAAAAACTCTTATTGGCTGGAGTTTCTGGTGCTGTAGGCGGTGTTTTCGGAACACCTAGTGATGTAATTACTGTACGCATGCAGAATGATATCAAATTACCACCAGAACTAAGAAGAAAGTAAGAACTTTGATGCTGTTATGCATTATACTTTGTTTGCACCATTCTTATTAATTACATATCTCTTTATCACACAGCTATAAGCATGTTTTTGATGGATTGTTACGTGTATTTCAACAAGAGGGTGTTCGTCAATTATTTAGTGGATGTTCAACCGGAGTCATGAGATCAGTACTCATGACTATTGGTCAATTGAGTTGTTATGATCAGATTAAAATGATGTTGTTGGAGACTGGTTATTTTCAGGATACTCCTTCGACGCATGTTCTAACCAGTGTATCAGCTGTAAGTGTCTATTAAAAATATTGTAAGAAAAATACTTTAAATTCATCTTACAATTTGGCTGATATTATCTTTTATGCTAATATACAGGGCACTATCGCAACAACGCTAACACAACCTATAGATGTTCTAAAGACGCGAACACAAAATGCTAAGCCTGGAGAATTTAAAGTAAGTGTATATTTAAATACTAAATAAATTTCATTAAATATATTCTACATTTATTCTTACATTTATTTTCTATATAGAATCTAATGGCACTTTTCTCATATACTGCCAAACTTGGACCACAAGGTTTCTTTAAAGTAAGTAATTAATTAATTATTAATTATAATTAAAGTCTTTCCTTCTCTTTCTGCATTTTAAAAATAATTATAAGCATAAAATTTATTCAATGAGAATTCTTTTTTATTCTAGGGTTATGTACCTAGATTTATTCGATTAGCACCACAAACCATTCTCACATTTGTATTCCTTGAGCAACTCAGATATAATTTTGGGTTCTATCCACCTTCTGTGAAACCATCGTTATAAATCTAATTGGATTTGACTAGTAGAATACAATGCAATATTGAAATGGATTCTTTATATATATATATATAATATATTGTATGTGTGCAAATTGACAGAAATGTGTCAAATTTTGTTACAAATCTGACAATAAATAAATAGTTATTTGTATACAAAACATTTACAGTAAATTGATTTGTTTAATCATTCATACATAATTTAATCATTAGAGTTTCAATAATTAGGGATTAAGGTATCGATTCTGTAACTTTTATCAAAGTGAAAAATTTCCTCCAATCACACATTGAATTCATTTTGAAATCTATGCGTAATTGGTGGAAATTTTTCACTTTGATAAAAGTTACAGAATCAATACCAAGATTTTTTCAGAATTATGTGTGTTTGTGTGTGTCATATGTCATATCATAAATAAGGAATGTATTGGAAGATGATGTATGTTTAAAACTTCTATCTGAGAAAAAATTGAATGCCTTATTCAATAAACTCATATATTATCTTTGTATAACCCTTATATAAATTTAATTATATTAGCTATTGCATGCAAATACTAGATGTTTTTGTTAGTATAAAATAAAGAATGAAAGATATAATTTATTAATCAAAGGTTCTTTGCTTACAACTTACGAGTTTCTGTTATTTCTAATCTTCCACTTTGAGAGCTAAGTAACAATTGTTTCATAAATATATAAAAATTAATATAAAATTTAAGTATTATTGCACTCTAATAATTTTGCATACTCAAATATTGCGCACAATTTCCATCACATTAACTACGATGAATTAAAAAGTAAAAATGTATATTGTCATTATTATAATATTAAATGTAGTATTATTATTATTATATACATTTCATGAGAAATGATTATGTTTATATAATACTTTTAATTTGATTAATTATATCGGATTATATTGTACAATATGTTTTTATAACCTATAACAGTGTATTCTTCCATAGAATGAATTCAAACAAATTCTAGCATCCAAAATTCAAAGTTATTGTTGCGAGAGAAAAGTCAGCGTTCTTTTTGCGAAAACAAATACGTAAATTTCCTGTATATTCCAATATAATAGATTAATTGATTTACATACTGCATGTTGAAAAATCACTCACCGCATATACGCTCCTTCGTGACGTACTACCACTAGTAGTTCAAACAAAACATAACACAGCCGTCAACTGTCAGATCAGACTGTCTATTAACGTTTATACTACTGCGAAATTTGTTCAAGTTCAAAATGATATTTGACGTATATCATAGATAATTGTTGCATCATAGATAAGCATAGTAGATTGAAAAAACAGGAAGCTTGACAAATTTACAATTAAATTTTATTATTTTGACTATCACATACAGAGATATATATAAAATTAATTCAATAAAAAATGATTTTTTATTTAACTTAATTAAAAGCTATTATGTAAATAATCTTGTTATAATTATATTAATAAAAAAAATATATATATATGTTTCTAAAATAAATATATATATATATATTTTGTTTTTAATTATAAATATAAGAAAATAATAGATAGAAATAGAAGTGCCAGAAAACTAAAAATTCAAGACCATATGACATTTAAATATTTGGCAGCAAATTCCATTCGCAGACAATTTCATATCGTTACCAGATGCTTTCGTGTCAGTTCAAAGAAAATAACGGCGCATCTCGCGATTTAATTATTTGGTGACTCGCTAATGTCAAATCATTTCTGTAAACCGTGACGCGAAGCTATATTTATCACCTTTTCAGCGATAAGCGCGGGCGTGTTGCGAAGGCGATAAAAAATTGCACGAGCACGCATAGATATATATCTGTTCTACTTCCTTTATGGATATCTGCCCTATTGGGGACTAGCTTATTGCATCAGATCAACGGGAGATGGTATTACACGTGGCTGTCAGCTGATCGCGGCGCGGCGCCGCTCCACTTCTCCAGAACGTTTTACATCAGTGGAATTCCAGCTGCTGTCGGGGTCGGACGTCGCCATCAGCAAAATCGACGATTATATCGTGTGAGAAAAACTTATCGCGCACATCTCGCGTTGCTATTTTAGACAGATTTTCAATCAAAACTCATTTCCACTTGCCTAGCCTTTCAGCTTAAAATTCTGCGATTTTCAAAAATTGCTAACTAAATATATAATATATATATTGTAATTAATTTCAAAAATAGGCAGTGTGTCTATATTAATGATGAGCAGTCTTACTATATATATATATATGCTTGATTCTGCATCGATTATAACAGTTATATGATCAATAAATATATAACAACCTGCTAGAATATATATATATATATAAAATATCTGTTTTTTTATGCGCGTGTTCCGATGAAAAGATTTTGCGAGAGAGTTAAAGTCGCTTATACTCCTAACAGCACACATGTCCAAAGGACGTTCAGAGGACATATCCTAACATCCTGTGAACGTCTTTTGGACATATTGTGCTGTTAGGGACTCTTCTAAAATTACTCTCTCATTAATAAATACGAATCGTTCACTTTTGGCGAATCGGTAGTCTCATTTATCGCAAGGTCATCCAGTTTTGATTTTAATTTTAGCGCTGCTAGTAATCGTTTTAGTCAAGACTCGCATTTAATATGAAAACCTCTAAAAATTCATAATTTTGTACATCAATTTTTGTATTAAAAAAAAGGAATTTTTTGGAATATTTAATATTTGTTGCCTGATGTACATTTTGTAAATAAAATTAACTTAATATATATATATATAATATTTTCTTTCAATTATGCAAATATACATATATATTTTTAGAAGTACATATATATATAGCATTTATATTATTTATATTTTATACTGCAATAATCTATTAATGTTATAATTTTTTTCAGACTTATTTTTCTACCATAAACTATTTTATTGCACATACAATGGAGACTGCCATTCCTACAATAATATGAATAAACTATATATTAATGCTTGATTTTATTGATATATTTTAGAAAAAAGGTAAATTGAATTAATTATATATACACTTTTTTATAAATAGAAATCTATATATTATATATGTCTTAATCAACTTTTTTGTTTTACACAGTATCACAGATATGTTCCTAGTTGCTGCTTAATTTATAAAATTGAAAAGATCAATAAACAATGGCTGATAAAAGTAAGAAATTATCACGTTGGTACTTTGGTGGTATTTCTTCTGCAGGTGCTGCATGTGTGACTCATCCTTTGGATTTACTTAAGGTTTCATTTACATATTTCTTAACTCAGTTTACTTTTCAACATATTTGTGTTAATTGTCTGCAAAAATGGATAGAATATATATTATTACATTCATATTAATTAGTATTTAAATGTCAACATTTTGTATTTAAATATCAACATTTGCATAAATATAAATAATTATTCCTATTTCTCTCTTATCTTTCTTTGGAGTTATTAATAAATGCCGATACTTGTTAAATATAGATATACTTATTAGAGAAAGTGTCAAATTAATAATGAATGGTTACATAAATCTTATTTTTCTAGGTCCATTTGCAAACTCAGCAAGAAGGCAAGATATCAATAGTACGTTCGACTATTGGAATAATTAGAAAACAGGGAATATTAGCTTTATACAATGGACTCAGTGCTTCCTTACTTCGTCAACTTACTTATTCTACAATAAGATTTGGTGCTTACGAGGTCAGCACTTGAAGGAACTTACACACATTATTTATATACACATAAATGCCATTCCTTTCTTAATTTATTATACACAGGTCGTATTGTTAAATATAACAGGTCGGCAAACAAACGTTTGAAACACCTGACCGTCCATTATTTTTTTACCAAAAACTCTTCTTGGCTGGAGCTTCTGGTGCTGTAGGTGGTGTTTTTGGAACTCCCAGTGATGTAATTAATGTACGCATGCAGAATGATATTAAATTAGCACCAGAATTAAGAAGAAAGTAAGAACTCTGATATTATATATTTATTACATTTTTTGATCGCATTACTCGTATTAATTACTTATATATGACATTATTGCACAGCTACAAACATGCATTGGATGGATTGGTTCGTGTAATTCAACAAGAGGGTGTTCGACAATTGTTCAGCGGATGTTCGACCGCGACCATGAGAGCAGTGATGATGACTATCGGTCAACTGAGTTTTTATGATCAGATTAAGACGATATTGTTACAGTCTGGTTATTTTCGAGATAAGCCTTCAACGCATATTTTATCCAGTATAGCAGCTGTAAGTGTTCATTGAATATCAAAAGAAAGAAACTTCAAATTCCTCTTACTCATTTAGTTGATATTATCTTTTATACTAATATATAGGGCGCTATTGCAACAACGCTAACACAACCTTTAGATGTTCTAAAGACACGTGCAATGAATGCTAAACCTGGAGAGTTTAAAGTGAGTATATGTTCAAAATAATAAACAGATTATATACGGAATATATATATATATGACTTAAATACTTACATTTATTTTCTATATAGAATCTAATGGAACTCTTTTTATATACTGCCAAACTTGGGCCACTGGCTTTTTTCAAAGTAAGTCAAATCAGTTAAAGGATTTTTTTATGTTAATATTTTAAAAATGATTGTAAGCATACAATTCAATGAGAATTCTTTTTTTATTCTAGGGCTATGTACCTGCATTTATTCGTTTAGCACCACAAACTGTTCTGACATTTGTATTCCTCGAACAACTCAGATATAATTTTGGGTTCTATCCACCATCTGTAAAACTATCATCTTAAATCTGATTTTGATAATTCGGACACAATGATATTGAAACGAATTCTTTATATAATGTTATATTTGTGCAAACTGACAGAAAAGTTAAATCTTCCTACAAATCTGAACAGAGACAATTATTTGCACAAAACATCTACAGAAATTTTACTTGTTTAATCATTCTTACATGATTTAATATTAGAGTTTAATTAATTAGGCATTAGATTTTTTCTCAAATTTTAATCTCATTATCTTGAGAATTCAATACATTCCTTATATTATTTGTGATGTACATACATATATACATACTTATATGTATATAACAGTACAAATTTATGCATATAGACATATATCAGCTTTTATGTGCAAAGAGATTTAGTACAAAGAATGAAAGGTATAATTTATTAAAGTTTTGTATTTTTTATTAAAGCTTTATATATTTGAAACAATTATTCCATCTACATTTACAAACGGAATTGTCCATTGAAATGTATAGTACAATTGTGAAAGAGCTTCAGGTAAAAATATATAAAAGAATATATATAAAACAATTATTTTTAATTGCTAAAGTATATGAAAAAATATATTATTTATGCAGCATGTATAATTTATTAGTAAAAATGTAAAATATTTTTATGATAAAAAAGATACATTGCAGTTAATTTTTTATCTATTTATACGCTTGTGGGAATGAAGATACAATACATATTCTCTGAATATTTTAATAATCCCGAGTAAGTCATATGGATTATTACTTCCATTTCAAAGAATTAATCCATAAATGTGATAGAAATTGTAAAATTATAATGTGGAAATATATATATATATGTATATAAATGTGTTTATATGTTTTTGTATGTATACCCATGTTTGTATCCCAAACCTAAGTTCTACCTAGGGATATCTATGTCATATATTATTAAAATTAATTAATAGGAAGTATAACGTGCTCGGGTATGGTAAGATTTAAATATGTTTTTTTTGGATTGTGTTTTACAAAAAATCGTTCTGCATAAAGGTCATACGCACTTGTACATAAGGAAACTTCTAAAGTCTCCATTTTGTCATTAGACAATAAATTTATAACACCTGATGGTATGCCACACAATGAAAAAAACAAACAATATTGTTCTATACTACAAGAGTTTTTTCCATCGCATATCACGATGACAGAATTACCAGTGATTAAAATTTGTGTCAATAAATCAAATAAAGCAGTTTCATCTTTTTCCTTTAAGATAATAACGCCTCTTGGTTTACGATGGGTTGTCATTATTTCTAATCTTTTGCATTGAGAACCAACTGATAATGTTTGATCAAAATATGAAAATAATTCCACCCATTTTAATACTCTCTCCGCCAATAGAAAGTTACTATAATTATAAAGCAAGAAAAAATTATTGTTAAAAATTAGTATAAATTTAAAATTATCAAAAATAAAATTAAAAACGAAAAATTATTTGAATTGAATTGAAAATACAAATATGGCATAGAATATAAAACATAAACAAAAATTGTATAAAATACTTATATGGTAACATAAATGTAACATACCCATTGGATTGTAACTCAAATGCAAATTTTGATAATATTTGCTTTCTAGAGACAATAGATTTGATACTCCAAATTTTAAATCCTTTTTCAGCTGAATCAATGCATCTTTTAATATCATAACTATAACAATAAATTAATTACAAATTTCATGTGTAAATTTTTAAAGAATTTAAAAATTATTTCAATTAAATATAGGATCAAGAAGATATATATGTATATTCGTACTTTGTTGCGTGTGCCCACAGAGTTTCATTATATATCCAATATGTATTTTTCACAGGTTGTTGCCATTTACCATCATAAAAAAGATTATAGATTAACTTTTTGGACTTTAATTCTATATCCTTGATTTCATAAGACTCATCATTAAAATCCTTCCATTCATACATTGTGTTCAATGTTTTGTCAAATATTTTTCCATAAGGTAAAAGTACATTGCCACCAAGATCCATATGTGAATTTATGAATAGAACTTCTTTCTAAATTATTAAAAATAAAAACATTAATAATGCTTAGAAAAATGTCTGTAAATACTACTGTATATTCCATAATTTAAATTATATACCTTTATAGATGTGGCTAAATTCTTAGCAGCTATAATATCTTCTGTCCATATGGATACTATCTTCATTTTATTATGTGAACAGGATAAAAGTAAGCTTTTTCTTGAATTAAATCCATGAATGGCAAAAGTTAAATTCTTTAAATATTTTTTTACAAGCCATAAAAACTTCTCTTTTATAGACCCTTGGACCCAAATTTCATATGAACAGGAGGAAAAAGATTCTTTAGCTTTCAAATAATTAATAACTGCATATAAATCTGAATCTTCTAGAAGTATCATTTGATGGGACTGATCTGCACAAATTTTAAAAACAATGATTATGAAAAAACACTTTTATTATTATAAGTTTCTCTTACCTTTTATATACGTAGGTTCTAATTGCTCATATGGAATTGTTCCATTCAATATAAAATTTTTCCTAAAATAATAATGTAATAAAATAAGAAATATATAAACATTAATTACTTAATTGTTTAACAAGTATATATATAGTATATAATATTTTTACTATGAATTACATGATAGTTTCCTCCAAAAATAATTGTATACTAGATTCTTCACATACATTCAAAAGAGTAAGCATTACATCATCCATTAAATACATTTCATCTACAATAAAAAAAGAATAAAACATAATTATATATATATATATATATATATATATATATATATATATATATGAATATAAGATTTGTAAAATCACATATATTTTAAAAATAAAATTAAAAATTTAAATATATTTTTATAACTGCATTATCATATTACATGTACCAAATTCATTGTCAAACAACATTTTTGCACCAAAAGTAGTTAAATATTCAATAATAGTAGTAACTACATCCACATGTTCGCATGCAAATTGAAAAAGAGATAGATTCTTTTCTATTACAGATGCTGCTTCTAGGAATCTATAAAAAATATATATTAGAAAGATAGAGAAGCAATTCTCTTATCATATTATTATATTTTAAATTTAAACACTTAATTACCTATCTGAGATATGATCTTTAAGCGTTATTGTTTTAGACAAGTTGGATATTTTTACTAGTGCTTCCTAAAAATATAATATAAAAAAAGTAGTTATATTTACAAATTTTATGGAAGATACAAAAATTATAAAATATATTTGTTTTCACATACAATATATATTAATATATTAAATTTCATAATTCATTAATAATTTATGTATATGTATGCTCACTTTTTTCCTATTTTCATCATCATATTCTAGATTATTGTAATATTTATTTATAGCTTCCAATTGTTCGCTCATGATTATTAATTTGTTTTATAATCTTTATATTCAATTATATATTTGCAATTATTTGTGTTAGCTTTTTGCACAGTATAAATATTAAAAAAACAAAACTAGAAGATAAATTTCACGCTTGTAAAAGAAAGATATTTTAATTTAAAGCAACAGAAAACTCGGTGTAATATTATGCAAGGCACTCTTCGTAACTCATTTTTATTTTCACAGTATTTTACTGATAAAATAGATACTAAAATATGATAAACGACATAATAAAAACACAAAAGATAAAAAGCACGTGAAACCCATATGTAGCACTTCTGATTGGTCCAACAGGTCCAATATTAATCTTCAGTCTCCATCTTCAATTCGAACACATCGATTGGCTGTCGAATAGAAAATCTCTAGGAAATTTTAGTTTATCTCGGTTTTTAAATTATTTAACAATTTATTAATAAATAAAATATTAGTTAAATTATTATATTTATTAGCTATATTAATGGCTATATTATTAGTTAGACAGTTAGATTATAAGTAAAATATATAGTTATAATATATAATTATATAGTTATATTTATAAAATTTATAAATATTAGTTATATTATTAAATATTAATATATAAAATATTATATTTTTACATAACAAAAATAAATAAAATATAAATATTATATAGATTATTTGTAATAATTAAATTTTCTTTATTTCTTTATGTAAAAATATAATATTTATTTTTATTAATAAACAAAATATTATTTACTTGTTATTTATTTATTTACTCACAATCAGCCTGCGTGCTCAAGGACACTAGAAAGACGCCGCGCATGCGCGTCGCGATTTCTAGTGACTTCCGGACCACGTGGGCTTTAGCGCGAAAAGTGGCGCCGCGGGGCCAGTTTCCGTACAGAAGTTGGCGACGCTGCGACCTAACCTGTCAGAGGAACGAAGTTGGCGGATGCGCGGAATAGGTATACTCGAGTACATAGATAGTTTCGGTTGCTCGCGCGATTTCGCTGTGCTTGTCGTCTCGCACGAGGGACGCGGAGGTAAGCGAGCGAAAGGTACCTGGTGGCGGAGTTCTCTCGCTCCGAGGAAGAGGTACGGCGCGCCGTCGTCGCAGCCATCCGCGATTCGCAGGACGGAGCTGACTCAGCACCGCGTTTTCGCACAGAGAATCGTCCTTCAGCCGTTGTTGCCTGTTATGCGGTGGTGAACGTCGATAGGTGAGTCGGGTGCTTTATCTTCCTCGCGACGACGACGCTTCTCGTCTCTGGGGAACCTTCCGCTCACGAGGAAGAGGAAATGTTCGGAGAAAGAGAGAGGGAGAGAAAGAGAAAGAGAGAGAGAGAGAGAGAGAGCGAGCGTGAAAAAGAATGCGACTTCATTTCTGCTCCGACATTACTCTCTCCCTCTCTCTCTTTCTCTGTCTCTGTCTCTGTTTCTCTCGACGAACGCGAGTCGCGTATCGCACGATGTAACGGAATCCCCAACTTCAACTAACCTTTCTCTTTTCATATAATCCCTCTTTTCTCGCGAGTACGAATTTTATTGTCGATTCGGTAAAATCGGACTCCGGACTCCTAATACATTATTGTTACCCAATTTTCCTTTGTTGATCGCATTTTACAAAGTATTCTGAACGTTTAATGGATAATATAAGTATTTAACTGATTGTTTTGCATTTTAAATATTTAACATAGAGACATTATATGGAATTTCTTTCATCAGTTTATATTTTGTTGTATTATAAAGGTACCTTTTCATATGCAGCATACTGTAACAGCAAATCAATCATGTGATCAAAATTTATTAAGCATATTTCTTTGTTCTCTTAATATTTCAAGGTTAAAATTACGATTTTTGTTCCTATATTCTCATAATAATCTATTTTATTTTTAAATATTAAATTTAACTAATATAATAATAATTAAAATCAACTAGTTGAGTGTTCTTCTGCTTTGCTGCCTTTGCTGTTCAATTGAACTTACCAATAGCAACAAACTGCTGTGGTAGCATGCTGCGCATGAAATGGTACCGTAAGGTCTATTCTTTTTAACCGAACTGATTCTCTTTATTTCCAATGTGGAGTAAAAAAGATAAATCTAAACTAATAAAAAGAACAGACTTATAATTTGTGCTGTGTTGCAATATACGTATTTATGTATAAATGATCGGATCTCATTAGAATATTGAATGTTAATCTTATATTTATCTCTGTAGAAATCGTAGTTGCAGGTAGTAACAGAGACGCTAACACGACAAGCGTATAGGAACAGAATGTCAGGGCATAGAGGCGGTGGAGGAGCTGGAAGCCATCAAGGTGGTCCTCCGGGTCTCAAGCAAATTGATTTGGATCAAATTTGGGGAGATTTACGCGAAGGAATAGAACAAGTTTATAACAGACAATGTATGTCGAAACCGAGATACATAGAATTGTACACGTATCCTTTGTGTATAATGGAAAATATGTTTCTTCCTATTCTTATTTTTCTGCTTTTTCTATATCTATTTTAAATTTTGTACATTATATCAATGCCGGTTTTAGCAACATTGGTGCCCTGGGCAAAATTATCGTGGCACCCATTCAGATTTTTAGATATAAAGGTATAGCCGCATAATAAGGTGCATCGTGCACTGGGCAGCGTCGTCCCTACAGATCTGGCGCCCTGGGCGATCGCTCGACCGCGCCCCTTCCCTAAAGCCAATACTACATTATATTTTCCTGCTACATTGCAAAATACAGACATGTATATAATTATTGCACAAGTGTTCATCAACAACTAACTAGGACATCGAGCAAAAGTAAAAAGGGACAAATTCAACAAGGAGGTGCACAATTAGTGGGATTGGAATTATACAAACGTCTGCGTGAATTTCTTAGGAATTATCTCATTAGTTTACTCAAAGTAAATACATATATAAATATGCTTTTTGTGAAAGAATTTTAAGTAAAAGATTATTTTGTCGTAACACATAATATTCTTGCACACAGCATGGTGTTGATTTAATGGATGAGGATGTATTACAATTCTACACAAGACAATGGGAGGAATATCAGTTCAGCAGTAAAGTATTGAATGGCGTGTGTGCATATCTTAATCGACATTGGGTAAGACGAGAGTGTGAAGAAGGTCGGAAGGGAATTTATGAAATTTATCAGTTGGCCTTGGTTACCTGGCGAGATAATTTATTTAGGCATTTAAACAAACAGGTAAATAACCTTTCTGCAAATATCAATACACATTTGACCTGATTTGTATAATCAGTGTGAGCTTTCTCAGGTTACTGCCGCAGTGCTTAAATTAATCGACCGAGAACGCAACGGTGAAACGATAAACACCCGATTGGTCAGTGGCGTCATCAATTGTTATGTAGAATTGGGTTTAAACGAAGAGGACCCAGGTGCTAAAGGACAAAATTTAACAGTATATAAAGATTCCTTTGAGAATATCTTCCTTGTGGATACTGAACAATTCTATACTCGAGAAAGTTCAGATTTTCTTAGACAAAATCCTGTTACTGAATATATGAAAAAAGTAAGTTCGAAAAAATATATTGCGAAAAAAAATTAAATATACAAAAACATGTGTTTTATATGTTTACATGTAAACATTTTATTTTTTGTGTAGGCTGAACAGAGATTATTAGAAGAACAGAAGCGAGTGCGCGTTTATCTGCATCAAATGACTCAGGAGCGATTGGCGAAAACGTGTGAAAAAGTACTTATCGAAAAACATCTGGACATATTTCATTCCGAATTTCAGAATCTATTGGATGCAGATAAAAATACAGATTTGGGTAGAATGTATCAGCTAGTAGCGAGAATAACGAATGGTCTCGGAGAGTTAAGAAATCTTTTAGAAAGCCACATAGCTAATCAAGGACTTGCAGCTATCGATAAGTGCGGTGACTCTGCGACTAATGTACGTAATATGGTTTTTATTTAACGTAATTAATAATTGCATTGTGTATGCAAATATGCAATAATAATCGAGGAACCGAATATCGACGATTGATTTTTGTATTTATAGGATCCGAAAATCTATGTCAACACAATCTTGGAAGTACACAAAAAGTATAATGCCTTAGTGCTAGTTGCATTTCACAATGATAGCGGCTTCGTTGCAGCCTTGGATAAGGCTTGTGGACGATTTATCAATAGCAATTCTGTTACAAGGGCAGCCAACAGCAGCAGTAAGTCACCTGAATTATTAGCTAAATACTGCGATTTGCTGCTCAAAAAAAGCAGTAAAAATCCGGAAGAGGCAGAACTTGAAGATACTCTTAATCAAGTTGTAAGTATTCTTGTGATACATTGTTTAAATGTTTTTTTGTGAAAAATTATACTAATTATAGTCTCTTTGTAGATGGTAGTATTTAAATACATTGAAGATAAAGATGTATTCCAAAAGTTTTATAGTAAGATGCTAGCAAAACGATTAGTGCAACACATGTCTGCTAGCGACGATGCAGAGGCTTCTATGATCTCCAAGTTGAAGCAAGCTTGTGGATTTGAGTATACTTCGAAGTTACAACGTATGTTTCAGGTAGGATAACGTATTATTGGGTTACATACAGAGATTGCGCTTTTAATTTATTTAATATATTCAATATATTTATTTAATAGATGTATCAACTATATAATTCATTTTATTATTAAGGCTCCTGGATCCTTGCCATGGCCATGTTAGATTGTGATGTCAGAAGTGAGAAAGCACATGCTGAAAATTTTTAGATGTCATTTTTAAATGAAAACATATTTTGATGAAACACTTTCAAATAGCTTTAACACACTCTTCAAATACCTCGAAAACTATCCTCTTCCCTTTATAATCAACAACTGTAAAATGACTGTAATATGAGGCTCGGTCCATCTGGTCTTTGCACATGCACAGTTATTCCGCATAACAAACAGTTATGCGGACAAAGTCTGATATCACGATTATTTTGCAGTTAGAGCTATTTTAAAAATATGCTAAATTTCATCGAAATATTTTTTTATTTCGAAATAACATCTAAGAATTTTTGGCGTGTATTTTCTCTAATATCACAATTTCAACATGGTCGGCGAGGAGCCAAAAGCCTTAAAACTTATTTTACTATTATAAATATATAATAATATGATTAACCTGTCCACAGGATATTGGTGTCTCAAAAGATCTAAATGAACAATTTAGAAGGCATTTGACTAATTCTGCAGAACCTTTAGATATAGATTTCAGTATACAAGTTTTATCCTCTGGTTCTTGGCCATTCCAACAGTCTTTTACATTTTCTTTACCAACAGAGGTAGAGCTATAAATATTATATAAATTTTTCTTCCCTTTGAAATACTAAACCGATTATTTATTTAAAAATTTTATTTGTAGTTGGAAAGATCTGTGCATAGATTCACTACTTTCTATAGTTCGCAACACAGCGGCAGAAAGTTAAATTGGTTGTATAATATGTCTAAAGGAGAGCTACATACAAATTGTTTCAAAAATAGATATACATTGCAAGCATCGACTTTTCAAATGGCAGTTTTGTTAGTATATAATGGATCTACATCATGGACAATACAACAATTGCAGTATGCAACACAAATAAAAATGGATTTTTTATTACAAGTAATATAACATAACAGTATAAATAACATAATAACATAGCAATACAAGAATACTAAAACTTACTTTATACAGGTTGTTCAAATACTTTTAAAAGCTAAGCTTTTAACTGCAGCTAGCGATGATGTAGCTGAACTGACTCCATTATCGACGGTGGAACTTTTTACAGGCTACAAAAAGTATGTTTTTTATATGAGCGTTTATATCCATTGCCTGTGTAACTGATTTACAACTATTTATTTTAACAGCAAAAAATTAAGGGTAAATATTAACATACCAATGAAGACAGAATTAAAGGTAGAACAAGAGACTACACACAAACACATAGAAGAAGATAGGAAACTTTTAATCCAGGCAGCAATTGTTAGAATTATGAAAATGCGAAAGGTATTGAAACATCAACAGTTGGTGGCAGAGGTATTGAATCAATTAAGTTCTAGATTCAAACCAAGAGTACATGTCATTAAGGTAAGTAAAGTGATAATTGTTTACTTATTTAAATAATTCTTTAAAAATGTCTAAATATTATATACTGTCATAATCAAAGTTTCATATGCGCAATATTTCTTGATTTGAACAAATATATAACAATTGTGCAATGTTTCAATGATAATTCTCTTTTTTCAGAAATGTATAGATATTTTAATAGAAAAAGAATATTTGGAGCGCACAGAGGGTCAGAAGGACACTTATAGCTATTTGGCATGATCAGTCGATTTAGGAAAACGATACAACAGCAGCCATATATACAAAATAAAAATAAATTTACATTATCATTGCTATATACGTATCAGAATATTTATTTAAGTCTCGAATATAATTGTCCATATTTTTATTCTACATGGATGCCTTTGTACCGTATTGTCCTTCTGGTCGCATTTAGAAAGATTCTGGCTTTTTATATATATCTTCCAACAGATATATACATACAACGTCTAAAATTTGAAAAAGAGATGTTGATAAAATTATTTCATAATTATCATAGTCAATGTGCTAGGTGTGTTACTGTCTGTGCTACTTTCCGTATAAAACAGAGCATACTGCTTCGCCGTAGTATCACAGAACACATAATATGAGATTTTAAATAATCTACAGAGTATTATAATATGATAAAAATATGTGCATTTTTATCACATTGCTAATAAATTATTGATATTTTTCGGTTTTGCAAAATATTAAAGAATAATCTATTTTCCATAAAACTAAAAAGTCTTGTCAGAGTATAGAGAAAGTAAAAAGGTACATGATGTTACATCTATAAAAAGATCATTGTAAATTATGGTACATATTGGTTATACAAGAAAGACAACAACAAATGCAATAAAATATTAAACAAATTGTAAAACGTTTTCGTGAGCACATAGATAGTAATGCATTTTAGCAGAAGTCCAACTTTTATGATAGATATATTTAAGACCAGAAAATTTTACCTCAACATGGATGCAAAATTCTATCATTGCAATAATAATAATTCAATTGTTTTCATGTATAACATAATTTCGCCAATTTTGTTCTAGGCAGAATATTTAAAATTACAAAGATAAAAATTTATAATACATGATTTCCTATTGAAAATTGAATGTTAATATTAATTCGTATTATAATCAGCGACTGATCAAAATTGACATCTTACAAAATTATATTTAAGAATGCATTATGCAAAAGTGACTAGAGTGACTAGTGACCTCAATTATCCTTAGGCTGAAACAGGGTTTGAGGATCAATATGCTGATTCTTAATCTTATTAATGATCAATCTCCTAATGAGTAAATTTGTTTAAATTTTTGTAAAATTTTTATTACTATAGAGAGAAAAATATTTGCAGTGCAATATGGAAACGGTACGAATATCTATGGTGAATAAAGAGTGATCGAAAGAAAAAAAAACAATTACAAAATGCTTGCATGAATTTCAACTTCAGAAAGAGTTGTAGATCTTGTGTAACTCTAAACGTTTGAAAGTTATAATCATTTGAAGAGATTGAGTTTGAAAACTCAATTTGTATAAAAATAAACGAAAGAACAGGGAGAGAGAAAGAAACGTTTAGGACATTTTAAATATCTGCATATATGTATCACGATCCCTAGGTATTCATTATATTAGTGACATTTTCCTCGTGGCATATTGTCAACGATAAAAAAAAGGCTGAAGAACGAGGGAGAAATAAATTGAGAATTATTGTAATTAAACCATATTAACATACTTGCCTAAAAAAGGGGTATAACTATATATACATATTTAGATACAGGAAACATTAACTTAATGTATTTTATTAAATAAAGTGTACTGCGAATTTTTTCAAATTACGAAAGCATAAATGTAATGTTATATTCAAGTTAAGTTGTGTGCAGAAATGGATACGGACTTATATACTATACAGTTCTTATTCATATACTTGTGATATTCGCTATTATTTAATATCTCTATGTAAACGAGCAATTGTTTAACGACGAATTGTTTGCGAAAATAATTTTGATCGCGCTTTTTGTAAGTTTTAGACATGTATTACAACGGTATTCATCATCTTAGGCTAAGAATTAGGATCCTCTATTGCAGAACGAATGCTCGTGTATCATTTAGTAAAAAAAATAACATTAATAATTTTTCGAGAAGAGGAGAACCGCATATTTTTAAATTCGGTGTATAGCTCGTCGCGTGACACTTTTAATATGTCACGATTGTAAAAGCAAATAATGAATATTTATACTCGCGTTAAAATGCGCGGCGAAAATCTGATGCTTTGAATTTTTGTACACTAAGAGTTTGTTATTGTCAGTTATTATTCCTTGCACGCGCGCGTGCACACACATACACATATACACAAATATATATACACACGAGTTATGTAAATAAACTGACATAAATAAACTGTGAGCGAGGCATTTGAAACGTCAAGAGAAAAATTACTTGAACTCGGTATGTAACTACAATAAAAACTCTTTTCTTTTTTTATTGTTTTTTCAATACTTTTTTCTTGTGATTTGTTGTATAAATTCTTGTATAATGTGAAAGACAATTGTTAAAAGTATCCGCGAAAAATATATAACTTTCACAGCGCGACTGTCAATGTAAATTTCATTTTTTATAGCAAAGTATAAAAATGTAGGTTTTTTATATTGTTTTTTTTGGACAGATACACTTGTTATTTTGTATAATATTAAATTTTTTTGTGATCACAAAGTGAAACAAAAACAAATATTCATGTAATCATGAGGACTAAATATCTTACAAATCACAAATATAAATATTTATTGAGAGTACGAAATATTTCAATAATATTTAAGCTTGATATGTGACAAAAATACACAAACACTATGTGAAAAGATCCACACTTTAAAACATTAATAGTTACAAAGTGAAATTAATTTCAATTCTCTCTCTAACAAAAGATTACAAATAGCAGTCTTTCAATCAATTTTTTTATATCAGAGTTGCTGAGGTTTCCACTCCAATAACTTTGTAAAGTCTTCTTCTGTTAAGCGAATTTGTCCACTTGCCATTAAATACATCTGTAGAATTATAAGATTATAAAGTTGCATTACAGTGTTATGCAAATAGAAGAAATTAATGACCTTCAATACACATACATTTTGTTTCTTCAGATTATCTATAAGTAGCACTTGCTTCTTAAACACTTGCACTAATTCAGTTCGCTGTTTTTTCAAGTTTTTTATGGCTATTCTCTTATCTTCTTGTAATTTTCTAATTGAATTCCTTAATTCCTATAAAGTAGGAAATACACATATAGCAAAGTTTTTAACTCATTTACATCAGATGTACTCCATTTAAAAAATGTACCTTTTCTTCTATCTGCTTACATTTCAATGTATTCTTAAGTTTCTCGTTATTTTCTAAAGATCTATTTAATCTCACATCATAATTGTTTGATTGCTGACTTAATACATTTATTTCCTTTTTAAGACTTTCCAAAGCCTAGAAAAAATATTTTTCAACAGACTAATATAATGCAAGTATATATTATATCAAAGATGTAGAAATACCTTCTTTAAAGAAACATTTTCATTGTTCAAAACTTGACAGTTGGATACTGTATCAGAGTTTATATTTTCCAGCTTTGCGATTGTATCATTTAATGTTTCCATTTGATTGTGTAATTTAACTTGGATATCATCAAGCTTCTTATTTCTAACTTCCAATTCTTTAGAATAATCGCACTAAAAAAACAATTATAAAATTGTTTCAATTTTTTCTTTAAAAGATTACAAGTTTTTTTTACTTTCTCTATTATATATTACAAATATTACTCAACAAAAGTGCATAATAATTACCACCTTTTTATCATACTCAAGTTGCATCGCTCGTAGCTCTTTATACAACATATCTATCTTAGCTTTAAGCAATGTGACGATAGCATTATTTCCTACACTATTGTCCTTTTTTAATGAAATTTCTTTAACATTTTCTGATGGAATTTCAACAATTCCATCCAACGTTCTTGATTGTTTATCAATCTTTAATGCTGTATCCTCTTGTGTCATTTTTACATCTTTCCTTACAAAATTTAAGTACGATTGATTACTAAACAAACTATCATGAATGACAGAATCAACTTCTTTGATCACATCATGAGTCTTCAGTTGAAGCTCGCGATTCAATCTGCGAAATTCTCTTTCCTTGGCTAATAAATCGTCGGACATGCTTCCAAACAATATTTACATATGTAATGTAAACTGAAGAAGGTGTCGCGATAATCACAGGTACGGAGACCAATCGGGACCGAGGTTCCTCTGTCTTGATTGGTCGATCGAGTACTTCAAAGTATTTGCAATGCCAAGAATAGTCATCGAGGGAATCATCAAAGACTATTAAAGACCTTTTAATGCAAATAACTTTTCCTGCAAATTATAAAGAGAAATCAATATAGATCGTTAGTATTTATGTCAAATTTATTTATATGTTATTTATACGTCATTTTTCAGATGCAGAGTTCTCATCTCTTTCTTCTTGAACAATAAATTTCAAAATTACTATTTTTATGCAGAAAATTATTTTCCTGCAAATTATAAAAAGAAATCAATATATAGGTCGCTATTATTTATATGTCAAATTTATTTATGTTATTTTTAAATGTCATTTTTCAGATGCAAAGTTCTTATCTGTTTCTTCTTGAAAAAATGTCAAAATTATTATTTTTCTGCAGAGACATTATTTTTACAAAAAAATCAAGAGTAGCCGCCTCCGGTCACGTGACCGCGCTGAATGACGAAGACGCCGCGCTACAAATATGACACTTCTGCGGACTGTACATGTGACTCTCGTAGGACGAGAGGGGGAACAGAGGGGGAGATCTTAGAACGTACAGAGGAATTCAGATTGCGATCTGAAAACGAGCCTCCGAAGAGTCCTCGCGAGCGCTGATCGATTACCTGTCATCTGTCATCCGTCATCAGCGTCTCTCGCGTAAATACATCGCGGGATGTTTTATTATCGACGCCCGAAGGACACCCTTCGCCGAGAGACGCCGACATCGTCGGTCCCTTATCCCCGAAAGCAGTTTCGGTGAATTGATCGTGGAGGACGCGGGTTATATCAAGCGTGATAATATGCTACGGCACTGTGCACCATCGTTTTGATTAAAGATGGAGGAAACGGGTAACGAGAAATTCCTATCGCGAAGACGTTCCGCCGCATTGAAGGCTGTCAAAGTGAAGGACGAGAGGGTGGCCACCTTGAAGAAGGTACGCGCGAGTCGATATCCTCGTTTAATCCCGCTCGCGGATCCCTTTCTTCCGTATTTCGTCCGAATCTCTGACTCATCGTCCGGCACGCGATGTCTTTAAGTAGAGATGTATCGTAAACAAATCTTGCTCACAAGCGTGACACTTCTTTTTTTTTCAGGTAGCGGCAATTTTACAGAAGTCCGAAATTGACAGAACAGCGGAGGAGACCGGGATACTGGCCTCGTGCAGCGATGCAGTGAAGGAGGTTAATTTACGGTAATAATTCTTTTCTTTGTAATTGCAAAAAAATATAAGCCATTTTTAAGATTATTCTGGCGACCGACTCTGCACTGTCATGTCCATAATTAATTTTGCCTTGAAAAGAAATATAAGATTACCTAAGATTTCTGAAGAGATTCTTCACTTTTTTAGAAATCTAAATATTTAAATATGTCCTCCATGTAAGAAAACATTTAATAATAATATAATAATATATAAAAAACATTTGTGTAGTAGTATAATATTTTTTAATTTTTACTCAGAATTAACTTATTTGTAACATGCACTTGTATTATTTAAAGACAAGAAAAACGAGATAGGATAAAAGCAAGGTTGGAAGAAGTCGAGGATGCCGCTGAGATTCTGGAGGAAAAATGTATGCGCCTGGCAGCAGCAATCAGCAGAGCAACGTCCCTCACAGTATACACTGGTGCTGGTATTAGTACAGCAGCATCTATTCCAGACTATAGAGGAACTAATGGAGTCTGGACTCGTATGCAGCAAGGGAAGGATATTGGGTAAGACTTATCATAGTTAAGTTAAAACTTGCAAAAGGTTTTATACATATACTTATTTCTATAATATAGTGAATTATTTTTATTATATTTGTGTGAACTATACAGTTTTATTATTTACTATTTTGCACTATAAATTTCTCTGATATTGCTGTGAATTATCAGCGGCAAAACAATAGGTTAATTTAAATAATTATTATAGCATAATAACTTCAAATTTATTATACACTTTTAACAGGAATCATGATCTGAGTCAAGCTGAACCAACGTTAACACATATGGCGCTTTATGCGTTATACAAAGCACGAGTTCTAAAGCATGTAGTCTCTCAAAACTGTGATGGATTACACTTACGCAGTGGTATTCCACGTAACCTTCTGTCCGAAGTTCATGGCAACATGTATGTTGAAGTTTGTAGGGTATGCAAGCCATCCAAAGAATATTGGAGGCTCTTTGATGTTACTGAAAAGACTGCTCGATATCAACATGGTACGGGAAGATTATGTCACAGATGTAGTTCACTATTACAAGATTCTATTGTTCATTTTGGCGAGAGAGGCAATCTACCCTGGCCAATCAATTGGAGTGGAGCGTCCAGAGCTGCGAAACAAGCGGACGTTATACTATGTTTAGGTTCTAGTCTAAAAGTTCTTAAGAAATATCCGTGGTTGTGGCAGATGGATAGACCCGTTCAGAAAAGGGCTTCCTTGTACATTGTCAATTTGCAATGGACTCCGAAAGACGAAAATGCAGTTTTAAAGATAAACGGGAAATGCGACGAAGTGATGAAGAGAATAATGAATCATCTCGGATTAGAGATACCGCAATATAATCGTACAAAGGATCCAATCTTCTTTCACGCTGTGAAGCTTCAGAACAGTGAACAGCTCACTACTACTCAGCCGTGTCTCGAGGAACCGACAATCAAGAAGGAGCCTTTGAGTCAAAGTAGCGACGAAAATGTGAAGTGTACAGTGCAGCAAACTGAAGACAAAGAAGATGACTGCATATCTAATGTAACAGTAACAGACACAACCAATACCTATCCAGCACCTTTTTTCGCTGCGTTACCCTTCTTATCCATGGGCTTGCCATTTCCTCCTATGTATATGTATCCTCAATTAACTCCGTTATTTTATTATCCTTTCATACAAGTACCGAACGCGCCGATTGAGGCGCCGAAACCCAAGCCAGCCTGTTCGTTCTGTATGGAATACGAGGGCTCTCTTACCTGTTTGTATTATCAACGTGACGGAGATTGTCCCGACCCACCAACGAAGACTGAAAACGAACAGAAGCAGGAAGAAGGTACGATTCGCCCGGACACTCCGAGTATAGCGTCTCCAAAGAATCCAGGTTGGTTTGGCAAAGGATACCGTAAAGGTATGAAAAGGAAGCGGTAGCATCTGCTCTTTATAATACGCGCAACGCTTTTTGGTCCTCGCTCTATCAAGATTACAATATGTAACCGTATATTGTACGATATAGTAACGTACATAAGTATTTAAAGTCGCCATATCGTAATAAAATCGTGCATATTTTGTAGGTTTATAGTAATTTGATTCCAGTATTGAAGCTTTAACAAATAGACTGAAATTTTGAAAATTAATTCTGATAAAACAAAAGCAATCTATTATTTTATCTGCTTCAAAATGATTACTTTTTCAAGACTTGTACTTTTCACGTAAAATAGCAAAATGAAAGATATAAAGAAGTAATAGATTGCGTCTATTTTGAAATTTATTGATAACTTTGTAGAAATATTTTATTAATTATCAACAAAATATGTTTTATCTTTGTCTTGCTACAAAGAAGCGATTTTTATTATAATTCATTAATTATCCTTTGGAACTGTATTTTGCATACCAATATTTTCAAAAATATTTCTCTTCCATATTTGCAACAGAATGTTGTAAAATAGGCTGAGGTAAATGTAGAAATGGTAAATAAGTTTTATTCAGTCTTAAATTTATTTATAACTATAACAAATTTAACATTTTCAAATTTTAGGTACTCATTAGAAATTACAATATTGTCAAGTTACTTTTCTAATAACTTGTAAAAAGTAATGATTCCCTATCTTTATATTTATTTGCTTTATCTAAAGCATCTTTATTTATATTAATCAAAACTGGATTGATACTTGCCTCTATCGTATTCTCAATCTATATATCGAGCTCGTGTACTGTAACACGATAATTAAGAGTATGCAAATATACATATATAGTATATATAATATATATATATATATATATATATATATATATATATATGTATGTATGTATGTATGTATGTATGTATATATTATATATTACACACATAATATATTATTATATGTATAATATATTATATATTAATATTTTATATGTGTATAATATATATAAAATATTAATACACACATATAATATATATTAATACATATAAATATTTTATAATAATAATATATTATGTAATATATATACATATATTAGGGTATATTAGAATACATGAATATATTGCGAGCATTATCATTGTTCAACATATTTTTATATGAAATAGTTAAAAAACAATCATTTCTCTATCATCAAACATTTTAATAACTTATATAATTTAAATTATTGCTATCGCGTATTACTCTTGTTATTTATTTAGTATGTTTCATATATGTAGAAGGCTAGACTCGACATACATCATATTTTGACTGATACATACTGGCTATACAGACTTGTCTTTAATATATTGTAAAAAAAATACATATTCCATTTTCTCTTTTTTTCTCATTTGCACAAATCAAATCTGTAACTATTAATATAGTTTATGTATTATTTATGCCGAGTCTGTCTATTTTATGTCTATGACTTTTTAATGATTTTGCGTGATGTATTTGCGGCTATATACATATATATTTAAATTGATTCCTTGTTGATATCTTAGAATCAACTCGGTATACATACACATACATATGACATTGTAGGTGTGTGTATGTGTGTACGTGGCGTACGTAGATGTGTATGTATATTTGTATCGATATGTCATTTCATCGTCTCAATTATTATTCGCGTTTACATGATTAATTTAATTAATCCTATGTATTGCCCAAATTATTTTTAAAAAACGTTCAATACATATAAAAAATATAAATTAAGTAAAATAAATATATTAAGGAAAAAAATTAATATGTACTTCTCTAAAAACACGAGAAACACGAATAGATTTTTCAGATTGTAACTTCAAAGTACTATAAATAAATAACAAACAAAGAGAAATGTAAAAAATGAAGAAAAGTGAATGATAAAACTGATGATGCATAACTTGAAAGCTATATTGGGCAATCGAGGATTAAACGTATCTACGTTTAATGTATCGTGAGAATAACACATCGGCAGTTCCCAAAGCAATATATTAATTATAAAATATGGTATATATTAAGTGAAATCTAGTGCAATACAACAGTTATAATCCTTCCAGGTTACTGTATGTATGCTGGTATTGTATACTTGAAAAAAAATGAATGCTTTTGCTAGAAATTATAATATGATTAATGTATATGTGCTATGTTTTTGTGATATGTTTTTCTATAAGAATTTAAATCTTTTTTTGAAATTTTTCATGCTTACACTTAATACCTAATTAATAGTATTAATATTAATTGGTATTACAAGATAAGACACGTGGATATCATTTATAAATTTCATAATTCAGCGTGCTTTACAGTCAAACAAATTTATTAATTTATTTTCAATAATATAAAATGATTTGTTTTAGGATAAGAAGAAAATTTTCTGAAGTATTTTTCTCTGTTTGTTTTTTTTAATTTCTTTTTTCCTTAAGCAAGGATAATAATAACAAAAATATCATTAATCATTTTTATTAGAGATATTCTAAAATAAATATTAATTATTGTATAGTATGAAAAAAATTGATTATTCAGCACTTGTCTAATCTGTCAAAATCAAATCACGTCTAATTTGTCAAAATTCCATTCTTTCAATTTAATAAATTTTAATTTAAAAAAGTATAATATATACAAGATATTGAACTTAGATTTGGATCTTTATATTTAAAATGAATAATTAATATAAAATAAAATAATGGGCAGAGTGTGTAAGGGCTCGCGAGAAGCTGGTGTCGGTACTGCGTGCGTGAGCACGGACACAAAGGAACAAGAAAGGCGAGAGGGAGCCGCTCTTGCATTTGCGGGCGTGGGCGCCTATATTTCCCTCTCTCTCTCTCGCTGTCAGCCCCGGTGCAAAACTAGCCCGGCTGCGAGTAATTTTCGTCGTTCGTGAATCGTCATCGAGTGGCTTTTCCCCCTTTGGTACAAGCCAAAATAGCCCCGCCATCTCTCGACGACGAGGATCTCTGCGTCACGTATCGACTCCGGGATTAGCAGCAGTGGCGAGGCAGTCTTTAAATGGACGAGCGGTAGTGAAGCCTACGACGAAGCGGAAAGACGGTCCCGAGAAGCGCCCGAGGCTACCATCCGGAGTATGGATCGTCCTGCACACCCTTGAACTGCGTCCTCGGTCATCGTTCAGCGAGAGATCGCGATCACCCGGACGGCGGAACCTGCAAACACCGGTGAGTGTCAAAAAGAACCGCACGCGGTAGCGGCGCAGGGTTGACAGAGGCAGAGGTAGAGATTCCGCAGTAGGCAGGAGGGAAACGAACGTAGAGAGAGAGGAGGGTTAAGATCGCCAGAGAGGGAGAGATCGAAAGGCCTATGGTCTGTCGCCATGGTGATTCCGCACAGCATCGCCCTATCGCGTGGACCACTTAGCCCTGCGCGGCCCTCGGTCTTTTGTTCCCGTCGTCTCCTCGTGGAAGCGTTTTATCACCGAGAGCTCTCGCTTGTGCTCGGTGGATAGAGCAATCGTCTGGCAATCGGGAGGAATCGGTGGATTTTGTTTATTTCAGTTTCTGATTTTTATAATATCCCCCTTGTACAAGATAAGAAAATTCGTGGAAACGTCATCTGTCATGTATCAGCTGATAAGTGTTTTATAGAACGATTCGAAGAGGGTAAACACAATTTTCAAGTATTGTTTGAATTTTATAAAATGTTACACATGTCGAGATTTAATTGTTGATAAAGTAATGTATTGTTATTTATATTGATAGGCTGAAAAAAATATTTGTTAACTCGAGTAAATCTTTTAATTAAATTATTTATTTTGTTAATTGAATATGTACGTTTTGTTAGATTTAATATGTTATACTTAATTTAATTTAATTGTATTTGATTTAAATATATTTAATTTAAATATTTTTATATATTCAATTAACAAAATAATATTTGATTGAAAGGTTTAATTAAGTTAAAAATTCGTGGAAACGTCATCTGTCAAGTATCAGCTGATAAGTGTTTTATAGAAAGACTCGAAGAGGATATATAAACACGATTTTCAAGTATTCTTTGAATTTTATGAAATGTAACACATGTCGAGATTTTATTATTGATAAAGTAATGTATTGTGTTTTTTATATTGGTACACTGAAAAAAATTTGTTAATTTGAGTAAACCTTTTAACTAAATTATTTATTTTGTTAAGTGAATATATTTAGTATTTAAGTCAAATGTACACGTTTTGTAGATTTAATATTTAATTTAAATATTTTTGTATGTTTAATTAACAAAATAATATTTAATTGAAGGGTTTGTAGTCAACAAATTTTTTTTCAGTATGGTCAATTTCTTTTACGATCAATTGCAACGTATCATTTATGGATCAATCAATTAATGTTCGCACATGATATGATTGTTTATATCATATCATGTATGAAAAAGCACATTATCTCTATGGAAATAAATATACCTCTCAAATAGATAATTCGAACAAACTAATTGGATATAATTTTCGATTCATTCATAAAACACTTCATTATTTATTTATTTATTTTTTCAGGATTTTTAATTAAATTTATGGATTAATCAGTGTTCGCGCATGATGTGATTGTTTATATATTATATCATGCATGAACAAGTATTATCTCTGGAAATAGGATTAAATATCCCTCAAAGTAGATTATTCGAACAATTTAATTGGATATAATTTTCGATTGAATAAAACGCAGTTTGTTTATTTATTTCTTTTTTATGACTTTTAATAAAATTTTTTTATCTCATAGCAAGATTTTTTTATTTATAAAATATTTGTTTCATTATTTCACATTAAAGTTCTTCTGATAGTCGAACTATGAGATAAAACTTTAATATTGGCATTGATTTTTGGAGTCGTGATATATATATATATATATATATATATATATATATATATATATATATATATATATGTATATATAATATATTCACGATTACAAAAATCAATGCCAATATTTGCCAAGTTTTATCTCATTCGTTCGACTATCATTCACAAGGACTATTTTATTTTATACAGCATTTCATATATAAATAAATAATAAAGTATTTTGTCAATGAATCGAAAATTATATCCAATTAATTTGTTCGAATTATCTATTTGAGAGGTATATTTATTTCCATAGAGATAATGTGCATTTTGCGAATATTTAACTCGAATTTCTAAATAAATATTTTTCGAACGAGTATTTAAAATTCATGGAATAAATATATAAAATAGATCTAAACTTGTACTAAATATTAATACTTAACTTTATATCTGTGTCATAAATTTTAAGATAATTTTGATGTTATTTATGGACGATATATATAAGAAGTTTGATGCAACTGCACAAGCTCTCGCTTTAAGAGCCTCAAGATGTCAAGAATAAGCACTTTATAGAATTTTCCACAACGGGATTAGTTAATATATATAGCACGTGGCTCTCCAATAGCAAACAGATGATAAACTACATATCTAAAATACGGGCTCAACGAGCTAAAAATATTAAAGACAATTCGAGATTTCTCGAGGAGATCACTGAAGTGCACGACAACTCGTTAAATTATCTAACAATATAAGTAAGAATAAATTATTCAATTCGATTCACAATATGAATCGTTCGCTTTATCGATGCTAAATTTATGTTCCTAATATTCTGAAATAAAAATCAAGAGATTCTTAAATGCAGTGCACTCTTGATGTATATTTATTATATATTTTTTTATCTAGAGATAATATTTGTAAAGATATATTCATTATTTATATTTATTTTTAATATAGAGAAAATTAATAAATATATTCATGAATATACACTCATATATATATTATTTCTGTATTAATAATATATTATATATAATGAATATAATATCTTTATAAATATTAAGTATATAGATATAAGAAAATAAAATGATATTTCTTATATTGATTTCTATTAACAATATTACTAAATTATAATAATTATTATTAAATATTTTTCTGATAGTACTTCTTATCATCCGTCTTTTTAGCATTTTGAAAACACATTTGAATAAGATTACATAATTCTCAGCAACAGAATAATGCCTTGTATATATTAACATCGATTGATATCCATATACCACCGCGGTTTATATATCTAAGGTTAACATGTCGCTAGATAATCAACAGTAATTAGTTCTATTGCGGCTTCACGTTGTATATCGTGTACAGACCAATTTAGCGGGCCGGGCAGTTTAAAGCTCCTTAATTAATAAATTACTCGTAACGTCTCGCGCGATGCTTTCCATTAAGAAAAGATCGAGGTGAGGATGTCTGTTATTTACTTGATACTTTTTCATGCCTGCTATTTACTTGAAATTTTTAACAAAAATTTCGAAAGGATATTGAAACCCGGGACAGAAGAAAAACAATTTGTATCTTACTCTTTTATATGTATTTAGTAAAATTTCATGTATTTCAAAAGAATTCGTAATTGGTAATCTCAAAAATTCTTTAAAAATATTGTCGATAGTGTTTCGTATAAAAATTCGCGAAGGATATTTTTCTCCTCGTTGTAATCAGAAGAAATTACTGGGTTTTGTTCTCCAAGAGAGTTTATCGTGTTAATTACATATTAACTTTTGTAGATTAAAAATATGTAGATTACGCGGACAAATAAAAAAGGAACATTCAGTAAAGAAGTGGATTAATGTTCTTATATGTTTTTTTTTTTTTTTTTTGATGGGTTGTCGATTAAGATTTTAAATGTACCATACATTGTTTTATGCAGCTATCTAATCTTCTCATATTTACTTATGTAATCTGCTCTCTCGAGCCAATCGTTAGCAACAATCTGAACAATATTAATGCAACGCAATCCATATCTTTATAGGGTATCTTTTCCGGGTAATATGATTTTTTAAATATACATTTTTAATAATATTATAGCAACAATCTGAACAATTTTAATGCAGCGCGATCCATATCTTTATACGCTATCTTTTCCAAGTAATATGATTTTTTCTAATATATATTTTTAATAACATTATAATTTTATTATATTTATGATTAATATTTTACGTTAATATTATTTATATTATTTTTAGATTCATATTTTATTATATAATATTATTATTTATATTATTTTGAAGATATTGATAAAAAAAACTGTCGGAACATTTTATATAGCGTTTATTATTCTATGCAAGCAAATGCGCGTATCTGTATGCAGCATATTTTTAATGTATATCGATATACAACTATTTTGCATATAAATTATATAAATTAACGTTTACATAATACACGACATTTTAATTGCTTATTATTATTCGTAAGCGATTCAATCATGCGAGCAGATTATTCCGCGAACATTACTGCGCAGGCGCGAATGGGAGAGCGAAAGACGTCCCAGATTTCCTCTCTTTAACTTTTTTTTTTCAATCTAATCTTGCTACCGATGCATATATACGAGTGTCTATTCGTACTACGATCTATTCTTATTCTATATCTGTATTTTCAGAGCTGTCTTTTTTCCTTTCTTGACACGATGAGAGGATTATCCAGAGAAAGTTTGCGTTTCTTCATAGGCGTTATTCGCATTAGAATTTTTTCAGGGGGAGCATGATTAATTTTTTTTCTTAATTTTTTAAATTAATTTTGTTATTCAATTTTTATATTATTTTATATTTATTTTATATTTTATATTATATATTATTTTATGTTATTTTATATTATTATTTTACATTATTTTGTATATTATATTTTCCATATTATTTTCTATTATTTTTGATATTACATTAAATATGCAAATAAATGTCAGTGTTTATTCAAAAGGAGAGCAATCCAAGGGGGGCAGATGCCCCCATGCAAGCTAGGCTTTCGGAAGCGATTATTGACAGGTGGTGCGCCCTGGCGGTGGCTTCGAGTGTGAATCGGCGCTGCGTGAGAAGCCGCCGCCGCAGTGTCGCGTGTCCGTTCGTTCGGGCCGCTCTCCTACTCCTCCGTTCTCGTCGTAACGCGAGTCTGGAGTCGTCCGCGAAACGTCGCGTTCGTCGAAAGAGTATATATACATCTCTCTCCATCTCTCGCGCGCGTCCGTGCATAATCAGTTTCGACGGCTCGGATCGTTCCTCGTCGAATGGCTCCCGCGCGAAATCATCGCGCGACACATACATCATCGCATCGCGAGCGAAGGAGCGAGTGGACGAAGTGTGCGGTGTAGGATAACTCGCGCGAGAGCAATGGCGCGATCGCCACGCGCCGCGGAATCCACGACAAGGTGCGTGCGACGTAGATGATACGTCGGTCCTCCCTGCGTCCGTTCCTCGTGACAGTTGGCGGTGTTTACGCGCGAGCCTCCGCTGGATGATCGCCGCGACGAGGTAGCGAGCAGCTCGACGAAGCACGGACTCGCCGCGACTCGCGTCGTGAGCCGCCATGAGACGCATCAGCGGTAAGCCGTCGTCACGAGCTTTTACTCTTCTCTATGTATGTGTGTGCGTGTGCATATATATATACATATATATATGTTATGTGTCACTCTCTCGGAGCCTTTCCTCGTTTTTTCCGCTCCTCGAACACGAGAATCGCGTCTCTCTAGGTCCTTATCTCTCGCTTTCTGCTCCTCTTCGACTTACTCTGGCCTTGTATATGGATGTATACAGGGTATGCTTTGTGTCATGTATATATGTACACGCTGACTCGCTTGCGTGTGTCTGTCTCGCTCCGAGGCAAGATGCATTTTTATTCCGCTAATTGGTTCCGTGTACAGTCGATGTCAATCGGTCACGGGATTTTTTTTTCATGGTAATTTGCGCGGAATTTACTTCCTCTGATTTGACACGTCAAATATAATAATTTTGTTAAATTTATTATGTTATATTGTGTATATTTAGATTTAAATATTTTTATATTCAATGACTGGCGAAACATTTTTAAATGGATTTATTGTAATATATTTTATAAATTTATCTTTCGTTTATACGGAGATAAATTCGTATCATGTAGGTCATTTATTATACATACCTATATGAGTAAAAAATGTGCTCGAACCGAGTTTGAATTATGCTGTTTGGACGTTGTTCGTTGATACTTTGGCCTTTGTTTTAGCGAACGTCTGTATGATTAATCAAATGCTTATTATTAATGTAATTGGACACTTGTCACGTGATTTTTCTTACGAGATGAACGTGTCGATGAGCTGCTTTTGAGTTAAAAAATCAAAGTCTTTATTTCAGTTACACTTTTTTTTAATCTTACAATGCTAAGTACGCCGAAAGATACAGCATTTCAACGTAAAAAGCAAACCTGATGCGAACACATGATAAGACATGATGATAAGGTTTGACAGATCACGAAACTCGAGGTCTAAAGAATACATAAAGAGAAAAGCAGGACAAAAAGGTCTCTTTTGTGAAAGCGAGAGGAAAAGAGAGAGATCCTGTCCTTATTTTCTTTCCTTTTTTATTTAGACTTCATCACTAAAGTATGGCGTCGTTCGATACATTCTTCTTATATATTTATGATGCATCGATATTCTTGAAATTCGCTTTTAAATGATAATACTTTTCACATTGTTATTTAAACGTTTTATCCGGAACGGACGACATAGTTGACTTTTAAGAAATTTGTCACACTAAAAAATTTTAACTAAATTATTACTATATTTTATTAATTGCAGAATATACATATATTTATATTTATGTCAAATACACGTTTTATTTTATATATTTAATATTTTATATATTATTTAAATATTTTATATATTCATATTATACTAAATATTTGTGTAATTAATATTTACTATTATATATATATATATATATATATATATATTTATTTATTATAATATATAATAATAATTTATTTAAAGGTTTAAGTCGAGTTAATTTTTTTTCAATTTTATTGCAGTCGCGGCAATCTTAAGAACTAATTTTACAGCAAGAATATCATTGTACGGGAGCCATTTAATATATATATCTCTCTCTCTCTTTCTACGAATGACAATAGAAAATTGACGGTGGGGTAGAGCCGAATCAAACCAGACCGGAGTCGAGCAAAATTCCCCGCTATCGTTCATTTAGCTTTAGTAAAGTTCTCAGTGGTCCTTGTTGACGTCGTAAATTAAAACGAATCCGCGACGTCGTAAACCTGTTTTTGTAACTAATGAATGACATCATTTGCTTATATATATCGCCAGACGGGAAAAAAGATTTTTTACGTAATGGGGAGTTACAAGTTTTCGCAAAAATAAAAAAAAAATAAAAATATAGAATGTAAACATTTTCTATATATATATATATATATATGTGTGTGTGTGTGTATTTGTGTATCTATAAGAGAATTGTCAATCAACATTAACGCTATTTCGTGTATGTAAATAGAGAAAGCTTATTCGAAGTTATTCAAGACTTTGATCAAATGTTTCAAGAATTCCATTATAAATTTTTCATATAACGAAAAGGGAAAAAGAAAATGATTACATAAAAAAATTCCTGTAGACTGTATATTATAATTATCATTATATAACCAAATTATTTTAAATTATATTATATTTATTATTCTTTTTTACTTTAAGCAGATGTAAAGAACGATTAATTTGTATATACATTTGTTTCTGAAAATGTACAAATTAATCACGTCTTAAATCTGCTCAAAGTGAAAAAGAATTTTTTTATTGTCTTATTAATTTGGAACAGAGAGAGAAAATGAAAATTGAATTTATTCAGATACAGTTATGCAATTGCAGCTGCTAGATTCGTCTATGTAACTTTATGCTTAATCAATCTATGCAGCGCAAAATCAACGGTTTCGAGATGTACGAGTGCACTTGGATTGTGCAGCTACCACAAAATTGGATAAAATCGTTGATGAACTCGGCAGGTTTACAACTCACGTTCGTCAGAATGCAGGAAAAAAAACTGTCCTTCTCCAACATCGACCCTCCAATCATTATTCAATTCGCAGAAAGTGTCAATGTGCCACTTTTTTTATCAATTGTCTCCTAAAAATTTAAATTAAAAAATATTTTTCGAAAAAGTTTCTATAAGGTTTCTATATATATTTTCTAGGCTTCTTATTAGCGTACACTGTAAAAACAAAAAATACAAGATTACATAAAAATATGCAAAATTATGTAAATAATTTTGCATTTATTATTTATGTAATTTTACATATTTTTATGTAACATGTCAATATTTTTTAGTGTACTCTAAAAAGAATGATATTATGTGAAAGAAATATATGAAGAAAAATGCACTATGTGTTCTCTCAAAAATATATAGTACAATTATAAAAAGCTTCTTAATTGTGAGATCTTTTTTTTCTATATAATTACACACATAAATATATTTATATAATATATAAATATTTTTATATTTTATTTATATAATATAGAAACATTGAAACAAATTTGTTAACTTGACTAAATCTTTCAACTAAATATTCTTTTGTTAATTGAATATATACAAATATTTAAATTAAATATAACATTAAATCTAACAAAACGTATATATTTGATTTATATTATTTGATTTATATTATATATGTGCGTGTGTGTGTGCGCGCGCGCGCGTGTGCGTGTGCGTGTGTGTGTGTAAATTTTTCAACTAAATTACTATTTTTTTTATAAAATTTTTTCAGTGAATATATTAATATATATATATATATATATATATATATATATATAAATATAAATATAAGGAGTATCTTGCCTCTGTCGTCGGTTCTTCATCAAACGTAACGTTTTTTTTTCTATTTTAACATCTGGTACTTGTGATAAAAATTACACCCATGCTGTTCCGAGGACGTACGACCGTTATCTATAAGAATTCTTTCCTGGCTCTCTCTTTCTCTCTCTAAGGGATCGCGTTCGATCCGTATTCATCGTATCAGACATCCGCGAGCGGATAGAAGAGGGAGAGATTGAAAGCAAAAAGAGATCAGAACTGTAGGTAGATATAGGTGCACCTCTATCCAACCTCGTCTACCCACGCTTACGAAAGTTCTCCGAAACTCGAAACGAGTCGATTCGACGAGAGAAGCTTTTTCTTTATTTTTTTTGCTCTGCAACTTCGATATCTCGATATATCTGATTTGTGCTTGCAAATTTCACGTTGAGAAATTGAAACGAAGTTCGTATTTCATAACGAACAGAAAAAAATGCGAAAGTACGATACATGAAATGCGGTGGAATAAATATAGGATTTCTGCCTTGCATTGTTAAGCAAAATTGTTTCTTAAAGTGATAAAGTATTTAGTATATATATATATATATATATATATATTTCAGAATAAAACGTTTTATTAATTTGTAAAATTGTATTTCACTGCAAAAGAGAAAAAGAGCCAGATAAGAGAGACTTACTTTGAAATTAAATTCATTTTTTCGTGATTCAGTTACTTATTAATTATTTCAAGTTATTAATTATTTCGTGAATTCACGATTTCGCCCTTCTATTTTCAGCGAGAAATTTCTCGAGTGATAAATTTTCTAATGCATTTTGCATACTATATTTTATTTGTAACTATGCAAAAACTTTCTACATCGAAAGTTCTTATTACGTTCTCTCCGCTTTAAGTTTACCGTCACGTATATTTGGAATTCTTGAAACTGCGAATTTCACATTTACTTCATACCACAATGTATATATGCATATGACCTCGATCTGCTAAATTCCATTTGCGCAACCTTGAAATGCATTAATCCTTTGTTCAATTCATAGAACGAAGTTAACATAAAAGGACAACATATAAATATCATTGCAACGCGTTTTCATTTCCTTTGTGTATTTCCAATATGTAATTCGGAATTCGATTTTGGAGAATTGGCACACGAACATTTGCCCAATTTGATGCATTTCGCATTTTAATATAATAATTTTGTTTTTATTATTAATGCATATATTTGTTAAATTTAGGATTATATTAATTTAGGATTATAATGATTATGTGCCCAATTATAATACTCAAAATAGATGCGTATATAATTAATGATTATTATCGCCCATATCTATTTTATGAAATTTTGACGTGAATAAAATAGGAGATACGTGCATTAGATAATTATTAGATTTCTATAAAATTAAAATTTTATCTTTATTCCCCACTTTTGCAGTTCAAAAATAATTGAAAAAATTATTGAATTATTAGTTATTAAATGTAATGAGAAATCCTGATAATTTAATATAATAATTTTATTTAAAATATAATTACGTTATATTATTAGATTTACCGAGATCCAGATCTTTCGTAGACGCTTTTATTTTCATTAAAAATCAATGCTGATGTTTTTTTTCTTGAAAAATTTCTTCGAGAATTATGTCACGTGCAAGCTTACTTTAATAACCATCAGTTATTAAATAATAACAATGCTGCACGTTTTTTACACGTAATGACACGTATTAAAGTTCTAATTCTAATCAAATGCCAAAGGAAAATCAGTTTGTATGATAATTACGGTTTATTTTCATTTTCTCAAAACTTAATTTTGTCCTTTATATAAAAATTTGTCTTTTATTTTTTAGCGTTTCACAGATGTTATACTAACGTTTAAATTTTTACGAAAACAATCCTGCGAGTTATTAGTTATTTGCAGGGTTGAGTAATAACTAGTTAATTAGATAAAAGTTAAAAAGTTAATAACTTGTAATTTAGCTTTGTTAATTTAAAATGTATTAATTTTTAATTTTAATTACTTATTTTTGACCTTAAACTTATTAACTTTTTTCCTTAAATTTTTTACCATTATTGTTTTTTATAAAAGTTATAACCGTATTATTTTTAATGTTTATTTGTCATCAATTGTAATTACTAAAAAATATATTTCTATATAAAAATCAAAATTTTTTTGTTATTTGTTATTATAAATTTTAAAAGAATTAACAAACAATAATCTTTTTTAATATAAATTTAATATAAATAATGTTTTCAAAAATAACTTTTGCTTTAACTTCAGTTAATTTAATCTTAACGTAACTTTAATTAAGTTAATTTTTGATTCATGCAACTTTTAACTTAACAAAATTTTGTAAGCAATTATATAACTTTAACTTAATTTAGTTTTAAAAAATCATTAACTTACCCAACACTAGTTATTTGTAATGAATTTCAAATTAAAAGAATACGTGATATAGATTACTTTTTTCTTACTAATCTTCAGACGAAATGTTCAAGTTTGTCCTTCATATTTTTTTCTTCGAAAAAAATGGTCACCGTAAAGATAATACATAAATTATTGCTTCGTTTTTCTCTCTTTTTTTTTAACAAGGTAATAATATTCTCGTATTGACACACTTTTCCGGTGACTGGGGCGAGAATGTTATCGGTAATGCTCCTATTCGCAATTATTCGCTGAGACGCTTAATTATTATCGATCTGGGTCTGTCAGTGTTATCTCTCCTGTCAGGAATGTATCGAATTATACGATACAATATTAATTCACTTTTATTTCCCGTATTCTTAATCGTTTTCCGCGACTCCATATTTACTACGTGATGATATGTAAAGTAGATAAGGAAAGACAAAGTACGTCATGCGAATCTATATATACGATCTCGATGTAATGATATTTTCATTTTGCGCATGTACGTATATTTGATGAACAAGAACGAAGATTGTGAAATATGAAGTGTTAAAAATAGAGAGGATGTTTGGTTACGATCAAAGAATACGATTATATCATTTTTGACATGATTTTTTTAATCGTGCCAAAAATAAAAGTCGATTATGGAGGACTTATTTTAATTCTCGCGTGTTATGTGGATATTGAAGATAGGATCTTGTTTTTCGACGATAATTCTTTCCGTGCCATCTCTCTCTCTCTCTCTCTCTCTCTCTCTCTCTCTCTCTCTCTCTCTCTCTCTCTCTCTCTCTCTTAGCGATACAAGAAGCGATAAAATAAAAGATAAAAATATTGGCAATACAAAACGATCAAATTATCGATCATAATTGCAGAGCAAGGCAACTTGTTTCTACTCGTCCTTGACGAGGATCCACTTAAGCGATCGTCCACCCCGATGCATTATGCAGATTGCACGGGCCGGTCGTAGATTGCTGCATATATAATTTTTTTTTCCTTTTTATCTTCTTTTCTCGTTCGCTCTCGAAGATGTCCAGCATCCTTAAAGCCGCGTCCACAATAATAACAATTATTTTTATCACAATCGCTACACTATGGTAGCTATTCATAAACTCGGTAAAATTCTATATTTCTCGTATTAATTAAATACGTTTTCTTATATTATATTAATTGAGAAATGAATTAGTTTTTATTTCTTAAACATTTTGATACATAGGATAATATTATTTAAATGAAAAAATAGACAAGTTATAATGCTTTAATAATTTATAATGTAGATTAATTGATATAATATTATTAATATAAATTTTAATAAATATTTTTATATGTTCAATTAACAAAATAATATTTAGTTGAAAAATTTAGTCGAGTTAACAAATTTTTTTAGTGTAATATATCAGATTAATCGTGCAGACACGTAATGTATCATTCTTCTTTGCATTTTTTTTATATAGTTTTATTATAATTCATATATATTTTATAGCGTTCTCAATTAAACTAGAATATATTTAAACCGAAAAAATTTGATCTTTGTAAATCTGACAAATAAAAGCATTAACAAAAGTGCAATGTATAATACACATACAACACACAATTCAAGATTACACAATTAGTTTGTCGTAAATATCTTATGAAGCACAATAAAAAATAACAAGAGAGTGAAAGATATCTTTATTTTTTAAATAAAGATATTTTGAAATTTATCTTATACACAAAAAATCTATTTAAAAACTTTTTATTCTCTTGTCAGCTTCTTAAAATGAAACAAACAAAGTTTTAAGAGACATAATTAATTATTAAAATAATATTGCAATATACGAATCACCTTGTACATACATATATAGGGTGTTCAAACAATAAGTAAAAATATTTTTGAGAACTTATTCTATTTCTTCATATATGCAATGAATATTTTTATTATAATTAATTTCACGATGTAGATTTAACATTAATTAAGAATTAAAACTTGCCATCTGCGATTTTTATTTTTACTTTATACACAAACAAATCCATGTAAAAATTTTTTATTCTCTACTCAGCTCCTCAAAATGATACAAATAAAGTTTTAAGAAACAATTATGAAAATAATATTTTGGGTAATTGCGATATACGAATCACCTTGTATACATATAGGGTGTTCAAAAATAAGCAAAAAAAATTTTTTTATTCTTCACGCTCGAAGAATATTTTGTTATAATGAATTTCAAAGTGTAAATTGAACGTTAATTAAGGATTAAAATTTGCCATCTGCGATTCTTATCTTCACTCTTCTCTCACATCTTACTTTCATATATCTATATACATTTCCTCACTCTCGAGCGGAACATTCTCTCTCCTCGAGCTCCCGCAATCGGAGACTCGCACCAACGCGCGTTCTAAAAAGGAAACATTTCGAATCGTATCGACGACAGTCTTTATTAATGGGGAGGGGAAAAAAATGCGTTTCTTACAGATCACCGTGGACCAGCGCGCGTACTGTCACTCGTCGTCTCGCGAGATGACTGTCAGCCGGTCACAACTCGATCAATGAAATCGCGTTCCGTTCCTCTTGCCTCGCGAAGAAGGAGGAAAATACATACATTAAATCCCTCGCCTCTTTTTTCTACTCGACGACCCTCGCATCGTTCCCTCAATATTTCCATATGTTGCGCCTCGATATACCTATATATTTGCATGCCGCGCTTTTCAAAAGCCTACCTACGCGTAGCCTAGCAGGGCCGGCCCACGTCGCGGCTCTTCAGGAACCCGTTCACCCACCTTTCGACCTCGCCCATTCGCCACCACCAACGTGCCGTTTCACTGACACCGCGTCTACACGCGCCTGCGCTTATCTTAAAACCGCATTTTCTGACAGTTCCGAATAGGAACTGTCATACCGTGCTTCCCTTCGCCGAGATACTTGCCTACCCGATTCAGCATTATACAGTATTATCGCGCGTTTCCTCGAGTATTCGTGGAACAGACTTATTTGCCAAGTGCTTCATTTTGCTACTCCTGCCAAAAAGTGATTGAATCGATCGATATTTACGTGTGCAGAATTATGGAATTTTTAGACGCTCATCTTTGAGGATGTTTTTATCGTATTTTATTTATACTTAGAGGATTAATATACACTATTTATTGAACTGTTAATCGATGAAGAAATACGGTTAATTAGGACCTAATCTATTGCATATTTCAGTGTTTATAGTGATATTGTAATGATGATATAAAAATGGTCATTTTATTATAATTAAAAAATATAAGTATATGAATTTGACAAAATTAAGACAAGCGTTGACTGAATGAATTAATAAATGCGTGATAAACATAAAAATTAATCGATATTTACATGTGCAGAATTATTGAATTTTTAGACACTCTCTGAGGATATTTTGTACAGGGATTAATATACACTTTTTATTGAACTATTAATCGATGAAGAAGTATGATTAATTAGAGCAATTATCTAATCTATTATAGTTCGGTGTTTATAGTGATTATTGTAATGATGGTATAAGAATATTCATCTTATTACAATTAAAAAATATAAATATATGAATTTGACGAAATTAAGAGAAGCAGTTACTGAATGAATTAATAAATGCGTGGTAAACATGAAAAATATTCGCCAGGACTTTGACCTGCTTCGATCAATACCATCTTTTCCGGTGACAAGTGGAGCATATATAAATTAAATAAATAAGTGATATCTAAATAAATAAATGAATTAATAAAATAAATAATTGATATAATATAATATATAATAAAAATAAAAATAACTCATATATATATAAATATCAGTAAAAATGTTGAAGAAAAATGTCTAAAGTTCCCCATCGAAATTGACGTTTAGTAAAGCGCGATTTGTCTCGGTAATATATTCTGCGCGTTAATAACTTCTCGGACGTTACGCATGTGACTGAAATGAAATCCATGTACACTTCGTATATATCGCAGTGATAAGCGCAATCACGGAGAGACATGTATAAACGGTAGCGATATGCGTTATTCGACGGTATCCGTTCGTCCATCGATAAATCGTCATCGTCGTGACTAATCCGAATCGTCGAAGAGGAATCACGTCTATGTTTGGAAACGATCGAAACAGGTTGTGATCTGGTGCGAAATGGCGATCACCGCCGTAGCCAGTTGCCTGGGTCCCCCGCCTTGCCGCCCGGGAAGCGATCCCTGCGAAGGGGCTCTCCCGCGAGGAAGTTGTCGTCCACCTACAGGAGCTTCCGGGATCCCGCCGTGGAGGCTTGGCTCCTCCATGGGGCTCCGGACGATCCGATACCGCGCGAGAAGATCACCGCCATTAATCAAGGAACGGGTCTCTTCAGAAGCTGCTCCGAGGGCAACTTGCGGGCGCGCGAAACGACAAGGGTCTCGCTGCCGAGCAATACGCCCCTGGACAAATGCATCAAGGCAATTTACGGCAGTTGGAAAAATCTTCTGTACCGTAAGTGCGCAGATATCGTGTACCGGGACGGCCACGAACGGGAGGGAATGTCGATTAAGGATCTCCTGGATCCACGCCGCGGCCGTGTAAGAGTGTGACGTCAGAGGCGAGGAAGCGCACGCTGAAAAATCTAGATGTCACATTTTTAAATCAAAACGGGGTGTATACTCCCGGGAAAAACTTGGAATTCTCAAGGAATTTTGTTCTACCTTGAAACATCCTGGAATTATCATGGAATTTGATTTAAATTCGGGAAATTAAAAAAAAATTACCCTTTTTTAAAGAATATAAAATTTATTAGTTTTATATAAAATATATATTAAAATATATTTTATTGTAAATAATACTATATTACATTATTATATTTAAACAATTTCATTTATGTTAAAAAATTTATGTATGACATATAAACTTATTTCAAAATTGTATTCTAAATATTATTTAAAATACTTTAATTTTACCTGTTTGAATTTTGAACAAAAGTATCTGGAAAATCATGGAATCCTCAGGGAATTTATTTCTAAGATTTGAGTATACATCCTGTAAAAAGATGAAATACTATTTCAGATGACTTTAGCACACCTTTAAGGCTCCTGGATCCTCGCCGCGGCTATGTCAGATCGTGACGTCAGCAGTGAGGAAGCACACGCTGAAAATTCTTAGATGTCTTTTCTTTTTAAATAGATATTTCTCTGACGTCACAATTCCAACATAGTGAGGAGCCAAGAGCCTTAAAAAGGAGAAATTTACAATTTGGAGCAGAGAAAATTTCGCTGCTCTTTTACTTCGATATCTGGGATATCTTCGGGAGAAAGAGAGAGAGATTTGTAAATAAAAAATTGCAAATTTAAATTGATTTCTCTTTAACAGAGATACACGTCGTTTTTTAATACTAATTTAGTCGAACCGTTTTATTTTAATTTTATTTTTTTATTATATGTCGATCACAGCAACACACATTTTTATCGCGATTGAACATGTGAGTCAGAACATTGATACTTTTATCAGTCATCGAGCGAATTGGTATGTTTTGCTGCTCAATATATTTATAATTGGAGTTTTGCTGGTGAATTACGCCTCCTTCGGTTATCGCCGAACTGCAACTTTCACACAGTAAGCACATTGTGAGTTGTGCATTCCGCGCTCGCAGAAGCGTCGATCGCAGAAGCGATCTGAAAACTAGCACGTGTGCTAATAGTATGTATCTGCAAAAGAAACTCGATGGAGTCGAGATAAATACTCTTTTAAATTGAGATTTTTTTCTAATAAAAAAAATCACAAACTTTTACTTTATTATTTAAAATTTAATTAATTAGATAAATAAAGTTATATTAATAATTAATTTATAATTTAATTAAATTAATTATATTAATTTATATATTATTCGTGTATTGTTAAATTGTGCAAAAATAGAAATATCTTATTATATCGCGCGGATAATTTTCTTTTTTTCCCTTTAAATTGAGATTTTTTCTAAAAAAAAATCACGAACTACTTTATTTAAAATTATATTAATTAGATAAATAAAATTATATTTACAATTAATTTATAATTCAGTAAATAAAGAAATTAATTAAATTATATATTAATTATATTAATAAAAATTATATTAATTTATCAAATTTTATTCGTGTATTATCAAATTATACAAAAATAGAAATACTTTATTATATCGCGCAAATATTTTTTTTCTCTTTCCAAAATAGTCGGATGAATGAGATCGATTAGATGTTATGAATGAATGATTTTTTCTCAAAAGAAAGAATATCAGAAGGAAGTCGAAGGTTCATGAATTCGAGAAGATTTTCGGTGTTTATACGTGGTTATAGTGCTTACGTAACAAATTGACACTTCTCTTCTCATTTCTTTTAACTTTGTTTTTCTTTTTTCTTTCGTCTTTGGATAAGGCTAGTATCTTTTATACCTATACAAACTTTTCGTTCATCTATAGTATCGCAGAATACTAAGAAAGAGCGATGTTTAATTACTTTGCCAAACGACCTTTTTCGCTGCGCTACGCATCTTGTCTGTAATTTTACTAGACTCGTTTTTTATATGTTGTCCCTTTGAAGGATTTATTCAACTGATGGTGTGAAATATTATATGTCAATTGAGAACAAAAATATTTTATTTTATAAAATATGTTCTATTAAATACTATATATTCTATAAAATAATTTATTGTTTTACTTGGCAAATATGAACACATAATATTAGATTCTATATTAATTATTATTATAAGAGACGGTATATTAATTAATAAGACACAACCCAATATTTGTCATTAATTTTATATTTATTTTTGACAGTTAATTAGAAGATTATAGAACAGTATTTTAACTTTTATTTGTTGCACATACAATACAAAAAAGAAAATTTGTTCCAAGTATTGCAATAATTTTGCAATTATTAGAAATTAATTTATAGTTTATTCCAAGATAGTTTTTTATCTAGGAAAAATATAAGTTAATTGCGTAATATGCATTTTTATATATGGATTATCGTAAATAGATGTTTGAAACTATAAATATTTTTACATGCTTTACACAAAGCAACTTACCTAACTATAATTATAGCAAGATCGTTGAATGTTGATGGATATTGCGCATACACACACTATTATTCTATCATTTAGACTTTAATTTTATTTATACATGATAGTTATTAGCAATTTCTCTCTCGTAACAATTCTAAAGAGAAACGTAAATTAAAAATGTAAAAGAAAATTACACTATATAAATAACATTGAAAATAATTATAATTGATTTAAAATGTTGAAAACACTGCTTACCAGTAATATTCATAAAATTTTGTAACTACATCCTCTTTATCAGTAATTTATAAATTAATTTTCTAACTACATTTTTGCCAGTAATGTGTAAAATTAATTTCATAATTACATCTCGCGTTACCAAGGATTTCTCGAGTTCAGCAAACAGAAATTGCTGGCGCGTGTTATGTAATTATGAGGCATAATTTATAAACTAAATTAAAAGCAAAATCCTACACAAATCTTTTCATTAATTTTCTTCATCGTATCTCCACTCTGTTATAATATTATATATATTTTTATAATATTATATATATTATAAAATATAATATATATATTAAATATAATATACATATATATTATTAATATATTTATATATATTTATATATATATATATAATATATATCTCGATTAACATTTTCTTTTCCTGCATATGTTACAGTTGGCGGTATGAGCCGGCCGTCCAAAGCCGTGACTCAAGCGAAGAAAGTAGCACCACCGGCTGTACCAGACGTGTTTCGACACTCGGGCTCCTCTTTTGGCTCGGCTGGATATGCTAGCAGCGAGGATAGCTGCTTCCTCCCCGGAAGCGGCCCCGGAGGTACGACGGACGATGGTTCCTACGGGATGCCATCTGGAAAAAGTCCGGGACCTATTTTTACCCATCCTGGCTTCGCCTTCCCGCCGGTGATCGGCAAATATGCCCACGCCGAAGATCAAGGTGCGAGTTATACGACGATGAATAACGTATTAATATTATTATGGATCGTGAAGCTTACTAGACTTATAATCTTCATTTTTAAGTATAAAAAGAAAAAGGAAAAAGAAAACGTCGAGTAACAACGACAAACATTACGTGATCTTACACCGCGGATTTTCTCGCGGTATAATTTGCCGAATTTGACGTAAGCTACTTGTATTCCGATTAATCTAAAAATAATTTTGCCGTAGTGAGTAAAAACAGGATTCTCGACAAAGTAAGGGCTGTGTACAATATATTTGAACTACACCTTATTCATTCTTGAGAACCCTATACGTAGCAAAGTTATCTGCTATATACTGAAAATAATCCTTTTTATAAACTGTGTTTACCAATCTTATTTTAGCAAGGAGATATAATTTATTTATTTATATATAATTATTTTTTACATAATATATACAATATTTATATCTATTATTAATTATTAATTTATATTATATATATATATATATATATATATATATATATATATAATTAAATTATGTACATATATAATTTAAATATAATTTATTTATTTATTTTTTATTAAATACTAAGAATTGTTTAAGTATTTTTGATTAAAGTAAGTGTTGAATGACCACTTATCAATGACCCATACCAGTATTTGCACTGCATGACTTACTGGAGTGTCCTACATTATTGGATTGCATTTCACGTCCTTCGAATATGATATATAAATATATTCATGGTTGATGAGAACCAGTTTGTTGTTTAGTTTAAAAATTCATCATTTGTTACATTTTTGTACTAAAACAATATGTATAGAGTCTCCCCTATTTTTACGTTCCCTTTCATCCATTTTCTATTATTGTTGTACTATATTGTCTATTTTTATTCACTATCGCAAGATTTGATTTGTTCGATGTTCACTAAAATTGAATCTCTTGGCACCACTTTGTTTTCACTTTGTGAAATTGTGGAAACTTTTATTTATTGTACAAAATGTATTACTAAATTGATTGCAATTGCTTCCATTAAAATACAATAAATAACTTCAAACAAAAAGTTTAAAACTCGTTTAAAAAATGAAGATTTTTTTCTTAATTGTTTTTTTTACAACAGTATTTTTAAATTATAAATAATTTTTAAATGATTGGAGATTGAAAAAACAGAAACCTTAATTAGGAAAGAATGAGAAAATCAGATTATACAATTAGAAAGGGATTATATTAACTCGAAAATTATATTAGAAATAATATGATTATATATATATATATAAGATCAATTATTTTTCTATATCACTTAGGTATTGATATGACCCAGAGTCCCGGCAGGGACAGTCCTGGTAGTTCTGGATCAGGTTCCGGTTCTAGACATTCTACGGCATCGTTGGATTCTGGAAGAGCGTCCGGATATCATTTGGGACCCAGAGGACCCGGTGCTCTTGCCTCGTCTCCCAGATGCTCCATCAGTTCCCTCGGAAGTCATCCTGACCGACCGGCGGACCTCGATGTCGTCCATGCTTGGTTAACCGAACTCCAATTTGAGGAGTATTTCCCTTTGTTCGCTTCCGCAGGTTACGACCTTGCTACTATAACGCGCATGACACCAGAGGATCTCACAGCTATAGGTGAGTCCAAGTATCGCAGTAGTAAGTCTATTCATATCGCGACATTTGCATCTACTCTCTTTTACACGTTATATATTACAGGTATTAAAAAACCCAATCATAGAAAGCGGCTGAAAGCGGAGATAGACAATTTGAATATAGGAGATGGATTGCCGGAACATGTACCTGGATCGCTGGAAGAATGGCTCAGACTTCTTAGGCTCGAGGAATATCTTGGTGCTCTTCATCAGCAGGGCATGCGTTCTGTCGAGGACGTGACAACCCTTACTTGGGAGGACCTTGAGGACATTGGTATCGTACGCTTAGGACATCAGAAGAAATTATTACTGGCGATTAAGAGAGTTAAGGATATACGTGCCGGCAAACGTATACAACCGCTTGATCTTGCCCGTTTACCGCCACATCCTGGACACACGCAGGTGAGCCATATTCTCTTATCTTCGTATTAATAAATCCGTCGAGAAGTTGTAATATCTTTTAATTGTTTCGCACAAAGGACTTTATGCAATAAAAATTCTATAGCAAACGATTAAATTTTTAGGACGTTGTTATTCAACGAGGTGGGCCTGATCTGCCATCACCCGACGAGGATTGTTCTTCCCCTGTCCTCAGATCGTTTCAAAGAGGTGGGAGCGATACGACTTGCAGTGCTACTTGGAGAAGTATGTACGCAGCGCTTCCAGCTGATTATGGCACAGTCGGTCGTACCGGCTCACGGGGAAAATCTTTGGAGAGCTTAGAAGACGCGCCTCTTGGTTATCCTCCATCGCCCGCTCCAACATCGCATCCGCAACCCTTTGATTGGCGTCCACGCAGTTTCGAGGATGGCGATCTTACACCTACGAATGACGCTTCCGCTGTAGACACCGGTGGCGGCGGCGGTACTCTTCCACGACCAAGACATTGCCTTGTTCGCCCGCGACCTGTAGCTAAGGTATTAATTCAATTTCTACAATATAAGTCAAAATATACATATTTGAGTCAGAAGGTTTTATCTGTGCAAATTTGAATGGTTTATAAATCTCATATCTCTATGTTTTCAGGTCACTGCAACACCAGGACAATACAAATCTCTGCCAAGAGATTTGGATAACAAGTATCAATTAACTTACGGGCTGGAGAGTAGTCCGCACCTTCCAAAACGATGTCCTCCGTCGCCTCCGAGACGGCAGAGTTCCAGAGACGCAACTAGTTCTTCCATAGTAGGCGTAGGTACAGCGATCGGCGATGTCGTGATAGACTGTAGCGGACCGGTACCGACCGCTTCCTGCGACGATCATCATATACATCAGCATCATCTTCAGCATCACCATTTGCTTCATCACCCACCGCCGCCACCACCGGCACCCACGCCTGCGCCTTCTACACCGCCGCAACTGAATCGACCGCCTTCCTCCATGTCACGTTCATGGGGTAGCGTCAGCGTCAACGTTAACGAGGAACACGAGTTAATCGCTACTCTTGCTCTGCAGCATCGCAATGGATCGGATGCTAGTTTTAAGGTATGTTGATACTTCAAGAACGAATATTTTTAACGTATATTTTCTATATAATATTCTATATAATATATTATTCTATTATATATTTATTCTATATAATTACAGGCTTTTAAAAGACAATCAATTATTACAATATGCGCATATGCATTTATAAATTATAAAATGCATTTATAAATGTACTTTTCTACGATATCACTGAGACATTATCTTGAAATGTAATAATGTAACATTTAATATTTTTTTATCCATTTGTTATATTTTATCTTGATGTTTGTACAGTCAAGTTCCAGTACAGAATCAGACTCATTGCCGTTTGCCAATGAGAATGCCGGCACGATAAAGCAAAGGGCTGGCCGAGCGCAAGAATACGTACCGGTTGGACCGAATACCAGTATCGGCGGACACGTAATCAATCATCATTCCAGTGGCGGCGAACCCGCGGACGTTCTCAACGACATTGGGAATATGCTTGCCAATCTCACGGATGAACTCGATGCGATGCTTGAAGAGGAGAAACGCCAGGGCCTCAACTCATAATCACTGCCTTCGTTTTCTAATTGACCAGAGTTGCCATAAGGAACGTAAGCTTGGCTCCATTGTCACTGATACGCGAGATAAGATATTTGTTTAGTGCAGGGTACGTGCTTGGACACGAGTAAATTCACATGCAATTTCACGAAGAGGAATCCATGAAAGGAATCCACGAATCGCGTCGAGAGATTCGAAAATCTCTTATCCTATAAGAATGTTAAAGACAGAAATATTTACCGATACATATATATAGACATATATTATACTTTTTTTGTTGCATTTTATTTCTGGAGAAATGAGAGTGACGTATTATATCGCTCTAAATCGAATAGTGATATTCGGTTTTGTACTGTACAGATTAATGCATATGTAAAACATATTTTCGCGATGATTTGTACTTTGCTTCGATCATAGTTTCCTTCATCGTCTCTTCATTCGGGAGGGAAAAGCGCTTTACTTTTACATGTAAACATCGGAGAAAGTTCCAGCAAGTTTCCAGACGCAGCTACGATAATATCGCACAATCCTTAAGTGTTTTCTACTTCTATTGAAGTAGTTGTAGTTTACATTTTTTGTTATTCCTTTTTTTTATAATGGACAATATTAGAAATGAGTGATAATGTAGAACATATCACTCTATTCTATCTGATAAATTAGCGCGACGATCTTCAAGAAGACGATATATGAGATTACTGATGATAAAAGGGGAGAGGAATACATTTTTTAAGAGTACAGATATATTGAATGTATAATCATGATTTGTATACAAGCATGTTGCGCAAACAATTTGAAAAAGATATATGCATCTTCCATATAAAAAAAACCATCTTACAGTTTGTAATTATAACACGTACAAAAAAGTAGACCTTTTTTCTAGGAATTTGATTTTTGTCAATACATTCCAGCAGAGATTTTTCCATTTCCGTCCTTCATTAAATCAATAGTAGTCGAAATTTTTTATTCATAGCTTACTCAGTTATCAAATCATGTGTTTCACGTTTCATCGTTCAAGTGAAACAACTCCGAATGTCAAAGAGAAAAATATAGAGATTGTTATAACGATAAAAAAAATAATTAACAATCTTAATTATAATGTAATCTAATTTTTTAAAAAGATTAGAAGACATAGACAAATGCTTTTTTTCAAGAGAGTTCTATAAGAAATACAAGTATTGCAGATAGAATTTCAAGGCGGTATGGTTTAGTTCAGAAATATAAGTAAATGTATGCTAATTAACATTTTATATTTATTATCCGTACTAACGAATGTAGAAACGTATTACATAACTTATTAATTGTATGGTACGTCCAAATGTGCAGATGAAGCACTTGGAAAGTATTCATATGTATTAAATCAAAGTAAAATTGTAACTGCAGAGACACGTTTTCGAATGTCTTTGCTGTGTTTGAGGATCTGTGTTTCTGATATGTTTTCAGATCTGGATGTAGCATTTTGCAAGAAATTTTTATAAGATATCTTATGATGTACGCGATTGGGAATAATTTACTTCTGTGAAGTTGTCCCCCCATTCTTTAAATTTTCTAAAAATAATTAAAGTTCTGGATGTCCTCCGAAAAAAAGTTCTAGAATAATCTATTAGCTTTGAAAATTTAAAGAATAAGGGACCAACTTTATAGAGGTGAATAATTATACAAGAAACATTTTTTCATCTACCTTCGCAATAATAATAATGCTCTCGTAATAATGCAAACAGAAATTTAAACTAAGAATTCCTCGAAACGACATAACAGGAATATTGTTGACTTTTAATATTTCAAGATAAGCTAAAAAAATATTTTGTGCTATATAGTTTTATTTAAGAATACTTATACCGATAAGTCGATATAGTTACATGCTTTGATATGTATTATTAATACTCGCCGCGCGGAAAGTCTATATGTCTCTATTCCCATTTTAAACGATCACTTTACGTACCAATTTGAATGATAAATAATGCAAAATGCAAGTAATTTACGATCAAATATATAATTATTACATCTCCTTTCCCCTATGTGCGACACATTTTTAACTCTAAAGAGGGGTCACGCATTATTCATAATCGGATCCAATCGCGTTCCATAGATAAAGAATACAGAGCATATATGGAATTTTAAGATACACTTAAATCTAGAATTAATTTATGAAGAATAAAAGCTGCTGAATGCAGAGAATTAGAAGAGAGCAAGGAAGAGAGAATGAAAAAGAGAGATTTGTCTTGTTAATTACTTTAGGTAATATAGTTGCATGCGTGTGTGCGTGCCTGCGTGTGCGTAGAACGCATAACATATACTTTATATATATTATATACATGCGTGTATACAGAGTGTCTTAAAAAGATTGATATTCTTTTAATTAAATCATCAATTTTACTAATTTGCAATTTTTTTCTTAAAAATTAATCCAGGATTTATTGCAGAAACTCATGTAATTAAAAATTACATGAGTTATTTCGACATATATGAGTTAATTGTGCCATTTGTAAAAATAATTTGATATTTACATTCGAGAATAAATGAGTTGAAATAATATGATTTTTTTTTAAATGTGTAATTTTTCAATAGACATTATTTATTATTTAATTCTGTTCAACTTTTGACATAAGCTATAAATTAAAATTCTATGAAAGTAAATTTTATTTCTGAAATTAATTGAAAAATATACTTGATATTTTCTAAGTAAAAATTGACTTTGGCTTGAGACCAAAGATGTCATTGAAAGAATGTCCGATCTTTTGGGATATTTGGACGTGTGTGTGCGTGTGTTGCGTGTATGTATGTATATACATTTAATTAATTAAGCAGTGAATTTAGGAGGGCATATTCCACAAATGCCGCGCGCGAGCCTTTGAGCGAGATGGAATAAATCTGTTGTTTTTACAGATGAATAAACCATACTTCTAATCAGCCGCAATTGACTGACGCGCTAGATTTGTGGCGCGAACGAGTTATTACGCACATTATAGATTTGTATTGCCATTTGATACTTATAATACTATACAGTAACGCAAATCATTCGAATACCAGTCTTGTCTAACGATTTTGTACTGTGAAATCTTATAATATTGTACAAATATTATTCACATTTAGCAGTAATGAATTATTTACGTCTTGATTTAGGATTTAGTTTATTATGTACTTTATTTCTCGAATATAAATGTTTTGAATTTCGTTCACATTATAACTTACGTCATAAGCGATATCAATAGAATGAATTATATCATCGTATATAATATATAATAGCAGAGTTGCCTGTTATATGTAATAGGAATTAGTTATTTTAAAAGCGGTGCAAATTAAGTCTTGGAAATTGTTAACAGGACCATATATATAGATAGATATATATATATATATACACAATATATTACATTATTTTATTTAATGTCGCTATATCGAGCAACATCGATTTACACGCATATAAATATCTCATTTTATTCCTCTATTAGCGATGTTATATTCAGATAACACAATACGTTTCAGCTGTCTTGTTAGGTTCAACCATCCAACAGTTGATTTAAATATATAGCATTTTGCAGATTTTTAATGTTACGAGAGCGTGTTACGAAAGCAGTTGTAACAAAGTATAATGAGAGTTATTCGCAATTCGCTAAATAAATCGTGAGATCCATTACTTTCACACTTATTGCGTTACAAATTACAGAGAGATCAATGTATTATCCGTAAAAATGTATTTTATACGATGCCTTTTCGCTAGTAAAAAAAAGGCATTATATAAACTCTCGCAAGAGTGAATTATTGTTATTTAAACTCATTGTATTTAAATCCATTATATTCGCATTACGATAGATTAACGCAAGACTTTTGCACTTTTGCATTTAACGCGGCAAATTTGCGAGAATTTGACGCCCTCGAGTACTGAAAGCGTTGCATTTCTTTACGATAACGTCCTTCCATACATATACAACAACAAAAAATGTGATTTCCATTTTATTTTAAATAAATCTCTTCGCTTCCACATAGACGTAAATTAATAGTCCTTCGGTAGAGAAAGAATTTGAGAGAAAAACGAGAAGAAGAGAAAATATATATACAACTTTTTTTTACAATATTTTCTAATGTGTTTCAAGTGTTTCAGCTAACATGAATTGATAAATTCGCGCTGGTTTACAGGCAGCTAATTGACAATTTATTATGAATTATGTTATTTATACATTGTACAGGTGCCACTTATACGAAAAAAAAATGCGTATTAATTAGTCATAGTTTTTTGTACAAACGTCGCTATAGTGTCTCGCTCATAGCGAGCCCCAAAAAATGCCCGCCTAAATTGCATTCTACAACCCTCTCTCCTCCCATCCCCCTTTCATGTTGGCTTAAAATGCGCGCGTTAGATATGTTATTTGATTAAGAGCAAGGTGGTTGATCTTTAAATAAAGCCAATGGACACACTTATTCATTCTCTCTCGATTCTTGCACGAATTATTTCCCCTGTATCCGATACAATTAAAGTGTTGAAGCGCTAAAGAAAAAAAAGAGAACGCATTTCTCTTTTACATGTCACGAGGTATTTGAATATTCCATTTCAATACAGAAAGGAAGTATCTATCCGTGTCGATCGTAAAGAAGGAGAGAGACATTCTAAGGGGATCGGAGAGATTTATAAGAGAACTCGCGCCTTCTCTGCGCGAATGGACGAGCCCACTTGTTCGTTAAATGCGGCTTCCAGTCCCTCTCTTTCTCCATATCTATCTCCCCGTGTCGTTCTTTATGTTCACCACTCCTCGTTCTCTCTCTTTCACCCTCTTCTTGTATCATACAGTGGTGTCAGACAGATAAAATCTCTAATTCTCTGGAAATCTCTCTGCAAGAGACACAGAAATTTATGCATATAATTATATTATTTTATTTATGAGTTTTTATATTTTTATTTTTTATTTTTATATTTTATGTATATGTATGTAAAATGAAAAAGCGTGTACATATCTGATATATTTTTATCATAATATTCAATTATATAGTTATAATATAAGAAATATATAGTAAAAACAATTTGAAAATAATATAGTAACATTTTGAACTGTAATATTGCATGCTGTGCGCACTTTGTATACATACGAAATGAAAAAATCTATATAACTAGAATAATATAATTGTATACATAAATTCATATTAAAATATGGTTACAATATAAATACAAGAAATAGTAAAAACCATTTAAAAATAATATAATAACATTTTAAACTGTAATATTGCCTATCATGCGCTTTTATACATACAAATAATATATTTTTATGCATAAATTAATTTCCAAAAAATTCAGAAAACGATCGAAAATATTAAATTTTCCCGATTTTTCGATGAAGCTCTGTGACTTATTAATTTTATGATATAAAAACATCTTGATACCATTTTTTGATTAGCACAACGATTTTTCTAGACAACAACAATAATTAAAATTTCTTTATATCGATGTCTCGACACCATTGCGAGTTGTTCCGTCTCTCTCGTCGGCCGGAGCCGTGACGCGATTGGTCGCCCGGCTCGATATATCGGTGAGTTCGACGCGCGACTGCGCGGTGTGTAGGTGCGCCGCGCCGCGCCGCGCCGCTGTCAGTGAGCGGGGAACCGTCAGTCAGTGGAGTTGTTAGCTCGCCTCGGTCCGCTTAGTGCTGTCGTCCGTACAGTTGTGCGCGGTCTCTCTCTACGCGACGACGAACAATGCGCGATTTCGACGTTTCGACGACGACGCGGCCGGAGAACGGAAACGTCATCGTCGTCGCGGTTCGCGTGATTTCGAAACGCGTGTCTCGCCGTTGGCAAGAATAGAGGCGCTTCCTGTGAAGGTGATTTTTGTCGAATATATACGGAGGATACTCGTCGCGCGTCGACGGCCCGCTGGGAGGAAATCCGCGACCCCAATCAGGTTAAAAAGACCTCTCTCGCCTGATTTACCGTTCGTTTTCTGTGCTGGTGAAGTCGAGTGTGCGCTACGCCCACGCAAATATATGTATATGTTTGTCGCAGTTTTATAATCGCACGCATTATTACGTCTCGCTTTACGCTCGTCCGAGAGCGCCTGTCAATAATTCGAAGAGTCCCATGTCTGTTTGGCCTCGCCGTGTCTTGTACATTCCTGTCGCGATCAAAAGGCGCCCTTCTCGCTTCACTTTATTAAGGATAAGGAGGGTTCGCAGGGCAGGCAAGAAGGGACATTTGCCTCCCCTTGGAATCGGTAAAAAATTTTGTACTTGCTCTCCCTTTGAATTTATTCGGACACTGGAATTTATTTGCATAATTTTTCATTGAATTAAATATAAAAATAAATTTAAATTAAATTAAATTTTTTAAAATTGAGAAAGAAAAGAATTTTAATTATGCTCCCCCGGATTTGCTCTCCCTTTACATTTATTCAGACACTAAAATTATTGGAATTTATTTGCATAATTTTAAATTAAATATAAAAAGTGCAAATAACAAAATAAAAATTAAATTTAAAAAAATTGAGGGAAAACATTTTTATTACGTCCCCCCCTGGAAAAAAGCTTGCGGACATCCGTGTTAAGGATTATTATAAATATCGCGTGAAGAGAAGAGAGAATTTTCAATAAACAGGTTTTTATAAATGTCATCGTATAAATGAGAAAGTGGTCGTGTGTGTGTTATAAAAAAGATCCACGTGCGTTTGTCACACTTAATTTCTTACAGTTTTTAAAAATTAGTACTTCCGGAACCCCTTTTTATACGCGAGTAATTTTGAAGAATCTACCTGACCGTATAAGAATGGAATATCCCTTTGTCGTGAAGGTTTGAAGTTTAAACCGTTAGTAGGACACTATCGTCTTTAAGAAAGAAGAGTTTCGTGTCTTTCTTCCCCAAAAAACAAAGAGATCCTCGAGATTCTAAAAAGCGTTCTCGCGTTTCTTATTTGCTCTCGAAAGTAAAACAGCTTCATTTTTCAAGAGTTTCGCTCGATAGCAAAATTTTATCAAGTTGTATCTTTATTTGCATAAAGTTCAGGGTTCAATAGAGAAGATAAGTGTTTTTCTTTTTCTCTCTTTCTTGGTAGAAAGAATCTATTTTTTTCATTCTTAATATGTTACATCGCATCGCGTACGTAACATTATAGCTCCTTCAAGGACTCGTTTTTTCACGCATGATCGATTAAAATATAGAAATCGATAGACGAGTCGGATTGGTTTGGCTCCGTTGAATTTGCGATTCCTATAAAATCCCTTTTTTCATTATGGAAAAATAACTCGTCCATAGGATTCGGTTTTTCGATTGAGCGACTACAATTCGATTAACTGTTTCGATTTCGTTGAGTTTTACGAGAAAGTTAACTTGACTTTTTTTGTTTCTATTGATTTGTCTTGGACAAAAGAGAATTGCATGGAAAATATTACCGTTTGATTGAGCCTTTAGTAATAGATGATATCGATTTATACAGAGTGGCCATTACTTACGTTTACAATCGGTCAAGGGAAAAATTCTATATGGAAAAATAAATCAAAAAATGTGGAGCATACGGTTTTTTTTATACAAAACTTCAACAATCAATTTTTGTTTTTAATCAACTTGCATAACTTCAATGATATACACGTTCGAATGTAAATAAAAATACAATATTTTATAAATAAAAATATAAAAAGATTATATTAAAATTTAATTTTTTTCAATTAACTTGTTTCGAGTAACGAAACTTAAATTATTTTCTGTTATATTTTTAAAAATAAAATGTTGAATTTTTATTTAAATTGTAAATTATTATCGACGTAATAAATAAAATAATTTGTGCAACGTATAATGAAAAGTTATACGAAAATAAAAGATGTCATAAATTTTTGAAATCTCTTGAAATCGATTCCTTATTCGAAAATTAAGCTTTATATAAAAAAATGTTAATTTGGATTTTTATTATATCTTTTTTATGTGAAAATAATTATATCAAAATTTATCTCGATGATACTGATATAATTTTCACTCGAGTCATTAAAATTGAATAAATTGCGTAGCGGAAAATAATTAAAATTCTATTGTGCAATAATTCGATAACATTCAATTGAAAAAATTTCATACTTAAATATGAAACTTTTCAATTGAATGTTATCGATTTGTTGCACAATAGTATTTAAAGAAGGACAGAGAGAACATTAGAAATAAAAATCATATACGTTATCGCATAACATACATATATTATTTCTCTTACATTTCTTATTTTTGCTTCTCTCTCTTATTGTTAATCAATGGAGCTTTGATATTCCAATTTAGATACGTCAAAAAAAGAGTACTGCACTAATTATTATTTTATTAATTGAATATAAGTATTTAAGTCCAAAAAATACACATTATATAAAATTTAATTATATTATTTATTGTTTATTTTATTATTTATATTATTATTCATATTAAATTTAATTATTTATATTAAATTTTATATGTCGATGCATTTAATTTTAATACTTATATGCTTAATGAAAAAAATAGTGATTAGTTGATTCAGTCTAGTTAACAATTTTTTTTTTCATACGAAGACGGAAAAAGGAAGTATTCCTTTACATTGAAATTTTCGATAAACGATTACACCGACGAAACACAAAAGCAAATGAAGCAATAACTCGAGAAAGGCCAGCTCTCTTGAGCGCGCTTGAATCTACTTTCTCCCACGTGTGCTCTCAGGCGAATCGATCTAGTTGACGTGAACTAAGCGTCGTCGTTTAAAAGGAACATAGAGAATAATATTATATCTATTACTCTCCTCTCGGCTCGATCCGATGCGTTTTCAATTTTAGATCGCGCGCGAATCTCTTGCATATCCCAGCCGGTTTCGAAGGAGTGCATATGTGTTTGTGTGCATGCGCGATTGCATTACAAGGAAATTCACGCTGCAATGGCAAGAACTCCTAGGCTCTTTATCCACTTACGATGCCGCTCTCATGCGAGTGAACGGAATACCGCGTTTATAGAGAAGTACATATATATACAAGGCGAAGCGAACGGTTATTTTGTTGCGGAGACTGGATCTAGGATTTCGCGATCAGCTGGCTTTCTTTCGATGGACGATTATTTTAGAATGTATAGCCAATTTTTCTTCTCGATCGCGAACCTATATTTCCCGTAAATCTCCCGCAATTTTGCACGGAAAACAATTTATTCGATTCGAATAAACATTTATTTCAATACTGCCTAATAAATCATTTATTTATTGGAAACTATAATAATATATTGATTTGATATGAAACATATTTATTTGACATAAGAAAATCCTTTTCAAAACAGATAAATATTTGTTTTGACAAGCAGTATTAAAATTAATATTTATTAATTTACTAATTTTTTTCTATGTGAAAAAAAGGAAAATAGGAGAAAAAAGAAATAGAAATGAAACATCGTTGTCCCAAAATTCATGCAGGCAATTTGACCATATTTGTCAATTATAAATAATTAGTCGTCAAGCATTGAGGATGATTTTCTTTTCAATGAGGCGAGTGAGAGAGAAAAGTTTCTCATCTTGACTTATGTCGTGATGGCAGGTGATGCGGAGATAAAGAAGAATAGAAGACGTGTCGTAAACACATACACGCAGAAAGGCCGGGAAAGAGTGGATTGATGGAACGAGAGAAACTTGGTTAAAAGAATCAGGCGTGATCGAAGAAAGAGAGACGCGACGAAGGACGTTCGCAGAGGAACATAAAGATCGGGATCGAGAGAAGATTACGCGCGCATTGTGCGCGAAGAAGGCAAGAGAGATATACATACATACATACATCGTGAAGAGTGTGGACACACGTATACATACGCACCAATGCTCAAGACCGTATGATGGCCGAGGTTTTGCCCGAGAATGTCCCGAGGCCTGTGAGCGTCGTCGCCGTCGACATTGCCGCCGCGGATAACGTCAGGAGCGGCGAGAACAGAACACAGGTACCGTTTCAATTCTCGTTTTGACATTACGTGCTCTCGCGTAATCATCTATAGATCTAGTCGAAACCGTTTGCCCAATTATTCTTATAGGTATGCGTATAAAATAAATTTATAAAATATATATACATATATATACAATGTAATTATAATATACATATATAATATTATTAGTATGTATATATGTGTATATATATATATATATATATACTTATATAAAATAAGTTTGATTACCTTAGGAGTGTCATTAAATATATTATATATGAAATTAATATATATATAATATATATAATAAATAATAAGAAAATAATTAATGAACGTCGCGCTTCGTAGTTTTTATCCGCTGATACTTTGTATATTACGATTATACATACATTAAATATATTAAATATATATAAATATATTTCATATATTAGATACATTATAGAACAAAAAAAAATATAAAAAATATATTATAAAAAAATATATATATGCGATTTGGCAGATCGTTTTTTATTTACGATCGTACATTACTCGCGCATACTGATATTTTTTTCTGCGTAAATATTTAATCTTTTTTATTTAAAAAAAGGCCAATCAATATATATCAAACTGTATTGCAAGAAAAATAACGTGTCCTACTTTTTGTGTGTTTTGAATAGCCTCTACTAAACTTATACGCGCAAAAAAATCATCGATTTTTTAAATTATTTTATATGCACAAGTTGTCATTTTAAGATGACAGCACAGAGGTAATCAAACTTTTAATGTTTAAAGAGAAGCATATTTTTTCAATTCTAAATATATAATGAGAAATGCCAAATAATTTTTCCTTCAAATTATCAGTTGTTAAGTCTCTTTCATCTGAGCAAGACATGATTAATAAGTTATGCACAAATATAATGTAGAGAAAAGACTTTATTACTTTTATATACTGTTTTTCGAATGTATTCTCATAATTATCTTATTTTCTCGAAAACGAAAAAAAGATTTTTGTCCCACATTTTCGATACATTCTTTCACGCTAATTTCTGTAAATATAAAGCTATTATAAGCATAAAATTCCTTGCATAAAATTGTTATCTACTCATCTAATATTTATACATGTGCTCCCTGGTTAAGATAAGATTTCTGGATAATCGTAATCTTTCCAGGATGCGAACGTGTTCATTTTCATAGAAACTATTTGGGCGGCTCATCAATAAAGACGAGAGTCCGACGAGAATGAGAACGAGTAAGATAGAGTAGTGTTTTATGAAGTCTCTGCTATTTTGGCATCAGATAAGAAACTCGTTCGTTTTATTAGGCAGAAAAAGAGATAAGACAGAGATAATTCGCTATCTTAAAAGCGGGGCAAAAATCATTCTATCCTTAAGGATAATAAATTAAATATAATAATAAAATAAGAAAAATAAAAAAGAAAAATAAATAATAAATTTAATTAAAATTAGTAGATAATTAATCGGCGTTCTCAGATCTTCATAGTCCGTTTGCATTTCAGGAAACAACGCGGGACAATGCTCGGTCTTTCACTTCGACGGAGGCGCAGACGGAGCTGGCGCTTCACGCTGGACCAGAAGCAGGCTGTCAGAACGAGGAGATGTCCGATGGTATCCGAGATGCCCGGCGTAGGCGAGAGCGACGGTTACGGAGACAGCATCGTCGCGCCCTGAGATCCTGTTCCATGCCGACGACATATCCCGGAAGTGCGCCAGGCTGTCAGACAGTCTCGACCGCGCTGGGAGTGCCGTTGGTGCCACCCCCTAGAGGTTTCCTTCATCCTCCACCCCCTCACTTGGGTCTCAGAGGCCTCAGCCTCGGTCTACCCTTCCCTGTACCTGCCAGCGTCTCTGCCTTTGGCAGGTAAATTGCTGAAATATTTTAGTTCAATAGTATATTTTTCATATATTTTATATTTGAGTATATTTTATATTTTTTATATCATATATATATATATATCACATACATTTTTAATTTTTCAATAATATATACATATATTGCGATGAAAAAATAACAAAATTTTATTTTTTCATCGCAATATATGTATATATTATTGAAAAATAAGTAAAAATATAGTTGAAAATTTATCGAATTAACAATACACGATACGCTTGAAACGCATCCGGGCATGTCTAATTTATGAAAATACCCGATGAATATGAATCTTCGATGTCGAGATGTACGATTAGAGTGGTACATCTTATTTACGAGCTATATGGCCTTACTTACGGCCGATGTACGGTGCTCGTACGCCAAATGATCGTCACGAGACGAGTGTGTGTCAGTGGGTCACTCAACGATCGCTTCTTGTGTCACAGAGATACAGTGCCGAAACAGTGCTGCGGCTTGAGTTCCCCGCCTGTACGCTGGTCCATATTGGGTGTCGGTTTCGTAGGTCTGGTTTGTGCCGGTGCTGGCACTCTTCTAGGCGCACTCAAAGCCTCCGGTCGGGATCACCTCGTGGGGATATTCATGTCCGGTAAGGAGACAACACGTTTTTCTTATTCGAGAGATCATCGATGTACGATCTCGCAATAAAACTGGAATAACACAAGATTCAGTGATTAAAAAATAATGAAACTTTATCAAAGAATTTTTTTTTTTAATATATATATTTGTGTAATTGTGCGATTAAGAAAATATTATTTTATTCATAATGCACTCTTCCTCCCAGCATATAGCGGATAAATGACACAGTCAACCAGCGACTGGAACGATTTGTGAAGGTACTACCTCGACATGATGAGAGAAAATCTTGCAATCTTTGTTATAATCATAGGCTTTTGTACTGTTCCTACTGTATTATGTGAAGCAAGTATATATCTCTGTTGATTAATCTTTGTTAACGATTTCACAAAATTAAATTTCTACTCAAGAGGATAGAAGATCGTGAATTCGAAAAATGACTTAATTGAAATGATTTCATTTAGAACTTGAGTTAACTGTACGTTTAATTATTTTCCCAAAATTATTCAGATATCAATTACAATCTTTTTTCTCATTTTCTATTAATTGTTTCAGATCAAAAATATTTATTCGCAATATTTTCCTGAGCAATTCTTTATTCTTGAATTTTTTAAATATCTTTCGTAGAGGAGAAACACGTGGTGCCTTATTTCAATTACAAAAATTCTCGAAAGTTGCGATAAGAAAACTCTTAAACGTAACATGAAGAGTTGGCCAGGGCCAACCGAATGCACGTGGCGACAGAGTCTTAGAAGGGGACGAGAGGAGAGGCAATAGGGAAACTCAAGTTTGCAACAGTTACTTTCTAAACGTGGGCATGTAACCTGCGACCCGCTCAGAATGCCTCTCACAATGGGGGAATGCTCTAACCTACAGAGTACAGAGAGAGATCGATGTCGTACACTTATATATACACATGTGGAGGGGCCGTGAGATCGAAGGAATGACGTTACCCGTAGATAGATCAGGGAAACAGATGCCGCTGCTTGTTGGCTAGATCGACAGATAAACACTGTTTAATTTATGTTTCATTCTTTTTTTCTTTCTACTTTCACTTAAAAACCAGACTATAGTCTATAAATATCAAGAGACACGATAGTGTCTGGCGATAAGTCATCACAAAAATCGTAGCGAGGTACTTCCGTGTATCTTTACGCGTTTCAATTACTTAAAACAAGATTGTAAATAGACGAATAGGGAAGATTACTTCTTCCCTATTGTAATTATAAAACAAAAGTTATTACATAGCTGTTACAATACGGTATTACATAAGTATTATTATTACAATGGTACGCGTTGTTTGTTACAGGTATAGGAGTGCTCCTGGTGTTGGTGAGTGCGGTAGCGTGGCGATTGACCAACCAAGACTACTGTGGCAGCTTGTTTGGCTTCACGGGTATTTCCGGTAGGATTCCCCCTGCGAGACCGATACATCCTTACGCCGCTATGATCTATCCGGAATTCCAGTTTAGAACCCCACCACCGAGTTATCAGGTGAGATGATAAATATAGGATAAAATCTGTAAAAAAACTGCCTTAAAAAACTTCAAATTCAATATTCGAATTAAAGCTCTGAATATTTTTTTCCAATTTTATCCCATACTTTTCATTTTTCTATATTTGAATATATTGTATCTTGAAAAAAATATATTACCGTGCAATATATTTTATACGCATTCTATATACTATTTATATTATATTATAAAACTCCTGCCTCCTCGCCTCGATGCTGTTAGATTGTGACGTCAGAGGCGAGGAGCCAGGAGCCTTATTTATATACTACTATATATTATATATACATCAATATATTTGATTACAGGCTAGTATGCAAGAGTATAGACTTCGGCTGTTGTTGCTCGACCGATTGCAGCCTACAACGTCGCCGCCACCGACTTACAGATCGAACGCAGGAAGTATCGCGGCTCCTGGTACAACGACGAGGGAGAGTCGACCGCCGAGTTACTGCGCTGAAACGCACGTCACGCCGAATGCCACTCTGGTACCCTCGAAGAAGGACGCGAATCTCGTTAGAATCGTTCAAACTGAATCCGAGCCGGTTATTCTTAGTGGTGATCAAACACCACCCATAACTGCCGTCGAGGTACTGGCGCATCTTTAGATCCGGCGAGGAATTCACGTATATCACGTTTGGCCATTCTTGCAAAGTCTAAAGCAATTGTGATCGTGCATCTGAAAGAAGATGTAATCGTGTAAATTAATTATGATCATAAAGAGAAAAAGATGAAGATACTTTAGACGCCATATATGCCTTCACACCTCAACTGCCAGGTCGAATGCATCATATGTAGATATTTATTCATTATGACACAAATCTGTGTTCAATTAGATATTCAATGTATGTACATATATATAGGCCTACATGTAAAACGAAGAAATTCAAACTATAATTTTTAATTATAAGGATAATTATATTTTATATTTATTTTATATATATATATATAATACATATTTACATATATATGTCTATGTGTATATATACAGATGAATATACTTTTATGAAAGTATAATTATCTGTAAAACTATATCTGCTTTGTAAACGAATGTTAAATTAATTTAAAATATTATACATCTCGATGCATTTTTTAAGAGGTAAAATTCAAGCAGAAATATTTAATCAGATTTTTCTTGCATACTTATAACTACTTAATTACTTAAATTCAGACTACAAATCTTCATTAATCACATTCTCAAACTCCAAATTAGGAGTAACATCTGATTGAGTCTCCATAGAATTTGCTTTGCCTTTTTTCTTTCTTTTATTAATCGTTTTATTAGTCTTTAATTTAATGCCATGTCTCCGTTTCCGTGGAAGCGATGTTGGATCTACAATAAAAAAAGATAATTTTATTCTTGATATATAACATAGTTTTAATGAAGTTGATCAAGTACATACGATCCTCAGGAATGTTCATGTTCTTTCTCAAAACCGCGCGCACTTGTTTGTTTAAAATTTCTCTACATTGTACGTCGAAACCAGTTGGCAGCCATCCTCTTTTCTCGTGACATTTTATACCAGGTAAAGGATCGGGGAGCTTCGCCAACATTTCTTGTATTTCTCCTATTAGAACGTCGCAATACTGATGACAAAATAAAGAATTTTATTTATTGTATAAAATCAAGTATTTTATCGATTTTATATTATGAAAAAAAGAAGGATTAAATACCTGATAAAACATTTGCCGCGAAGGAGGTACCATACCTTCTCGGTATATATATACATTTTCATGCAAATGTCGTTCTTTCTTCGGGTTTTGTTCTTGATTCAAGGCAGTGAGTACAGCGGGTTTTTGTTTGGAAACTGGCGCAGATTTGTATGGTAATGTATAATTTGAATAATTTCTCTTGCATCTGACGGTCAAACCTAATCCATCTATAGATCATAAAAATTAACTGGTTTTTTTTATTATAGAATATACTGCATCGCACAAAATTGTAAATTAAATGATATATAACTTACGCATAGCCTTTAATCTATAATCCAACGTCTGATACTTTCTCGCATTAATATCCTTCCTTGGATCGTAACCAAGTTTCACCCACATGATTCTCCACGGTCCAGTCATAAAGTAATATGCCACTGACGGTAATAATATTTTCAACTGTTCGGACGTAAATTGAGTCTTGTACATAATTGCATTTTTGGACCAGATTGGACGCTCCTCGAAAAGTTGTCGCACTCGTTCCAAGTGTGCGTTCTGCAGGAATTTCACTTTCATAGCTGTTTCGATGCCTTTTGGTGCTGCGGTGGGCACCCCCACTGTAGAAAAGTATATATAATTGGGAAAGCCTGCTTGACCTTTCTTGTTTTTACCAATTATATTTCCCGAATTAGAATTTATCTCGGTTTTTGGGATGTATTGCTGTACAGTATCCATTCTGCTGAACGCGGCTGGTGGCAGAAAATAGGGCACTTCCTGTTTTAACCAATCTGGAGATGGAATGCCTGTTGGATAAATTGAGTTATATATGCATTCTAATTTTTTGGGATTTGATTTGCTCTGCGTCATTGGTACATATTGAAAATCACATAAATCTAAAAGAAAAAAGAAACATTAATATGTTAAATAAGAAAAATGTGAAATTATTATATAGTGCTTTAAGTATTGTATAGAACATACTGGTAAATTTGAATTCAGTTTCGACTCGTCCTAGTATTTTTAAACGTGGCAACTCGTAATCTGGTTCTTGAAAGAAATTTTCATATTTCTTATCATCAAAAGTAGGTAATGCGTTTCTTTTTTTCTTTGGCGAGCTTTTATCTTTACATGTAGCATCTAAATTTTTAATATTATCTGCAGTACTTTTTTCCTCTGCGGTATCTGTAGCACTAATATCATCTTCGCAGCTGTCTTCTGTGACATTGGACGCACTATTAATTTGCTCATCCTCTGACAAATAGGATGTTTTAGGATTATCTTTATCACCAACAATGCAAGATTCAGTAGCTTTCAGATTTGTAGTATCTTTTGATTTTGTAACCTCTGCTTGTGTTGTCCTATTTTTCTTTACTCTAACTCTGAGTAAAAAACCAATTGTACTATGTCTGTCTCCACAGGTAGGTTTACAATATCCATCATTAGGTCTAAATCGCAATTCTAGTCTTCTATTAGGAGCATCTACAGTCTGTTAAATAATTAAATATATATTACTGATATAATCTAATATAATCTATCAAATGTTATGTCTAAATTGTATATTTTGTACCATAGAAATAGAGCTCATGCCACCTAAAGTTTCAATTGCTTTGTCGACATTAACTACGTTTCCTGGATATTTAACACATATCAGCTTCTTATCAAAATCATGTCCAGAAATTATCGGACCTGCATACTGACCATCTTGTTGATTCATTTGTATCTGTAAAACAATACTATTTAAAATAAATGTTTTTGAGTTAATCTCATCTTAGATTTTGATCAAATGCACTCATTTTGTGTAACACACATTTCTTAACTTTAAATTATACTTTCTCAAGCTATATGTTAAAAATTTTTGTTTTCTTCTTCTTCTCTATTATGGCTGCTTAGGCTTCCAGAGGAATAGGCCTATACACCATTAATTGTTCATATATATTGGTTAAAAGTCAAATCGTGCTCACAGTACGGAACACAAAGAAACAAAAATTTTTTTTAGACAAAACGTCCGAACGCGTCAAAGACATGGAATGTAAGTGCAAGTTTCATCAAAATCTAGAAGTTAAATATTTATCTTTACATTATTCTCTGGCAATTCTATAAAGGAATCATCACTATCCATTTCTTTAAAATCATCCACGTTAAAATCCGTGTCCTTGTCATCTTGTTTGTTGAACGTTTCGCTATCACTTGGTTCACTCGCTTCGCTCATATTGCTATTTCTTTATTTGAAATTGCAAAAGTTTTATTATAAATTGTATCACGAACGTCTTTCTTAAGAATTCTCAATGATGACAAACGAGACGAAATCAGAAACACAAGATTTAAAATCTTCATCAATGCATTAAAGTAAAGTATAATCATATGTCATTTTCATATCTTATTCGATATTTCTAATCTACAATTTATAAATGTATAAACATGTGGCCTACGTAAACACAGAGACGTAAAATAAACAACGAAAAATGGGCTTAGCACGGAAACGCACCAATTATGATTTTATCGACAGTAGATCGAAACGTGAATTTTGAAATATGTTTCTTATTTCTGCTAGTAGATGGCGCTATATATACAAAAATATGAAAAACGTCCCACAAAAATGGCAGCATGCGGTTTGTTGTCAATCTTCTTATTTCTTTCTCAGGTAAAAAAATTAATTATCTCAAATTATTGGAGACAAATAAATAACACAATAAAAATATAATGATTGGCAAAGATTATCGCTCTAAAGATTATCGATTATATAAGTTCTAATGTATATTTGAATATTATAAAATTTATTTTATTTTGTAGATTTATTACTGTACTGCTTATACCAAATTTTTTGAGATAAATAAAAATATATAACATTTTAAAAATTGTGAAAAAAATCAAGAATTGAATAAATATACATATTAATAAAAGCTAAATATAATAATTGCGATTTTATATAAATATAATTGCAATTTTATATAAATTTTAATATAGAATTTATACGTATATATAAAAAAACTTTTACATTGTTGAAACTTTTTAAATTATAAATTCCTTAAAAATTCCGATAGCATTTTGAAATTATGTAGTACGCAAAAATTGCAACTCGATTGCATATACTTATCAAATCATTTATTTTAATCGATATTGTTATTAAAAAAATGGATATAAAATAAAAGAAATAAAAATAATATGAATTTGTGTTTCTATATTTTTATTGTGTTATAATTCATAAAGATACATATGTAACACTGAACGTAAATAAGTATAGCGCTCTTTTCCATTTTAATCATTAATAGACAATTTAAAATATATGATGCAGACAATAAATATCTTATAATTAAAAATGATTTTGCGCGACATACGAGTATATGATCCAATAAATGAAAGGTCAGATAATTTTTACATTAATTAACAAAATAGAATTATAAACATTTTATCACATTTTGTTTGATTGACTATCATTCAGAGTATTCGGTAAACAAATGTTTATTTGTTACCTAACAGTGCTATGTATACTACTAAAATTTAATTTCATATAGCGCCTTAATTAAACAATAAAATAAAGTCTTGTTTTATGTGACATAATATATGTATATACAGATGGTATATATAATAAAATACATGCATCTGGCATATCTGTATAAAATCTAAAAATCTGTTCTCTGAATTTATATATATATAACTGAATATAATACATATATAACTGGATTAAATGATCTGAATTTATTTATATATAAATACCTTATTTTTACGTGATAAAATAAGAAAAAATTATATATTACTTATTTAATAAATTAAAACTTTAATGCAAGTTTTTTTATAATTTTACTTTGACTTATTCTTTTCAATATAACTAAGTTTTGTATTTAAATGCTATATTTATATGATATACGTGTGCGAAATGCAACAATCCATTAGTAATGATAAAAATATCATTATATGTAAAATTGGTTCAAATCTATTAATTAATGACTAACATATCGTACAAATCCGCCCGCGGATTGAGTTATAAAACAAATTGAGTTTAGTCAAGATTATCTCGATACTTTCATCAGGTACTTCTTCTCTTCTTTTGCATGTAATCCCTTAAATGATGTTACATTCATTATATAGATTTTTCTGTCATTATCATTACTGCCATAATTAATAACGTTATGTATAATATACCATAGTATTTTTCCAACAAATATATTTATATATAACTTTGTTGTCAAATATAAAAAAAATCAAGTCAAACATTTTAAATTGATAAAATAAGTGTTTAACTTGCTTTATTTTTATACAAAATTTATGAACTTTTAGCTTAATTAAAATACATATTCTGATTAGAAAAATACTTAAAAGATATTTCATTTGTCAATAGAATATCCACGAGTTATATATTAAAATTTTTGCATTTAATTTTTGAATAATAGGCTCTTGAAAATTAACTTTTTTATACTTGACACATATTATATGCCATATAAGTATATATTTTATATAAATTAAATCATATAGATTAAACTACATGTAATATATGACACTGCGAGGTAAAGAATATGCTATTATTTAAATTTAATATAACGAATACAATAATTTGCATTCGTGTATGTTTCTTATATCATATAAGATATTCTGATGTACAGGCCATATTTAAGCAGCCGTTATTTTGTCATAAAGACACAATATTTTATCTAATTCAATTGGTATTTGGCAATTAATATATCTACTATGTGTGTGTATATGTGTACATATGTATGTATAATATATCTACTGTGTGTGTGTGTGTGTTTAGGATGATTAAAAATTCAAGATTTATAATAAGACTTATTAAGTTGAGTTATTAATAAATGTTTAGCGAAATTATGTCGAAAGATTAAGATTATCTGACAAGTTAGGATGCTATTGTAATATATAGCATACTTCTGTGACTAAATCAAATGGAAAAGTCCTTCATTATTTTATTTAGCGAACAGTTATCGAGATATCATTGAGGTATTTTAAGAATTGAAAAATTTGGCGGCGCGGCATATTAAATATAATCTCTTTTATAATACGATTTGATTAAGTCTACAAATGTTTCTTAACATCATATTGTAGCTCCTATAATTAGTTTATAAATTATAACAACATTATGAATATTTGCCTTACATAGTGTACCTAGACTTTTAATCGAGGTCATGATATGTACGTACCTATAGGTCACAGTACGTACATGCACATATACAAACATGATGCATACATACATTCATACATACAGACCAGTGCAAGCCAGCAATACTTATGTTTTTGCAATATAATAATATTTTGCGCGCTTGAAACTTACGATATTTTTTATCTCAGTTTTATATTATATCTTAAATTTTAAATAATACCTTAAATAGCAGCTTGATTTGGACCTTTATTAAGAGATTCTCTTCAATAAAATATTGACTAAAAGTGAAATAGCAATTTATTATACATATATGTATATTAGTGTTTGATATAAATTCTATCTTTTAATAGTTAATAGTTCCCAACAAATACATTTAGGCTTGCCGACTCGCACTGCTCTGTATATTCTTTTGCTTAGAAGCAGACAAGTTTTTCGCATTTTCATTATGTTGAAATCGATCCTTGAGAAATGTCATCCTGTTATCATAATACGCATTCCTGATTATTTGGCTTTTTATAGTTAACAGACGTATGTGTCTATTATAATCAAAATATTTAATATGTATATATATTTCTAAGGCACCATATTATCAATACACTTGTATCGCGCGTAATTAAATACGCGTAAATCAAAGTTGTCGATAGAATCGAAAAAGTCCCACAAATCCGAGGTTCTTGCGTACAACATTTAACGAGTGAAAAAGGTCTATAATGATATATTTAAAAAAATCTCGTAGACTGGCGTATCACGTTTACATGTGAAGGCTTTGTTGATAACCTTCGACTTCGTTGTACATTTTCTTGATGGGATCCTTTGGCAAATAATTGTGCACCGCTGGCGCAACTTTATTATTGCCAATGCCGTTGGCTAGATGCACTGCGCCATTCTGCAACATGTGCACCGTTCCGTTTACAGTGCCGTTTTGATAAATATGACCGTTTTGTTGAATATGCTTCATATTGTTCAATATGCCATTACTGATGACACCTACCCCTATAAGCAGGGCAAAGAAATATATTAGCATTAGAGAATAATAATTAGATATAGTTTACATGCACATATAATACATATACTAATTATTATTTATTATCGAGATAAAATAATTGCTCAACAAAATAATTATAATAAATAATTATACCTTGAGCAGTCATTCCATTGATCTTTTTCGTCGTATCGACTCCGTTTCCAATATGATTAGACACGCCGTTGACCATCTGCTTGATAACATTGTTAGTGGCACGTTCACTTTGATCGGTCACGGCGTGTATTCCGTTTGGGTGTCTTCCGATTGTTGAAAAATCCGCATCTCGAAGATTAGTTTCCTCTTCTTTACGACGCGTCCAACGCATCAGCTGATACAACGCAGCAGCAAAATCTTGCTGCACGCTAGGCACATCCGTATCTCCATCCACCTGAGACAACAGTCATATTTTATATTTAAAAAAAAAAACTGAATTTAATCTTATTAATTAATCCCTAAAATAGTCACGTGATTTTCTTCAGTCATAACAAAGATAAATAAAATTCTCTTTAATGAGATATATCTTTTTACAGAAGTTTGATTTCGTCGTTTTATATTAATCATCGCGCCAGTTACAAAGTATCTTTACAACGTAAGGATTATTTCAAAATGCTGCGTTGTATCTTGTCCCAAATCCACTCATTAATACAATACATACAATTGTCAAACGATTGTCGCTGTCCAATGTTTTCAGCATAGGAAGGGACACCTCGCGAAAGAGTTCCAATCTTTTCCTAAACGCCGAAACACTGTCGTCCAGTCTTCCTCTCCCAAGTTGTAGCTTGGAGCAATCGAGTAGTACTAGAGGAGGTTCTTGTCCAAACTATTAATAATTAATCGTATTGATTTATCAATGTATAACTCGCAGACATTCGGACAAGATTGAAAAATAAAATCGAGAGAATTATCGGATAAAAATAACATTATACAATTTGCCGTTTCAAGGTGCGAAGTGACGCGAATGATTTTACCTTGCTTTCGAATTCTTGCACTTGATTCAAGTCCCTCGGATACCCGTCCATGACTATACCGTCTGTGTCTCGATTAAGGAGGATCTGTTGCTCCAAAAGCTGCATCACAATGTCATGCGGTACCATTTCACCTGAGACGATGGCGTCGTTCACAATCATATTCGACGGTGCCATCGCTCTTAACAATTCTCCGATACTTATGTGCACCCAGCCTGGCATATTCTGAACGGCTTGGTTGCAAAGAGTTGCCTTATTACTTCCCGGTCCACCTACGATATTACATGTGTCATAAAAAAAAATAATATTAGAGAAAAAAAGAATGATTTCACGGATTTTATCATTTCTATATCTTGTCAAACTTTTTACCTATAACCCAGATAAACGCAGGCAATCCTTTTCTCGGTTTATCAGCGGTTTTCAATGGCGGCGGCGGCGTCGTCATAGCTGATAGAACTTGTTGCTTCGGTAGCGGTGGACTTGTAATCGATTCTTTTCTCCTTTCCACTTCGACCTAAGAACGAGACAGTGAAATGTCAACCGTTAGTCGACAGAATCTCGTCAAAGAATATTAATAAAATTTTAAACGTACACCTACCTCGGCTTCTAGAGATTGAGGTATATCTTGATCACGATTATCGCCGCTTGTCATGCCGAGAATTTTAAGAACGGCATCCCGAAAACTGACGTAGACTTCACTAGGATTACGCTCTCCGTTCACCTATTATATTTTTTACAAATTTTTTTATTTTATGCAAATGTAATTAAGATACACAAATCTTCAACAAAAATTATTATTATTATTAGCGCATCAAAAGGATTTGAATTGTGTAGGTATCAATGGGGTGAATTTTTTTTACCTCAAGTAACATTCCGCTTTGATCAAAATATTCCGCGACCGGCATGACGTTTCTATAAAAATTATGTAACTCCATTCTAGCCAATCCTATGATAACGTGACCGAGTTGAGCACCGAAATCAATTTGTCTCTCCAACACTTCTTGTCTCCACGACACGAGAATGACGCCGTTAACGATTTTTATCTACAATAATAATCAATATATATATATATATATATATATATATATATATATATATATATTGATATTCACAAATTAACGCGTCGTTATTTTTTTAATATTGTGTTTGATTTAAAAATTCTTGTATTAATATAACACTTCAGTTTTCATTAAATGACACTCACTTTTTCCGCATATTCCACCACGTCGCGCATATTTCGCGGATATCCGCTTACAAGAAAGACTTTGGCTCCCGGAGACATTTTCATCTCGAGCATGAGAACTTCCGTGACGGTTTTGCTACTGAGTTGTCCGAAATCTTGCATATCTACAATTAACAAATAATTGAAATATATACAACATTGCAAAAAATAGGTATGAAAAATGCATATATATGCACGAAAAAGAAATATATAAACTATAATTTCTCTCTCGTAGAAAGTATTTACAGATAGCGTTATTTGAGTAAAAAGATTGAAACAAATAATTTATATCTTCTTGGAAATCATGCGATATAATTTATATTGTATACGCACACGTGTACATATTATATATATGTATAATAATTTCAATATTTACAATAGATTATAAAATACGGCGATATGAAGGAAATTTACGTACCATTCCCTAGTGCATATTGTTGAAGAAGATCCATCATGTTGATATGCGTTATTCCCTTTTTCTCTTGTATCAAATTGTCGCAATATGTCACCTTACCACTACCGGGACCGCCTATGCGAGATAATCATAGAACATAGAATATCAAGAAAAAAATCATTTTGTAAATAGTACTTAACTCTAAACTTTCAACAATATCAGAGATAGATCAAATAGATCTGTCTAAGCCAAGTATAAAAACACAGATTTAACAATTTAAATAATTTAATTTATTTAATTTATTAAATAGATCACCGATTCCCCGCTTATGAAGCAAAAGTAAATAATACTAACCAAGTACGAATATGACGGGAACTTTTGGTATTTCGAATTTAACTGGACCAACGTTTTGCTTCGGGAAATGTCCATCCGGTGGAGTCGCCAAAAGACCAGCCTCTCCTCGCCATCTTCCTGTAGCTCGAGCATCGCTTTCCTCGAACACCTGCGATCCATGTTGCTGATCTGAAAAATACATTAATTTGTTATTTGATAAGAAAATACCATATCTACACAGATACACACACGATATATTTTTAACATGGAAATGTCCACGCCATTTTTTATTTATATATTTTAGAACAAAAATTCGACAAAACTTCTTTCCAAAAAAATTGCTCTGAAAAAAATTAATTTATATTATATCTTTCTCATTTTAGCCAATAAAAAATTTGTATAGATATTTTTATTGAATTAGAGAATGGGAGAGACTTCAATTGCAGTTTCAATTATTAATATTAAGTCTATCTCCAATAATTATGACAAATGCATAAATAATAAAAAATGATGAGTTTTACAAGATCCATCGAAGAAATTAAAAAAGTCTAATTAGCATTATGCACACAAATACGAGGCAAAAAAGTATTATATTTTATGACGATACATCACATAATAGCAGATATTACTTCGCAATACTTATTATGCATTTGCTTTCCGCTTATCATTGTTCATAAAGTGACTATGCTATATCAATAACATAGACAGTCTATACATTCGATTCGCATCCTGTTGATTGCGTTGCGTGACAAAGCCGAAGACAAAAGTGGAAGGCGCATATAAAATATGTATCGCTGCACTTGAACGTATTATTCATGATACGCACGTGAAATCAAGTTAATCACTTTGACTTATAGGTCAAATATTTACAATCTTAAATTATTATATAGCTTAGATTTTATTTTATCTATATTCCAAGGAAAACATGAAAAGTCATATTCAGAAGGGACCTTATAAGAAATATGCATATATATATGCATATTTCTTATAAGGTCCCTTTTGAATATGACTTTTCATGTTTCGCAATTTCTTTTCGCAAATAAGAATATCTCGTATTCGTCTTGTCCTATTGTTTAGAAAGACATTAGAACGCATAAATAGACGTATATAAAGTTGTATTCTTGAATAGACGGATTTTTGTCAATTGTATTTAAAAATAAAAAATAGAATAAAAAATAAAAAATATGCAGTAAAAGATAAAATGAATGTGTATATTAAAATGTGTGTATATATATATATATATGTATATTTCTTGTAAGGTCCCTTCTGAATATGACTTTTCATGTTTCCCTTGGGATATAGATATGCGTCTATTATTCTAATGTCTTTCTAAACAATAGGACAAGACGAATACGAGATATTCTTATTTGCGAAAAGAAATTGCGTTCTATATATATATATATATATATATATATATATATATATATATATATATAATTTTTGTCAATTGTATTTAAAAATAAAAAATAGAATAAAAAATAAAAAATATGCAGTAAAAGATAAAATGAATGTGTATATTAAAATTTATATTGATTAGTTCGAAAGTATACGATATAATTCGATTAGTATACGATATAATTTTATTTTATATTTCATATGATAAAAAAATAAAAAAAATTTTTTAATAGAAATACATATGTTAAATTTTTTATTTACGCTAGCATTAAATCTTTCTTCCGACAAAAAATCATTTATTCATTGATTGCTGAATACAAATATATCTTTTGTGAAATAAAAAATTAATTTAGGAAACTAATTATTGCTTATTATCAATAAAATGTAATTTTACTATTAGAAATTAGACAGATCAAAGAATACAATAAAAACATTATACTGTGATAAATACACACTATTCTTATACTTGTATTAACTATATATTATATTAGACAATATATTATTATTTTAAAAAATATATTCTCTTTAATGCTTTTTATATTAATTAAAATTTTAACTTTTTATAATATATAATGTAACAATTTTTTTTAAATTAGAGACATTTTTTGCATCAAAAATTATAAACTAACTTTTAAGTTAATTGCATATTACACTAATGGCAATAAAAATTTAATGCGTTTAACATAGCTATTGTACTTTTCAAATAATGTGTAAAAATTTAAAATTGTTAATTTTGTATTTTACTCTGATCTTTTAGCACATATTACATATAAATTACATTATAAGGAAATATACTATTGTCTTATTTTCTCATTTATTCATTATTAATATTAATTATAAATTAAGCAGCAGATATATACTGTAGACTGAATCGCGTGTTTTTTCTGATAAGTTTACTGCGATGGGAGATTTTCTGACGTACGACAATGTCACTTCTGCATTATCGATCCTAATAATATATTCGTGATAATCGTCAATGTTATATATTGTTGCGCGTCTTGTGTTTCAAGTTTTTTTCGTAAATATGAGGAAATCGAATAAAGAAAATTATTTGATTATGGAAGAAGAGAGATTCTCAATGATACAATTTTGTTTCAGATAGAATCATTTTCAAAATTTTAAAATCATCTTCATCATCTTAAACGGAAGATTTATTTTTAAATATTTTTTCCTTACATAATCCTCTCATTATGTTATCTGTCAAACTAATAAAATTAAAATATCAAAAATATTATAATTTAATTACTCAGTTTACTAATTTATAATTTACAATAATTACAATTTATTTATTACAGTGTGACAAAATATTTAATATATTTCAATGTAATATTTCTTTGATACTTTAACGTGTACTCCATAATATAAATCAATGAAAGTCTCTTCTTCCAAAAAGTTACTTAATATAAAGAAAAAAAGACTTATTAAATTGATTCGCATAATTGGCAGGTCAAACTTAAACTTTTGTTATACTACTTTGTACATGACATTAAAAGATCGAAACATTGTGAACTATTTAACTATATTCGCAGAGCTTTAACTATATTCGTGAAAAGAAGCTCGCTAACTTGCATACAGTAATAATTAGTTATTCATGGATGTACTAACCAGTGTCAAGGCAGATGCCCATAGTAAGTAGTTCGAGGACTGACACAATCCTTCCACGGCCATTTACATTCACATGCTTCTGGCAGATAAATTCATCCCCGCTTCGACATGCGTGAAGTTCTGAAGAATCAGCAAAAACGCAGCTTTCTTGTGGCCTCACTAAACTTTTACATTAGTGAGAAACGTCGCGCGTGTACTGTCCCTCGACGGTTTTTTCAATCGATCTCTTCGTAATTGAAATGTTTCAACAAATGTATACTTATTTAATTATATCCACCCGTTCGATTCCGGTTCTATCCGTGGAACTTAATTTTCTTCGCTATAAAGCGACGTCCCAATGACGGAGGCGTGTGCACCTGCCACGTGTTGATTCTCGTCGAATCTATGCGACGTAACTTCCTTAATAGGCACTTGAGAATAAAACCAAGTAAAATCACTGTCCACATCGACGTTGCTCGAACCTTCCAAGGTTTATACGACGAATCCACGAATCATTGTAATCAGCTTCATTGCAAATGTATTATGCACGACGCTTGGATGAGCATGAAGGAACGAGGGAATAGCTACCACCCTGAAAATGATATGATCGTCAATTTTTTATAATGTACATATGATTTTTTAATTTCGTGCAAATCTTTAACTTTTAAAAATTTATTTTCAAATATATAATTTTGCGATTATTAATATTTTATGCATAATATCATTAAATTATTTTAGGGAGAGTTGAAATTGGAGTATATTGGATTGACATTTTGATAACAGTTGTTAAATATCAAACGAAAAGAACAAATAAAATCTTGATGAATGGATATGTTTAAATTACGGAACAATTTTTATAAAAATCATAATTTAATAGATTACCAATAATTAAAAACTTTAGAACAAAATCAGGTCATGAAATGAAATTCTTTTTAAAAAGAAGAGAAAAAAATGAAAAATCATATCTCGCTTTTCTTAAATACATTATTAGAATAAATTTTATCCATAAAATTTATAGAAAAAAAATAATTTATATATATTCTTTCTAATTAATAGATCTTTCTTTAAAAAATGTTTACGTTACTCTTATTATTATAACATGTTGACAAAGCTAAAAGTATGTCGAACCACTACATAAATAACAAACGTGCAAATTATTTAACACGATTTAATCAATATATTTGGCTGGCATAACTTTTTTTACATTGGATATATGTGTGTATATATATTCTTTAACTTTTCTCCCTAAAGTAATCTTTTGTATATTAGTCTGAAATGGTAAATTACTATGTAAAGCTATACAATTATACTTTGGACTTCTAAATGATACCGAAACCCCCAACCAACTACTATCCGACTTTTTCATAACATGCAGAGACTATATTGTTCTTGATTACAAGGTTGATGAGTTTTGCGTCGAAACGTTCCTATCTCTCCCCCCCATTTCGCTTCCTATATTACACTTTTATTAAAATACAGATTCTATATAAAAAATTAAATTAGTCCGAAAGTGCAGTGACATCTTTCATTGCATTCGTTCCAAGGGCACAATACCGCGAATAGATATCGAACATACAGTGACCGCAAGAGCAGAAACGCGGGAAAACGCAAAATCACTTCCGAATTACCTTTATGCAGGTGCAATATTACAGGAGGATCAGAGGGAGATGAATAGAAAATATCCGAAAACTTCCCGAGTTCAACGATCGATCTCACACAAGCGCCGACGATCGAGGAATATATATAAATTCACACTTTTTCCCTCTTCGAGTCGCGGAGCGACTTTGCGACCCCCTAAGGCTCGGAGCGCAAGTTCCAGCTTCCGTTCTCCAGCCGGAGTAAAGGACCCCAGAGGCGCGTCGCGCGCGACAACACAAACGACTATGAGTCACGATGCTTTCGTGCAACCGAGTTTTTACGTCGCGCTTCCTCATACAACGCGCACGATAATGCTATAATGATTTGTCGGGAACGAATAGAGGTCGTGCTCGAGTGGTAAGAACCACTTGTCGTCATGGATACGACGCTTGCGCCCCGTTCCTTCGTACCCTCGTGCATGTACGTACTTTGCATATAGCCGGAATAATGCACGTGTGAGTGGAAACCATACGTATGTATGTACGTATGTGTAAGAGGGGGTGTAATGCGAGGAGGGTTCAATGTCAAGTTTCTGCCGGCGCGACTGTTCTCGAACACGAGGTTCGATGAGCGGATGATTAGTAGGGATCCCAGATAGCACAAGCTATTTGAAAAGAATTCATTTGTATGTCACCAATTTTGAGTCCCTTTTCAAATACATATAGAATTCATTTTTATAAAAATGAATTCTATTTTATAAAATGAATTCTATATATATGTATTTGAATGATTTTTATCAAATGAATTCTATATGTATTTGAATGATTTTTATAAAATGAATTCTATAAGTATTTAAAAAGGGACTCAAAATTGGTGTCATACTGGTGATATACAAATGAATTCTTTTCGAATAGCTTGTGCTATCTGGGATAGGTACTTTATGCTTTGAGCATAATAGCCACAGTAATTATTATGACATCATTTTGATGTCAAAATGCATCATTTGCCATCAAAACGATGCATTTTGATGTCATAATAATTACTGTGGCTATCTGGGATAATGTGTCAAAAATTGCTTAATATAATATTAAGTGTTTAATTTAATACAATATTAAGTGTGTACTATGCATAACTAATAAAATTAATGCCTAAAAACCATTTTCGACACATTATGCTATTATGCTCAAAGCATAAAGTGTCTATCCCTAATGATTAGGCCAGAGTATATAATATTAAAACGCGGATAATGCGTTATTGAATATCGTTTACACTTAATTTCGTCGACTTACGGAATATTATTGGATATAAAGAATATTACACAAGCCGAAATCGCAAAATGATGATAGCGGATGAACTTCTCCAGAAGGAGGAAGTAAGTTATTACTTATTGTTATATTTGCTTCTCTTCTTCAAATAATTCCTCTGCTCCGTTTTCTTCGTATTTCGTATCTCGTCGTTTCTGTAAAAATTAGATCAAATTAATATGAAATAATTTACATACGGAAAATAAATAATTATCAGTGAAATAACTTATAAAAATTTACATCGTTGGAAGGTGTTGAATATAAAGATAGAAATAGTAAATAGTCGCCTTCTGACGCAATTCGCGTGTAGTAGTTTGCAGAATAGATGGATGCTCTTTCGTAATAAAATTGTTAATGCGCACTTATATTTTCGTGGGATCTGTCAGTATAGTGACAGCTGCAGCGATATTCCTTTGGCGCATTACACAAGGAATAAGAACGTGTGAAGGCATTTAACGCAAGAAGCTAATACGAAATTTATGATCTCGTTTTACAATCGATCGAAGGAAGAATATATAAGAACCATAACAACAAGACATTTGCGATATATAAAACGAGTTTAGGAATGTCTAAATTCTATATACCTCTATATCTCTGTATACTTTCTCTAAGCTCGAATGTTTTAACTGGAATTGTAATATATATATCGGCGAAAAAAACCTAAGAAAAATGAGTCATTTTCACACAAATTATTGCTGCGCAATTCTAGAAGCTCTCTGCAACTCTTCGCTAATTTTAACTGTTTTATATTTTATACCTTACTTGAATACATATTTCATTACGTCATATAGATTTTTCAATAACTCTCATACAGGCGTATATGTGTGTGTGTGTGTGTGTGTTTGTGTGTGTGTGTGCGCGTGCGTGTGTGTGCGTGTGTGTGTGTACACACGATAATTACAATTTTAATGCTAATATGTAAAAGCAGAAGAAAGTTATTCATGCATAATTCGCAGTATTTCTAATTTGAGTTGTCTCTTAAATTTATGTCGCATCTTTTTATTATTGATTCCTCTCTTCATCTAATTATAAACCTAAGTGGATCATATATGTGCTGCTATATTGCATCATGATTACATTAAATGATGTAATTTTAGAAACTGAAACTATTATAAATTATATTTTTTTAATAAAAAAAAATAGCAACTGAAAATATTTTGTATCAATTTTATTTTGCTTTAATTTAATTTTCTCGACAAAATACATTCTCTTTGGTTCTCTTTCGATGAAACTAATAATCTTTTTATGAAAAATAAATCTCATTTCATTGTCCTGTATATAAGAGAGCTGAGGTCATTGTAAATTGAATAATTTATGAGATATTTCATATAAATTCTGTACAAATACTTAAACGCTCAATCTTCATGTCGATCACGATAAGCACGATATTAACATGAAAAGTCGACGATTTTGATTATTAACGTTTACTTTTTACCTTACAATTTCAATAATTTCGATTCTTATTTCCACATTATATACATGTCTGTATTCTCTTACATCTTTTATAGAATTTAATCAATGCAACTTGACGCATCGGGATATAATCTAGTAAAAACACCCCAATAAAATCTATTAATATTTCTCAGAACTTATACTTTGACAGTAGAAATTTTACTTCTGGATCGAAGACTGACATATAAAATACTATATGCTGTGTAATATCCATTATTTACTTTCTATAGAAAATAATAGATAATATATACACTAAGAAATATATCAAGGCTCTGTAATAATATTAAGTATTAAATACAAATAAGAAAGGCCTAAGAGCCATACGGATGTTACTTGCATACATTTCCAACGAAAATTAATTTTTCTATATTAATATAATATATTGTATCATTAATATAGATTGCAAATAATAAAAAACCTGAGAGGGAAAATGGTAATTTGTAATTGATTATCCTGATAAAGACAATATATTTTAATAACGATAAAGAATCTATATGTAATTCGGTGGTAAGCAAAAATTAAAAATAAGTGCTGATAAAACAAAATTTATAGCTGTAAACGTTCGGAATAAGAAAAACAAGTAAGGAGCAGTTTTTCAACGATAATTTAAACTTATTGTTAGATTGAAATTCAAATTCTTATTGAAATACCGACCCTAAATGATATATGTATATTAAAATTAATGGAGAATAGATTAAGCAAATGAATTAAATAAAATAAATACTTGAGTAAGATTATGAATATTTTAATTTTAAGAATATGTAAAAAAATTAAGAAAACATTTTTATTAGAGAGTATACGAAAATTTTTCTCTTCTCATTTTGTCCTCCATAATATATTTTTATATGATAAAGATTTTCATATTTTCTGTATGTTTATAAAAATAATTTTAATAAACTAATTTAGATAACAGAGAGATTCTAAAGATATACCTATATACTTCTGAAGCTAGATAAAAATGCATACAAGGTCACTTTTATGCAAGAGCACATAAGTTGCTTTTTCATGAGCAAAATCACGATATCAATAATCATATCATCATATCAATATCAATTTCAAAAAATGCAATATCAATAAGAGGAAAAATCGATTGATATATAAAATGCAATTTTAAATAATTAAACCGAATCTTTTAATAAATAAAATAGAACAAATCTTTAAGAAAAGAACAAATTTCTAAGCTACCCTCTAACATAATTAAATTATGAAAAAATATTAATTATGTCAAATATTAATTATTACAAGGACATGTATAAATAAGTGTCATTTTCAAGGTATCACTTTAGCGTAAAGTTCGCTGGCAATATAAGACCGATCGACTAACCATGAATATTTAACAGATACCTGTTATCGGTTTTGTTTCAAGAAATTATATGCTTGTATAAAGCCGTCTAACCCACTTTACCATGCTGAATGTATAGAAACGTGTATGTCGATTTAATTGGAATTTAACGAGAAATTGATGTCTTACGACATAAGGCTATTTAAAATAATACAGTAGACTTTCTTCCAAATGATGCAGATCTACATTTTCTTACTCATTTGATCTCAATGACATTATAATAATATTTGAAGTCATTTATAATTTGTAAAAGTTGTATCAAATATCAGATAGTAAAATTTGTATTATAGCAATAAAAATAATCAGATTTCTTTAACTTCCTAGTAAGATTTATAGTAATTTTAAACGATATGCAAGAATCTTTTTTCAACATATTATATTTTTTTAAATAGAAAAAAGAAGCTCATTTGTCTTTAAAAGCCTTTTTCCGATCTTGTACAATAAAATATTTTTTTAAATTCTCGAAAGAAATATGATGTTAAATAAATAAATGTATATCAACTATATATTTCCTTATTTCTTTTGTAACAACGATTTCATTTCAGACGATTCTAAACGTTCCTTCTATTTTATCGATAAAACATCATTTTTGCGCACCCTTTTTTATTGGTTATTGAATAAAATAATAAATGATTTTCCATGATTAAGAACAAAAAATATTTTCGTTTGTATTTAAAAAAACTTTTCTGTTTTTAACATAAAATCGGTAGGTTTGTGCTTTGTTTCTATATGTATTTTAATTGTGGAAAAGCATTTATTATTCTATTTAACCAATATAAAAAGAAAAGGGTGCACAAAAATGATGTTTTATCGACAAAACAAGACAGCGTTTAGAATCCCCTCAAGTATTATTAATTAATAGTGTACAAGCATACGGGATATATTATTTCGTATGACACACAAATTGACATACAGCTGGTTCAATCTCATAGAGTTATGCATAATTCTGACAGTCTTGTCGAATTAGAAATGACGTGACCGTATTTCTGTATATTAATATGTCTATATTTTTATAATACGATTCACAGAATTTATATGCGCGTATATCTCATTCATTACTTTGTCAATTATAAATTATAAATATTTGAATTAGAATAAAATTAGATTATAATTATACATTTAATATTTTCTTGTATTCGTCCACTAAAGTATTAAATTAAGAGCTAAACGATAAAAAAATTTTGAAAAATTGAATTGTTTGTAACCTGGACCTACATATACATAGAATTGAATATGATAATTAAATATCTAGATATGTTTTATGCTCAGAATTATTTAAACCGAAACTGAAAAGCAATTAGTGATGCTTGGTATATGCGCATATTTTGTTTTGTCGTTATTGTGTTAAGCTACTCTCCAAATGTCAACTAAAGACAGAACGATATTGATAGAATCAACTTTAGTTACTCCTATTTCCAATTGGATGAGCACTAGAATATATAATTAAATAATAATTATATATACATACAAATGTCTGTGTAAATAGACGCAACTTGAAGTTGATTCCATCAATATCGGTTTGTCTTTATACACTTGACATTTAACTTTGTGTCTGAACAACAGATACAAGGACAGAACAATATATACCAGATATTACTTAATTGCTATCCTGTTATATTCAATAAATTGTCACAATTTATCTAAAATACTCAATAACTGTATAATTATAATATAACACGATAACAGTTTTATATTATATACATGTATAAATATAAATACCTGTTTTTCAGTATACTGATTCCACGAATGGATGAAAAAATGAATAAAAGTTTGTAAAATGCAACGCATAAGTTTCGGTGATGGATCGATGATGGATCATGGACATTTCATATATTTTCCAAAGGAAGAAACTCGTCTTGGAAAGATGGAAAGGAGGATCCAGTTTCAAGATGAGAATAACGTTGAGATAGAAGTAGAATTCTAATCAATATTATCATCGCAAAAACGAAGATAGGATGTTCCTGGGAAGAATAGAACAAAAAATAGGTTAATATAAAATTTTCTAAACAGAATCGTAATAATTATAACAAACTCGTTCAAAAATTAACTGAACAAGATATAATTATTAAAGATAGAAAATGTAAAATATGATAAATGTAAAAAGATAATAAGAACATTATCATAAAATATAGCACAAGAGAGAATAAAATATGCACAATTTCTCAATTTTTGTTAGAATTTAATACGTGTCATTATAAGTAAAATAGAACAAGGAATTTTTAGAGAGCCGCAGAATTTATTTTTGAAATCATGATTTCATTCTACAAAATAATATGTGCTTTGTACATGTAACTTGTCGTAAAATATGACAGCAATTTTGAGACATTATTACATTTTCATGGCCTAGTACAGATTAAATTTTAAATCTTATATTTTTTTATTTTGAGTTCCACAAATTAAACTATATCATAAATGAATTTTACATAAATTGAAAAACATCTCCATATGTTATAATCATACAAATATTATTATAACATCTCTGCATCTCTCTAAAGATAAAAAAATATTAAATTAAATTAAAACTTGAGCGCAATACATTCATAAATATATATATATTTACTATCTTTTTTTATACTCTTTATATACTTTAAAATTGTGTACACATGAAAGAGAGAGAAAGAGAGACATTAATAATCTTATAACAAAAATTCTTACCTGATAATTTCGATTAAAATCATGTTAACTAATTAGTTTTTAGATAAATCAATTTCAGAGTTTTGAATCTATATGCACAAAAATGCACTTTGTGGAATGTGATATTGGAATTTGATATTTTTGTTTGTATCTATATATTGAATTGAGGCTGTAATTATACGACATATCGGATGTCGTTTAACATTTTCTTGTTTCTAATGTAAATCTGATTTATCATGTTCTAACTGTGAGCAAGTAATTAATAAAACGTTATATTTTAATTAACATTAATTAAAATTAACAAGTTTGAAATTAATAGATAATATTTATAAAAATATATGTCAAAGAATAAGTTAAATTTAGATATTAAATATATATATATATATATATATATATATATTTTTTTTAAATAAAATAATACGATATAATATTGTTTGGTGCATTGTGCGACATGCAATCTAATTTCGTGTGTACTGATCTCAATTGACAATTAATCGATCGTGACAACAGATCGACAATTAATATTCTTCTATATCTCAACTCGTTTATCTTTAAGATGTTTTTCGAACTAAGCGATTAAAGAGACATTAAGCATTATATATCGTGTGACAGTTCTCAATTATATTGCTCAGGTAGTACGTAAGAAATATCATCCCAAGGATGGCGATAAAGGCCTTGCTTTAATCTCTTCTGATCCATATAATGACCTAAAAGAAAAACTTGTCAATGTTTATGCATATTTAATAACTAATATAAATATATATATGACGTACCGATAAATCCTATACTTCGACCAAGGATGAAAAGGCTATTTATGGCACCTATTTCAACGTATTCTTGCGCCTCTTCTCTCGTAAAGCTACCACTATTCCGCAGCATATCGACGAAGGCGCTGGCGATAATTCCATCCACATTAAGAATTAAATTAGGCTTCTTACTGGTCGTTATTTTCTCAACCTCCAAGGCATATTCGACCAAAGGTTTCGCAGGAAAATTCTCCAACACGAATTCTTTAATAAGCTTGACGCGCATATCTGGATTGTTAATCGACTTGACACGATGACCAATACCCATAATTAGTTTGCCCTTCTTACGCGTGTTATTTACAAATTCTTGCGGATGTAGACCGGCGTCGTATGCCTCGGAAAACATGCGAGCCGCACCGTCTAAGGCACCACCGAAACGATCACCCTGCAAATTAATATCTCTTTTTAGAATACGAATTATCTCTCAACGAGACGTATATTTCCTTTATTAAGGCTCCTGGCTCGCCGCAACTATGTTAGATTGTGACGTAAAAATTCATCAAAGAATTTTCAGCGTGTGCTTCTCATCTCTGACGTCACAATTTCTAATATGATCGGCGAGGAGTCAGAAACCTAAGTTCTTTCTTTACTTACAATTGTCAAAAGTCCGGAAACGAGAGAGCTGACCAAATCTTTTCCAGCGCGCGCGCAAACGATGGTATTATGAGCTCCGGAAACAGCCGGACCGTGATCAGCTGTGAGCATCAACGACATTTCGAGGAATTTACAGTAGGTTGGGGGTAAACAACGCTGGAACCATAAGAGTGACACAACACCGCCGATGCCCACATTCTGTTTCAGCACCTCAGTTACAGGCATACCGGCGTACAATAATTCCTGTCCACGTTCATCGCAAATAGATGTCATGAATGACGCAGGTTTACGTATTAAACCAAGTTCCTGTTTATACGACATATATAAATATTATATTATATGCATGATGCTCATATATAATTATTTAATTTTCAATTATATTAAAAAATAGAAATTACGCGCTTAATAAGAACCGAGCTCTCAATTTGCTTTAAAAATTAATAGTTTTAATTCAAACAATATAAAGTATAAAAATAATATCGTGTTATATCAAAGAGAAATAAATTGATACGAGAGGAAATAGTCTGGAACACACAAATTCGCTTTATAAATTTTGTATCACGACTCTTGATAACGAAAATAGAATATCGCGTACTAGATCAATAAATAAAAATAAAACTTACCCTGGCCCAATTATAATCCATCGGTACTGTTGGCGGTGGAACTTCGGGTTTCGGCACTACCGTGCCGCCTTTCACCAGCTTTTCATAAACGGTTTGTATGAGATCGCCAAGAGTATCGAAGCTGTCCGGGACATAGGCACCAGCGGCCTTCAGCGCTGCGTTTTTCGCGGAGGCTGTCTCAAGATTGGAATGCGCGATCGAACCGGCATGGCCAAACTGCACCTCGGAATTGAACATACTGGCGCAGGTACCGATGCACCAAGCCACCAACGGCTTCGTGATCCTGCGGCTTTTCAATGCTTCACATACTTCGTATTCCTCGACACCGCCGACTTCTCCGAGCAGAACGATTAACGCCACCTCTGGATTATTCTGATAACGCATTATGTGATCCATAAAGGTAGTTCCCGGATAACGATCTCCACCAATGGCGACACCCTCGAGTACGCCGTTGGAAGCCTTGGAGATGATATTATTTAACTCGTTTGACATGCCACCGGAACGGGAGACGTAAGCGACGCTGAAAATAACGTTTGCTATATGAGTCGACATCGTTGACGTTGTTAATTAATCTTACTTTCGTACAAAAATTGTTGTGTTGAGAAGATATCTCCGCTGTGCGATATATATTACCTGCCGGGTCTGTATAATTTGCTATGCAGAATGTTGTCCATCATTCCACCAGTATTGCCGATTTTAAAGCAGCCCGGTTTCACGCCTCCCACAGTCGCCGGTCCAATTATAGTCACGTTTTTTCGTTGCGCCTCTAAGATCAATTTTCTAGTCATATTTTCAGGTATACCTTCCGCGATTATCGCGATTGTCCTGATTTGCGGAAACTGCAACGTTTCCATAGTACTTTCGTAGGCGGATCTTAGAGAAGCAAATGTAACCATTACATCCGCATCAGTATGCTTAGCCATAGCGTCTTTCATTTGTTTATAGACAGGAATGAGAACCTATTTAAAGAAGATAAAACCAATACAATTATTAATATTTTACGATTAATCTTATTTTATTTTATAAGTTTTTTTAAATATGTTCTGTGTTGTTAGCTTTTATTTTCCTATTCAAAACTTACCTCCTTATGGCCCCAGTAAAACTTTTGCTTATGATCGCCAGTGAACGGATAAACGATAGCAGCGACAGATGGCTCGAATCTTCGGCAAACAAAATCAAAATCCAACATACTCTGTACAGCTCTCGTCTGCATGCCCCAAATGATGGATTTCGTTTTATTGCTGAAAAGTTGTCTGTCACTGCTGTTCGAATCCACTGCATCAACAGCTCTTAACTTAGGTTGTTCTAATGGCAATTTGTTTTTGGACGGCGTAGATGGTGGTCCGACATCTTGTCCGGAAGGCAAGAGAAAGTTTGCAGTTGAGAATTCTTGAGCTTCCGGGTCGGGGATCGGTTTCTTTCCTAACGCCATAGCGCATATAGCTGTCATATGTGTTTCGGGACCGAATACGTGAACGGGAATCCCTAGACGTCTACCAACTTCCCGTATTATCCTGTCCGGAATAATATTCTATTAAAAATTACATTTTACTTCTTTTATTAACAGTATAAAAAATTTCTCTTATTTACCTTAAGCCTTCTTGATAATTAGGTCCGGCTCTTCTTACAAAAATTCGTATATCATGCTCTACCAGTTTGGGCTGATATTCCTGAAGGGCCTTAACGATACCTTTGAATGTCGCAGCTACATTTGTGAAATTAGCAATTCCACCTCCTATAATCAACACTTTCCCATCGGCACGCTTTGTCTTCGTCATCAAACTCAGGATGGTTTTTGCGTACTCGTAAGTTTGTTGCTCGCTAGGGGCACCGGAATATTCGCCATAATTGGCCAATTCATCCGCCGCACCCAAGTCGCAAATCGTGTCCGAATATATTACAGACGCACCTGTAAGAATTATAAAATCGTAAAATAGTATTTATAAACAAGCCACGAAAGAACGAACACGAGTTATTATGTGAACATCTACCGACCACCACCAGCAACCATTGTCCATATGCGGCCGTTTGGATTAAGAATCGTCAATTTTAAACTGGCGCCCGACTTGGCATCCAAATCAGCTATGTAGGCTTCCTCCGGATAAGCGTCCCTTCCAAATGGCGGTGGATAATCGATCTCACCCCAGTCTGGTTTGCATATAAAATCCGCCGTGGTATCCAGCTTGGCTGCGAGATCGAGTATATAAATTGCAGCATCCGTTACCACCAACGGATTGATCTCCATGTATGTGAAATATAAATTAACGTAAAGCTTATAAAGAGATTCTATGAATTCAGCAATCACCCTGTATTAGAAAGAGGAAACGTATATACAAACATATATATATATATATATATACAAACATAATTTACAATGATTAAGCGTCACTTACACTTTTTTGTCGTCCGTCACATTGGTCAGAAGTCTATTGATTAATGTAGATCGATCCGGCAATTCGCCGCCAACTGGTATATCTAATTTCAAAGCTTTAGCATCGACATCTCCAATATCAACACCTCCTTGATGATGGAATAGTATTGTATCAGCTTTGCGATGAGAATAAATACAGATATAAACTTCCTCCTCCTGCAAGGTAAGTATGTAAAATACATTAAATGCTACAAAAATATCTCAATTTATAAAACGGCAGTTATATTTTAGCATATTTGAAATGAGCACATTAAACATGTAGACATATTATTTTAAAAAATTATATTTAAAAAAAAAATTATTGTATAAAAAATGATTACATATATGTTAATATGCATCTTATTGATTAAACTTGTTTTTCTACACAAAAATAAGATATCATTAAATTGTCACCATAAATGAGAGAATGAAAAATTATATATATTGTAAATTTAATTCATGTGTTCAATATATATACTACATTTTAATAACAAAAGAATTATATCTAATAAAGTGCAATGTTATACTGCGTATTTTACATGAGTATTTGTGTACTTTAATATAGCATTATCGACCCCGAAGATATTTTTAGACAAAATATTTCTAAAAGCACAAAATTATATAGGTAGAATGCGAAAATCGAATTAGAATTGAAAAATAACAAAAATTGAATATAAAACGACTTAGTGTGGGTGCTGTTTTCTTATTGTTGTATCATATTTATAACATTTAAATAATATTTTAATAATAATTTTTACCCAGAGCGATCGCAATCGTTGTTTTCGACTGGTATATTAAATTTTGTATCCTCCATTTAATGTATTATCATAATATATTTCAGAAATTTCGGTTTCATGTTTTTTAAGAGATACGCATTTACATAAAAAAAAGAATCTTACCGGTTTGTGCGGTACGAATGGCTCGATTATGAATGTTTTTAACTTTCCAGTCGCCTTGCCGACACGTTGTTCCTTGTTCATGCGTTGTTCGACCCATTTTTGTACCGTGGGTAAATCTGCGTTCACCTTGATTAATCCGAGCTTTCCTCGGCGTTTGATTAATTGATCCGGCTTCACGACCAGTTTCTCCGTCTTGAGCCACGGATACTCGTTGGCGATATCGATCCAATTTGTATCTTCCGTAATAGGCACGAATCTGCATTTTGTTACTTTTGTTCCGACAGAAAGCTTACGATTAATTAACTCTTTTCCAGTCGCCTCGCGAATTGCCTTTGCTGCCATTTTTCTTTACAATCCTGTCGACAGATCAATGTATAGATTTATATATTTTTACATATTTGGATACTCTATATAGAATAATTCCAAGATTAGATATGAGGATATAGAAAAAATACATAGGGAAAGATAATATGTACAATTGAGAAAATTCGATTCTACGAAAAAGTATCCTTATCCAAGTCTGATAAAATTTTATTTATATATCATATCTTTAATATATTTTCTTAAAATAATGTAGATTTTAATATCATATTTGAATATAAATATTCATATACATATTTGAAAATGTAATCTAAAAAAAATATATTTAAATCTTTATTATCTCCATCATACTTTCTTGCGTCACTGATTATATCACGTGATCAACACGTACATGTTTAATAATATTCCTTTGCGATAAATATAGGCAACTTATCACTTAACAATTATAATGTATATAGAAATATGTATTATATATTGGAGAGTATTAATATTTGTACATGTTCACTATTGTAAACTGATTATGTTCTGGCCTTTAAGAAAAAAGATTTTTGAGACTTAAATTGCAGAGCTTTTAAATAGATGGATTTCTTTGTTAATTTTTTAAATTAAAATTTTGGTGATAAATGAAAATTTGTGTATGTACCTGCGAGAAAATGATTCGATTTCTCGTGGATGTTGCTGTTCTTACTGTCACTAGCTAACTGTGAGCTTTCAATGTGACACCACGATATAAAATATATAACACTACCATATTCCCGCCTGATATCACGAGATATCGTACGATTTTACGAAGGCTCTTTTTTTGATATTTTGTATCTCATTCGCTCTCTCTATCTCTCTCTTACAATTTATCTCGCGTACTTACATACATATAAATTATTTATGAATATAGTACAGAAAGAGAATGTATTGATGATATCACATGTCTTTTCTGTGACCGGTTATAAAAAAATATACGATATTATCGAAGCGGATAATTAATCATGTGATTAATGGCGTGACATAATTTCAATTAATATTAAAGCTATATTAATATTTTTAATAAATTGCTTTGACAGAATTATAAATATATTCATAGATATTTGTTTCCCTAATTAACTAGTATCCGAGGGGAAAAAAAACTCTTTTTTCATAAGTTTACATCTTAAAATGTAAATTTGAACATAATACATAAACTGTGTGAATAATGTATGAGCTATTAAAAATTTATAAGAATAAATCTTTACACTTATATTGTTAATGTATCTCCCCTCTTCCTCCAATAATCCTTGACTTTGAAAATTTATGTCACGATCTTGAACTTTCAAAGGGTTTGCAGCAAAGATGAAATCATTTATAATTAAAACATTAATATATACTTGACGAGAAGAAAGAAAATATATCAATTAATTTAATAGTTTAAATAAGTTTAATTTAAAAAAAATTGTAAAAATTGTTCCTCTTTCAGTTTTTTCATTAAATATTACAAAAATTATTAAGATGTAAAAAAAAAAATTTTTTTTCGAGAGAAAATGAACATGGAACATACACATGAAGTTAAACTTATTTCATAGAAAGCCATTTGGAGATTTTTGAGTTGATTTTTCAATTATTTTATATTTGTGTATAATTGTAATATATATATATAATTATTTTTAACAATTTATGTTAAACGTAATTTTTATGTTAAAAATAATTCTGACTTAAAAAATTAAAGAAATTCACTACTCGGAATAAATTAAAAAGTTAAATATCTATGCATTACTTTACAAGAATTATCGTGTTAAATTCTAAGAGATATTCATATTATATATTTCGAAATAATGTTGTAAATATTTATATCTTTCAGTGACTATTAAGTAAAATTAAACTAATTTTTGTGGATAGACTTGTAATTATTTTTCAATCTCATTATTGTGTACTACGTATTCTTTTGCGATAATGTTATTTCCTAGTATATAGATGTTACATGCGATTTTGAAATTAATTCAAAACTAATACTGTTAATAATTTATACAGGGTGTTAAAAAATTAGACCGATAAACTTTGAAGAGAGAAAGAAGACTTCGAAATAAATATAATATTTATATTTATAATAATATTTTTTGTTACTAATTTTCTCTCCAACGTTTAGTTTTAATACTACATGATATGAGATATGAATGTGATTTTTTAGTTTACTGTAAAAACAATAAATTATTTTTATATGTTTGTTCCTGTTTTGTTCAAGATTAAAATGCAATTTAATTTTTCCACTTATACGTTTGTTTATTTTGTTTAACTTACTTCATACCATGTAGTATAAAACTAAAAACGCCGTAGAGAAAAATACTTAACAAAAATGATTATTTTGAACTCTTTGATTTTTTCCTTCAAAATGTCAGTCTAATTTTTTAACATTTGTACATCAAATCTGTCTCTTTATATGAGACACATTTTCGCGACACGAGAAACAATTAGTTATATACATAACATAATATATCAATTACATTTCAATATGTATCGCCTTACAATTCCGTCAGAACAAAGTGCAGATTTTTTGGTTTGCATACAATTATCACATAATGTACATATTATATATAACTCCTTTTATGCGCGTTTTTTTCATGTCACTAGTACATACATTATACAAGGTCGTTGCATGTCACGCATAATAGTAAATGATAGCAAAAAGCCATTGATAGGAATGCAAGATAATAATAAGTTCAAGTTAAGTTCTTGCTATTGTAGATTCTTTTCTACCACTGAGACTAAAAAACACTGAAATTTTATTTTAAATAAAAAAAAGAAAGGTAATGAAAGTTTCGGAATTGCTCCGAATCTCCCTGTCGAAAATCTAGATTCATTTTCGATGCAAAAAAATGTTGATTCAGTTAAACAACCTAATTGATGCTATAAAATAATTTATTTTCCGCATATTTACTTGTTCTTTTTTTCGTTAAAAGTTCGAAGGAATTTCAGAGTCGAGACTATACATACATACTAACAAATACATAAATGAATACTAAATAGCGTCCGCATGCGTAATTTGAAACACTCAAATAATTATATTCGTGCAGAAAATCGTACTATTACACATATATATACAGGGAGTTTTAAAAGATTTATAATTATCCCGATTCATCTTTAACTGTATAATAATCTCTTAATGATTTATTAATATATTAAACATTTTTACGTAATTTTTTTATACATGTTTTTTCCTCTTCATCGACTGAAAAATGAAGAGCAATCATATTTTTCCAATGACTAGAAGTTACCAAGCAAATAAGAAATTATATTCTCCATTTGACTTTTAAAGAATCGGTTAATATGTTTGCTCGACTAAGATCATATAACGTTATTTTTTCTATGTAGATAAAAGTGTTAAAAACAAAATTACATTCGCATATCCGTTATAATAAATGAAACGCGTTTTCCACACTGAAAAAACTATTTATGCAAAATTACATGATTATGTTAGGTTTTTCTCCGATCCAGAATAATCATGCAATATTGCTGCTATTTATATGAAAGATTATATGTAATTTCATATGAATATATTCTTAAATATTTTCAAAATTAAAAATATTTCACTGAACAAGGAATTACACATAGAAAATGTTATAAAATAATGTTATAAATAAAATAAATAAATACTTAATAAAATAAAGTTCTAATAAAGTAAAAGTAGTAAATTTAAAATTACACATGATTTTTGCATACAAGTAGTAATTTTACTTATATTTTACATGTAATTTTACATTAATATGTATTTTTACTTTAAAAGGCATGGACAAATAAATTACAGTAATTAGCAATTAATTTTTCCAATTCTGAACAAGTCATTTCCATGTAAAAATACATGGATTTTTTTCAATGTAGTTATCAGAAAATTCAAACTTTCTTTAGATTTAAATTTATATCTTTATAAAATTGACATTATATATTCTATTGCATTTATACATATATATATATATATATATATATATATATATATATAATATATTAACTTGAGTTTTTTTTAATTAAATGGGACAAGGTGTCTGAAAATTTGATGGAGAGAAAAATAATGTTGGGGTCTTTAAGGCATAAAAAGCCCCCCCCCCCCCCCCGCATTTTTTCTTAAACGGAATAACTATATTTTTTCATATTTAATTTAAAAAATTTAATTCAATAAATTATCACTAACAATGACGGAGAACACAATTTTTTAACACTTTATGTGGGACTATTCCGGAAAAAAGAATATATTATAGTTGCGCAAAAACAATCTTCCAATGTTATCTACCTATGAAAGATAAACGCGTCGTCCGATCGCGAATAAAGAACTGAAACGTCTTTTTTTTTTGACGCGTTGCATCTTTAACGATTCTTGCTTGCATAATTGAAAATGTGGAACGTACATCGCGCACTCGAACAATGCGTAAATAATTAGCATTTCAAATATTATGATAAAATACTAAGAGTATAGAAATTACCTAGTTTTATTATTAGATTATTTTAATGGAAGAGAAACATAGTATTGCACTTAGCGAATAGATTAATGTCAATATTTTATTATCTGTTGTCAAAGAGAAAACTTAATGTAACGTTAAACAATATATACAGGGTGTCTGAGACCACCCGTACATTTGAAAAACTGAGCGTGACAGATAAAAATGTTTTAAACAAAAGTTGTAGGGCTTTAACAAATATATAAAATGGATACATATTTGACCTTGATAGTAGTTATGAAAGAAGTCTCAAGGTCAGTTTTCAAAAGTTTTCGAATTATTTAGCATGTATGGGTGGTCTCAGACACTCTGTATATTCAAAATAACTTTTCAGTGAGCTTTCTGAGCAAGAATTTTGTATAAATTGTAAATAAATATGATATATACTCTATTTATTGTGTGCAATAAAATTATTTCTTGACATTGCAGTAATTTACATCAAGTATCATTACAATTGAATGAAGCATTATTATTTTAAGTGTCATTCAAAAAGTGTTTTATCTCTTATATCAAGTAATGTCTATTAGATAATAAGATAAATTAACGACAAATCAAAAATAAACTTTTGATAGCCATTGAAAATTTAAAATTTGATATAAAAAGTTATATTATAAATCATATGAAAAATAAAACATGTTAATTTTTTTTATTCGAAACTTCTCAATCGAGATCAAATATTCGCTCTGTTCTAAAATTTCACCGTAGAATTTTCACTCTTCTTCTAATAACATAGATAAAATGTCATTATGCAATGCTCTGCCTTTCACCCACTTTCTCTAACGTGATCACGTGGTCATCATGCAAATGAGTAGGGGGAAAGCAGTGAAAGAAGAAACAATCTTAATTTAGAGTAGAGAAAAAACAGCTGATTTATAAGAGAGAGAGAGAAAGACATCTAGAATACAGAAATGCCAGAAAAGCGAAAATAGAGTATATCAATAATAAATTTCTAATCAATAAGAGATATTCGAAATTAAAAAAAAAACAGAGAAACAATATATTTGATTAAAATATTTATATCTAAATCATATAAATATTTTTTCAAACCACCTATATTTTACACATACATACACACTAAATTTGTATATATATATATATATATATATATATATATACATACATATATATATATAAATTTTGACAGCTAGTGTGATCAATACCGCATTGTCGAGGATTATTACACCAGATATATTTTTGTTCGAAAAATTTCTCCCTCCCCTCCCTACACATCTTTTTCAATGTCACAAACGCGCTTTGTATATAATAACAAATTTCAAATATTTATTCGCCGCTAAATCACGAATGCGAGAGAGCCGGATGACGTCGTTGCTTCGCATACTAAAAATATATTCTTGAATGAAAAAGCGACGCGAGATCCTATCGCGCGATAAGATTCGCGAAACGAAATCATCCGTGAAAAAAGCGAGTCGAGAGATAAAAATATGTAATTGTAAAATATTCGTCGGGGCTGAATCCGCGAAAGAGGTTAGAACTTCGAAAGTGCTCGATGCGCAACTAGATGTTCGTAATCTCCATATCGGCGATGAATCGCTTCGATGATCGATTTACTCACAAGTGACAGATGACACGTCCGGCTTCGTAAAATCGTTGAAAACCACTGGGAGATCCTGAAGAATTCCGTGAGCGAGACCCAGCGTGCATCCACTTGCTCGCGCTGCCATGAAAAGATTACTTGAGCTTGAGATTCTCCTCTTGACTGCGTCGTGAAATATTGCCACAATACGGGCGCGAAATATAACTTTTTCGGGGAGGCTGATTTCCCGTTCGCGGGAATAAAAATCAGGCCGAGTGACATCGCGGCACGGCTCGATCTTAGAAACAATCGGCAACGAAGACGCGATCGAGACACCTACGTGATAAAAATGATAACGATTTAAACTTTATTCAAGGCGTCCATGTGCTAAAAATATCAGATTTCACGCTCTCACGTTGGCCATGGATGCCAATCGCAACGAATAACAGTGACGTCATCGGCAAACGTCACATCGGACGATCTTTTCCACGTATGATACGATGTGTGCAAAATACGTGGAACCGGTTATTATAGGACCAATTGTATTCCTTTAGAAAGAATTGAGCCAATTTAATAAAATTTAATGGTACAATGTAAGATGGAAATGATTATGAGACAATAAAATATAAATCTTTTCCAATTACAATATTAAAGACAATAAATACAGCTGAATAATCATACTAACGATAATGAAATTTAAATATATTAAAATAATTCTTTAAACGTAAAAAGAATTTTTTTGCATTTGTTGTAACATACCTGATCACGCCGTGCATTAATAAAATATACATTAACATTAACATATACATTTCTTCTCCCATGACATGTATATATTAAAATATTGTTTTTTGTTACTTATTTTACTTTTTACATATTGTAAATTAATGTATTAAAATTACATGAGGAATGTATGAATCTTGAATCTTTATGCCACGTGTGTTTAATGTTTCTGAAAATAACGTTTCGTTCTTTTCATTATTATTATTATTTGTTGCCATCTCCCCTTGGTCATTTGAAACTCTTACAAATATAATTTGATGTATGTAATTGTGATGTTTTTTTTCATATTGCTTATAGGCTTGTATAAATTGATATATAAATGCATTCATCTATCTTTCCCTTCTTTTTCATACATTGCACAATATTGCGTGATATTTCTTAAAGGCATAGCTTAAATCATTAATAATAATAGCTTATGCCATGTCAGCAATTACACTCTACCTTCCAATTTGGCAATGGTATCGTGCACACTTTCTATTACGCTATATATATATGGACGTTCCATCGGATTGACTTTCAACATTGACAGGATTAAGTTCTGCACATCCTGAAAAAAATATAATTTTTTAAATTATATTTAAAGATATCCTCGAAATTAATACCATGCAAAAATAAGGGCATAAAAATCTGTCCACCTTTAGAGAAAAAGTCTAATTTCATTTAAAAATTTAAAACAAGAATTTATATACTGAATTTTATGTATTTACTATAAATTTAACATTTATAATTAATATAGTAAATATTATTCAGATATTAAATGTTTACTTTTTGTTTAAAAAAATAAAACAAATCAGAATAAAAAGTAAAATATAAATCTATCAACAATTAAATTTATAATAAATATTTCATTTTTCATGTTTTATTGCAACATTCAAATTTTGACATGTAAAATTAATAAATGTTACTAATAATATTAATAATGGATAGACCTATAAAAAACACAAAGTGTACAACCTCATTATACGGAGTATCTTCCGGAAATGTTACATGTGCACTCATCACGGCAAGAGCTACGCTGTCACCACGTTCGTAAACAGTATCAAAAGGAGATTTAAAATAACATAATGCATATAATATACATCCCAATGACTGAAAAAAGGCAAATATAATAAAATCTAGTGCACATGTTATTTGCAAAAAATATATTAAAAAAAATATAAAAGTACAATACTTACCCAAATGTCTGTTCGTTCATCAACCATGGAATAGCTCTCGACGTTGAATAATTCTGGTGCTCTATATGGCATAGAACATCGTTCAGCTGCTAAATCTTGTAAAACCCGTGCAGCTTGAGTACCACATACTTGAACTCTGGCAGTTGCCATGGAACCTAAACAGTAATTTAGTATTTAATGACGAAAGAAATTGAGGTTTAATAACTAAATATTAATAAAATATAATAAAAAATAATCTACCCAAATCCATAATGACTGGTGTTCCATCATCGCTAAGTACTATATTTGCAGTTTTCAAATCTCTGTGTGCAAGAGGTTCTGGTTTAATTTCGTGAAGTGCTTTCACCCCCTCGCAAATCTGTAGAAAAATGCTAAGAATATCTAAAGGATTCATGTAATCACAATTCTTTGCTCGCCGTTCTAATTCATTCGCTAAAGTTCCTCTCTAAAATGGCAAAAATATTGATAAATTTATCAAAAAGAATGTAAAAAATATATCTTGATTAAAAAGTTGTCTTAACTTACGTGATAATATGGTAAAACAATCAACACTTCACTTGTTGTGTTGAGAATTGGATCCGCTGTACCCTTGCGTGTCGAATCTACGCATTCTATAATGTTTGGATGATTTATCAACTTATAATACTCAACTTCTTTCCCTGCCAATTGTTGATCATCTAATCCATAGCAAACAATTTTTTTAATAGCGTACTTTTTGTGTGTAACAACATCCTCAGCTAAGAGTACTGTGCTGAACCCGCTAAAAAATAGAAAATTTTGTCACTTGTTACACTTTTTTAGAAATATTAATTGCCTTTATAAAATTTTGATAGACTAGAATAAAATCTCTTTGTAGATAAAAAAATATCCCTTTGTGTTTATATTGCATCAAACACAAAAATTAGGTTAATTGTTTAGAAATCATTTGTAATTAATGCATTATTTTGCATTTGATCGACAGAAATATTAAAATTATGAAAAATAATATAATATAAAAGATAATATAATATGAAAAATATAATATGAAAAATATCAAAATTATGAAAAATTAAACATTTTTATTAATATTTGTTTGATGAAACTTGCCCTTCGCCGAGATGTTCGCGGACCCTATATTTCCTCGAGTTTACCGTAATGGTCTCTTTGGCGCATAAACAACCCATCCTTAAAATTATATTTAGACCTAGACTATTCATTTTCAGTTTATTTTCATCACGGCAAAAATCAAAATAAATTTGGCAAGAATTATCTTGCCGTTCGTTCGTTTGCTCGGAGCATGCAAACGTTTTGACACGTCAAACAACGTCAAATAACTAAGTTAGGTTAGATTAGAACTCGGAATTTTTTGTACGACGCCAAATTCGTTATTATCGCCATCTATCGGACCAATTTAGAAGTTTAGTACATTTTCGGTCGGTAAAATTGCACTATCGATAAAATCGCTTTTTAGCGCTATACAAATTGTATATTTGTGTGTCATCTTCATTATATTAAATATAAATTAATATATATATATTAATATATACATCCTCATTATATTAAATATATTAATATATATATATATTAATATATAAATAAATATAAATTAATATATGTATATATATATATATATATATAGTAATATACATTATATAGCTAATAATCAAATACATACATTAAAAATTTGCTATCGCAATTAAAAATCAATGTATCAATTAAAAATTATTTATTTTATCAATAAATATATTATTATATTATTAATCAATTAAAAATTTATTATAATAGCTTATTTATCTTATTGATTTATTCATATAATATTATAGTTGCTTTATTTTTTTATACGCAAACTATTTTTAATTGCGATTGATTAATGTTGTGTTAAAAATAATAGAAAAGTTTAATTGTTATAAATAGAATAATTAAAATTTAATTTAAAAAATAAAATAAAAGACCGCATTTTTTCTAATTACCGTTTGCAAACGGTATAGTAATAGTTTACAACTACTTTTTATGACACGCCGTACAACCATTTACATCTACGTTTGCGCAATTGTAGAACAGGCTTATTTAAATCACCGAAATAAACAGAGGAATAAACAATAGATTTCATACAAACGACAAATAAAATAATAAATAATAAATTATTCTATACCTCTTTTATGTAATGTTACTGATGTTTTTCCAAACTTCTCATCCTTTCTTATTCTTCCTGGCTGTTTCTTTATGACGCAATATTCGATCACAAAAACAATTAATTACGATCACTCATGCACTATTCATTAGAATGTATAATAATCACACAGCACTTGCACAATATATATATTCTTAATGCTAATAATTGTACACAACATATATATGTTGTCTTACACTCGCGAAATAAATGTGTATTAAATTATAAAAAAGTCGATATAACATTAGATTTTCCATAATTCGTTCTGAAAATAATGAGAATCCAAATTATACACACAAATCGCGATTATAAATTCAAATTATAAATTATATATAAATTAATATTAAATTCAAATTGTAAATTATTATATATATATAAATTTTATATAAATTATAAATTAATTATAAATTATTTGGCACGGAAATTATAATTGCGAAGACTGATGATCGCTATATAATGATTATAGCGAATCATCGTGTATTGTTTAACGTTATACATATTATTAATTTATTACGTTTCAAATGTAATACCGACAAAACTATACCTCTCCGCTCGAGTCTCGCCACGTGAATGACAGCCGAACGACTGCATATAAATAACAGTATGCATTTGTTCACGTACTAATATACACCGCGAAGGCCGAATACATAATATAACAATTGCGTATTTGGTTATTGACATATGACATATAAAATATTTAACGCGCTACGAAATAAAATTATGTGAAAAACATTCTATTACGGCCTTATATTTTTCTAGAAAATGATAATTAAATTATATTTATTGTTAGAAATCAGCAAAAAGGAAAATTCGATATATTTTAATCTATATTCTAATTTGCTAACGAAATATTTATTTGTATAAAAATTGCAATAATAAGACAATAATTAATTTATTACTTTTAAAATAACATATAGAATCATTATTTTAAAATTTATCGTATTACTCGATTTTGCTGATTAATTAAACTTTTTCTTAAAATCATAAATTTATCTAAATATAATTATCTACTAAATTATTTAAATTTAAATTGTAGCTATATGAGTAAAATATTTACATACCCATATACATATATAAGTATATAAATTCAATTTCACAATCTTTTGTCAAGAAACAAAAAAGAATATCTGAGTTTCGGTTTCGGTTTGAATGCCTGTCAGATAAATTGAGAAATCTAAAAAAAGAGATTTCAATAGAAATGTAAATAGTTATTGAAATAATATGAGTACAGTCACAGCTAAGGTAAACTGATTTCTGAGAAGCTATAATTTGAACTCTTTCCACATTTAAATATCTTAATAAAATGTATTAAATTAAAAAAAAATTTGAAACTAACATATAAATATCAAACTAACACATTAATTATTAACAATAAAAATTACCACCCAGGTGTTCTACATATTGACATGGGCGTTTATCGCGAGTTATTATTTTGCATGGGGCAGCAACCGGCCAAGTGTATCAGTTGCATCTATTGATGAATCTGGTTGGAGTCCGGATGGAACTTTTGCGAATGAAATAATGTCAGGAATAACAACGGAATGAAAGAAGGATAAAAAAATATGAATCGAGCAATGCTGTGTATACTGTAATAAGAATTATAAAGCAAAATTAAAATTAGGAGGACTTTATTACATCTATTTTCCATCAAAAGCCAAAATGTATTAACTAGAGAATAACTAGAAGTCAATTTTACACAAATAACAAGAATATTCTCTTGCGTCAAAATCTAATCTACATATAAATGAACATTATCCTTTTGTAGTCCCTTAGCCTTCCATGAGCATTTAGACAATATTTTTATATAAAGTTGCCATTTACTTATTCATTAGTTCTCTTTTTCATTCAGAAATTAAATATATATAAAACTAATAACTTTATATTAACAACAAATACTATATGTATATATACACGCGCGAGCGCACATATATAATATATGTATATACGTATGTAACAACAAACATATAATTCATATATCAATATGTATGTATGTGTGTGTATGTGTATATATACATATAATATTTATATATAAAATAAAACTCTATTATAGATTTTTACTTATTACTAATTAGGACGTCGCATTTTTTTCATGTTTAGAAGAACTTTCCTCATCCTCATCATTCTCTTGATTATTTTCAAGTTGCGCCTGCCACATTGCATTATAAACACCATTACATGAAATTAATTCTTCATGTTTACCTCTTTCAACAATTTCGCCATCTTTAAGGACAATGATCTCGTCTACATGAATAATCGTAGATAATCTATGCGCTATTATGATAGTAGTTCGTCCAGCGCATACTCTATTCAATGCTGCTTGTATATTACGCTCCGCTTGTGTATCTAGAGCACTCGTTGCTTCATCCAGTAGCACTATTTTAGGTGCTTTCAATATTGTACGAGCAATTGCGACGCGTTGTTTCTCACCACCACTGAGCCTAAGTCCCCTTTCACCGACCTAAACGAAAATTAAATAGTTTAAGTTAAATCCATTGCAAGAAGATAATTACAAATATTTTATAAGTACAGTAATTACAAAGCAATTTTATTTACTCAAATATAAATTATTCTTTCTTTATTTATTAATTTATTCTTTCTTTATATAATAAATACATCTTTAAATTTATCTTTAAATTTATCTTAAAATATGTTTGTTAGATAAGAAGCAATAATTAATAAAGATAAAACAGAAAGAGATGAGGAATTGTAACAAAAAGTACAGAAAAAATTATATTAAAAATTATATTAATATAAAAGAATCTAATTCTAATGTATCATATTTAACAAACCTGTGTTTCATAACCGTTTGGAAACGTGAGGATCCTTTCATGGATATCCGCATGTTTTGCAGCAGCGATTATATCTGCTTCCGGTGCATCAATACGACCATATTGAATATTATATTTTATAGTGTTGTTGAATAAGACTGTATCTTGCGGTACGACACCTGATACGAATTACGAGATGAGTATTTTTTATCAATATTAACAGATAATCGTCAAGTAAACGAATAGATCGGCAAAAGAAAACAAAAATGCATAATACAGAAAATACCTATGGCACTTCTCAGAGACTTCTGTTTAACGGTTTTCACATTCTGCCCGTCGATTAATATCTCGCCTTGTTCTACATCGTAGAAGCGAAATAGTAGTCGCATGATGGTACTTTTTCCAGCACCAGATGGACCAACAAATGCGACAGTTTTTCCTGCAGGGACGGTAAAGCTAATATTTCTAAGCACGATTCTTTCCGGGGTATAGCCAAACGACACATTGTGAAACGCCACTTGTCCCCGCTTAACATCTAATATTTCGGCTCCTGGTGCGTCTAGTATTTCTTGCTCTTCTCTGAGCAGTTCGAACATATTCTCCATATCCACGAAATTCTTCTGAATAGCCCTTTGAATAAAAAAATTTATTCAAATAAATGAACTGTTTTAAATGATAGATTTACAATTAATGTATAATCAATCAATTAAATTTACCTGTAATATGTTCCAAACCAATTTAATGGTACATAAAGTTGTATTATATAACTAGCAAACAAGACGTAGTCCCCAACCGTTAAACCTTCATGGAAAACAACCTACGAAAAAATTAATGTATCAATGTAGTTTACTATTATAATTAAAAATTGTTTTTTATAATAATTAAGATTGTTAACCATATGTAAACATAGCAAAGATCCAGACAGTAAACCACCACAGACAATTATGTTTTGCAAAGTATTCAAAATATTTAATGTAATATTCGATTTCCACTCCTGTACTTGAAAATCTAAGATTGCATTTTATAGCTGTCCACTTCGTATGTCTCGGCAGTGTAATATTTCACTGTTTCAAAATTAAGTAAACTGTCAACACTACGTGCTTTTTGAGCATTATCAGCCAAATTCATACGCCTTTGGAACTTTGTACGCCATTCCGTGATTAGAATCGTAGCAGCTTAAATTGAAAATTTATTGTAAGAAAGACTTTGGTAAAAAATTACACATTATATACAAAAAATTAAAATTAATAATTTGCAATCCACCAATTTCAATCTATGACAATCTAATTATTAATGTTATTGTTTTACGATTATATAATTTATGTTCTAATGTTACTCATTGAATATAACAGGTCACAAAATATATTATAGAATAATATACTCTCAATTATATTACACTCACCAATATAGAGAATCATAGTCGTTAAAACGATGAGACCAAACCATTTATTAAATGCACTGACGAAAAATATGACAGCGACTATAATATCAATAATAGTGGGCATAATTGAAAAAAGAATATAATTAAGCAGATTATCAATTGAGTCTGTGCCACGATCCATGACTCTTAATACTTCACCAGTCTTTCTCCCAAGATGCCATCGTAAGCTTAATCCATGTAAATGTCTGGAAAACATTATATATGAAATATAAATATATTCTATTTTTTACTAAATATAGTGATAAGAGCAAGTTTTGTGATGCAATTTTAATATTTATAGAATTAATATTATAGAAAGAGATGTATTTAACTCACTTAAATAATTCTATTTCTACTTCACGAGTAGTATATTGCTGAATACGAATCCAAAGAAAAGATCTCAAATTGTTTAATAAACCCATACCACCTGTACCACCGCCTTGCAAAAATTTGAACAGCACATATATCAATACTATATCCCATCTATAATAAGAAGTAGCAATAACTGATGATTAATGGCACAAGAAAAATATATTGAAAATCAATAATAAATAGAAATAAATGAAAAATCTTACAACTACATTTTTACATACCTAAATTTCACAGGTTCAATCACAACACTATCCACAATCTTTTTATTGTAGATTGGTACATAAAGATTTATCAAACGTCCAGATAGTAATAACATTAAGCAAAATATCACTCTTAACTGAAGTAAGAAATCTTTTGGCCATAAAAATGGGGCTAAGACTTTAATCTTGTACCACAGATTTACCCATGTAGAAACATTATCTTGTCTCTAAAAATATCACTATAAAATTAATAACATTTCCTAATTATATATACTACAAAAATATATAATAATGTTACTTACTCTTTGATAATATCGCGAATGTAAGGTTGAGTCATCATTAAGCGTTCGATAATCAGAATCAAAAATACCAGCTATGCCAGGAGCTCGTAGACCAAGAGCAAAAATTAACAGATTACTAACATAACGCAAAACAAATAAAGCCATTTCAATCTGGTCTGTTAAACTGTAAAAAAAATCAAATTTAAATTAAATAAAATCGATTAATAGTGAAAGAATACTTTGAAAAAAAATTATCTTTTTATATGACTTATCCATTCATACACAAAGTAAATGCAATCTGTTTTTTTTCTTCTATAAACTTACGAGTTTAAGTGGAACCACCATTCCAACTTTCCAATGTTAATAAAAACAAGATTTTCAGCAACAAATGCCAAAGTCCAAAAACCCAGTAGAACCAATCCATGGCCATGTGGCGGTACACTTGGTAAAAGTTTGTGTCTTTCAATTTTCAGAATATAGATCGAATATGGATAAACAATTACTGTTAATACTGTCGAAAATATCTGCAAAAGAATTAGTGATTATTTACAAAGATATTTCGAATTTGTCTTATATTTAAAATTTATCTTATCTTATATTTATCTTATGCGAGAATAAATAACTTCTCTTTCTAGAAACTAAGATATCAAATCATATCAAAAATAGCATATCAAAACATATCTATTTTAATTATAATAATAAAGGTATAATTTAACATAATAAATATATAATAAATATAAAATTAATACATAAAATAAATATATAATAAATATAAAATTAATAATAAACATATAATTCAAAAACTTATATATACAACAAATCTCACCATATAGCCATAGACCATCCCATCATCCAAGACTGTAGCTTGTAAAATTATCCTCAGTACACTCAAGAAGGGAACAAAGAACAAGAAAAACTTCTGCAAAGTATACAATTTGCTTCTCAGCAATGTGTTCTCATCGATGTCTGTTCCATACTTGCGATATATCCATAATTGGATGGATCCAAATATAATTAAATATAAAGAAATTATAGCAGTGCTGATTGTGTCCATAAAACACTTGGACACACCATGATCCACCCAAATGTCATTAAAAGTTATGTTCGGAGGACAATATCTCATGACTGTTGTATTCATATTCATTGACAAATTGATAGAAAATAATTTAATATCATCACTTCTTCTCTAGACGTTTTTGCATTATCATCCTTCATACACAACTCAAGGATGCATATCTAAGCCCAATATATTTTAGAATTTAAATTAATATTTCTGAAATAGAGACATAGTTATTAATATCTTCACATTAATTGCGCCTTATTATTGTATAATATTAACATCATTTATACATACCTTGCATATTTTTTTATTACAATCGCATTACACAAAAATGCGAAATTACTGTTATAACTTTATCTCGTGTTTGCTAAAGGCTATCTTACATTTTACACAACAAATTCATCAGACGTGCAATTGGTTGTCAAATGGGGAATTTCTGAAGTCTCTATATAATTGCAAGAATTCTCTATTTTACAACCAATCGCTATGCTTGAATCGCTAAACTCTGTTATATGAATATAAACCAGCCTTAAATCTGCACATATGCGCAACTTATAAAAGAATAAAAAGCCGGGTCCAGACTAAATAAATGCAGATTGATCAATTTTGAAAAGAAAGAGCATTTACAATGAATTCTATTATTAATCATATCAATATTTAATCTGGATTCAGATTAATTCAAGCAAGAAGAAATTGATCTATTCTTATTTTAATATTACCAATATGAACATAAAAAGCAATTTTTTAAATACATTTTTATTATATACTGTATTAAAATAGTCGATCAAAGTAGAAAAAATTATTCACAATGCATTTGCTTTTCACAGGAAATTTCCATATCTCAAGCGAATTATACCTTTTTTAAAATTTGATTCTTAAATTATAAGTACACAAGAAAAATATTTATTATTGCACTTTTGCAATTCCAAAATAATGTGATTAGTTGATTTGTGTTAATAAATGTATAAATTTGTAAATAAGTGTGTACATAAAGTGTGCTAATGTTGCATGAAAATAAAATGTATATAAGAAACACATCAATATACATCAATATATGATATATATACCAATTTTAAGATTGCGCAATAGCTAACATTTCTTCTTGATGAATTAAATGTGTAGTATGATTTACAAGCCCCATCAGTTTCGATAACGATGCAGCCCATGTATCTAAGAGAGCAGCTGGTTCTTGCGTACCAGTAAAACGAACTACACCAGCTGGACGATCCGTGCGTGCGCTGATTACTCCAGTTTCTACTAAATTGCAAAGACATGCTTCTGTTTCTTCTGTTGGAAGATCAAGTAACTCAGCCATGCGAGTTAATGTAATCTTGGTATAATACTTGGCCATAATTCTAATATTCTAAAAGAAAGAAAAAATTAAATTGTCAGGAGCAAAATATCATGTAATTTTTTTTCCTGAAATAGATTAAACAAAATAGATTTTTCAATAGTATAAATCAGAAAAATCTTAAACATACTTCTAGAGCCATATAAAGACTTACATGTTCTACAACACGATTCCGCAAGTCTGCCCATCGTTTGCGTCCTTCCTCGGTTGAAGCAGAAAAGACTTCGGTCGATCTGAGATCCTTTTCATAAATCTCGCACAACCCCGACCATTTTATCAATTCAGGATTTACAAATAAACGCAATAATTCTCTGTAGATAGTTCATTATTTAAAATCAGAAATAAATATTTTAAATATTCTGAGAAGTGATTTATAATTTATTACTTGTATGTGGGTATTTCGTCGAGAAGTTTGTCAGCGAGCAATCTGTGAGTCAAGTCAGCCTGCTCAGGTTCGTGCGGAGCAAGTACAAGATAAAGAACCGCTCGAGAAAGTGCAGTATGTCTTTTTTCTGGATCGTCTCGAATCGCTGGTGTTTCTAATACTGCTCGATTATGTCGACACAATTCCAAATGCCAACCTTCGTGACGAGCTAGTTCCATCATCAAACTAAACATAAAATAAGTAATTTCTTAAAAAATTCTATAATAAATTTTGTGTATTAAACACATAATGTACATACTCGTAATATTTTAATTTCAAAGCCTGGGTTTCCTCATCATTCTCGTCAGTGAAGAATTTAACATTAATTTTCTTTGCTATGATTTGTGTTCTCATAAAATCTTGTTTTGCCAGACAGAGTCTCATTTGTTCCAAAATAAGTGAAGCTTTCTCCCGACGTGACATACTGCCATATGTTTCCACCTATATGTGATATGCTATTTAATGTTACATTCTCTAATTTACACAATTTAAGTAACTTTTATTGAAGTAATATCTCTATTAAAAAAGATTTATTACATATTACTAAACAGCAGAAATATTTGTTAAAAATAATTTGCTGTACATATTTTATTAAATATCAAAAAGTTTCTCTTGCTGTAACAATTAATTCTATAAATAAAATTTAATAATATAATCAAAAATGTATTAACTTTTCTGCAATATAAAATAATTGATTATGATAGCAAAGTTAGATTGCTTTTGTAATGAATATGCAATAATTGTATTAATAAAATCCAATTTCTGCAGATTATAAATATATACCTGTAATTCAAGCATTACAGATGCAGCATTTGCAATGTCTCCTTCTTCTTCTTTTATTTTGGCTAAACGATGAGTAAGTCTTGCTCTTTCCACTTCTACATATATCTATTTAATATAAATTATATAAATTTAATTATTAGTAATATATTAATTAGTAAGATTTAATTATTTTTGTCCAAGTTGCTTGATAAATTTTGTTTTTGTCAAATAATCTTAAAATATCTCAAAATACACTGTCTTGACAATGAAAATAAAATGTAAGGAGATACTGAATTTGTTTCAAAATCGAAATTACAAAAATAGCTCCAATATATTTCAGTAATAAAGCTTCGTTGCTAAAAACCATTTCTTGCCATAAAAAATTAGTTTTTTAATTAGTTTAGTTTGAAAAGTTCAAAATATATTTACCTTTCCTTCTGTGACTGAACGAAGGGTTTCAATCAGTTTTACCATAGTTTCTTTATTAGGCATTTTATCTACATAAGTGCAACACTCTTGTACCATCTTTGTAACAGCATGTTTAAGCTGAGAACGTCTCTTTGACAATAAGATTATATGTTCATTGAGTGCCGAGTAATTCTTTGCCTCTAAGCAAATTTCAACTATGGCTACAAGAAGTCTTGATGTTGATCCCATATCAGCACCCTATATAAAACAGTTTAGATAAAGTTTCTGTGTAACAATATATATACAAACATTTATACCTGACAATATCAATATTAATCATATACTTAACGGTTCTGGTAAGTTTCTCTAAAGCTAACAATTGATCTAAAGCATCGTGCAGCTTTCCTTCAGATGCAAGCTTCTTGCATTCTGGAATTTTTGTATCGCAAGTATCGCTGTAATCCACCTCCATTTTCATAAGTCTGCCAGAGTTGTCCGTTGCAGCATCCGCCATCCTGTTTGATAATAATTAAATTTTCATACTTGTAAGAAATAATTGAATATATAACAAAAGATATAAAGACCTAAAAAGCATATATCAAATATTCGTTTCAAAGAGGTTAGAATATCAATTTTAATCATTGCACCAGAAAAAAGACCTAAAGATACACAAATTCAATTGTAAAGCAATAAACAGAGAATTTAATACATACCTCGTTGTAAATAATTAACGATAATGAATGATTATACAATAAGAAATTAAACACCAGCTAATTTTTCAGCTCGTCTGTTTCAAACAGCTTACAAATAAATTATATTTCTAACACACAAGATCTTTGCAATTATATTTTTTTTTTCTCTCACACAAGTTATTATCGCGTATAAATTCGTTTCAATAATGAAAAACACAGAATCTCATTCTAAATCAATTGTCACAGTTTACGCCGCAATATTAAAGAGCTCGCCATGAATGCACCATACGCGTTTTCATAAAATCCTTGTCATCTTCGCTAGAGTCTCTAGAAGTAACTAGGAAACGGCGTGCAAAACGTCAAATGCATCGTCGCGATTGGTTGACGTCGAGCAGTGCCGCCACGCGATTGGACCAATTAGCAACGTCGTTGAATTCATCGCCAATCTGGCGAAAGCGTTTCTTCAAACGAAATTTCAGAATTGTACGACCGTTTGGGAACGAGCAAGCGAAACGAACGTGATCGTGCGAAAGAAGTAAATATTGCGCAGTTTTGTGTATTTTCTTCAGCAAATCTTTCTTTGCTTTTGCGCGCACGACTACGTAAAAAACACACATCTGTTCTCGAGACTGCAGCTGTCTTTCGACCGATTTAATGAGGTACGTTTGCGAATGAAAGCGGTTGTGAATTACTTATTGTTGGAAAGTCAATTAAAAAATAATGAAATTAAATAATAAAAAAAATCAAATGAAGATGATGCTGGAGCTGACTCTGTCTGTATAAATTTTACTGATAATGTTACTTCTAATGTTATTTTTATTTTTTATTGCTTTTATATATATACACATTATACCAAAAACTTTATTTACAATATTTACAAAATATATACTACATAATAATATACTATACTAAATAAATATATACTAAAAAACTACACTAAATAAATATACTAAGTATGTACAAAACATATACTAAAAACTTATTTACTGCTCTTTTTTATGTTATTTTTCAACGCTAAATCTCTAAACTCAATCTTAAAGGTTTCCTTTAAAGATTATTCTTTCACAATATATGTACAAAGAAATATCTTTTACCCTCCTTGCTCTCCTGAATTTATTTTGTACTTGCAAATTTGTATAACTTTAATATAAAATAAATATTTATATTAACTGATAGCTTGCCAGTAAATTTTCGAAATTTTTTCTTTTATTTATTTATTTTTTTTAATCAAAGGACTATCTATGCTTTTATTAATGTATATACTTCTATCTCTAAAAAGAATTTTTAATATTATAAAAGCAATAAAAAATAAACATAAAATTACAAATTAACATTTTATCAGTAAAATAGAATAGGTTCCAGCATCACCTTAAATAATATGCAAGTCTCTGTAAGAATGTGTATGATTATATATTTTGTGCACATATATATGTTAGAATGAACATATGATTAAATCAAGGTTTTTATAAAATCATGATAAACAATCATGATAAGTTTATTGTATGTTGTCTTCATTGATAATTTTGTTAAAATTTATATATTTTATATATTTTGAAGCATAAAAATTCTGTGTTGAAGAAAATGTTTAATAAATAAAATCGGTAATAATTTTATAGTATCATTGTTATATATGAGTAAAATTTTGAATTTTAGTATATTCTGATTATTTTATAAAATCTTATAGTGCATTATAATTTGTATATATATATTTTTTTTTAAATTACTAGAGATAAAATTAATTTTTTGTCAAAATTGTTTTATATATTTAATTTTATGGATAGTTCTATATACTTTGCAAAGCAAAATACATATTGAATAATTTTGTATAATTACATATATTTCTTTAAATTAATGCAGATGGAGAATACATTGGATTCAATTCATCCATCAGAAAATCCGGAAATGTCTTATTTATTTGGCAGAGATCCAAGTATCTTAGCATACAGTCAGAGGCCATTTCCATCAAAAGATACAAGGAAGAATTTACTTTCATTGTACGAAGTGGAAGAAACCAATTCCACCAATGAAAATACATCTGAACGTTCTGACTCACAAACCTTACAAACCATTAAGGTATACCTTCGACTTAAACCATTTCCAAAGAAATCAAAATTAACCGAGGAACAGCAAGAAGCATATAAGATCATAGACTCTACTACATTGGTTACAAAATTACCAATATTGGATAATAATACAAGTTGTATTAAGCAATCAAAAAGTAATGAGACTGTATGCAGGAAATTTACCTTTTCCCAAACATTTGGGCCAGAAACTACCCAATTGGAATTATTTGAGCAATCAGTACAGCCGCAAATGATTGATTTCTTAGCTGGACATAACTGCACTATAATGACATATGGTAAGAGATATTGTGTATGTTATTTTGTTATATATGAATGTTTAATTTATATTAATAATTTGATTTAATAGGGACTACAAATTCGGGAAAATCATATACATTGCAAGGAACCACTACTTCACCTGGACTAATACCACGTGCACTGGAATTTGTATTTAATAATATTACTGCAAGACCAAATCCAGCTTATAAACCTTTGCACTATTGTGATGTAGTGACTCTTGATGCACTTGAACGTGCACAGGAACTTGAAGCAAAAACTAAATTGCTAACATTTAGCTCTGTGGATAAGCATCAGTATATGAATTCCTATAAACAAATGGAAAAATTATTGCAAGAAGAATCAATTCGCCCTAGTCAATGTTATGATGCTCATTATTCAGTATGGGTTTCATTTGCAGAAATTTATAATGAAATTGCATACGATTTATTGTCGAGTGAATGCCAAAAAAAGAAGATGCCTTTAAAATTGGGAGCAGACTCTACTGGCAGAGCATTTATCAAAGGATTAAAAACTATTTATGTGAATTCAGCAGCGGAAGCTTATCAGATTTTGATGGCAGGACAATATAATTTGAAAATAGCCGGAACTGCATTAAATGCAAAAAGTTCTAGATCTCATTGTATATTTACAATTATATTGTTAAAATATTATGCAGAAAGTTTACCTGACAAAGTTGAAGTGAGCACGTATGTATATTTTGTTTTTTATTCTATTCTATTTTATAATGATTTATGTATAAGATATATTGTTAATCTTTAGATCTTTATGGGACAAAGTTTAAAGAAAAATTTTAAAACATTTTTCTGAGTTATGATAATTTTCTTTTGGTTAAAAAAAAATTAATTTTATTTTTCAATTGTTTATACATATACATACATATATATATATATAGTATTAATGTTTTTTTATATTATTAAAATATTTATAGTAATATTAAATATTATAGATTTTCTTTTTGTGATTTGGCGGGCTCGGAACGTTTGAAGAAAACATTGAACATTGGGGATAGATTGAAAGAAGCGCAAAATATTAATACTAGTTTACTAGTATTAGGCAGATGCTTAAAATCTATTCACGAAGGACAATTAACAAGAACGAAAACGGATGCTATCGGACCGTTCAGAGAATCTAAATTAACCAGATTATTTCAACGTGCATTATCAGGAAAGGAGCATCTAGCTTTGATTGTTAATGTCGATCCTCTACCAAACTTTTATCTAGAAACTCAAAATGTCTTAAATTTCGCTGCTATTGCGAAAAAAATTGTTATAGAAAAGAAGAAGCAAATACAGAAGAAATTAAAATCTAGGTTTTCGCAAATAATTACACAAAATATACAAAAAGTAATTGATTGGGATTCAACAGAATTAGAAAGTGTAGACTGGCAGCAGACAGACAGCGCGGAAGACGTAGTTTCGCAATATGTTACTTCAGAAGAATATCTAGATCTCATGAATGAAAATGAAAAACTGAGAAAGGAAGTTGCTAGTTTAAAAAATTCAGCTTTAATCCGAGATTTTCAAAGTCGACAGGAAATGGCTGAGAAGTACATTACGATGATAAACGATCTCGAAGTTGATTGGAAACAACGTATTAATGATGTGGAAACTCAACATGAAGATGCTCTTGAATGGTCTGTGAAACAAGTTGAAGAATTTTACAAGCGAAAGTTAAATCAATTACGTAAAAATAAAAGGAGTCGTAGCGATTATGATGATAATGATGAGATTGAAGAGATTGATCTTGATTTAACTTTGGAAGAAATAGGTAGAAAGAATGTACAATTGAGAGAAAAGAATGAAACTTTGAAGAAGATGTTAACTGAACTAAAAGTAACAAATGAAACTTTGATCGTAGAAAAGAATAAAGTTTCTTTTGAGTTGGGACTATCAAAAGAGGATTTAAAAGTAGCGAAAAGTCTTTTAGAAGCTGCTCAGAAAGATATTTGCTTTAATCAAGAAGGTGAAGCTTATATAGAAAAAATTACATCACAATTGCTTGCTAAAGAGGACCAAGTAAAAAAACTCAAAGAATTTCTCAATGAAGCAAAGGAGGAATATATTACTATTAATTGTGACTTAAGAAAAAAAGATAATTGTATTGATGAGCAAGCAAAGACTATAATTGAAAATGAAGAAACAATTGAAGATTTAGAATCACAACTTGAACAAGCTAATATTTGTTTGACAGAAAAAACCAGAGTAGTTGAGCTCCTAGAAGAAAGACTAGAAAGCCAAAGTGAAAAATTATTCGATGCTAAGGACCAAATATTACAACTGCAAGAGGAAATTACTCAATTGAAGAAGGAAAAGTCTAAGTTACTTGAATCTTATTTAGAGCAACCGGCACCAAAGGTATCTGTTCAAGATGAATATCAAGAGATTATTGTGAAAGAAGAATTGATTATCGACGATGTATCAGATTTGGATAATACTACAGAAAATATGCAGGAAAAAGCAAATGCAAAAGAATCTGATAATAAAACTGAAGAAATTGATTCAAATTCTATAGAAAAGTCAGAAAGAAATTCTAAAGAACCACAAACTTTGCCATCCAATATTAAATATAGTAAACCTATACAAACATTTGTGGAAACAGGTTGCCAGACAGACATAACAAATGATAAGAACTACGATATTGAAAATAAGATGGAAAAAGACACTCAGACTATTGCAACTATAACAACAGAGGAAGATACTCAAACTAACGAAGTACCTTTATTAAGAGAAGAAGCCGTACAGACTGTTGAAGTTGATGATGATGCAAAGTTACAATTGATAGAACTAAGTATGCAGTACAATGACATCCAAAGACAACATGAAGAGGAATGTTTAAAAGTAAAAAAACTAACCGACGATTTAGACGATATAAAGAAGACAGTGCAGACTTTAAAAGAAAAAGATTGCTCGAATAAAACTATTATGGATGAATATAAACATTCTATGGAAGTACTTGAAAAACAATTGTCACTTACTGCAGAAGAAAAACGAAAAGTGGAAGAAAGTTTGTTAAACTCTAATAAGCTTTCAGAACAAAAGATTACGGATTACAAACATGAAATTGATAGATTGGAGAAGGATCTTTTAGTTTCACAGAACAATGCAAAAGAATATTTGGAGAATCTGGAAACGATTCGGAAAGAATTTGATAACTATATATTTAAATGCAAACAGGAAAAAGAGACAGGCATTTATAAACAAAATAAATTTGTTTCAGTAAAGGAAAACGATAATATAGATATAATAAATTCAAAACAAATTGATAAACATGCAGAGGATGTATTGGAATTGGAAAAAAGTCTAAATACTATAGTCGAGTTAAAGGATAACATTGTGCAGTTAAATAAGAACATGGAAATATGTCAAATGGAGAAAGACAGTATGCAAAAGGAACTGGATGAGAATAATAAGAGACTATTGGAATTTGAAAATCAATTAAAGGAAACAACTTTCAAGGAACAAGAAAAAGATACCGAGATCATAACTTTACAAAAAGAATTGAAGCAAATGATACAAAGGAACGAAAATACTGAGATAATGGAGGCGGAGTTAAAAAGCACTATAAACGAATTAACCCAAGTGAAAGAGATGCTTGTACAAAAGGAGCAATACGCCAAGGAGTTAAACATTCGTTTAGAGAATGCTGAGAGAAGCGCAAAAATATTTAATTTACTCGAGGAGAATTCAAAGGAACGGCACCTAGAGAATCAACGATTACGAGATATAAACGACGAACTAAGAAATAATTTAGCACAAAAAGAACGCGAGATGGAGGCTTTCATGAAGAATAGAGACGAGACGATGATTAAGTATGAAATCTTGGTGAAGGAGAAACAGGAGGAATTGGAGATGCAGAAGAGGGAAGTGATGAGTTATCAGAAATTATTTCACAGACAATTAACACCTACGCCAAATAAAGACGATTATAAGACATTGCAGAACCGTATAGAGATTCTTCAGGATAGATTGAAGAAGTACGAAATTACTGCTAGTACAAAAGCAAAGGGCGATTATGCTACTACGTCAGAAGACGAAGGACTCTCCGCTCAACGCCAACCCAAACGACGTGGGAGGAAACCTGTTAAACAAGAGGATATTCCTGTCATAGAGTTATCTGGTTCCGAATCGAAACGTAGCACGAAACATGTCGCTTTGCCGCCACCGGAAGTGTCGGTCGAGAAGACTCGTACTCGTAGAAAGAAATTATTCCTCGAGAACGAGTCGTTCACAGACATCGAACCTTCCCCGGCCCCACCTATGCCGACCCGAAGTTTAAGAAATCGAAAAAAATGAATCAAACGTCAAGAATAGATTGCATTGTAAATATTATGTACATGCTTGAGATGAGATGATCTATTGAAGAATGGGAAAACAAAAAAGATGGAATATGCGCGTATAATATAGATACGTATATATAGATGTGAACTCAGCAAGCATGCGTTATTTTGATGACACAATATATGTATGACACTTATTTGAATTATTTATTATCACAAAAAAAAGGAAAAACTACACTCGCTTTGTAAGTTAATAAGATATATAATAAATACAATAATGAGTATAAATACAAATTAAAAAAAAAGTAATTTTTATAATGAAGAAAAACTTTATATGTAAACTCGTCAATTTACTCAAATAAGTATCATACATATATTGTGTGAAAGAGAAAAATACATATAGAGTTTATTTTTTTATTTATTATAAAAATTACTCTTTTTTTTCTTTTTTAATCTCATTACATTGTATTTATTATATATATATATATGAGTAGAAAACTCGTCAGTAAACTGACGAGTTTACTACTCATTATGGATGAATATAAATATTCTATGGAAGTACTTGAAAAACAATTGTCACTTATTGCAGAAGAAGAACAAAAAGTGGAAGAAAGTATGTTAAACTCTAGCAAGCTTTCAGAACAAAAGATTACGGATTACAAACATGAAATTGATAGATTGGAGAAGGATCTTTTAGTTTCACAGAACAATGCAAAAGAATATTTGGAGAAACTGGAAACGTTAGTTTACTACTTATTACAAAACGAGTGCCGTTTTTTTCTGTGATATTCAATAATTCAAATAAGTATCATATATATTAGGTCTGTTCTTTTTAGCTGAATTGGCTACACTAATTCAGAGGTTATCTTTTTTGCTCGACATTAGAAGAAAAAAGATAACCTCTGAACTAGTGTAGCCAATTCAGCTAAAAAGAACAGATCTATTGTGTAAAAGATAAAGTATCATACGTATAGAGCGCTTATCCTTTTCTTCATTATAAAAATTACTTTTTCTTTTCTTTTTTAATCTCATCACATTGTATTTATTATATATAAACGTGTACAATGTAGTATTAAAATATTTTATATGTACTAAGATAGTTTCATAGATTCTCATTTGAAAAGATGTCAGGCTATATGTGTTTTATAATTTAATATTTGTTATTACATAAAACTCTTTCATTATTACATTTTATATTTTGTACAAATCTTCAAATTGATGCAAAATCAAGAATATTTATGTACTTACAATTTAATTAATTATATGAACATTAACTCTTGTTTTTTAGAATATAAATTTTAATAATAAATTTCTATGCACTCTTTATTGCGAATAATAAGTATTTTAGTGTATATACTCAATTGTATTAATTATATACAAGCAAGAAAACGCAAAATTAAAGATTTTTTGCCTAAAATAAAATTTTAACATTTTAAAGAGAACTGATATTTTAACTTTAATATGAATATATATATGTATTTTTCTTGATAAGTAATCGAATAAAATTTTGTAAAAAAAATTAAAAAATTTTGCATTCTAGTTTTATCTTCTATATACAAGGAAGTTTTCTTTCTTTTTTTTTGAAATGCGCGCAAAAATAGCATATATATATAGACGCGCCCTCGTGATTCGGAAGGCGAAACTAGCGGGTCGATTTTCCTCGCATCGACCAACATCAACAGATATCGGTGGATATCAGCATCAGTGGTGCTGTCAACGATCACAGCTGACGAGAACAAAAGGATAACGTCGAGAAAAAATGGTAATTCGCTTTTTAAGTGCTGTCAATGACGACGCGACTTGTGTAATATATCGCATCGTGTGTCTGCATTTTTCAGTCGTTCGGCGAAAAAATAGCATCGATTATGCAGAGGCCCGGACAGGACCCTGTTGCCAAGGATGATGTGCCCTGGTGGATGAAATATGCTGGACGTGGACTCGGTACCGTAGGCAGTATAAGTGAGTTCGCTATTATCACAAATTACGTCTTTTAATGCGATTTTTACTATTTTACATTATTTATCTTTTTCTCCTCCTTCCCCCTCTTTTTTTTTCATACGTTGTTCAACAATTTTTCATGTCGTGCATGCGAGATATTTTTGTTTGAATATTCAATATGGAAATTATTTTCTTAGGCTTCATCTTTGGAAAGTATAATTTGTTTTTTTTTTCTATATACATGTATATATGTGATTACATCTTAATATCGGCTTATACGACGTAGAAATTGACTTTTCAGGCTGGCAATTGCTGAAGCGTAATTTGTAGAAAGATTTTCTTATTTATTTTCAGTCGCAATTTTTCTTGGAGCTTGGAATTGCGCCTCAATACTTTTCGGTCAGATCGACTGCTTAATTAGTGGTATGTGGCAAATGATAGCCGGTTTCCTAGTTGTAATGATTGAAGCGCCTTGCTGCTGCTTGTTCATCGACTTTGTACAAAATTTAAGTGATTGGGTGGAGAAGAAACCGTATTGGAATAGAGCAGCCGCTTATTGTTTGTAAGTACAAGTCTTCTCTTTCTTTATCTTATTTTCTTCTATCATTTATAAAGGACTATGACATTTTGACATAATGTTATATATGAATTAAATATATTATACTATATTCTCATGTTCATTGATCTAGAATAGCGTTGCCAGCAGTCTTCCTATGTCCAGGAATGAGTAGTATATTTGGCAGTGGTTTGATATTTACGACGGGTATAATATATGGATTGATGTCTCTGGGCAAAAAGTAAGTGATACAATTTTTTTGTAAACCTAATGAGGTATGATTTATAGAATAACTGAACAAGAACTTTAGATTGATAAAAAAGGATATCTAAATTAATCATTAATTATGCCATCAGGAATGATAAAATTTACAGGTACAAATTGTATAAATCACATTCACATGAATAATCTTTTATTAATGAAATTTGAGTTTAATTTGATGAAGCAGATTTGTAAAATGCATCAGGAACTATACTGTCGATACTATTATATCACAATAAAACTTTGATATGTATATCAAACCGAGTTATCAAATCAAACTAATTTTATATATATGAAAAATTTAATATGGCTGTTTTCAAGAAAGATTTATATTGCTTTATTTCCTCTTGAGGTTGTAATTTAAAATGACTGATAGCATTGCAATCCTTAAAATCAAATTTTTTAGAAAATGTAAATTAATTAGTTATTAATTTCATCTATTCCTCTTGTCTATCAACAAGATATTTATCACATAGTTTAACATTGATGTAACATTACATTTATGTATAATGTGTGATGTGCTATTTTGTCTTTTAATACAGTTTAATTTTTTTATGTTTTGCTTGTGGAAAGGTGGAAGAACAATTTTTGTGTTTGTCTTTGTCTTTGTTTTAATGCTTTGCTTTGGTTTGTGTGGGATAAATATTTTACAAGATTATTTTCCAAATAATTTCTTTTCATAAAATAAACATTTTTAAAAACATTTGAAGAAAAATGTGTCAAAAACAGCTTTGATAAGACAAGATGAACTTGGTTCTAATTTTAACCAAGTTATTAACAAAATTAATAAGTTTTTAAGCATTAATAATGAAATACTAATTTGTAACCTGATAACAGAGGGGCCAGGCCCGACCCGGCAGGAATGACGTCGGGCGTGGGTTCCCCACAGGGTACAGTGCCTCCTACTACAGATCACCATACTACTCTCATGGAGGATCCTGATGTCTGGAGGCCTACATAAATCATCAAATATTCATTGCACCACTTCACTAACCAGGCAATAATATGTATATGTAATATTTAATGTTACTACTGTGCATCTAAATGCTTTATAACATTTCATAACAAATTTCCATTTGTCGTATTTTATTATATTGCTACTTTATTTCATACATTCTATGTAATTGAAAACATCTTTAAAATAACGAGATTTGAAGAGAGAATTTAATAATTTATATATGATATTATCTTTTATATAATGAGTATTAAATGAGGAGATAACTAATGGGGAGATAAAATGTATTAATTGATGTTAAAAAAAAGAAAAATAATTAAATTTCTAAATTCTTTTAAAATTAAAAAAATTTTACATTTCTTTACTAAAGAACTAAGACTTATATTTGTAATATCTCCAAGTCTCACTATTTAAAGATATCTTTTAATATTGAGTTAAATTAGTGATGTCTAATCAGCACGTTGCATTATTTGTTTCAGCATTTATGAGCATTTCATTATATAAAGTATTGTATACAATATTTCTACTTAAATTATGTTGCACAGTTAATTTTTAATTATATACACATACACACACATGTATTGGTATGATCTCGTATATCTTTTACTATGTTGATATTTAATTTGAGATAAAACATAATGCAAAATTCTAAATTATTATTACATTAAGTTCTTATATTTTTATTTGTCTTGACTTAATAGTTATGAGTATTAAATTTTATTAACAAATATATCTTTATAATTGCATGCAAAAAGGAATCAGTTTCCAAATATAATTCGAACATTTAGAAAAACATTAGAATAATTTTTTAATATTAGAAATATTACTATTATAAGAATATTCAATTAAAATATAATTTTTCTGTGGCATGCATAATAATAATTTTTTTATTATATATAATATACTATATATAGTATATAAAAAAGAAATATATATATTAAAAAATTTGCAATTGATTCCTTTTATATAACTATATAGCTAATTAATTATAATGCTACTATACTGTGTCCTCAATAGTAAGTTTGCACTAACATTATCATTCCTATCATTATTTAATATATATGTTTTTAACATTTTGCTATAATATTGGTGCATTGAGTAATATTTTTTCAATATTGACATGCTTTAATTCAGATGTTGGAATCGTTTGATTAATATTTGTAACTAGAAAAGAATGTATTTGCTAACTTATGTATTTAAGATATTTTTTATTAGTACAATTAATGAAATATACTAGCCAAATTTTTAAAAATCAGTCATTAAACATATAGTTACAGATATATGTGTCCCTCTTTTTTGTACTTTTTTGAAAACAGGAAAATTTGTATAATATATTTTTTTTTAATGAAAATTTTTACTTTTATAATAGTTATTTTGAAGATAATTTTAAGATAAATTATGTAAGTCTAGGATTTTATAATAGACATTTTGTTTTAGTCATAGAATGACATTGGTTGTTCTTTATGAAATAGTACTTTCATATAAGTATGTGCCTGTGAAATAATAAATATAGAATTAATTTATGTATTATATTGACAGAAAGAAATAAGAATTCTTGAAAAAAAATTAAGACAAGATATTTATACTTTAGGGCACCTTTTGGCGAAATGAGAACAGCAGCAATGGATATTCCAGCTCCATCATCAAGCATGCGGTCCACACTAGTTGAAAATACTCAACCAATTGGTTTTAGCAGTACCCCAAGTAGTATCGTTTGATCATTAGGAATTAATTGGGTGAGCAATCCAACATTTTATGTGAATGATTGTGAGTGATAATTAATCATCCAAGTATCAGTAGCTGAGCCCACGAACATGCTTTCATTTCATTTTAGCTATGACATTGATACATATTGTAATTCCAGTATTTCAATAGCAATTTCATACAACATTCATTGAATATTTAATATAATGTCGAATATAAATTGTATCATGGATGTACAGATTCAAATGTGTTATGATCTGAAAAGATCCTGAGAGAAGTTTTCTGTGAATTCCCTCCCCTCTTAATATCTAATAGGCTTTTTCCGATATAATTTTGCTTTAAGTTAGTTAATTGACAAGAACTGTATGCATTTATGATATTTTACGTTTGTATCAAATGTGTGTAAAATGGAATGGGATATATTACAATATAGTATGGAAGAATTTGTTGCTTTATTTAGAATAATGCCAAAGTCAAAGACTGTCATAGAAAATGATATTGTTCATGGGCCTAGTTATCCATAGGCCCATTTGTCCACTGTGTCGTAAGACGTTAACAAGCAAAACAATAGAAAATTGTAAATGATCGTATAACTTGTTTTTAATGTAATGTATAAAGTGCTTTGCGCTTTGGGGAGAAATGATTATTTTGTTACAGATTAGTTAAAAAAGCACACAGCAAAAACAGAAGTCAATGACAGAAAATCGAATAATACTTTTGCTATTATTTCACATTCAAATTGTAACAGATTGTTTTTATAATGTTATATAAGAAGAGCAGAATAGTCATAATATTATATTAATTTTATGATCCTCTTATGTATCATATTATATCTATATATATATAGATAAGCTTCTCTCTGCCAAATAAATTGTATATGCATAAAATTTAAATGTTTTACAATAATATTGTTTACATTTAAACATTTTATAATTTTATTGAATAATTTATAAAAATTTACATCTCAATTATTTTAATTTTTATAATCATTAAGGTCAAAGTTTCCTAATGTACTTTATATAATATTATTTATATAATTATTATTTAAAATTATAACATTTTAAAGGAGCATCTAGGACCAGGTCATCTTAGAACCAGGAGCAATTCCTATCTAGTTCAAAGTGTAAATGATTTATGTCTTCATCTTGCATAATATAGCTCAAAGATAAAATGAGGTGTAAATTTTTGTAAATAATTACATTTTATTGTGTGTATAGTGCTGTAAATTTAATTACACATGACGTGACATGACCAGCTGATAAAACTGTGAATGTGCAGGATAAATTAATGCTTCAATGCTTGTTTTTGATAGTTGTATCTAAGGATTAATGAATAAAAATTACGAATCCGTTTCGTCTTTCCTCGCTATGTGTGTATTCGAGTTATTTTACTTCTTGTTAAAATAGAATGATATAACACTTCCTGCGCGTGTTTATATCATTAAAAGAAATACGCGCATGCATTGATAAGTCAAAACTATCTTATTATGCGATATGGCAGAGAGATTTAATAATCTTTGCTATTTGGCACATTTATACATATCTGACAAATTCTGTATAATTATAAATATTGAAATATATATAAATTATATCATACATTTAATTTTAATAAGTTTTTCTTGATATATTAAATCCAAAGAATCAAATATTAAGTTTCATAATTTCAAATATTTCATTTAAATAATTAAGAATGCATATGTAGGCCTTATAAGTACAATTATAAGGTATTCAGATATTGTGAATAAAGGGAGCTTAGCGTCTTTTATGTGAATCGATATTGTTCTATGTACATTATATATTCTATTTTAAATTACTGATATTAAATGTGTCAAAAATGCTTCTTAGGGTGATCTGAATTAAATTCTGATTAATTTATCTATCGTATTCTGATTAATATCTATAGTATTTTGTTAATATCTTCGAAAATATTGATTTTTCCCAACGTTTGACATATGAAAGATTTGATTAGAAATTAATAATATAATTCGATTGTATAAATTTTATTGTACACACAATTCTACCAGTTAAATTAATCATCGATTAATCAGAATTTTGTTAAAGTGATATCCTTAATCATCATCATCATTTTTCATTAGTTATATTTGTTTGTAATACTTGTACTGATATCACAAAAGTTTCTTTTTATATCTAAGATTTTATTTTACTACACATTCCTGTTTAATTTATTTAAGAAGGAGAAATCAATATGTTCATATTATTGTCTCACTTTTACTTGATTTTCATGTCATGATTATTAGATATATCCATTGTTAATATGATTATATACATACATTTATAGAAATAATTATCTAGTTTATTTTATACAACCTTTTAATTATAATTTATTTCGTATTTAAAAATGTGATTATTCATAACAAAATAAATTGTTGTAAATAATACTGTCCCATGATATATACACGCGCGCGCGCGCACACACACATACACACAACAAACAAACATACATACATATATATATTATCTACAAAAAATACTGATGTATTAAAAGTATGTGTCTATTATACAGGACATTCTATTTTTATTATAAGATAAATTTTTCTGAACAAATTGATTGTGTCTGGATGGGAAATTACACATTCATTTTATTTGCTTTTGAAAGTTTTTGATATCAAAAATTATCTTTGAAATGTTATTAATATTATTTTTATTTGAGAAAAAATTCATCAGAAATTTATTCTATTATTAAAATAGCAAAAATAGAATGTCCTGTATATGCTACGTATTATTGAATTTTTATTTAAATAAAAATTAACATTATATTAAACTAGCATATTAGAATATTACTCTCACAATTAATGAATATTATTGAAAGAAAATTTAAGGGTAAAAATAGAAATTTGCTATTTTTAAATTATCTTTAAGCTTATTTTAGAATTTCTTCTTAATTCTTATTTTATTTTAATTACTATCTAGAAATCCTCATCTTACACTCTCACTCCAAGATTCTTTATATAAAATTTTTAAGATTTATGTAACATGTGTGATAAGATGGCGCATTTTGTACATCTGGATGAATCGTTATTTACAATCAATGGACAAGAGACGTCTCTCCATCTAATTCCATCCTTGTATGCAACTTTGATTGTATCGAAATGTTCATAAGCTTTAGGATCGCATATGCCTATTTTGAAAAGAAAAGAAAATAGTTATTCAGTCAAAGGTAAAAAAAAGACATTTATAATTTTACCTTGACAAATATCTCGTTGATCGAATTCATCGATAAATATTTCTATATCCCATAAGCGCCTCACTTTGCTATGTTTCCTCTCTCTCACGAGATTGTGGATAAATGGATCGATTTCTTTATTAGCTGCTGCACAACGTAACATCATATCGCTCCTTATGAAAACTTGTTTCTCTACAAAAGGCAATCCATCGATCGTTATTCCCATACAAAGGTACACCACTGTGATGGCGTGTCCTTTTGATGTTACCAAGGAAGACCAACCACGTGGTATAGATACTTCTGTATATACTTCAAGAAAATCTTCAAACAATAGCTCATTCTCGTCAACTTCATCGAATGCTTCTTTATCCTGTATATCTAAACAATCATAATTCAAAGTAACTAATTCTGAATTATTTATGTACAAATCATTAGGTTTCTCTTTCGAAGAATGCGCGGAATCGACATCGTACTCTGAAGTTCCTACCGATGTCCTATCTTCTTCAGAAGAATAAGAATTCTTCTTCAAGTTATATTTTTTGATGCTACATTTTCTCACTTTATTAAACGTTTTTATGGAAGTTAATTTGTTAGATATTGAATTATTTTTTTTATCTACATTCATAGATTCAGTTTTTTCTATGAAATCTGGACTGGAGCTGTTATCGCGTCTGAGTGTTTCAACTTTTTCCAATTCTTTTATCTCAGATTTTTTTATAAATTTTGAATTATGCATAGAGACATCTCCGTCTTCCTTATCCATGTCTTTTGATAATTGAGTATACAAATCATCATTTTCTTCCGAGTTATATATATAATCTTGTGATTTAGAACAAGTGTGATAATGCACATTAGTATTTTTATTTTCTGCATCTTCATTGTCACTCAGATTTTTTTCTATTCTAGGAATTAAAAAGATCTCTTTTTCTTCCGACACTTGTTTTTTCTAGATGTCAAATTCTTGATACCTACTTTATGTCGATTTAAACTATCTTTATCTTTTAATTGCAAATTACTAACTGAATGGAAATTTTTACTTGGTACAGCTCCTGGACGCAATCGACATTTCTTGTACTTGATCTGTAATGACATATATATATATATATGTATATATGTGTGTGTGCGTATTATTAATATATTATATTAATATTTAATATATATATTAAATTATATATTAAATTATATATTAATATATAATAAACTTTAGCAATAAATATATATGCATGTATAATATATAAAAAAACTTTCAGTAATTAACAAAAGCATACTTGCTAACTTTACACATATTTTATATTCATCAAGTACCTTTATTACTTGTGGTGGTACCCCACTGATCCAATGCGTAATAATATCATTCTTGTGAAAATGTCTGCTACATACATATGTGTCATCTGTGACAGTGTAATTTTTAATGGCAAGTGCATTTTGCCATTTCCTGCGTGTTTCTGCATCTTTAGGCGCCGAGAAGAAACTATAATTGTTCCTCTTATAATTGCTTTCTTTACACAATGCACATTTGCGAGTCATGATACTAAAATTGTAAAAGATAAAATAGATTTAAAATAATTTATTCTAAATGATTAAGATCTAGAAGAGGTACATATATAGTATATGTTTCCAATTGTTTCTCCATTTTAAAATTTAATGAATATTTACTAAACTGAGTATAATAATCAATTTATATACATATACCTGTTGCGAATGTTTATTTCAATACTTATTGGTACAAGTCGCAATTTTTTTCAATCGATAGACATAGAGGTAATCCTACAAGCAGAACAAATAATTTTATATAATTTGTGGTGGATTTTTTCTTTTGAAATCTTACACAATTAATGCAGTTATCCTAACCTAAAGTATACTTATGGGAAATTTCCATATAAGAGAAAACCTAAATATAATTTCATTAAAAAAATATCCGATAATTTTTTAGAAAATACAAAATTCCAAATTATTGATAAAAAATACTAATAATAATAATTTTTCGCAAAAATTAACTCCGTTATTGTACTTACTTATCTGTGAACGAATCGTCTGTAGAAATATATACACATTATTAGAGACTGTTGGAAATGGCATACAAATTAATCTACTCTAAGTTTTTCCACGTGGAGCGATTCAAAACAATAAATTAACAAAATACAGATTTTTCTTTTTCTAGGTTAAAAACGGAATTCGATCCTCGGACTGACGTGACATTCGTTTCTCGGACATTACTAATTGGCTGTTGAATAGAGAATTTCTAGAATCCCAATAGGGAATCCGGAAATTCTCCATCCGATAACCAATCGGTACGTTCGATGCTGAAGTATGCGTAATGTCAAATGTCAGCCTCGTGGGATCTTCCGTCCTGTCAAATCCATCCTTTGTCTCTTTTCAATCGACACGCTTTCATCGTTTCGCCTCGTCTCGATATGTGCATACAGTGCTTGTGCGTTCGGAACAGAGCTATTTCGTAGGAGAGAGATTGCGTTAATCTTCTTATTACTCACTGTCAGCAACAATGCAGATATGCGTCATGTAATATGAGGACAATCGTTCAACCAGATTCAGTTTCAGTTCTGTCATCTCGCACGAAGGAGCATTGAATGAACGACATAAAATTTGGGTACGAAAATATGCAAATATCTTCGACGTTTTTTTCATCGATCTCGTGGAAATTTCGTGTGCTAGAATAATTAAAATCGTTGCGCTTTAACATATGTTTACGACATAACCTAAGTGTATATAATAATTAATTGAATTAAATAATTACACGAGAAAATTCGAAGATTTCCAACTCTTACGTATTTTGTTGACGAAGCAAGATTTATGAAAACACGAACATTAAATTAATTTACGTGATTTTTTTACATACAAAACAAAAATCCATTCATTTTGCTTGCTTTTTACATATAAGGGATAAACAGTATTTATTTTTAGCTCATTACTATATCATATAAAATGTAAGGATACATTTGCATATTTGTAATGTTTATATATAATTGATTATATTATTCTATGTATTATATATAAACAGTTATAGATCTTCTAAGTATAAAAGATGTCACTTTAAAAACTTCTAACATCTTTTATAGACTCAAGCAACGATTTTAATTATTTTATTTTGTTCAATAAACTATATAATACTACTAAATGTTATCCAAATTGATAATACAATTGATAATAGATGAAATATAATAGCGATTTAACTTAAAGCTACTATATTTAATAAATTTAATGAGATTTAACAAAGTAAATTTATTGCAAGACTAACATATGATTTTGTGTCCCAATAGGAATAGATATATCCAGTAAGAAAGTTACTTTTATCCTATCAACAATGGCATGGACAACTTATCAACGTACATTGGCTATGCTTCAAATAATTACAGGCTCATTTAATACTTTATCAGTCAAGTAAGTGCAATCAATATTAATATAAAAAAGTGATATTAATTTTGTATATGTTGAAGATAATTTGCCTAATTTATTTAGATACGCAGATCGACAAGTGGTACTTGGACAAGATGATCAACTTAGGCATTTTAATCATCCTTTTATGCAATCGTTATTCATGTTTATTGGGGAGGCTTTTTGTTTCTTAGCATTTAAAATTCTCTATTATTATTATAATCGACGAGCTGTAAGTATTTTTAATTTTTTGTTTTTTGAAAACCAGATCAAGCTGTATTATTTATCACATTAATGTTTGCAGGATGGCTCTGTAGATAATAATGTACTCACTAAGGGTTCGAGGATGTTTAATCCTATCATTTTACTTGTACCTGCATTGTGTGATATGTGTGCAACATCCATAATGTACATTGGTCTGAACATGACTTATGCAAGTAGTTTTCAAATGTTGCGTGGATCAGTAATTGTTTTTACAGGAATACTTTCTATTGGATTTCTCAATAGAAAATTGGGAATGAGAGAATGGATAGGAATTGGTTTTGTCATAACAGGTTTAGCATTTGTCGGTATTAGTGATATATTAACAATGGAAGATGCTGATATCAGTGCAAATTCCATAATCACTGGAGACTTGCTCATTATATTTGCTCAGGTAAATTTTTTTGTTATTATCGATATACTGTTATATTGGATTGATCAATTAAAAATTTGTTTTTTTTTATATGCTCAACAATTAAAAGATGAAAGCTAGTTACTTAAGAGAAAAATAAATAAATTTTCTAATCAATCCAATATAAATTTTTAAATAAAGCTGGCAACTACAGTTTAATTATTATTTAGAATATTAGATCATACACTAATACTTTAACAAAATAATTTCCAAATTTTAAATATATAGGTAATAACAGCTGTACAAATGGTTGTTGAGGAAAAATATATGGGGGAACAAGATATTCCTGCATTACAGGCGATTGGATGGGAGGGTACATATATTTTACATTTTCTCATATAGAATCTGTCAAGATTCGCAAACTCGATATTGATTTGAACTATATATTATTTTTATTATAATTATAATATTTATATTTTTGCAGGTATCTTTGGATGTATTGGTATTTCTATTGCTTTGATTCCCCTCAATTACATTATTGCTCCACCGCCTTTTGCTGATAATTCACGCGGCACTCTTGAAGCCACTACGGAAGCTCTTATCGAAATTGGAAGCAGTAGTAAATTGTTGATAGCTGTTATCGGTCAGTTCATCGTTTCTTTCTTTTACTTTTTTGTGATTGACGATTATTTTATTACATGTTATTATTTAACATTACAGGTATAGCATTTAGTATTGCTTTCTTCAATTTTGCTGGTATTAGTGTTACCAAAGAGATGAGCGCTACGACGAGGATGATTTTAGACAGTGTCCGTACCATTGTAATATGGGTCTTTTGTTTAGCGTTACAATGGCAAGTCTTCCATTACATGCAGGTATGATAGATGCATATATAATATAATTAAGATAATAGTTACTATTAATAATTAAAAAATTTTACACAAACAAATATATATCAACATAAAGATTATTTTTATCACAGCTTATTGGTTTTGTGATTCTTTTAATTGGTATGGCATGTTACAACAATATCGTTATTCCGCAATTAGTCCATAAATTTCTATGTCGGATGGGACGCCATACATTAGCTGACGAAGATCGTATTATTAATACCGCTGCAGATGATGTGCAAGAAACAATATGAAAGTCTATGCAATTTGTATATTTTTATGCCATGCGTGATTCGCTAGTATTTTTTTTTTTTTTTTTGAGCAATGACTTTCAACAAGATCTGTGGTATTACAATTCGAAGAACGTGAATAATCGTAACTTTTTACTTATATCTTCTTTTTTATTATAATTCATAAAATAATCTTATATACGTACTTCATTTCTATCTAGATATAAATCTGGGAATATAAGTTTAAATGAGACGAATACAGAGTTAGATTTATATATATATATATATATATATATATATATATATATATATATATATATATGTGTGTATATGTCGTTGACTGAAAATATGTAAGAAATTCAATTGAATAAGTCAACTGTTATTTTAAGTTTATACATATATATCTTTACATGTGATAAATTATACAATAACGTATCACATGTAAAATAGGATTTTAGGGGGTTTATGAATATTATTTAATTCTGCAAATTATAAATCGTTAACATTAACACAAATCAATTTCCAATTTCTAGTAAATTTCTTGTTCATAAATTAAAACCTTGAAATTTTGAATTCCGTTTGTATACAATTTGCATACCATTTATTTTTTGGTACTCTGCTATGCCTTTTCTACTTGATATTTATGAATGAACCAAATCTATGAATGTAATAAATATATATTACAAAATATATTTTATTATATATTTTTATTACGTTGATATGAAAAATGAAATAAACATATTTATTGCTAAAAATGCTCGACATAATTTTTCTAACTATAAGGTCTCGTATGATTACCGGTTTTTAATTAATCTTGTTTCCTTGATAAAATAAATATATTTAATAGAATTATACAATATCGAGAGAAGGAATTATATGATTTTTTTATTTATATATAATATAATTCAATAATTATATTTGAAAAAGTATTTCTATAAACATTATTATATATATTAATATTTACATTTTCCTATCTAATTTGTGTATGTATGATTCAAAAGTAATTTTAGAACTAAATGTTTATTTATTTATAATAAAAAGTCATTAATTTCCTCTCTCATATTTTTTAAAGCTAATCTTTGTTGAACGGCAATTAATAATGATACCGGCATAGTATTTAAAATTTCCGAATTTCGAAATATCAGTCTGCAACTATAACAAAGATACTTCCAAACATCTTCCGTAGTTAATTTTCTCTTCTTACTGTTCTTACAATCGCATTCAGTATTATCATTACAATATATTTTGTCATCCGAGCAGAGAGTCGTATCATTCGATTCTCCGTTTTTTTTATTACTAGGAATTCTTGTCTCAATATTTGAAGATACTCGCTTAGAAACTTCAATCGCCCTCACAGCAGATACTTCATTACTAGAGGATGTAGTATCTAATCTTGCGTCGCACAACACGCAATTATCTTCCGCATTTTGCTGATTGTTGATTCTCGGACTTATTTTCTCGGCTGTACGAAATATAGTGGATACTGTACCGGAAAATTGAGATTCTAATCCTGCTGCGAAGTTGTGCGCTAACGCTTGAATAGAAGTCGCTGGTGCTGTCACATTAAATTCTCTCAATTTAACAGATTTTATCTTATAGTGCTCTGAATAATATACTAGTTCTTGCTGTGTAAAATTTCTCAATGGTTTCAGTATCTTGATGTCACATCGAGCATCACAAAAGTCTGCAAGTGTAGAAAGTTGTGCACCTCGCCCTAAACATACATCTCCCAGCACTTTTGTAGCAATATCCATAGCAGAATCTGCTACAAATATTTTATTACAATTAAGTTTCCGAGCAGCTGATATAAGCAATTTTCGACGCAGTTGATTTAGTAGATCTATTCTTGAAGTGTTATCTGGTAGATCCAACATTGCATGCAAACGATCCTCTTGTTCATGATACATGTCTTGATGATCAATTGGTTTTATATCCAAGGCATCCTCTTTGTCTAAGACTTGATTCAATGATACAAAATAACCATCAAATCCAGAATCTTTTATTTCCTTAGCTATTTTACATTGCAAAATGTTCCTTTCGTCAATCGTTTCTCCCATTGTAGCACCATCTGATATTTAAAATCTTATATATAATTTCAAAATTGAATACAACAAAAAAATTTTGATTTATATGTGAAACTTACCATCTATATATAAAATTATTGTCTTGAAGATAAGTCTTTTGTGGGCAGACTCGCTCATACCAGATTTAATGAAATGTAAAAGCACAGTGGAATTCAATTCACCCGAATAATCGACCAATATCGAATCACCACGATGAATAATCTTTGATTTGCCAAGTGCGGCTCTAAATTTATGATTCGTAATAGTTAGAAAACATGTTTTACAATAACCACTTTGGCCAATTAATAATACATCAATATCTTCATCCCTGCATTTTCTGCATTTCTGTGTTGTATTTCTGTCAGAAAAATATATATAATTATTAATAATAAAGTATACCAATTATATTATATATCTTTTTTGTTTTACTTAATTGTTATTTTATCTATTATTATTTGAATTTAAAATACTAACGTTAAATCTTCGATCTTCTTATTTATTTCTTTATTGTTATCATTGTACATGCAATCGTTTAGCGAACACATATTTCCTTTTATAGCCTGATAAATATTTCACAATTTACAATTACAATTTAAAATAATTAGTTACAAACTTGTCACTTATTTGTAAATTTTATAACGAGACTGATTTTAGGTTAGGTTGTAGAACAGCATGATCGGTCACGTGGTCCTCGTCATAGATCAATCAACTCGAACAAAATATGTACAAAATTTGAAAAGCACATTTGGCGTCATTATTTATTATTTTTTTTTTTTTTTTTTACAAACTATCTCATTCTTCAAACAGAGAATACTATATACACTCCTCTTTTTTTTTACATAAAAATATCGCGTCAGATCGATTGTTTTTTTTAACATTCACGATGCACGAACAGGAAATAATAATAATCTGCGTCGCACAAAATAAGCTGCGTCTTTTTGTTATACGTCGTAATATTGCCTTGATCAAAGTGTTCTACACGTTGCGCTCTACAACTGTGCTTCGCATACTTCACTGCGTTTTAACGTCATCGCACAACACTGTTTTAATTAAAGAAATTTTCGTACAATACTTAATTATCGCCGCGAAAAAGAGAGAGCGCGTCTCGACGCGCGCGATTTTGAATCAACTTTAACACTTTGACCTCCAAGCGGAGCGGCGCTGACTGCGGCGCGTCACGTGTCACGGTCACGTGACGAGCGTGGAGTGGGGGGAACAACTACGCATTTCAGTCGCCTCTCCAGCGTACCCCACTGCGTAGCATGGTAAGGCGAGAGAGAAGTATTTCTATCTTTTTCTCTCTCTCTCTCTGAAGATATTTTCGGAAAATCATTTTCTTATCAAAAAATGTGAGTCACAGTGTGTCATCTACATGTGTGTGTGTGTGTGAACTTGCGCTACGTGGTGACCGGCGTCATTGTATTGTCATCGTCATTCGTACATGGTATGTATATAGGAATAGAAAAGTGTCAAGAGTTGGTTTCAAGACACTTTAAATAATCGCGCGCGATATATCGTATTGATAAGATCTCGAATTTTGATTCGATCGAAGCATCGCGGTCAAATTTCGAGATCCATGATATGAATGAATTATATGTATATGAGTGTGCTGTGTATATTAAACGACGGATTCTGAAGGATATTAACGCATACACGCATATTTATAAAACATATAGGTAAAATAATCGTTTTATTACTATTTATTAATACAAATCGCACCATTTTAGAGAATTGTCACTCTTTTTTTGATAGTAAAAAGTACGTGAGATTTTTGCCCTCTCTCTCTTCCTTCAATATACAATATTCTTCAAGGTATAAGTTACTCACTTATTATAACATCATCTCGATTATCATAAAGTTTTGACTACACTTTTCATGATTTTTATTAATCATAAAAATTCTTTTATGATATTCACATTTTGATATGTGTTAAATAATATGTCCCATACAGCACAGATTATTGCAATTATATTGCAGCAACGTTGCAATGTTGCAAGTTGCAATGCAACATTATAAAGACATTGCAGAGATATAGGTGCACAAAATTCCAGCACACTTGTAGCAACATGACATTAATATTTCGGAAATATTGCATGTAATCCAAATTCTATAATTTATATATTGTAATATATATAAATTAATTACAACGTATTTTCATTAATGATTTATTTACATTTATATACCTGTATATGCAACATTAGTTTATGGTTGCAATAACAATGCATTATTGCAAATTCATAACATTGCAATATTGTTGTAATATTTTGTTGCAATCTTCCAAAAAGCGGACATTTTAACATTGCTGCAGTTCAACAGCAATGATGTAGCAACATTTTGCAGTGAATTTGCAATATTGCAATATTGCGGTGAAAGATTGTTGTAATGTTTTTGCAATCTATCGGTGCTGTATGGGTATATATATATATATATATATATATATATATATATATATATATATATATTATATACATAATTCAGCAAAGATTATCTTTTATACTACAGTATATCGTTTTATGATCAACTTGTTGGCCATATGAGTAAGTCTTTACCCTTTTATCTTTACCTTATATTTACCTTCCCTTTTACAATTTTTTTAGATTTTAAGTGATTTCTCCTTCTAAAAATTGTAATATATATACCATAAATTTAGTCGGTTTTTCTATTGTAAATTACGCGAGATTATTGCAACTTTGATTGAAAAGATCAGATATATATATTATTTTTCGTCGAGATTTACGTTGCATAAGTAAGTCCTTTGCTTCCCGAGGGTTCTCGCCAACCACCGAATGCCCTTTCGATTTCTTGGGCTACAGCAATCGTTAGATAATCGCAGCCTGGATTCGCGACAATCTAAAGACAAAAGTAAAAAAGAAGGTAAAATTAAATTAATTAAAAAAAAGGCGAATTGATAAGATTTTATTTTTGAGGCAAATTAGGTAAAAAAAAAAGCTAAAAATCAAGATATCAAAAGTGAAATAATGTGCAGATGAAAAAAGAAATTTTTTTGCACTTTTTACATTCGTGCTCTGTTTTATTAATTTCTTTGATTTTGATTGTTTAATTATTGAATCTGTTATTTTTTTATTAAAAAAAATATATATTAATTTTTGTATTTTTTAGACTTAAACATAAAAAAAGGATTTTCACCTGAAGACCAATTGGCAGTTGATTTTTATCAAAACCGAGTGGGCATTGTGTGACCGGAAATCCCAACACATTGAAGATCATCATGTAAGTGTAATTGCATACATTGTACAGACTTTCATGAGGATAAGGAGCCGACGAGATAAAAGATGGAAAGATTAATACACCATTATCGCCCAGCAGTTCCTATAATGCATTATTTAATATATATTAAATATTTTAATAATATATATTAAATATATAAATATATTAAATAATATAAACTATCTATAAAATGATGTTTATATTTAATGTCACATATTTACGAATATATTTTTTGCATATTAACATTCTTATATGTTTTAACTCAACTATTTTACTTTGAATATTTTACTATAGACGAAATATTTTAAGATAAACATATAATATCTTCATTTTGCTAAGATGTTTAAAAATATGAATGGAGTCTACCTCAAATTGCTTTTTCAATTGTATTCTCATTTCTAACAATTTATTATATTTTGAGTCTGGTAATAGATCGCTGATATTTTTTATTATCCCATAACATATGGCGGGAAAAGTATGCGGCGACATAAAGAAAAGATATTTTAATGTTTCCGCAAGCACGCTCTTCGATTTCTGAAAAGAAATTTTACGAGATGTAAATTTTTTTTACGAATTATTTGAATAATATTTTGTGGTTTGCATTTATACCTTATAGTCATCCGAACGATTATACATCGAATATATATCTTGGATCCTCAAAAGGATGAATGCGCTTAACTCAAAAGATGATTTCATATTTTCCAAATTTGCCTATGAATAAACAAAAATTAAATTCTGACCGATATATTTACAGATTTGTATTTAGTAATATTATTGCAATCTAATTTTGAAATCTAATTTTTCAAATATATTTTAATTTTTAATAAATTACATATATAATATATATATTATATGACAATAATATAATTGGTCTTCTTTTTTCATAAATTAGTTTACATAACAAGAACCTGTGTTACATACTTTTTGGACTTTGACACCATATGTCGTTTCTAAGTATCTTATTAACTTGTAAATTGCGCCTTTTATATCACTGTTCACGCAATTTGTTACTCTCGGGTCACAATGATCCATGTAAAAAAATTTCACATCCTCTAGGCGTACCTATATATATGCAATTATGTAACAATACTTTTGATTAATTGTTTATAGCACGCGAAATAAATAATGGAAATATAAAATAAATATTCACATTATTTATAAATGTTTTATTACATATTAAAAATATTTATATTATATAAATATTTATTATATTCCCTTATAGAAATTTATCACTAGTAACGCCAATTTATCACTTATTTCGAGTACTTAATCACTTATTTCGAGTACTTAAATTACTGTATATTTGATTATTTTATGAGTATTTTATGAGTATTTTAAGTACTCAAAATAATTAATTGGCGTTACTAGTGTTTCTACAAGGGTTAAATATTAAATATTTTTATTATATAAATATTTATTACATAATTATGAATATTTATATTATAAATATTTATTACAAATATTTGATTGCCATTAGAAAATTGTAACAAAACAAAAAAACTAAATTAAGATTAGGAAAATTCTTACTTTTTTATTGAAGCCAATTTTTGCTTCGTCGGTTTGCGAAATAACTGTCAACAGAAGAGGCAAATCCGAAGCGTATCTGACCATTGAACCGATTGCAAAAAAAGAAGGCCAATTTTTATCACTAGCGCTAGGTTTGTGCCCTTCAACTGAAACCCAGTCTGCGAAAATAAAAATTAGCAATTTTAATTGTATTTGTCGTAAAATTGTTTTATGAATACTTGTTTCATTTCTTTCTTTTTGTGTCTGTAGCTGTTTGGTGTAAAAAGAACTTACTGGGCGTAGGTTTATGGCCGAAAATTCCGCAAAACATAGCTGGAAGTCTGGCTGATCCAGCGATGTCTGAAACTAAGCCTAGAAGGGAGGCGCCAGCGCCAAGAAGAGCAGCCTGAATTAAAAATACCCAACTGCTATTTTATTATAATCTTCTCTTATATATTTGTATAATAAAAATAATTAAAATTTTAAACTCTTACAGAGATTTCCCGGAGGAAAATCACGCGTTTTTTTAAAAAGAGGGAAACACAACGTACCTCGCCACCGGAAGAGCCGCCAGCGGTCCTCCGAGTGTCATAAGGATTCTTCGTGGCACCAGTTATTTTGTTATACGTATGCCACCACAGGCACAATTCTGGTGTATTACTGACAAGGAGAGGAATCCCACCGGCCTCACGAATCTTCGTCACGACGTTTGCATCACTCGTCGCCCTCGAAGGAACGTCCTTCATTCCCACCGTATAACTCATCCCTACAGGTAAACGTTTATTTTTATCATGGCCCACGTGTTTGGTGCAAAATATTACGGCCTCTAAAATTATTCCACCGATATTGCTTATCTAGATGTAATATATTTTTTATTAAGCTTTAAAAAAGCACATGATATACGTATATGCGAATAAATGATGGGAAAAGAAAAATATTATTGTTTGAAAAATTTTAAATCAACTTTTATTGACGCTAATCGCTTTAATACTCCGTAAATTAGAATTATACGTAGAATGTGTTTGTTCTGTGGAATATATAGTAGGTATGTTACGGCGTAATAGATATTTTTAATAATAATATAGCTACTACAAAACTTTAATGCTTTTTTTTAGGACTTAAATCTTTCAAAATTTGAATACGTTTTTTCGCGTTGGCGTATTAAGTTTAGTCAAAATAAAGTATGTCATTATGAATAATTGATGTGTATTATAATTAGTATCTTAAATAATAGATCTGTCACGCGCAAGAGTATTGTACATAATATAGTATCTTTAAGTGCGAAGTTCCAAGAAGAACTCTTTTTTATGATTTATTCATGGAATAACTTCGTTAAATCACGTAAATTACCGTGAACATGGTAATATGTGCAAACAAATAGTTCAAAGAGATAGATAAAGAAAGGAAGAGAGAAACAGAAAGAGAGAGAGAGCATATTACATTCACAAATAAGCTAGCGACCTTAATTCTTCGCGCAGCAGAAAAATCTTGAAATCGCGTTATTAATGAAACACAATTATAATGATAAGCAAAATTGATGAGATACAACTTCATACATTTATATATCTATTATACAAATATTACTTATTATATCTTGTTAAATATTTTATTATTTTTTAGCGTATAATAAACGACTAATTATAATGACGAATCGTATTTAAATAATAGATTTTCTAAAGTCAAAGTTCGCTTAGATGCAAATATGTATCTTCGTATATCTGAAACGTAGTGAATAATAAATATTCATCTTTCAGGAACTTCTGAATTTTTTTGAACACCTAGATGTCACACTAACATGGTAAATTGGAGAATTATTCGAATGTGTGACTGACGTAAATGCGTAATTTGATAATTTTTAACAATGTACATGAAAAAACTGGGAATTCATGTTATTTAAATATAAGTTCGTGTTGTAATAATGTTTTACAAATTAAATCATTAACAGGATTCCGTTCGCCGACACATATATGCATATATCGATTACATTCGAGAGGATTGAAATATGTGACCCACCTTGAACAGCAATACTTTCTTTAATCGTAACAGGTAATCCCAGCAACGGTTTCTCGCTCGCAATTCTCGCTTCGTCCATCGTCGTCGATTTCAAAAAGTCATCGATTTTACGGGCTTCTTGAACCGCCGCCTCGAATCGATCCTCTACGATCGCGTTGATCAACGGATTCACCTCCTTGCATCGCTTCACGTATGCGGTAACCACTTCTTCGGAACCAATCTTAAATAAGGTAATACGTTTTTGTATACTTGATGTTGCAAAACTACCTGTTCTTTTAATAGTACATCGAAAAAAAATGTGTTAACTTGACTAAACCTTTCAACGAAATATTATATATATATTATTAACTGAACATATAAAAATATTTAAATTAAATATAACATTAAATTCAATAAAACGTATATATATTTATTAATAAAATAATTAATTAATAAAATGTGTATATATATTACCTAAATATTAATATATGTCCAATTAACAAAATAGTAATTTAATTGAAAAGTTTGGTCTAGTGAACAAATTTTATTTTTAGTGTAGACTTTCAAGCCAATTTATATGAATGATTTTTCTTTAATGAAAATATTGAGGCAATTTTTCGAATTATAAAATGATCGAAAAAGAGCTTTTTATAAACCGAACTTTGTGAAACCAAAAGACTAACAAAACTACATTCTTCAGATAGAATGTATTTTAATAGAATTTTAATTTGAAAGATACAAGAGGTATATTAAATAAAAAAATAAAAGTTTTGAGTTTATGTTGTGCTTTTACTCAGAGCACACGATTAAATGATGACTCAATACTATTTATGTATGGTCATTGTGTTCACGTATAATTTATTGAAATTAATTCACATATAGTCATCATGTATAATAAGTAATTTTTTTGCACAACATATATCAGTCTGAAGAGGACCCAATTCAGGATTGAAACGTTGCTGAGTAAATAAAGTAATTATACCATCATTAGCCGGTTTGGTCGTCTAAAGAATATCAACTTTGATTTTAATTTCATCAGCAACTAATTCTTTATTTTGAAAAAAATAAAACTTTGCAAAAAATGGCGATCTTCTTCGATATTTTCGTTTAAGAAAAATTCATTTCAAATATAACAGAAAATTTAAATTATTAAAAAGACAATACATATTTTTTGTATTAAATGTGAATTTAAAATAATTGTTGAGTACATATATGAAGATATCTTGCATTGATCAATATAAAATATTTAAATATTACAAGATTGTATGATGTTGAAATATATATATGTACTTACTTCTCTTCTTCGGATTCTCCGCGCAATTTCTGTCGCCGATTGCAGCAAGATTTGATTTTCAATCGGCGAACATTGTCGTTTCTTCTTCAAGCCTCGTAATTTGAAGAATGGACCGAGCAAACAATAAAGACAGAACAAACTGCCTTTTATTAATGCCTTTACTATCGATATTTGAATCTTTTATATGAAAAGAAGCAAATACTTAATTTTAACTATTTTTGATTAAACATATATATATTGATAACAAATTAATCTGGAGCAAATTAATGTAAAGATTAAATCTAGTCTTACCATATTATTGATTATTTTTATTGCATAAAGTTCTATCACATTTTTTTCCTTAGAAAGTTTCAGAAATGTTTTATGTCTTGGAGATGATTGATCACGTTGAGGTAATTATATTGATCACATTTGCAATTCAAAATTGTGATTTAAAATTTTCGTATTTCCTAGATAACAGAAATATAATGAACATTTTTATTTTTAGATCACAAATCATTGTCACGTGTTCGCATCTTGCATTATTATTATATTAACTTAAACTCACTGAGCAATCAAAACGGAGATCATCGTAGACGTTCAATAAGCTCCATAATGCATTCTGTCACGTCATTGCGATTAGTTCTGGTTGTCTTTAATTAAACCATCGCTTAAACCATTGAATCGAATCATCGATTCTGACTGTTAAAAAGCAGATTGTATTAGTTATAGAAGACATTTATTTAAAAAATCGGAAGCACACGTCCAATCTAACTTTACTTAAATTTTTCGAAATAATCAACGGAGAAAAATAATGTTTTTTAATTAAATTTTCCGATAACTAATTGAAAAAAAATAGAGAATTATTTCAAAACCTTAGATTAAAAATAATCTAATTAACATCAGTTAATCAAGATATTCAGTAAAAACTTCTTTTATTGTTCAATTATCTAGATAATTGAACAAAAAAAAGATCGAAGTGCAGATCAAGATGATATTTAAAAATACATTTAATGCATATTATATAACCGATATATGATAATAAGAAATGAAAAATTAAAAATAGTTTAATTTTTTTGACCTTGCGAGAAAAAATTACCAGTTATATTTAGAATTATCATATATTATTATATTTAGTTTAATTATTTTTTTATAACTTTTTTTCTAAAAATATATAAACGCAAAGTGAAGAACCAAGATAAATTATATACGATGTGTGCTCGTAAATTTAAAGTTAAAATAATGTACGTGTAAAAGATATCGTCACCAAGGAAAAGTGCACAGAGTGAATTTTACGATTTTATTTTTATGACGGACGCAGTCGCACGCAATTGTTTGCAGTGATCCGAGTACGGATGTCTAACGCAATACTTTGTAGACATTTCTTCTAGGTTCTAGGTCGTATATTCTCCACATGGTTCATTGAAACGATAATAAGACACGAGACAAGAATTCTAAGAGGCCGCCCTACCTCCTCTTCAGTCGTGTACACCCGCGTCATCGTATATAATAAATCGAATATGTACGTATATTCCTCCTTTTCTCTTTTTCAATTGAATGCTTGTTAAAGTAGATGAATTTACGAAACTTCAGATTATAACACAATGATTTGCGGTGACCGAGAGAAAGATAAATGCAAGAAACGCGATTTTATTGTCTAATTACGTTGATTTGTGACTTCTTATTTAATTGTCACGTGTCATCAGGTTTGAAAGATTTCTTTAGGAATAATATAATTAATTATTAATTTATTAATAATTTATTTTTTATTAGTTTTATTAATTTTGACAATTATATATAAAATAAAATTGTCTCTTTTTTTGTTACGGACTTATCGTTCCACCGATAAAATTATATTGATTAATAGTTTCGATAAAAAAATTTGATTCTCATCTATAATGATTCACTTAGATCTGCATATTTATAAATCGAAATAATTTTCACGTAAAAAATTTGTACCTTATATATAAATCTAATAATTTTATTATTAAAAGTTATCTAATTTTATATAATTGTTTTGCACAAATCATCAAGTATATGTTTTTTCTTTGCTCAAAGATCTTTTCTAAGAGATTTTTTAAATATTTGGATTTTATAAAAAAGAGATGTATATATTCTTTTAGATATTTAAAATTAACTACTATATATGTACATATTTTAATTTCAATTATTACGTAATTGTAAATTGCATAAAAATTTATTATACGTTTAAAAAATATACTTATACAATTAAATTTTTATTTTGTTGATTGATATTCGTACACTCATTTGTTTTTATGAAACGTGACAGAATTCTGACAGTATTGAAAATAAGAAATGTTTATTCCAACTAAAATTGCACAAAAGAATTTATGTCTTATTAAAAATAAAAATGTTTGAAGCATATTATGTCAAAGAAATATTTTTAACATGTATAGAATCGTCGTCTCGATAACTCACATTAGTCTGATAGTTAATTTCATATGCTATATATATATATATATGTTATCATATCTCTTATTATTCCTTTTACGTTCACATTCATACATAATACAAAGTATCAAGGTTTACACCGCAAAAACCAAATAGGAACGAGCAAATATGATAGATGTGAATAATATATACTAACGGAAAAACGGAATGACGACAACATATTTAATACTAATATATGTCGACTAATGCTACTTTTTCTCTAGTATCAATGTCAAAACAAATTAAAATTAATCTTGCTTCTCAAAGTTTACTTTCTATGTGTATATATCAGCGAAAATCGCTAATCTTTATTTTTTTTCCAGATTATATATCATAATACATCAAAATATTATGATTGTTTGACGTTGTTGAACATTTATTGTCACTATTATATGTATATTATTATAATCTTACAATATGTCTTTTTCATATTTAGTTTAATTTTTAATATTTTTATTTAATATTTTTTATATAATATTTAATATTTATCGCTTTATAAGAGATATAATAATCTTTTTAATGTGTATATAGCATAATAAACCTATTAATATGATAACTTACATTAACATATACATTTTTAATACACATATCAAGTTTAAATTTAGAGAAAAGATGAGAATTCAAGATTAGTAAATTGTTGAGTCAAAAATAATCTAGCAATTAGAATTGGAGTGGATTTACAATTTAGTACAAGAATATGTTTATCCAAAATTTTCTTTAAAAACTTAAAGTATCAATATAAATTTAAAATAAGAGTTTAGTATTATATTCATTTTATTAGACAATATTTTAAAATAAATACCTTATATCTGTGTACAATGAATTTTTCTGTGTTCTTAGAAAAGGGCACTGAAAACAATTTTCTCTCTTCTTGGGATGATCTTCATCACTTAAATACGATTCGAATTTGAGTGAGCGAACGTCACACGTCCAGTTCGCGACCATCACCAGTTCATGACTAATTCACACCGATTCAAAAAGGAAACCATCGACAGAAACGAGTCTGAAGAAGCAACGAGTGGGGCAAAGTTGTTGAAGCACGTTTCGTGACGCTTTGTTTCGTCTATCATTTCCGTTTTAACGGACTTACGGTACATTTTGACGCAGTTCTGAAAACATTGGACTTATTATTTTAGCATATTATTATTATTATTATTATATCTATACATAGTTTAATTAATTTAAATTTTTATTTTTACAGTTTATTATTCTTTTTATTAAAAATTGAACAATTTTATTAATTAAATATTAAATTATGAAAATTAAAGTTATTAATTTTGCTTCACTCGTTACTTCGACTGTACGTATAATTTTTTTTTAAACTCTATATAGCTGCATCTATATAATTTTGTAAATAGTTTTTTCTATTAACCTTTACAAATTATGCATCTGAAGTTTTTATTCATTACTTTTTTAAAACCTTATTTACAATTTTTGCATCTCAAGTTTTTATAAATGTCAAATTGAAATTTAAATGAAGTACTTATCATACTTAATCATATATTAAATCGTAATCGAAATTTATAAAACTATTCAACAAATCATCTGATCTGCATTTCAAATAATTAATTTAATTAAATTATTTTAAATGGTTATTTTTATGAAATTAATTATTTTAAATGATTAATTTTATGAAATTAATTATTTTAAATGCAGATCAGATGATTTATTGAATAGTAGTTCTATAAATTTCAATGTACGAATTAATATACGATTAATTTATGATAAGTACTTTATTTAAATTTTAATTTGATATTTATAAAAACTTCAGATGCAAAAATTGTCAAAGTTTTAAAAAAGTAATTTTTATTGTAAAATAATACATTTGCTATTTTTTGTGATTGCGGAATATATATATATATATATATATATATATATTTGTAGATATTGTTAATTAACTCAACTTCGGACTTGGACAAACAAGTTTTCGATAGAACACAATAATATTCGATAGTTAAAACTTTAATATTTAGAAAAGAAATTTATACGAATTATTATAATTAACACGAATATAAATGTTCGAAAATTTTTAATGAGATGAAAGTATATTCGATAGCATTTAAATGTTTGGAAAGTCTTCCCTGAAAACTTTCCTTCGTGATGTTTTCGAAAGTAGAGATACATATACCTTATTAAAAGGATAATTGGAGGCAGAGACAAGAATTGATGCTTGAGATAATAATAGGATTTCTCATGAGTTTCTAATTATATGTAATATTTTTTATAAATACTATGTAAATTTTCTAGCATAAAACGATGACACATATAGGAAAAATAATTAGACAAATAATTATAAAAAATAGCATTTTTTTCTTATAAATTGAAACTATAAATAAGTATTCAAAATTTGAACATCTGTGCGTATAATTTATGCTATATAAGAAAAAAGTAAAGGGAAATGTGTACAATTGGAACGATATTTATTACAGAAAGATTACAAGATTATATCCTATAAACATTTTATACGCGGCCATAATACGCCGTGATCTGGACGCGGATGGGAGGGGATCTCCCTCGTTTAATCGTGAAAAATATTATTTACATTGCACATATATCACACTAGCGTTACTATCAAACGAGCGGACAGTTGGTCGCTGAGAACTCTCCGCGAAAGGCCGTTTGAAAAAAAAATACAACCCTTTCAACACACGAACTCGTCTTTCCTGGCGCGTAAGAAATTTCTGACTTCTACAAGATTCATAGGATAAAAGTAGTCTCTTCGCCTGATTCGCGATAAAGTTACTATTAATTCATCCTTCGCATCTACAACAAATGTCGAACAAAACCAACATCGAATCTATTCAACCTTAGAAGATAATTATACAGAAATTTTTAACGCTAAAAGAGCCAAAGATGAGGAACTGTCATGAAGATCAACGTTGTATGTATTTTCTAACTAAAAACTTTTTCAAAAATTTAGTTTACTTATATCGAATATGTTTTTGTAGTTCTAGAGAATCCATGAATGCTCGACGAAAATCTATCTTCGCGAATTCGGCTCTTTTAGTATCAATTTTTTCGATCTTGCGATTACAATCTTTTATACAAATTCTAGGATAATTTTTTTAAACAAATTGTTCGGAGATAGATTTGTCATATTTGTCATGACTGTGTCGAATAGTCGCGTTGAGGCACATTCGCGCCGCGGAAAGTCGCTCAAAAAATTAAAGGAAAAAGAAACATAAGTGTATTTTTCGTCGCTTATTGTTAGATAAGCGTCTAAACAACACAGGTGAATATAGTTACGCGTTAACGTTTACGACGCTACTCTATAATACGCGTATAAATATATTTATATATTTATATATTTATATATATATATGTAGGATCAAAATTAATGAATTTATAACAGTATCATCGAAAACGCAAATCTGATAGGCGACTATCTCCGTTCGTAACACTTATACGAACGGGCGCTATTATACTATTTTCAAAGAATACGTGTTAATTTTTCTTGCTCCTCGCTTTTTGTTAATCTTTCTTAAGTACCGAATATATTATTATTGTTACTATTATTATATTATTTATGCCTAAATTCAGCGTATATATGCGTCGTCTTCGTTTTCCGGCAACGATATTAGCGTTATCACCTTAAATCATTGCCGTCAATCACTATTTTTTGTTATCATTATAATAAAATACGTAGATGTGGGTGTATGTGTGTGTCTATATATAGATAATAATGCGCACATATGCATATGTTGCAAACTCCTTGTAAAATCAACTTTTTCATAAAAAGACAGCATTTTTTATAAAATAATTTAAAAGCCTTTTAAAAGCGTTTTACAAAAAGCTAAGTTCCTTATTTAAAAAAGCCGTATTTATAAGAAGTTTGTGACATACACACGTATACATACACACACACACACACACACAAAATTCGCGCGGTCGAATTCTTAATGTCTACTACAATGAAAAAAATATGTTTTTTTTTCTTTTAAAACACTTTCTCAGCACTTTGGAATCTCCTTAAAGACTTAGTGTTATCATAGTTTGCCGAAAGAAATGACGAATTATTCGTTACGTTCTTAAGACTTGTGCAGCAATTCACGATCCGTAAGTAGACCAAATATAATTATATAGTATTATATTACTCTTTCATTAAGACTATATAAAAGTAATTAAAGTATTAGATGTTATGATTCGAACTTTGTGAACAATTGAATGCTGCTCGATAAACTCTTCATTGATTGATCATTGCAGTGTAGTAAAATCAATTAAGTGATAAAATATAAGAACAACAAATCTAAACATGTACATAAAACATCAATACAATAGGCATTACAATAGGCGTTAAAAAAAATAATTTCCTAGTATTTTTAATTAAGACTTTTAATTAAGATTTTTCCTCACTATAATCACATTGGATTATAACATAAAAAAGACGTAAATTCTTTTCTCAAAATAAATTTGTTTTTTCATGCCATTACTCACGTTTTATAATAAGTTTGGTAAAATATACCGAAATAACGTTTATGGTCATTTTTTAAAAAATAGATTGTAATATATCAATGAAAATATATAGGAAATTGCAGTAAGACGACGCAAACGGTCTGACCACCGGTATTTAAAAAGCGTCTAAAGCAGGAAATATATATCACTCTCTACAGGGGGACAAAACGCATACAAAAATTCTAGTCATATAAATAAGTCTATAAGCGCTTAACAGGATGATATCTCTTAAAGTAGTCAGTTACATATTAATGCAATATTAATATTTTTTTAACGGTTTCATATATATGATCCGGGGGATATATATATGTGTATGCTAATTCGACAGGACTGTATTTGTAAAACTATCCTTAAACGTAAAAGTAACCATACAAAAATTTACGATATGCCATTGCCTTCGTACATGCAACTGTACGAAACGATAATCAATAATATCTATATTCGTATAATAGCGATAGTATTTTTACATCCGATAATAATGATAGGTAATAATAACAAAAGTGCAAAACCCGAGAGGTAAACAAAACCAGTGAGCGATGGTCTTGTTCGTTTGTGAAAAAGAACGCGTTTACTAAACGTTTACAATACGTTTCTTTTTTCGAGATAAGCCTATACTTTGTATCGACACGCGTTTTGGACTTTGTTTCGGACGATCTGATTATATATCTCTTTTTTTTCTCTCTCTCTTTCTTTCTCTCGCATATCAACAATTGATAAGACAATAAATTACAATCGACAATGAAACATGCTTGGAAAGTACTCGAAAGAAACAGAATGTCGCGAAATTAGATATGCTATCTCAAAATTAGTTATCCACTTGATGACGACTGTGTGTATATATGTATATTCAGCCAGAATATACAGAATATACCTACGCGCCGTTTAGAAGAACGAGGTTTTGGAACAAACACTATAATTATTAACTCGTATTATCAGTCATTTGCTTCTCAAACGGTGCGCTTTTGTTTCCTACTTGGAGGCAGAGACAGATCGTGAAATTAGCATTTAGTGGATAAATAATGTGATTACACGTGCGAGTTAGCAAAGACGGCGTTGAGAGATTCTTTGGAGAGGAGGTTTTGAAGAGACGAATGGCTTGTAGACGATAGGCAGACTCATCGCGCGTCTTTCGCTGTCAGTTTTTCTATTAGCTCTTGCAGAGGCGCCAACTCTCTTCTCTCGATTAAATTGAATTCCTACAAATTAATTAAATAAATTGGATCAGCATGAAAAATCAAATTAAACAAATTAAATTTAAGTGATACATTTTTCTTTATATAAATTTGTTACTTTCATGCTACTCTATATAATTATATAAAATTTTTTTTCTCTGTATCACATAAAATTGCATTATTTTTATTAATTTTTTTCCTAATTACTTTATGATATATATCATGTATATTGTCATCATATTTGCTATATATATAATTGTATACCTGAACAAAAAATATGAAATGCTTGAAAGATGTGTTTAAGTGTGCTTCTTCACCGAGCTGCACGACTTCGCTGAAGTGCTGATGATAAATATGGGCGTATACTCTGAATAACCGTTTCAGAATAGTTTTTGCGATTGATAAGAAATTTTTCGGGAAAGGAACTCCTGCAAAGAGAGTAATTATGTATTAGTTTTCATAAAAATTTATAAAAATTTGAGATAATCAATGCATAGAGAATAAAATAATTACCGATTTTGGATGGAAATAGAGTCTCGTCGTCCAATTGATCCTGCACCCAGGTCATCAAGTAGTCTATGTACTTGGGTGCTGAGCACTTGATGGGTTTTTTCACCGTATGACCATCAGCCCAATGATATTCGTACTTTGGTCCAGCAGACATGATGGGACAACTCTCTTCCGTGCAAAATTCTGTGATGGTGCCATACAGCATATTGATTTGATTGAAAAAATCAACAGCTGAAAGAAAGAAAACATGAGATAGAGGATTGATCAACTCAATTGATACAAAATAATGAGAATATAAAAAAATGGATGTTGCATTATTAATTCTCACTCACTATTGACAGCCACCCACTCATTCAAATCTTCTCCTTCAGGAAGCATAACAGCCAATCGCAAATTTCCAGAACCCAATGTGGCAGCAGCATGTTTCATCAAGTCATATTGATGCGTGCCTTCAGGGATGTTCTTCTTTGGTTTAAAGGTCTTTGAAGACCTGCTCCCACTTGAGAGAAAGAAAATTAAGAGACACAAATTAATAAAGCTCATTATATTCATAATTTTTTCCTTGTTATTGTATATCATATGTTTTTATATATTGAAATTAATTAATTCTATTAATTTTAAATTAATATCTGCCAGATAGAAAATGTCATTTATTTGAATTATTTCTATTTTGAAAGATGAAGTTAAAGCCCACAAAACAAGAAATGAAGATGTAAGAGTTAGATTTTCAAAGATCAGTACGCCATAAAATTAATATTGGACATGATATAGGATTTATCACATTACTGCCTCAGGTAAGAAATTAATGATAACTAATTAAAAACTTGCTTTATTGTACTACTGAAAAAATTTAAAATTGATAAGCAGTAAGTGCAGCTAATAAAAGTGTACATAATATTTAATTTTAACAATCTATTTTAATAATTTTTCAGAAAACAAATTTTATTTTAACAGTAAACAAAGAAACAAATATTTCTTTTTTCAAATGTTTTACTCCTTTTAAATTTTTTCTTTAAAAGCTTAAATGCATGCTTACTTATACATATACATAAAGGGAAATTTAACTAAAAGAGAAATATCTAAAAAGTAATTTACCTATAAAAAAAGGTAATACTTATAAAAAGTTATTTTATTAAATCTTTTTATTAAACATCACACAATTTTTTATGTTCCAGATTTTATAATCTTTTCCCTCTTTTTTCTTTTCAAAAATCTACAAAAATCTGTTTTATTATAGGTCATAGGAAATAACCAGGTATAGCTGAAAGAAAGCATCTCTTTTTAAAGTTATACTTTCTCTCCTCGATTTTTTCCCCTTCTTTTTTTCCTTCCACGAAAAAGCCTAATTATATATACACACACACACATATATATATGTACATTTGCCCATCTCATTATATATGCGAGAAGCGTGAGAAGGTGCAGCTGTAAGAGAAAAACAAACCTTTTACAGATGCGCTCGGCGCGACGCTCAGCTGATCGCGATCACAGACCGAGAGCTGGCGGCGTTTCGCGACATCGCGAATGTCAAAGCGAGACGATGTGTTCGCGATCTCGATCTTAATTACCGCGAAACTCCGGACTCCGGACGACAAGAAACAAGGCGCGGCCGCCTCGAGACGGAGATGATTCATAGATTACGCGCCTACATCAAGCGATAATCCGGACATTCGAGGAATACGGTGTGGATCCCATAGAGATGCATGAAAAAAAACTTCCACTCGAAGTAGCTATTTTTATCCTTGATATCGATCCACACCGGTAAATTGCATTTTTTTTATTCCGTCTCTCGAATTTGTATGAATTTATCTTCGCGTAGAACGAAATAAATTTCGATAGATTAGACAGGTAAGAAAATACATATTTTAGGAATCGAAACAAAGCTTTCTTTTCGGAGAGAAAATCGACTATTAACTGTCAAAATCAGCTGTCACGAAATGACAGGAACGAGGGAAGGCGGAGATCCTTCGATAATTTTGTCCTGTTACTCATCCTCGCGTCCTTCGTCCAAGACATATATACATATACATGCATATACATGTGTATATCGATCGTGATGAAGGCGAGAATTGGGAAGAGAAAGTCTCGAAATAGGACTTACAATAGGAAGCTCATCGTGGCGGCTTCGTCGTTGTTCTCTGGCTCACTTTATTCTCGTCCTTTTTTTTCGAAAATCTACTCCACGTTGCGCGTAAGGAGACGACGGACGCGACGATGACGACGAGGTTTGTCCGACGACAGCTGACGACGATGACGACGACGACGATGTTGTTGTCAGTCGATCCGGTCCTCGCACTTGCGATTCTCGCTCTTCTTCCGTGTGTCCCGACACCGGGGATGACGAATCGTATATATGTATGTATGTTGTCCGTCTACTGTCCGCAGGCTCCGTCCGGCTTCATTCACGCTAGAATCTCTCCTCTCGCGAAAATAAGACGGCATTCGCGCCGACTCGACTAGACTCCCGGATCTCTTCGTCGAAGGAGATTCCCGAAGTCTTCGATCTCGCGTTCCAAAATTTCCTTCTCTGAGCCAATCAAACTTTTCGTGTCCAAAAATGGCGGGACCAATCGGAGACAGGCTGCATAATTTAGAATCTAAAAAAAAATTACTAGAGCCCTAGAATATTTTCTAGGGACTCTGGGATAATTTTAGTAACTTGCTGGATCGCGCGCGCGCGCGTCAATTTGACAGGTCGCTATTTGACAGTGTCGCCGCCGTCAGCCAATCCAGTTTCGCCGCCATCAGCCAATCAAGTTCGTCCGCTCTTCGCCCTTCGCCGGGTGGAACTCGACGTTTTCGTCGACCATTTTGTTGCTATTTCGAGGCGCCTTGAAACATACCATTTTTTCTCCCGATTTCTCGCGGCTAGCAACGTTTTTTTCGAGAGCGAATTTAGGAGCTAATTTCGACGCTTCTCGCAGACATCTCCCAAGTAAGTTTCGTCTCCGTTGTAACGAATAAGGATCCAGGATTCTTGAGCAGAAAAAGTATTATTATCGCGTGGCTACGAGAAATCGAGCCGACTTGGTTTGTGAATCTCGGAATTCGCGTCCCGTGATTGCGAGTCTTTTTCGCCAAAAAACATTTTTTCAATGATTTTTTAATATATTATACTTGGTAAGTTTTCTGATTAATCGCGACGATTTTACATGTTTTTGCACGTGGTTTTTCGGACGATCTATCCGCGACGCACGAAACTATACTTTTGTATTATTTCGCTTTCCTCGATATTTTGTTGCTTCGCTAATATTTGCCGATAATTGTAGATCGAGTGGCGAGCTCAAACATTTTTTCATCGTCGATATTTCGATGTTTCTTTTGTTATATTTGCAGTCGGCATTTGTATGTTTCTCATAATGCAACATTGTTTTCAAAATGTCGACGTATACAAGCGTGGTATGTTGTATTTTGGAAAGTTGATCATCGCGAAAGTATTGGTATCTTGTACTCGGATTATTTTATTTTTGTATTACAATAATTTTTTTGTTGTATTATCATTCTATTATTATTCTTTATTATTTTATTATTAATTGTATTTGACAAAATAACAAAAAAAAATGATATATTAAGCTTAATATTTCATATTTGTATTTTCACAGGCATTGTTTAGAGTAAAATTACATTACATTAGAATCATGTCGAGTGGCAGTGGGGATCATGAGGATGAGGGATATGTTGTTAAAATGCGTGGGTTGCCATGGTCTACCACTGTGGATGAAATTATGAAATTTTTTGGTGACTGCTCCATTTCTAATGGCAAGAATGGTGTTCATATGACTATGTCCCGTGAGGGACGTCCCAGCGGTGAAGCTTACGTAGAAATGGATACTCCAGAAGATATTGAGAAGGCTTGCAAAAGAGATAGAGATCATATGGGCCATCGCTATATTGAAGGTTAATCTTTTATAAATTCTTTTAATATATATAATATTTGTACATTTAAAAAACTTGTGCAAATAAACTTTCTTCTTATTTATAACTTAATTTTAACATTAACTAAATATCTTATTTCTTTATTTGCAAACTTTATAATAATTGTATTATTGTTATTTCAGTTTTTAAAGCAAAACGTGGAGAAATGGACTGGGTCGTGAAGAGGAGCGGTCTTAATTTGGAAAATGCAATGGATGATGGTTGCGTGAGATTACGTGGTCTGCCATTTGGCTGTTCAAAAGAAGAAATTGCACAATTCTTCTCAGGTATGTGGCAAATAATAATGTATCTAGTGTCAATACTTATTAATTGATTAGTGACTGTCATCAATATTTTGATTAATTCTTGAAATCCTTTATCTTTTATAAGTATGTAGCTTTTTTATATTTTTGTAGTCCCTCCTTTTACATATATAAAAAAATATAAATACAAAATTTGAGGATTATCTCGGGAACGCAGCGATAGAATACTTTTGATGATTTAGACAAAATTATTTTGCATATTCTCTGGAAAGTTATAAAGTTGTTTCATCTTTATCAAATTAATAAAAAAAAGTGAATTTGTTACCATTAACGAATCTTACAAGAATAATGCACATCTTGAATAATTAATATTAAAACTCCATCTAGAGTATCGTCCCTGCGTTCCGGCATCGATGCCTCAGTTAAGATTTAAGATTCCATTAAGAACTGAGTTGTGCCATACACAAGTGTGCCACGGATTATTTTCTTATGATTTGTACAAACGGAAAACATTTTCGTTGCACGCGACTCGGTGATCGAGCTTAATTCTTAACTCTGGTTTTTCGGACGCGAGAAATTTATCGTTTTGCTAATGCAAGGAGAAACACGAAGAGAAAAAAAAGAAATAAAGATATAAAAGAAAAATATGCGCATATTTAGCGCGATTTTAGTGTTTTGACAAGAGTTTTTTTCTTTTTTTTTTTTTTTCTTTGTGGGTTTTAATAAACCTGACCATAACTTCTTTTTTCCCTTAATGGGTGCCTTTAAGCTACAATGTAGATGTTTGATTATGTGTGGGTCAGGGTTGGAGATATTGCCGAATGGGATTTCGCTACCAACAGACTACACGGGCCGCAGTACTGGGGAGGCTTACGTTCAATTTGTTAACAAAGATGTTGCGGAGCGCGCTCTGCAGAAACACAAGGAAAAGATAGGACACAGGTGGGGATCTGAGACGCTAGCTCTGGGTTTGGGTATACTTATTATGACTTCCATATCATTTATATTAATGATCGTAGTATACTTAGCTATATACATTTTATTTAATAAATAGTGGGAACAAATTTTACAGTATGGATGCAGTTTCTTTATCTGACTTTTTGCTAAAACAAATTTTTCCCCAAAAAATAAGATACAAGTTATATTAAACCATCACAATATTTACATTCATATATTTCAAAATTTTATACTATGAAGAAACTAACTTTAATTTAATCTTAAGCTAGAAAATTATCTAGAGAAAACTCTTCGACAAGAATAAAAGACTTTGAATTAATTTTTGAATTTTTCTTGAAAGGAAGAGCTTTCTAGAGAATTTCTTTTTCTTATCTGTCATAAAGAAACTGTTTCCCTTTAAACACACAATTACAACCAAATAATCGTACGTAAGCGAAAAAGTACTGTGGACCCAACTTATACCCGTGGGTGGGTGCCGGGGGGCGGGAGGTAGCCCCTTATCATCATCACCAAATCCCATGGGAGGATGGGTAGGGCCCAAAGCTCGATGAGTACTACAGAGAGAAAGAGAGAAAGAAAAAAAGAAAGATATTGACCACCGAATACATCTGTGCAACACGCAACACTACTTTCTGCGGATAAATATTTATTATCTTAAAATATTAAAAAATATATATTATTTATTATATAAATATATAATATATATTTATATATACTATAAATATATATTTAATATAAAAATATATATATATATATATATAAGCTTGTCGAGAGAGAACACTATAGAATCTTTTTACGATACAAGAAATATTGTGAAGAATATTATATACTAAATAATTCAAGTCCGCGAAAGAAATATTACGCCGATAGAAATGTTCATCTGCAGAAGATGCAATTGTAAAAGCGTGGCTTGCTTGAAGATCGTCTTCGTCGCATGGGCTTACGTGGGGTACACGTAACGTAGATAGACGTCGAGAAGCGATTTCGTCGCGGGAGGGTCTTCGCAGGTTTAATAAAAAAAAGAAAGAAAAGAAAGTGCGGAGGTTTAGTATGAATAAAGTTGTTCTGTCACACATTTGCAAAGTCAACTTTAAATGCTAACACGAATTTTTCTTTTTTAATTTTTTATTTTTTACAAAACCATAAATAATTTCTCATCACTGTGCTGTGCAAAGAAACAATTCCTCTTTTCATTCTTATTAGATATTATCTTCATTAGTAACTATTTTGTTTTTCTCTCACCATTTGTGATCTCTCGAATCTATACAAATATCATCGTTAAATACCTCGATTTTTTATTTAATAAAAATTGTCTGGTGAGAGTAATATATAATAATGTGACGATGACGATATATTTTCGCTTGTGTCGCTCTCGGCAATTACTAATACCACGTCTGTTCTTCGATCATTAACAGATATATCGAGATCTTCCGAAGCAGCTTGTCCGAGGTACGCGCGAGTCTCGGACCAAAAATGCGCGGTGGTCCTATGGGCGGCTTCAATCAGAGACCCGCGCCGTACACTCGGGGTGATCGGTTCGGCGGGATGAATCGATTCAACAACAATGGCAGAGGCTCCAGAAATAGAGGTGATTCCTTACATCATCTATCCAAGTATGGAGACTATCGCGCAGGAGAAAACCGTAATAGAGAATTATTATACAATACACGTACAAATTCATTACGTATGTATTTATATTTCTATTATATCATATCTACTTTCTAGATCCTATAATGTACCCTATTCATTTTTTCGCTATGGATTTTACAATTTTATTTTAGACTTTGATAGCGGTCCATGGGGGGGTGGAAACAATTATGGATCTCGCGGCGGCAATATGGGTATGCGTGGCGGTATGGACATGAAAGGCAATAATTATAGAGGCAATAATGACTCTTGGGGTGGTAATTCTGGTGTTCACAGTATTCATATGCGAGGACTGCCGTTCAAGGCGACAGAACAAGACATAGCTGATGTAAGCTTGCCCTCTCTTCTTCTATAATCAATAATAACAGGGTGTACACTCCTGCGAAAGACCTTGAAAACCTGATACTTTCAGGGAATTTTGATTTACTTTGAAAAATCAGAGGACTCTCACTGGAATTTAATTGAGATTCAGAGAATTTTTTATATTCAAATAAATTAGTACTCCTTATTTATTGAATAAATAATAAATAATTTAAATAAAAAGTTTATAATAAATTATTTTTTGTTTTCTATTTTTATTTTATATTTTTGCATATTTTTAACATTTAGATATGATATATTGCACTTTGTTATTGTCCAAATTAATTTTACAATTAATAAATTAATATTAGAAAAATTGCAACTTTTGATAACTTTCTAATCAAATGAATAGAAAACATTAAAAAGTGTATATAATAAAGAAACTTGCATCTACAAATTTTCTGATTTTATCTGAAATTTTAAACGAAAATACCGGGAACTCTCAGGAATTTTTTTTACAAATTTGAATAAACACCCTGAATAATGATATAAAAATTTGCATTTTAAAGAGGTTCTCTTTCTGTCGACATAATAACACATACTGAATTATTTTACAGTTCTTTAGACCAATCGAACCGGTGAACGTCCGCATTATCCTTGAGAATGGTGGTCGTCCATCAGGAGAAGCTGACGTAGAATTTGCGACTCACGAAGAAGCCGTGAAAGCAATGTGCAAGGTATAATTTTCTTTTCTTTTTTATTTTTCATTTTTTCTAAAATTTTACTTAGAAGTCGTTTAGCTAAAACAATTTTCAAGGAATGTTTTTGAGGAAAAACAATTGCCATACAATTCATATATATATAATGAATCTTGTTTTAATTTTTAAATATTTTATTATAGGATAAAAGCCATATGTCGCATAGATACATTGAATTATTCCTGAACTCAACCGGCGGCTCAAGTGGCATGTCACTAAGTGGCATTGGCAATTTTTGCGGAGGTAACTTTTAGTTGTTATTGAAAACGTTTCCCAGGTAGCAAAATTAGTCATTTTGACGTCATTTTAACATGTTAAAGTTATATCAAAGTAACTAATTTTGCTACCTGGAAAACGTTTTCGATAAGTCGATAAGATATTAAGTATGATCTGTTTCATAAATGATTTGATCTATTGCTACTATTAGCAGATTTTTTTTTATTAAATGCAGAGAATTTTTTTGTATTACACAATTCTTAAATAAATGTATTTGATAAATCTAGAAGATTATTAATAATAATTGACTGTGATTATATCATCAGAGAGTCAATTATTATTATTATCAATTTATAATCTTTACTTATCTATTATTTAGATTGCCAATCCTTAGGAAATAAGAAATTCTAATATCTTGATACACATATGTTTACATATAATATATATGTATTGTTTGTACACAGGTTTAGGTAACAATTTCAGGCCAGGATATTCACCGAACAATAGAGGTTTCAATTCGCAATTGGGCGGTAATAATTACAATAGTTTTTGAGACTGGCCGATGCGTTTTTAACGCTAAATGACGATTAAAAACATTCAAAGAATCAAAGTGATCATGGTGAAATGACAAATTACATTGATGCAATACGCGAATTGATTAATTTTTTTTTTTTCTTCTTTTTTATCGTCCTCGATTTATAATTATATATTAGATAACAACTGTAAGCCAAATCAATAGTGTATAAGTCAAGTATATAAGTATTTGCTTATTCTTTATAAATATAGATAATAGATTATTACATATAAATTAACATAAAATATGTGATTTAATTAGCATGTGAGTGCAGACATTCGAAATCTGTAAAAGCAGAAATATTTTTTTATCGATAGCCGTTTTTATTTCCAATTATGTATACATGTATGTATATGTATATGTGTGTATATATATATATATATATAATGTATACACACACACACACACACACATATATATATATATATATATATATATATATATATATATATATATATACATACACACATGTATATACATATATTTAATATAATATATTTAACATTATATTATATATATATGTAATACCTTTTCTTTTTATTAGAATCGGACGTAATGTTACAATCGTACGTCGTTGAAATACAAACGACATTTATTGAAGAATATATTGCAGAAGAGTTATTTTTAGTTGAGCAATATTAGATTAAACGCGCGAAAAAAATATTTCTTGTTTTCCATTGCAATATCTGTTCTAATGTTAAATGATTAGATAATTTCTCAAATGTATGCTATGTATCGTAATAATTTTGATGCAAAGTTTAGATGCAAGCATATTTGTATACGTCGAGACATAGCGCCGAGTTGCAAAATGTACGATTGTAATATACAGGACTGATTAGTAGTTTGCACAATTGCACTTCGACAAGTTTATTATCTTGTAAGGATATAAAGTCAGAACACTCATGCTTTCATCTTTTATCATGATGCGATAATGTACTATATAAAGTATTATGTGTAACTTTCGAATAAGAATTATAGTTTTCATCAATGTAGATGTTACAATGTACACAAAGAGATATCAGCTATCAATGTGTACATCTCTTAAAGTATAAGTCTAGCTTCGGTTTGTATTCTCTTGAGATATTTGAATATAAAAAGAATGAAAAAAAAAAAAAAAAAAACACAATAGAGAAAAATATGCAAGATCAACCGAACTTCCTTAGAATAAAACACAAATGTAAATAAGTTAAACATTTGGTATTGTTATATTTAAATTGAAAATGTTAAAAGTTTTGGGAGAAAACTGCCAGCTCTCGTGATTCCATCAGATCTCTGTCTTGAAATCATGAAGTAAACAATAATCACAGATTATCTTTAATTCAAGGTTTAACTTATTTATATATGTTTTTTTAACCTAACATTAGATTAGTTAAAAGATTCTGAAGATTAAAAGTTAAGAAGAAAATCGAATTATGACAAAAGTAAATGAAAAAGTTATTTAGTTGAAATATATAACACATAAAGTTATGTTGAAAAATTTACTCGTAGAAAGGATATCCATTCATTTGTGTATTGTCATCTACTTAAAATTTTTTTTTTGTGAATTCAGCAATTGTAAAATTAATTGAGATATAAGCATAGTTTTACTCATTTAATCACTTTGTTTACTCGAAGAAATTCGCTTCAGATTTTTAGATAATCAACCTTATTTAATCAATTTATGATTTGTAAATAAGCATGATCTTTTCGGGACACCCTATATATGTATACGTCACATGCCCGATGCGATACGTACAGACGCTTAATCGTGCTTCATTGAATAAACAATGCACGCATACTTCATCATTCTCTTAACCGGAAGTCCCTGGAACGGGGAAGGACTGAAGGTTCTGTGCGTCAGAAAAGGAAGTCGATATCCTCGACGACGATGTCTACCCACGCTTGTTTAGAAGCGGCCGGCAACCTCAATAAAAAACAGTACCGTGTTTAGGATCCCTCACAAAAGTGACCTCAATCCAGATTTAACTACAGATTGAATCCGCAATTTTGGGCTGCTGTATCTTACTCTCAATATTAATAAGGCAAATAAATAAGGTAAAATAAAATGCATATGCAGTGACAGATTAAAAGAAAGTGTACCTAAAACATTTTCATTATTTTTTGCTTTGACATTAAAATTCCAGTTGCTGAAAACATCAGTTTGAACACCACTGCTGTCACTGCTACTTTTAACAGGTGTCGCGCATTTGTGAGCGTCGTCCGTGTTTGTGTTGCGGCATTTTTGACTCCACTCGAGAAGGTATGATGCGCACAAACACGAAACGTCAGATGAGTGTCATATATGTGTGTGTGTGTGTGTATGTATATATATATATACATGTGTGTTATACACATATGTCATTCTGTCCTCGGTCGCGCGCGAGAACGAAATTCAAAAAATACGTACGCACCTCATTAACGATGCCGGGAGATTAAGTACCTCTCTTATCGATATCACGCCAATGTACTCTGTGATTACTTCTTGTCACGTATGTATAAGAGTAGCTCGCTCGTTGACTGACGGTTAGGTGAGTATAAAAGCGACATAATAGATGATAAGATAATAGAAGTAATTTTTATTTATTTTTTTTATGTATGTATTCAATGTATAGATTGGAGTATTTTATTTCTCATTATGTATTAGAAAAAAGTATTTTAATATGTTCCTCAGGAATATGAGAAGATAATTGAACTATATCTCTATATTTAATTCTGTTTATCACAATGCGATGCCTCGTGATGATTATGGGTCCTTATCTTTTCACTTTTCAGTTTATTATTACGTAAAATGTAACTTTCAGATGCTCTGAGTGTCATTTATTGTATTTTTGTTCAGGATAAAAATACGAGCCTTTAAAGATGAGTCAAAGAGAAGAAGGCAACATTAGCAACGACAAGCAGATTGAAAGCAATACACAGCACAATCATAATGAAAGGTATACATATAGAATATCATTTTGTAACATGAGAGATCTTGTGTCCCTCGAGAGCAAAAGGAATTAATTTGTAAACACTCAAATTTTTTAATTATCTGATATAAAGTAACACTTAAAGGATAAAAACTTTTTTTAATTCTTATTTTTAATTCTTTATTAGATCTTTGGAGCCTGACAGACAACAACAATCTCTACTACCAAAGGCGAGTAGTAGTACAGCCAGACAAGTTAGGGAATATATTCCAAGATCTGGGATGAAAAAGTATAATCATGCTTTGAGTAATTTAATTCCAGTGCGATACCAAAATAAGTAAGTATTATAATTAAATTCTTCAGTCAATTTAGAAATAATAATTTTTTATATTAGTATTTTTAAGATATATATTAATAACATTAAAAATATATATATACATTACATAAAATAGATATATTTATATTATATATATATAATATATATACAAATTTATATATACAGGGTGTCTGAGATCACCCATACATGCCAAATATTTTGAAAACTGAGCACGACAGATAAACATGTTTTAAACAAAAGTTGTAGGGCTTTAACAAATACATGAAATGGTGATACATATTTGACCTTGGCAGCAGTTATGAAAGAAGTCTCAAGGTTAACTTTAAAATTGTTTTCAAAATATTTGGCATGTATACAGGTGGTCTCAGACATATAGTATAATAAAAAATATCTATATATAAAATATAATAAAATTAGAACTTAGTTATAACGATACAAAAATACACTTTGTAGGAAAAAGGAGAATTGGCCAGCAGACAATGCCGGATTATTTTCTTACGTATATATAACATGGATGACGCCGTACTTGTGGAAAGCATATAAGAAAGGACTTACAATTAAGGACTTGCCAGACATTTCTTTATATGATACCTGCGAGTACAATGCGCTCAGGTAAATGAAATATATTTTTATATCTTCTAGATATTGTTACAATATATAAAGAAGAATTATTTCTTCAGATTTGATATACTCTGGCAACAGGAGTTAAGTCAAAATGGCCCTAATGCGGCCTCCTTTTTCAAGGTTGCATGGAGATTTGTTCGCACAAGAATTTTCATATCATGTTTTTATTGAGCTGTTCTCTTATCTTTGGATTTATAAGTCCTGTAAGATTATTTTTATCAGTGACAAATTTTTTTTTGCTATTAAATTATACTGCTAGTGATATAATCCAAATTCTTCTCTTATTTAGACGATATTAATGAGAAAGATACTGGAACATGTAGAATCTCCAGAAGAAGGGTTCTGGGATGGTTTTAAATGGGTTCTGTTACTGATGCTGTGTGATTCTATGCGTGCTTTCTTTTTTACTTGGACGTGGAATATGAATTATAAGACTGGATTACGATTAAAGTCAGCTTGCATGGCTTTACTGTATAAGAAGATTATCAGGCTAAATAGCCTTGGCAATAAAAGTACAGGAGAAGTGAGATGCACGATTTATTTTGCTAAAACTTTAATACTAAAGAAGCATCTATACGTGATACATTTCGCGACTTATTTTTAGGTAATCAATTTATTCTGTAATGACAGTCAAAGACTCTTTGATGTGATTATTTATGGACCAATGATCATCTGTGGACCAATAGTTCTAACTTGTGGTATAATTTATATATTATGCCTGTTTAATCCCATTGCTCTAATAGGAATAATAGCTTTCCTTTCGTTCTATCCATGTCAGGTAAACAACTTGTCGTATATGTATTTTGCATGCATTTTATGCGCAAATGTAACGTCATTAATCATTTGCAGTACTTTATTTCCCGCGCGACTGCTCACTTTCGCTCAAAATCAGTAAATATTACGGACGCTCGAGTGCGACTCATGAGTGAGATATTGGAATGCATAAAGTTGATTAAGATGTATTCCTGGGAGAAATATTTTAGCCAAAAACTTCTTGGTAAGAATAATTCACACTTTTATATAATTTTTCCATATAAATATTTTTTAAAAAGATATGTATGTGTATTATGTATATGTATGTGTCAAAACAAAATTGGATAATAACTAATTAATTAATTTAGTCAAAAGTTAAATAAGAAAGTTTTAACTTAAAATAGTTAATTTAAAATAAGTAAATTTTAACTTAAACTAGTTATTTTTAAACTTGAACTTATTAACTTTTCTCCTAAATTAAAAATTTTTTTATTTATGAATGTCATTATTCTTTTTCTATATTTAAACATTGGACAATTAAAATTTTAATAACGATTAAATTTCAATAAACGCATCATTCTATGATGTATGCCATTCTTACAAGTATTATGAAATAAATAGAAAAGTTTTATATAGTATTAGTTTTTATTATTTTCATAATTATAATTACAAAGAATACATTTTTATATAAAACACAAGATTTTGGCCATTTTATTATTTGGTTATTTTATATAAATTTAAAGAAATTAACAAATACAATATTAAATTTAAAAATTAACTTTTGATTTAACTTAATTTAATCTTTATCACTCAACTTTATCTGAGTTACTTTTTTGTTCATACAATTTTAAATTAATTTTATAATCCATTAACTTTGACTTAACTTATTAAAAAAAATAATAATTAACTTAATCAACCTTGTGTAATAATAACAATACGTTTTTGCAGCCATACGCAAGAAGGAAGAACGTTGGCTTCACAAGACTGCATATTTTCAAAGTCTTAGCATCTCTCTGACACCTGCTGTACCTATGATATCTGCAATTATTACATTTTTAGCACATGTTGCCTCGGGCAGTGGATTAACGGCCGCACAGGTACAATAAAATACAATTACAATTGCATCGATACAATCTGAATAACTTTTTTTAACGTTTTTTCATTAATATCCTGATTTTATGTGTGTCAGGAGAAATCGCATTACGTCCAATAGGTAAGAAAATCTAATGAAACGATAAGTGTCTCGAAGAAGCTAGACTAGTATTTTTTATTAATTTTCATAGCTGTTTGCAACCTTTTGATTAGATAGTTCCTCCTCAGAGTTGTACAACCAATGTTGCACTTAATGGATCATACATTGCAGGCTTTCCCAATGATCACATTATTCGGAAATTTGCTTAGACTGGCACTCACATCACTTAAGGATACCACGCGATATTTTATCAACGCCCTCATAGCTCTTAGAAGATTCAAGGTCTCCAGTGTTTTTCGATTTTGATTTTATGTACAGCTTTGTACCTATTATTAGGAATTCGGTACTCGCATGTTATAGTTTTTTTCCATAAATTGTTATCATTTATTTTTTATTCAATATATATTGATATACACACACGTCTATGATTAACTTTAAGTATGAAATTTAGCCTGTCGAAACCGATTAAATTTAGTGCCACAAAATTTTTATAGGAATGGAATTCTTATAAAAAGATTAGCCAGAAAAAACCATTGTACGGGTACTGTATCTATAATAATAGGTACACGAGGTAAATGTTTTAATGTACAAAAAGGCACATGCTTTCGAGAGCTCATAAAAGCTCGAATAAACGTGATGGGTGAACACTGCATGCCTTGTAAAGCATTCTGTCACACTTTGAATACCTACGGTTCGCGATTTCTTTACATTCCACGCAGAATACTTGAATTGTCTATTTCAGTATTGAGTTGGGAGTACAGATGTTAAAACGTTCCCATGCTTACACATAGTATAATATCGTACTAACATGGTTGTTTTTAATTCTACACTACATTACTTTTCAGGTGTTTCCCTTCGTATCGGTGCTCAATGCTCAAATTCGTACTTCTTTCATGTTTTTGCAAGTGGCCTTAGTTAATATTGCTGCGATAAAGATAACTTTTGGCAGAATAAAGGTGTTTACCTCCTTACATCTATATCTAATAGGAATGCACAATCGATAACAGCATACATATATTATGCATATATTGTTCAGTAATGTTTGACAATAATTAACGTTTTCATCATTTTAATTGAATTGGCTTTTATTTTGCTGATGGACGCTTACCTTAGAGTAGCCAACATTTATGTTATGAGGTTTACGTTTTGCTTTGCCTGTACTTGTAACAATTATATGCAGATAATGTAAAGTTACGAAAGAATTTAGAGAAAGCAAGAGTATACGTTAACATTGCTTGTATATAATTAGACTTTAGAAATTAATCCATTATCACGTTTCTCTTAATGTACATATACTGTATCTTTATTTTATTTCTCTAAATTAAATTTCAATAGTGTATTGACTCTTTCGCTCTTTAATATTGCTTTTATGATTGCTTTATATATTTTTGAATAATTTGTCGAATTGAACAATTTCACTAACGAAATGATATTTACACAGAGCGTATTGCTGTTGGACGAGAACATTTGCCACGCGTCGAAACCGATAGTGAGATCGCAAGCGGTTGCCATCGCCAATGGTACTTTTGTCTGCGACAGCATAAAGCTTCAAACGGACGCGTCTATCAACAGCAAGAAAAAGTAAATATCTATTGTATATAATATAATTTAGGGTTGAGTAAGTTATTAATTATTTTTTTGAACTAAGAGTTAAGTTGAAGTTAATCACTTACAAAATTAATTTAGTTAAAAGTGCATGAATAAAAAACTAACTTGGTAAAAGTTGAGTTTAGATTGAATTAAGATAATCAAAAGTAATTTTTAAAAATATTATTTATATTAAATTAAAATGTCAACTTTAATTTTTTAATTTAATATTTTATTTGTTAATTTTTTTAAACTTATATAAAATAGCAATAGGAAATAACAAAAATGTTTATATAGAAATGTATTTTTTCTTTGTAATTAGGATTATGAAAAAATTAATATTAATAGTACCTTTATTTATTTTATAATTCGTGTAAAAATGATTATGCATCATAGAATGAGTATCTTTTATTAAAATTTAATTGTCCCATGTTTAAGATTTTACAGAAAGAAATAATGGCATTCAGAGATGAAAAAAATGTTTAACTTAGAAAAAAAAGTTTAGAGATAACTCATTTTAAATTAACTAAGCCAAATTAAAAGTCATTAACTTTTTATTTAACTTTTAAATGATTAACTAATTACTAGCTAATCTTGAATATAATTATAATATAATCTCTCCAAAATAAATTACGATTTAATTCTTTTAAAATTTGATTGCATTATAGGAAGAACTTATCATCATCGATCACGGATAATCCGGCAGAACTGGAAAATCTAAATCAATCACAGGAACCTAAATACGTCGAGGTTCTCAGCGACATACACTTTGGAGCGCCCAAGGGGAAACTGGTCGGTATCTGCGGCCACGTAGGAAGCGGCAAGTCTAGTCTGCTGCTGGCTACTCTGGGACAGTTGAAAATAACGAAAGGACATATCTTACGGGAGGGCTCTTGCGCTTATGTCAGCCAACAGGCGTGGATCGTAAATGGCACCTTTAAGGAGAACATCTTGTTTGGCGAGGAGTTCGATACCAAACGTTATTATCACACGATCACGATCTGCAATCTGAAGGAGGACCTGAACATGTTACCCGGCGGAGATGATACCGAGATCGGCGAGAGAGGTGTCAATCTGTCCGGAGGACAGAAGCAGAGAATTGCGCTCGCGAGAGCATATTACGCTAATCGGTTTGCATTTGTTCTCATGGAAAAGTACACATTGATATTATATTGATAAGAGTGACAAGTATCTGTCATTTCAGGGACATTTATTTCCTGGATGATCCTCTGAGCGCGGTTGACGCATACGTCGGCTCGTACATATTTGAGAAATTGATCGTCGAAGCTCTTGGAAATAAATCCGTTCTTTTCGTGACACATAATATTCAGGTGAGTATTTAAATAAATCTATGTTCATTAATAAACTGAGATGCATTTCATTATATTTTTTATATCGTTTTCTATTAATAAAAGAAAATTGATTGCATTTTGAAAGAAATTAGCATTTGTCAAAATTTCGAAATGTTTTAAGTTCTTTGTTCATTGCAGTTTTTGAAGCGTTGTGACGAGATTTACATGATGAACGCGGGCAAGATCGTGGAGTATGGAACCCACGAAGAACTCATGCGACTTGATAGGGAGTACGCATCGATGGTGAAGAGCGGTACGGTTGCAGCGGAAGATAATTTATCATCGTACGTTTATTTTCTACAAATTATTAAACTTTAAAGTAGAGTAACTTAATAAGTTCTTATTTCGTACAGTGGGAAGTTTGGGAGAGTGACGCAGAAAAACATTACTGGTTCAGAATCGGAAAAAAAAGAATCTAAAGAAAATCATGAGGAAAATTCATACAAAGGTGCGTATTTATAATTCTATGATATCAACTTCTAATTCGAATGCTTTCCTTTAATCCTTGGTTTTCGTTTAAATTTAGGAACAGCTTTAACAGTGGCGGAAAAAGCTGAAACCGGAGCCGTCAAGTCATACACTTATCATACGTATATAGAAGCTACGGGTGGTTATTTGATAGCGGCTCTCGTGTTTTTCACATTCTTCTTGAATGTAGGAAGTTCAGCATTTAGTACTTGGTGGCTCGCTGTATGGATTAAAGCTGGCGGGGGCGTAAGTAACACAGATATTTGAAATGTATATACTTTTTACAGTATTTGCATTTTTCTCTACTTGACTAAGAAATATTTTAAATAATACATATTTATTATATAGGCTCATTATTTTTGCATCGATATTATATTTTTATTTTTTATTGTTTCATGTGAATATAGGAAAATTAAATTAAATTATAAATAAGTTAATATATGAGATATTGCAAATATCTTAAAAATAGCTCCTTTGTGGACCCATGTTTATTAACTTTTCAACTTATTTTAAGACATACTAGATTCTCTTAAAATATTTTATCTTTTTTTTTAATACTCTGTATATCGTTGCGAAAGTATATCCATTTTTTGTTCAATTTTTAGAACGTGACTGTGTCAGGAAGTAATGATACTATGTACGTGGAGGATATAAATGCCAATCCTGACTTCTCATTTTATCGTAATGTTTATGGCGCGTGCATCGGCGGCATCCTATTGACAGGTTTTATTCGCGGCTTGGCCATCACATTTACCACAATCAAAGCCTCGACCACGTTGCACAACACGTTTCTACGCAAGATCATTGGTTCCTCGTTAATGTTCTTCGAGACTACTCCGAGCGGCAGAATACAAAACGTTTTCAGTCGAGATATAGACGAAAGTGAGCGATCAGTGATATCCTAAATACAATACAATATCGTGATTATCACTGATCTGATCAGCTTTCTTTCTGTTTTAGTTGATAATTATTTACCCATATCGATAGAAAACATGGTGCAAAATATTTTTACCTGTAGTTTCGCTATTTTATTTATTTGCGCCGTATTGCCTTGGTTCTTGATAGCGTTATTTCTGTTCGGCGCGGTATTCTTTTTTGTTAGCAAATTGTTCAGGTAAATATACTAACGTTATCACATAATTTATATTATGTATTAAAGTGTGATAATTGAAATTGTCTGTGTCTCTACAGAATAGGTATGAGGGATTTGAAGAGAATGGAGAATGTCTCACGGTCCCCCGTTTTAAGTTTCGTCACAACGACGATCCAAGGTTTGAGCACAATTCACGCATTTCAGAAGGAGAAAAACTTTTTATACAGGTAATTAATGTAATAATAATGCTTATATAATATGAGATATTAAAAAAAGATGAAAATTTGAGAATTATTTCTTATAATTGACAGATTCGAGGAATTATTCAACATAAATAATCTGTGTCAGCATCTGTGCCAAGCCGCGATGAGATGGTCTGCAGTGAGATTGGACAGTTTAGTGATCGCCTCGTCCTGCATAACAGGGTTACTCGTGATCTCATTTAAAAATGAGATATCGCCAGCCTTTGCTGGTCTAGCGATGGCATATGCCACACAGATGACTGGTGTCTTTCAATATACAGTTAGACTGATGTCAGAGACTGAAGTGCGCTTTATAAGTGTAGAAAGGATTAGTTATTATCTTAAAGTACGTATAAATAATTTTTTATTTTTTTTATTATTATTATTTGATTATATTTTATTATTATGTTATTAGCATTTTAATATAATTTATTAATTTTATTATTTTATAGACTTTGCAGAGAGAAGGCGCGAACAAAACGGTTGCTTTTAAACCAGCGGATGATTGGCCTTCTCGTGGAAAAATAGAATTTAAGGCTGTTCAATTGAGATACAGAGAAGAGCTACCGTTCGTACTGATCGACGTGTCTTTTAGCATAAAGGCTGGAGAGAAAATAGGTAACGGATGAATATAGTATTTATGTTAATGCATATTTTCTTATGTAGGAGATTGATTGACCGTGAATTATCTCAGGTATTGTGGGTCGCACAGGATCCGGTAAGAGTTCCTTGGTCGTAGCTTTATTCCGATTGGTTGAGATTTGCGAGGGTATCATCAAGATCGATGGTATTGATATCTCGAAATTGGAATTGGATGTGTTACGAAGTAAATTATCGATCATCCCTCAGGATCCAGTTTTATTCAGCGGAACCATAAGGTAATAATCGTTAATTCTTTTATCGACTGATTATTTGGCTACTTTTTCTTTCTAATTGATTTTATTTTTAAGATCCAATTTAGATCCGTTTCAACAACATGCAGACTGCGACATTTGGAATGCTCTTGAAAAGACGCAGATGAAAGATAAGGTATCCCTCATGCCGAAAAATCTCGATGCTTCTGTTGGATTTGGCGGAAATAATTTAAGCGTTGGCGAGAGACAGCTTCTTTGTTTATCAAGAGCTTTATTACACAGTACAAAGGTAAACATTTCCATCTAATTGTGATTTCTCGAACGCTTCGAGATTGATTTCCGGAATATTTTCAAAGTGCTGAAGCAAAAATAAAACTGAAATTGCGCTCGTTAGGTACTGATCCTAGACGAGGCAACGGCTGCCGTCGATCCGGAGACTGAAGCGACGGTGCAGAATACTTTGCAGAACGAATTTGCGGATTGTACCGTGCTTACGATTGCTCATCGATTGCAGACAGTCGTCACGTGCAATCGCATCCTCGTCATGAGCGACGGCAAGGTCGTCGAATTCGATACACCGGCCGCGCTTCTCTCTCGACCGGATTCTAAGTTTTCGAAACTGATGGCTGCCACCGACAAGAACGTGTAAAATAATCTTCGCCAGAGATCTGATTTGTAATTATGGTGCATTAGTTACACGCGAGTCGCAACACTCTGATGAATGATATAACCATGGGCGTTCGCAGGAATTTTCTCCAGAGAGGGGCATAATTAAATTTTTTTGTTTCCTATTATATTATTCTTCCGTAATTTTTTAAATTCAATTTTTTAATAATTTTTTAATTTTAATATTTTATTATTTTATTTTAATATTTTTATCCCTAACATCACACGTATCCCGAAGACGTTCAGAGAACATTTTTAGGATGTTCGAATGTCTTCTGGATATCCTTTGAATATTCTCTGAATATCTTTCGGATATATATTGTGCTATGCTATTAGGAATATTAAATAAAATTGCAGATAAATTCCAGTGTTTATTCACAAGGAGAGTAAATGCTTAATTTTTTTTACTGATTCCTAGGAGGGGGCAAATGCCTCCTTTTGCCCTCTTCCGCGGACGCCCATGGATATAACTATATATAATTACATTAACTGGCCTTCGTGTGAGTAAATGAAAGAAACAGTACTGTGTTATATAAAAATATCATCAGTGGCTCCAACTTTGGGGGAGGGGGGGAGGGGCAGAGCACTTTTTCTCCCCTCAATAAAATTATTGGGTGAGGGGCGCCTCCTCGTTTTTGAACGAGGAAAAATAATGCAATGTTTAATCATGAAAAACGCTCATTATGCCTAGCTAAGTATCATGTTGCGATTTCAGACACACTTTTGACTATATTTTAATTGCTTTCTACATATTTCCATTCTCTATTTCTCGATAATGTAAAGGCTATTTAAAAAAAGATTATTTGAAATGCTTGTCTTTTGCCCTCCCAATATTTTTCTCAAGTTGCCACCACTGATAAAACTAATTACATTAATTGGCCCTCGTGTGAGTAAATGAAACAAACAGTACTGTGTTATACAAAAGTATCAATATAACAATAATGATACATAAAAAAGTAATATAAATGACTAAGTTACTTCATAACTTTTTACTAATAAATTTTTAATTAAAAATATGAAAGAACTACGTTTTCTTTACTTACAAATTCATATCTTGTACGAATAAAAAAAAGGAACGCTCTTCCATTTTTATCCTTTCATATCTATTTATATTCCGCATCCTTTCGTTCTTATTTAATTTCTCAACGATCAATATTTATTATAATTATTATTTCTGAATAAACTTGCTATATGTAACTTTCAAAGTACATCGATATAGTTTATACATCAAATTTAACTTTTTGCTGTCGAAATATTGATGAAGAATTGTCAAAATTGAGAGAAAAGTACTGAGGAACGGTTTAATTAAGAAGAAATATTTGTTATACGGAACTATTTTGAATATGTATAATTACTTGACGATTTCTAGATTTCTGGAAATATTTTTAGTGAAATATTGATTTTCTCGAGAGGCAGGGAGCGCCTATTGCTCATGCTCGCTCGCTCCGATTTTCAGCCGTGCTGGACCGCCTGGTGACGCGGCCGAGGCATGTTTCGTCGCGACATCGCGACAGCTTGTTATTACCTCTGAGATGTTTATTACACGTTGAGCTTTACCGTTGCTTTATACCGAAGATGTAGTCTATAGAAATTGCCGCAAAGGCAGCATCCGTCGTTTACCGCGAACAGCTAAAAAAAGGTGCGATATATAATATATAAATAACATTGATGTCTCTTTGCGCAGATAGAAACAGTTGTTTGTAAGAAGATTGAATTTTTCTTTGATTATAATTTTTTCAATCGTATAAATTACTATGTTGTATTCTTTAATTAAAGTTTTAGAGTAATCTGAAGAACTTAAAAAGTATCTTTTATATATATGTATGTATTTGTAATATTTTGCAATTTTATTTTGCAATTCAAATATGTTATATATTATAAATGCTATACATTTTAATTATAAATTATTTTTAAAAAATTATTAAATATAAATTTTTAAATGTACTACTAATTAAATATATAATATTCGAATAATGCACATATTTTAGGATGATTGGTGTAACGTCATCGAATATGTAACGAGAACACGAGTGAAATGTAATAATTATTCAATTAATTGACAAAATTTAATTTTTAGAAATTATTTGTAATAATATTGTGTTTTTAAACGAATGTATTTTTAAAATAAAATTGTTCGTTTTACTTCCAGGCCTCATCATTGCGAACATAATTCCTATTATGATGCTGGGGCGGAAGCAGAGCCTCAAGGGGGAACCCGTCCTGGCTGATTATGGTCCGGAGGAGTCCCTCAATGAGAGCGCTGACATAGAATGGGTCAACAAGGTGAGCGGAAGTGCAACAAATCAATCGGAAAGAGAGTGAAAATTGCGAAAGAGTTTCCTTTTTCTTCAAACAACTTCCATATATGATTTCAGCTATGGGTGAGAAGATTGATGCGATTTTGCGCCCTGGTTTCATTAACTTCCGTCTGCTTAAACACGCCAAAAACCTTCGAAAGAGTACCGGCTCTTCAGTATGTTACCTTTATTTGCGATTTGATAGTCACGTTTCTATTCACCGCCGAAATGATCGCCAAGATGCACATACGAGGAATATTAAAGGTAAAGTCGCTCTCTTCATCGAGGAAGAATCAAAGTATCCAAAGTATATGAACATTTGAAATTTCAAAATCAAGAATTTTTCTAATATATTTTTCAATATTGGTGTATTTTGATTGCTTAATGATTTTGCACAGAGGGACAAGTCCTATTTGAAGGATCACTGGTGCCAATTCGACGCTAGTATGGTAATCTTCCTCTGGTTGTCCGTGATCCTGCAAATGTTCGAGATGCTGGGTTTCCTCGTAAAGTTTAGTTACGCTTCGATTATGCGGGCACCACGGCCGCTGATCATGATACGTTTCCTTCGAGTTTTCCTCAAATTTTCAATGCCCAAAGCCAGAATCAATCAAATTTTCAAGTAAGAGAATTAATTTCGCAGACTCGTTTAAATTTAATTTATTTAATTGTTGATGACTACATTCAATTTTTTATATTTGTACAGACGCTCGAGTCAGCAGATCTACAACGTAACGCTTTTCTTAGCGTTCTTCATGTGCTTATACGGACTTTTGGGGGTGCAATTCTTCGGCGAGCTGAAAAATCATTGCGTATTGAACACAACCGACCCGCATTACATCACGATCAATAGTCTAGCTATTCCCGACACGTTTTGCTCCACCGATCCGGAGTCTGGATATCAATGCCCCGAAGGAATGATCTGCATGAAGCTGGAATTGTCCAAGTATATCATAGGCTTCAATGGATTTAACGATTTTGGTAGTAGTTAATGTTAATATTATGCCCTTTAGAATCCCAGAGAGTGAATTGATTTTCTATGACAATTCGTCATTTGTAGATATTATCTTTGTAAAAATATTGCGAAAGTAATATATTCAAAATATACATAAATAATTGTTTTTGAAATAAAGTATGAATGAATTATGAATTCAATATTCTCTATAAAAAAAAGCAAAAAATAAAAATTTTTAGAATTGCGAGATATATGAGATTTTTTTTATTTGAAACTTTTCAGCCACCAGCCTCTTCACCGTATATCAAGCAGCTTCTCAAGAAGGATGGGTCTTTATCATGTATCGTGCAATCGACAGTTTACCGGCATGGCGTGCGGTTCTTTACTTCAGCACGATGATATTCTTTCTAGCTTGGCTGGTGAAGAACGTCTTCATCGCCGTCATCACCGAGACCTTCAACGAAATCCGAGTGCAGTTTCAACAAATGTGGGGCGTCAGAGGCCACATTAGCAATAGTTCAGCATCCCAGGTCAGTTCTTCTCTTTCTCGAGATTTTTGAAAGAGAAAAAGATTATTTAAAGTATCAATAAAACATTATATATAAACATTGTTATTTAAAATTAATTGTTAAGCAAATAATATGACTTATTTTGATGAATATTGAAATTTTAACTCGTTTACTTTATTTTTCTTATTATCTCATTATTGCAGATTTTGACTGGAGATGACAATGGCTGGAAGCTAGTGACGTTAGATGAGAATAAGCACGGAGGTCTGGCGTCTCCGACCTGTCAGGCCATCCTTAGATCGCCATATTTTCGTATGGTAATAATGTGCACAATCCTAGCGAACGGTATCACAACCGCAACGATGAGCTTCAAGCACGACGAAAAACCGAGAAACACTTATATAAACTACGATAATTATTATTGGGCTGAGGTCGTCTTCACGATACTGTTGGACCTGGAGACGCTCTTCAAGATATGGTGCTTGGGATTTCGGAATTACTGCAAGCATTCGATTCACAAATTCGAATTGCTGCTTACCGTTGGCACAACTATACACATTTTGCCGGTCTTTTATCTCTCTGGCTTCACTTTCTTTAAGGTCTCTGCTAGTTATCTTTGACTCTTCTCATCTTTCATGTTTTTTCACTTTACTTTACTTTCTATGCTCGAATCTATGCTCTTTGCTATTTGAACGCATTTTGAACTCTTTGAGTCGTTGATCTTTTAAACTTCTACAAAGATTTAAACAACATATAGAAAAATGATAATAGATTGTTCATTTTTTTATATTTTTGCGTATGAAAAGGTCCTCAGAGTGGTCCGGCTTATTAAAGCATCACCGATGTTGGAGGATTTTGTCTACAAAATTTTCGGTCCTGGCAAGAAACTCGGCAGTCTTATTATTTTTACCATGTGCCTGCTGGTGATATCTTCGAGCATTTCCATGCAACTTTTCTGCTTTCTTTGTGACTTTACCAAGTTTGAATCTTTTCCCGAGGTAATTTTACGCTTTAAATAAATTATTGTGCCACACGATTGTGCGTTTCGAACTTTAAAGGATAATTTCCTTTTAGGCATTTATGTCGATGTTCCAAATTCTTACGCAAGAAGCCTGGGTCGATGTTATGGATGAGACGATGCTACGAACTCATGAGGCGATGGCACCTCTGGTCGCAATATATTTCATTTTGTATCATCTCTTCGTCACCCTGGTATGTGATTATTGCTTGAAATTTTCTCGATGCAGTAAATGCAAATGTGTTAAAATAATATAAACAAATGCTAATTAATATAATTAATTATAATTATCTTTGCAGATTGTATTGAGTCTTTTCGTTGCTGTGATCTTGGACAATCTTGAGCTGGACGAAGACATAAAGAAATTAAAACAATTAAAATTTCGTGAACAAAGTGCTGAGATAAAGGAGAGCTTGCCGTTCAGATTGAGAATCTTTGAAAAGTTTCCGGATAGCCCGCAAATGACGTGTCTTCATAAAGTACCGTCGGACTTCAATCTGCCGAAGGTTTGCAAAGAAATATCTTTTTACTACTCATTAATAATTTTAGTAAATGTGTAACTAATATTAATTTAAAAAAGCATGTATAATAATTATTCAATGCATTGAAAGTAATATTTGATATCTTTTCCAAGGTGCGTGAGAGCTTTATGCGACAGTTTGTGATCGAAGTAGATGATGAAGAGAATGAAAATGCTAGAAGAACTAACGAGGCCTTCGATTCAAAGATGGTGTATAGAAAACAACGTCCGGTAAAGATCTTGAACAATCCGCCGAAGGTGAGAAATGTTGTCACTAATTTGAAGAAAGCAGCTGTCATTTATATCATAAAGTAAGTTTAACGTCGCGTCGCGATTTTGCTTTTTTAGAGCTTGGACTCTAATTTTTTATTATTTATAGTGATTCCAACAATCAAAGATTGCTATTGGGAGATTCTGCCATGATTCCAGTACCAGGAAAAGGACTTTTAAAACCGCAGGGTACTGTTAGCAGCGCCAAGCAGCTTCGCATAGACCAGAAAAAGTAAGAATAAAATATAAAGATATATATATATATATATATATATATATATATAAATAACATATATAATGATCTAAATTTCTTTTTCAAATCGTTAAAAATAAAAGTTTCAATATTTTAAAATATATTATATATTTTTATATTTATATATATTAAATATATTTTTTAAATATATTTATAACAATAATAATATATTTTGCGTTTTAACCTTTATTCTAATTATTTTCTGTCCATTTACGAACGAAAATAGATCAATCAGAAGAAGCGTCCGAAGTGGATCGATCAAGCTCAAACAAACGTACGAGCATCTTATGGAAAACGGAGACATAGGCGGAATAAACAGAGTTAGTTCAGCACGTAGCAGGCCGCATGATTTAGACATAAAGTTGCTTCAAGCGAAGAGACAACAGGCGGAAATGCGAAGGTACTCTTACATACGTTTCCAAGATCTCCATCAGCAATCTCTAATATTCTATATTTTTTTTATCTGCAGAAATCAACGAGAAGATGATTTGCGAGAGAATCATCCATTCTTCGACACGCCGTTGTTTGCAGTACCACGCGAGAGTAAATTCCGAAAGTATTGCCAGCTTTTTGTCTATGCGAGATACGACGCGAAGTTAAAGGATCCTTTAACGGGAAAGGAGAGGAAAGTGCAGTACAAGAGCTTGCAGTAAGATTCCTTGAAACATCGAGATGTAACTCAAGAAACACTTAAGCTGACGAATTTTGTATCGCTTTCTCTTTCGCAGCAATTTCCTTGGTTTAGTGACCTATCTCGACTGGGTGATGATATTCATCACGACGTTGTCATGCATCTCAATGATGTTTGAGACGCCCCGATACCGTGTGATGCAGGAGCCAGGGTTGCAGATCACTGAATACTGCTTCGTTATCTGTATGAGCATTGAATTAACGCTCAAGATTTTGGCGGATGGTCTGTTCTTCACACCCAAGGCCTACATCAAGGATGTCGCCTCTGTATTAGATGTTTTCATTTACATTGTACGTGTAATATTTATCAAGCATTACAAGGTGTCTCACCTTGTATAAGAGGATAGAAAATTCCTGAAATTAGCTGTTTATTTTTTAATGCATGCAGTTATTGAGAAAACAAAAATTGTATTGAAAAGAGGAAAATCTACAGTGTTTAAGGAATATAAATAAAATGTTTGTATACCAGTTTATTTTATTTAAAAAAAGTAATGAAAAAAATGGGACACCTTGTATAAGCATATATATCAGCATATATAAATAAGAGTAAAAGATTAAAAAAAAAAATAAAAAAAATAAAAAAAAATAAATAAATAAATAATTATGTGTGAAAAATTATAATTATGATAAAAATCATATGATGAATAATTATATAATATTATAATTATATAAATGTAATGTAATAATGATTTGTGTTATAATAATTATTAAATTATTGCAGGTGAGTCTTGTGTTCTTATGCTGGATGCCGAAGAGTGTGCCACCGAATTCTGGAGCGCAACTGCTGATGATATTACGATGCGTGAGGCCATTAAGAATCTTTACTCTTGTACCACACATGAGAAAGGTCGTTTACGAGCTTTGCAGGGGATTCAAAGAAATTCTGTTGGTAAATGTCATTTCTATATTTTAAATATTTTAAAGCACAGCATCTAAAGTCTCTGATCCAGAAACGGATTAGTGGATTTACGAACTGCCAACAAATTGATCGATTAAGAATCTCTTCTATTTAGGTATCGACATTGTTGATCCTGTTAATGTTTGTATTCGCGAGCTACGGTGTACAGCTGTACGGCGGTCGATTAGCGAGATGTAATGATCCCACTATCTTGAAGCGCGAGAATTGCGTCGGTGTGTTCATGAGAAGAGTGTTTGTGACGAAAATGAAGCTACGACCAGGAAAGAACGAGAGTTATCCGTCCATTTTAGTACCACGCGTTTGGTGAGCAGAAAATAATCACAGTGGATCGGTCCAATTTTCTTTCGATTGATATACAATCATAGTTATATTTTATCAAGGGATAGTAATTCGTTAATTAGTTAAAAGTTAAATAAAAAAGTTTAAAAGTTAATAACCTTTATTTAGCTTAGTTAATTGAAAATGAGTTAATTTTTAACTTAAACTTGTTAACTTTTTTCTAAGTTAAAATTTATTTTCATAACAATTAAATCTTATTATATCTGCTTGAGCTAGGCTCATTTTGTAGGCCTTGAAGGGACCTTTAAAACGCATCCCGGCCTACTGTTCTATTTTATTTAATATACACATAGTAGTTATATAATTATATATTTTTTAATCATTTATATCCTCTCTTAATGTAATGCTTATATATCATTTTTCTGTAGTACTAATACTTAAACGCATTTTAGGGCTAATCCTAAACGGTTTAACTTTGATAACATCGGCGATGCGATGCTGGCTTTGTTCGAAGTACTTTCTTTTAAAGGCTGGCTCGATGTGCGAGATGTTCTTATTAAAGCTCTCGGTCCCGTAAGTCATTTTTATTTTTTTTTGTCACTTTGATATACAGATATAACATGCACATTGTAAAAATTTGCGTATTTTAAGAATTTAGAGAATTTGTCTTATAATGCCTATTCTATTTTGTTTCAGATTCACGCGATCTACATACACATTTATATCTTCCTCGGTTGTATGATCGGTTTAACGCTGTTCGTGGGTGTCGTGATCGCGAATTACTCTGAGAATAAAGGCACCGCTTTGCTCACGGTCGATCAGAGACGATGGTGAGAGGCCTCGAGATAATTTCATCGGCGATCTCTAATATGATCTACTAGATGTGAATTTCGATGCAGGTGTGACTTGAAGAAACGTTTAAAAATCGCCCAGCCGTTGCACTTACCGCCGAGACCGGACGGCAAGAAGTTCCGAGCTTTTATCTATGACATTACGCAGAACATATATTTCAAACGCTTCATCGCGATTATGGTGATCCTAAATAGTGCTCTGCTGTGTGTCTCTGTGAGTTGAATAAGGCTTATCTTCCTAGAGATTTAGACCGATGTCAGAACCGATATAGATTTTCAGGACCCCGCGCGATCACTTCCATAATAATCCCACTTTTACTTAGGCATATTCAGATTGCTTTCATTCGCCGTAGATAGGCTCTATTTATGAATAGTTTAATTACAGAAATATTTGTATAGTAATTAGAGAAGAAGAGAAGACATGCATGATCACGTAAACTCAATGTGCTAGCTTAAAATTCTTATAACAAATCAGTCTTGCTTGAAAGAGATGGTTTTGCGCTAATCGCAAGCTTTAAAGAAAAATAGATTTATCAAAGCAATTTTCTATTCTACTTTTTAGAGTTCTTTATGAATTTATTAGTCATATGTATAGGACAAGTATCTAACAGTAGGATCACGAAGAGCATCATGTTGAAAAGACAAAGTGACGTCCGAACTCGAAATAGAAGATAATAGAAAAAAAAACATTTCCACACGTAGAGAGAAGCCCTCATCGATTTGGAGACTGTTACTTTGAATCATTTGTTCCTTACCGGCTACCATTAGACCGTGGCTAAAAGTTAGTGTGACTAATGTTAACTCGTGTTTAATCTGCGATCTTCTCTTCTTTTTTTTTCTTTCTCTTGCTCGATCCAAGTGGAGAATCGAGAAAGAACACACGGAACCCCTGGCTACGGTCTCCACGATTCTGACACTGGTCTTCCTCGTGGAAGTAATCATGAAAAACATTGCTTTTACACCACGTGGCTATTGGCAGTCCAGAAGAAACAGATATGATTTGCTCGTGACAGTCGTGGGCGTTATCTGGATCATCATTCATTGCACAATGAAGGTACGTTTTGATATATCACCGATTCTCTTCATCAACGACTGCATTCGTTTTTTCTTATAGCATTACCTATAGGTTTGTCGCGTTGCTTTCAGAATGATCTATCCTACGTGATCGGATTTATGGTTGTGATCCTCAGATTTTTCACCATCACCGGCAAACACACGACTCTCAAGATGCTGATGTTGACAGTCGGTGTGTCAGTTTGCAAGAGCTTCTTCATCATATTCGGCATGTTTCTCCTTGTCTTCTTTTACGCGTTAGCCGGCACGATAATTTTTGGTACCGTCAAGTACGGAGAAGGTATAGGAAGGTGAGAAATTATTATACATTTTGCGCAAGTATATAAAACTCTTTTAATTTATTATGAAAAAATTCTTCTTCCACCAGATGATTTTTGAATGTGAAGATAAAATTTTAAATCTACATTTTTTGGTGATGACTAAATCTCTTTTTTAATCTGATTCTTTCTTATGTTTTTTTTCCGTCTGTGTGATATATTAAAAGCAATTTCTTTGCAATCCAGACGTGCCAATTTCGAATCACCGGTCACCGGCGTGGCGATGCTTTTTCGTATAGTGACGGGAGAGGATTGGAACAAAATTATGCACGACTGTATGATACAGCCACCCTATTGCACACCGGCGGATAATTATTGGGAAACGGACTGCGGCAATTTCCACGCCTCTCTCATTTATTTTTGCACCTTCTATGTCATTATTACTTATATCGTCTTGAATCTTCTAGTGGGTATGTAAACGATACGCTTACAAAAAAAAGTATTTATAAGTTAGATATAATCACATAAGTATCATTTATATTAAAAAAAATGATTATTAATATAATAATTAAATTTATATAATATATATTTAAAAGAATTATTTTTCTCGTCTTATTTATGCAGAGAAAGAGGGTTTTTGAGGGCTCTCTGATTTTTTTGAACAATATTCTTTCAATTAGATCTTAACAATAATTTAACTAGTGAAAATCGAAGAGACAGAAAGAATGAAAAAATTTTTTTCAAACAGCTATTATCATGGAGAACTTCTCTTTATTTTATTCGAATGAAGAAGACGCGTTATTATCGTACGCTGACATAAGAAACTTCCAGAACACGTGGAATGTCGTTGATAATCATCAGAAAGGTGTTATACCGGTGAAGCGGGTATGGTTTAACTGGAACCTTGAATTAATAATCCCGTTATCTATTTAGACGATGTAAAATGATCCGTAGAAGCGCGAATGATAATACTAGCGTGTTTCAGGTGAAGTTTATCTTGCGGTTGTTGAAGGGTAGATTAGAAACCGATCCGCAGAAGGATCGTCTGCTCTTCAAGTACATGTGCTACGAACTGGAGCGATTACACAATGGTGAGGATGTCACCTTTCACGACGTCATTAAGTAAGTTCTGTGACCGCGAATTTTAAATCATATCTATTTATTATCTCTATTATAAATTTTTAATTAAAATCCGTAGGTGTTTTGTAAATTTTTCAGATCTTTTATTCAATACACAGTGTTCTTAAATTCTTTCCATTTGCCTTATTTACTTTTTGGTTTGGAACTAGTTCCTTCAACCAGATGATGATATGCGAAAAATTTTATATTATTTGTTTAATCATCAAAGCTCTTCTTAAATTAATGAATTTTTCAGTATGTTATCGTATCGTTCAGTGGACATAAGAAAAGCGCTTCAACTAGAGGAATTACTCGCACGAGAAGAGTTCGAATACATAATTGAGGAGGAAGTAGCCAAGCAAACTATTAGAACCTGGTTGCAGGGCTGTTTGAAAAAGATACGAGGGGTGAGAATCGATTGACTTCAAAATCACACCTAGGAAATAATCTTTTTCTTTTTTTCTATATTTTGTAGAAGCAACAAAACAGTCTCATCGCCGGACTTCGTGCTACGAATAATGCGGCTGCGATACCTCAAGATCAGGAGAAAAGCAAGGAAGAAAAAGGCAAGGAAATTAGCGTCGATCGTGAGGAAGAAACTGAGACGAAGGTATTTTACGTTGTATTGGTTACTCATTATAACTTCAAACATTTCTGAGAGAATAGAAAAATTGATCGAAGAGAGAGAACTTTCCCAATATTTTTTCATCAAATTTAACAAATCAATCAAAGCTTTTAGAAGAAATATATGAAATATTTAGATGATCTCTAGAATGTTGCTACACTTTTTACATTGCTATTTACTTGTGGACTATAATAAAGTTATAATAAAAATTATATAATAATCACTTTATTGTGAAATTCGAGACATTTTATTAGTTATCTTTTGATGTTGATTAGGATGTCGAAGCACCGAAACATAGAGCTAAGAAGCCCGTAGTACTACCAAGATCGGACAGTATAGGAAGTGCTTCGGGAAGAAAATATTTGGCTCCGACGTTGTCGGATCCCGCATCCGTTCGATCTGAGAAAGATAAGATTGCGGTAGCGAAGAAGAGAAACAGCAGACCGCCATGTAAGTCTAAATAAAGCGATGGCTTTTTTTACATGATATATTATCTTTATATTATATTATTTTTATATATTTTTATATTATATATTATATATTATTTATATTATATATGATTATATATTATATATTTTTATATTATCGTATTTTTATCATTAAATATGATTTTGGCTTACGTTTTTTTCTTTCAGCGATGGTGAAAAATAATTTACCCCATCTAACGGAAAATACGGAACAAAGCAGGCAACAAAGGGAAACGTTGACCAACAAGACAACCGCGTCTAAAGTTTCCAGTGTCCAGTTGGAAGTTCGAGAATGGTGGAAGGAGCAATTAGCTTATAGCAGCGAGTCGAGCGAGGACGAGGTTTAAATTTTGCAAGACGAAAAATTACGATTAGAAGATAAATGGTTATAATCAGAAGCGGACTGTAAAGCAAAGATATTTTTAGCAGTGAAAAAAAAACGAATTCTTTCTCTTTTCTCGCTTACACAAGCCTAAATATTTTGCGTCGAGTAAGGGAAAAGAAATCCGAGAAAGAAAATGTGGTATGTGCCTATATATATAATAATTTTAATATTGCTTGAAACTGATTTCAAAAAACTTTAACGTGTTGAGCTTCGATCAGAATTGACCATTTCTAATGCTAAGAGCTGTTACGTTAATATTTTCCTACGTCAAAGAACAGTTCGTACGCCTTCTGTATTTTTCGTTGCTTATTGAAGCTCATCATGTTAAAGGAATCGATTTCCTAACGAAAGAGAAAATTGTAATCGAGATTATACATGCTCATTTCATATCGAATGTCGGGGCATTATATGTGTGCGTGCGTGTCTGTATGTGTATGTGTGTGTGAAAGAAATTGTCCATAAGAAAAATTATTTAAATCCATTGATATGTTGAAAATTTCGATGTGTAGAGAATTTTCTGTGCGATGTTCATTCATTATCGATCATGTTATCGGACACAACATTTCGAAGGTAATTGTATAGTGAATTTTATACGATATACAAAGTTAATTCATTGTGCGAATAATAGTTGGATAGTGTTGTTAAGGGCAACTGTGAGTACAATTAGCGCAAGATGCAATTCGTCGTAGATACTTTTGTCACGAAGATGGTCCCGATTCTCTGTGAAAATAATAGAATTATCGTGGATTGTCGATTCTTTCCTCCTTACAACAAGAATACGTCCTGAGAGAGGGCCTCTTGTATTGTAAAATAGAGAGATCTACGCGAATTGATTGATTTAATATCGGCGGTTGTAAAGTGTTAGCACTTGATGTTGATGTTATATCTGTTACAATTAGCAGTAATGCTGTTACGGGTGATGCTTTAAAGTAAAGTAAAACAACAGTCGCGCAGGAAAGAGTTACTTGGCCAAAGAGGTAACTTATTTTCAAACGAGATTGTGTTGGCTACACGTTGTGCATGTTGAACATAGGAAAGAATTGGAGCATTTATAGATATATAAATATATAATATTATATTATATATAATATTATATTATATGTAATATTATATATATATATATAAAATATAAAAAATATATATATAAATATATAATATTGTCGTGAATTTTTATAATAAAACGAAGAATGCGATCGATGTTGGCACAATAATACGCACACGCAAAATAGGTCGATATGTAATGCGTATATATGTATTTACAGAAGCGAATTTAGCGTTGGAAATCACATTATGTTTACGTCGGTGTAAATGAATGTTGATGATTGTTGCTAGTTTATGTACCAATGTGCTGTCTTATCGAGTATAGGACAAATAAATATTGTTAGACACCATTATTTGTTAAATTATATGACATTCGTTATTATTATTCTTCGATGATTATTGGATTATAGTATAAATACAAAATATAATTTGTCGAATTTTTGAAATTTATAGAGTATAATACACATACATAAATTAAATAACATAGATTTTGTAGATTCATTATCGTTGTCATAAAATCTTTGATTATCTATTATTATTATATTGGATGATTTTATGCTTGTAATCTAATAATTACATTGAATAAACGTGGTTTTTAATTTTATTTTAAATGGCACTTGTGCGCGCTTCAAATAAAAAAAGTAAATAATATAAAATATCAATACGATTTTATATTAAGAAGATGTTACCTTCCGCAGCCATAATTTGATTAGCTTCGGTCATGACGTTGATGGCGGCGTCGATCTCCTCGTTTGTGAAATTTAAAGATTGTGTTGTGTTTAGGTAACTGGTGACTTCACTCAGCGGAACTGTCTGAATCCTTCGATCTTGGCATAACTTGTTAAGCGATGATTTGAAGACTGTAAGTCTAAAAATCAGAGGGAAATTAATTTGGAGAATATACTTTCTCTTCGATTAATATTTTTCATTTTTTCCATTTTATCAGATGTAAGTATTAGTAATAAAATAAAAACATAAAAATAAACGTATATTAAGTATTGAAGATCTAGAGATATAAAGAGTTAAAGTATGAGAAAACTAGCTGATTTGATCAGGAATCAATTTCATCTAGGATTTCCTTATAGGTTCAAAAACCCTGCATTAATCTTATATAAAATTGAATTTTGGTAAAATTAGCTAGTTTTCTCGTATATTGTAGCTTGTGATCTCAACAAAAAATGTAATAAGTTCAAAGTTAAATAATAGATAGTTACCGATTTACAGCTAATCAAACACGCAAAATTTGGGCTCTGCGAATTGTTTGACTGGCTTTAACTTAGCAACTGTCCATTATTTAGCTTTGAAGCTATTACATCTTTTGTTCAGCAGGTCACAAACTACAATAATGAAAAAAACCAACTAATTTCACCAAAACATTCAGTTTCCGTAAGGATTGTGCGAGGTCCTTTCAGATTATTTTCTTCGAATAAAAATTACCTTTCCTGTGAGATCGTCGGCGTCGCTGTTTCTGGGACAGATTCCATGCTTTCCGCGGTCTCTGTGCGACTCGGCGACGTGCGCGTGCTGATTTTTTGTGATTGCGTTCTGGTTATTCTCCTCGTTTCTTCATACGCCTCGTCACTATCATATTCATACGGATCGTCCGAATCTTTCGTTTTTTTACTGCGTTTCGCCTGTCTAGTCTCGTCAATCTCGTCTGCATTTTCCGAAGCGTCGCTATCGCGACGTCGTCGCTTCTTCTTTTCCTTCTCCAGGACGCGTTTGAAGTAGGCAAACTGCACCAGCTCTATCGCGGCGTGCGCATCCTCCTCTTCTACGTTCTTTGAAAGCCGTGCTTTTGCATGCGCCGTCGACAATCTGATTAACGTCTCCAACGTTCTCGCAGTTACTGGTTGAGTCTGAAAATAGTGTATATTTATGTAATTTCTTTTTCATGACGTAATGTAACGTCGATTGGAATCTTTCTTTTAACTTCTAGAAATAAAATTATAGAAACTTACTCTCGCAACGTCGTATTCCACCATATCTTCCGATCGAAGTTTCGAATATTCCTCCGCGATAACAGCACTGGCTTCTTCTGTGAGTTTGGGTTTCATGCATCGTGCGATATGAATGTACTTTCTCATGAACTGTATGGTGAGGATCTGGTCACTAGAAGAAATTTATAAAACTCTCTGTATAAAATCTTTACATATTAAGTATTCAGACTAAAGTTATTCTATTTAAAATAACAGAATGGATATTATGTGATATATATGTATTTACTTTTTAGAACGCGTTTGTCCATGTAGAAGTGGATCATATTTCTGATAAACTTGTGACTGTGTCTCCTCAGTAGCTACATCATCCGGATTCTTCGTCGTCAACATATCCAATTTGGAACCTAAACTCAAGGCCTCCCCATCTTGCTCCAAAGGATTTCTATATCGATGCATTCTGACGACATGATCGCTGATTACGTGATCCTGATCCGAATCGATCACGTCTAACATAACGAAGAGCAAATCGAAACGCGACAGCAGAGAATCTTGCAAGCCGATGTTCTCCATAGGTGTTTTGTACTGATCATACTGAAAAAGAAAGAAAAATCTTTCACTAATATTATACTTTTTCTCTCATTAAATATTTTATTCTGTATATCGATATTCCATTTATTTATTACATATTAATCTAATTAATATATACATTATTTGCTATATAAGAATAATTGTAGTTTTTAGTTTCATAGATATTTTTGCAAATAAATAAATCTTCAAGTCTATCAAAATCACCCCATAAATTACAGAAAATTATCTAAAGAGTTTTTTCATAATCGTATTTTTTATAGACTGTTTTAATAAAATCGAAATATCTTCTTATTTTTATTTATTATATTATTAAGAAAATATACTACAAGAGAATGAACTTACCCTTCCATACACAGGATTTGCAGCCGCTAGTACCGAACACCGAGCATTCAGACTGGCGTGAATGCCCGCCTTGGCGATCGTGATTCTGCCTTGTTCCATTACCTCGTGTATGGCTGTCCTGTCAATATCCGACATCTTATCAAACTCATCGATGCAAATAACACCGCGATCCGCCAACACCATCGCGCCCGCTTCCAGCCTACGTTCGCCGGTTTCCTGATCGACCGTAACCGCCGCCGTCAAACCGACACCAGAGGATCCACGTCCGGTGGTTGGAATTGCACGTGGAGCAGTGCACAACACATAACGTAGAAGTTGTGACTTGGCCACTGACGGATCTCCAATTAGTAACACGTTTATGTCCCTATGAAAGATGTCCTAATTATTATTCCATTCTATCGTTAATGAAGATTAAAGACAAAGAGACAAAACTCATAATTTGCTGTTAATAATGAACTTTTTGTTAAATTATTCTTTTCATTTATTTTATTAAACTTGCAAAATTATAAAAACATCTTCTCAAGTAAAATTTTTAAAAATTTGTCAAAGCTTATTAATAAATATAATAGAATGAATTAGATGTCTTTTTATATCTATTAATCGCATTTTCGATAGAAATATAAAAAATTCGATGAAATCTTACCCTCTCAGCCTCGTACCATTTGGCAAAATCTTCTCTACCCCGCCTAATAGAAGACAAAGAATCGCCTTTTTTATGTACTCATTGCCATGTATGGATGGTGCGAGGGATTTAGCAAGGAGCTCGAAAATATTTTTGCAGGGATTATTCTTCGCCAGCTTCTTGCACATGGCCACGTCGTCGTGGGAGATCGCGAGATTGGCTTCCTTGCTCAATTGCATCACATTGTTGGCGATTAGAACAGTTCTGATTGCACACAGATAATTATTATGATAGAACACTTTTAGATGAAAGTAAAAAGAATTTACAAATCATAATTAAATTGAGAAATAATTCTCGATCCTTGTCTAGGATGTACCTAAAAGTGCCAGTCGTGTATCCACCTTGCTTTCCTGGGAGACATCGGTAATTTCCAACAATTTGCACTCGATCTCCGGGCTTACACAAGTCTACTAAATCGTTGTCGCAGATCACGTCCACGCTTCTTGGTAGCTGTCCAGCTGGAGCTTTCTCCGGCATTTCTTGTATAGTGAGTGTTTGATGATCTTTGTAAGTGGACAAACCAAATTCTGTTTCCAACGGGTTGCCATCTTCATCCTACAAAATCAAAACAGTAAGTTTCTCTGAGATTAATAAACAAATATTTTTTATTCTACTTAAATATAGAGATAATTACTGTAGTTGGATAAATTGCGGAATGTGGGAAGGCATCCAAAGAAGTTAGATCCGAATATGCTCTCTCCAAGACCGTTTTTGTCACATCACAGTAATGGACACTTCTTACAACTTTTGGTCGTACTAGTGAGCCTACAATAAATATTTTCATATATATATATGTATAATTTTTATGAAAAGAAATTTCTAAATAAAAAATATAATTATTTGATAGTCTATCAAACAATCTATATACAAATGAATTCTCATTCAAGATTAAACAGATTTAGATATAAATTTAATAAAAAATCTCTTTACATCAAAATTATATTTTTTTCTTTATAGATACTCACATTTTGTGACGATACCCTCCATACATACCAAGTTACCCAGATAATGTGAGGTAAGTGTTCTGGGTGTAACATGTTTGTTTCCAAAGCTACCTTCAAAAGCTACAAAGAAATCTTTGTTGCTCTTAGCATAATCAATATCTATACTCGAAATATACTGTTTTAGAGCATTTTGAAATGCCAGTTGTTCTTCAAAAGAATTATTTAACAAGCTGCAATATAATTAATTTATAATTATTCTCTCAACTTTTCAAGAAATTGCAAAATATTTATATAGATTACAAATTAATAAGCAAAGAAATAAATCTATCATACCTTGCCGTACGCACAGAATTTTTTCTCCTCAAATCATTAATATTTACAACCAGCCTGTATTTGTTATCCTGAACCATATTCTTAACCATTGTGGCATATATGCCTTGATCTTCCTATGAACAGAGAATCAACAGGTAAGAAATATAAAAATAATATGATATAATCTCTGTCTTGTAATAAATATAATTGAATACTAAGCTAAACAAAATTAACAGAATCAAAATATCAATGATCTTATATTAAAATATAAAATAACTATAATTAAATTAACAATTAATACAAAAATAAAATAGTTGATGTAAAATGAAAGAGTTGAGTGTTGATAACACATGCTGATTATTAAATACCTACCATGTCGTCCAGAAAATCAACATATTCGCGTGTTATCTGCTCCAGATTCTGATCAATCTCCGTATCCATTTCTGCGGTAATCAATTACGATCCAATATTTGTTACGTGAGATATACTACACGGGAAAATTCGAAAAAAAGTTTACACTGCTTTGAAAGATAGGCAAGCACGACTCAGTCCCCTTTGCGCGGGAAACGCGACAGATTAGCCAAGCTGTCATTTCAAAAAGTCACTAGTACTTAATTTTTAGGGACTTAATTTTTTTCCTACCACATTGTCACATTTCAAAAATGGCGACGAAGTTTCGTCGTGCTTTGAAAAATTAGGTTAGGATTATGAAAATATTCGTGAAGACGAATCACCAGGTTGAGTCGAATTTTCTCAATTTATTCGCGAATCCTCACGTTGACAGAAGCACATTATGGCGCAAAGTAGATTGGAAAAAATTGGTACAATCTATTCCAGGTAAGTCTAAGCATTCTTCATAATCCTTTCCTGACATGATTATTTTTTAGGTATACGAAAATTAAATTGGAGCGATTATTTTGATTTATTAATAGAGCAATTTTCTTAAACGACATTTTAATAAATTATATAAATTAATAAATTATATAATTTTATTTGAAATTATAGTTAAAAGATTTTTGAATAAAAATTTGGATGTTATTCAACAATTCCTTGTATATGTATATTATATCATATTCTGAAAATTAAGTAAATAAAGCATTTATTTATACATTATTTATAATAGCTAATTTAAATATTTTGAATAATATAGCTTAATGGAATGAATTTTAGGATCATTTCACTATTAAAGGGCAAAGCTATGAAAGAGGAAGATAAACCATTATGGTTGGCAGTGTATGAAGCTTTCCCTCCGAAATATGAACCTAGATACGATAGAAAACTGCCGCAGAAACCAATCAGACCTATCTTTTACGAAGAGGATTTAATTCGAGCGTAAGACATTTACTATATTAGAATAAAATATTTATATATTTTTTCTATGTAAGTTATATTATTAAATTATGTATTTGTTCTTACAGAAGATTTCACAAGGATCAAAATTTTATACCAGCTACTAATTTAGCAAATGAAAGTATGAAATCTGCAACACAAAACTTTCTATCTCTATACAAAACGATAAAAGAGGTATGTATAGTATAAATTAATTTATTGATTAAATCGTTTAATACATTGTATTAAAAGTATATTTTTATTTTAATAGCAAGAAGAATTATCAGAAAATAATGTCTATGAAAAGGCAATGCAACAGTACACTCTTGAGATAGAAACAAGAAAGTCAAGGAAAGTTGAATCATTTAATACATTTAAGTAATTACAAAATATATTTTTATTATTTTTTTTTTTGTAAATAAAGACCTTGTTATTTAGTAAATAGTAATTTGTATTAATTGAAATATAAGTATCCACTGCTTATATTTACTATAGAAATAGAAATTATAACAGAATCTTATTCAACAAGTATAGTTTGTATTTCGTGACAATCAATACATTAAATAACAATGAATTTCGGTAAAATTACAACTTATACTGTTGAGTATGATTAAATATAATATAATCTTCATGATGAGTAAACATGAATTTACAATGATGGTTCCTAATGTGTCGAGATCAATCGTAGAATTTTCTCTTAGTGTAATAATTATAAATCTTACAACATTACTCACTCGCTGTAGGTGTACTTAATAATAATCTAGAATGTATTGTATAGAGGATGAGAATATAATTTCTATAGTTCTTCATAATAGTCATCCGTCTTAGAAAAAAGGGATACAAGCTGCGTATATATATCACACTGTGGTTCGCTTCACGCGCTGCAGGTACAAGTAATTAAAAAAATAAGTATAAAACGTGCGCATGCACTATATAAATTAAAGATATACATATATATATATGTATGTATGTATATAACACGTTGAATATATCGACTACTAAATTTTGCATTTTGTTATTTTACATAATTATTACAACAATGTTGTTCAAAAATTTGAGAGTATTTTGTGTTTTAGCTTATTGCAAATATTTTCTTTTATTTGGATATCACCGCAAAAACCTTTTGGCATTCAACGTGTCAGTGAGATGGAAAGTAAGCTGTATTATATATGTATATATAATATAATATTAAGACTCGATCAGGGGGGATCTCATCACATTTTCTAGAAATAATATTCATCTAGCTCTTTAAATGCCATTTTTTTAGAAATGTATGTTACACTGTTCACTTTCTTTTCTTATTATATTATGATACTAATATAAAAGAGCTATTTTGAAGAAGCTTAGTCTCTCAAGAGGACAGGACGAGTATCTCTCAAGATAAAATTTCTATCACGTCCTCCTGAAGGGCTACTGGCCATTAAACACAATTAGAGAGCATATCGTTATTAAAAATAATGTAACAGCTTTCATTATCTTATGTTCTTTCTTTCGCTGAGTACCTTGTATCACATTAATTATTGGGATATATTAACTATTTTTCTATATATATAATTAAATGATAAATTGCAAAAATTGAATAATTTAATTGAGCAAAATGCTTCTAACATGTTGTGTATATGTCTAATTTCATATTTAATATTATAATAACGCAATATTAATGGTATTTATGCTGATATATTTATATAACGTGTTCCACAAGAATCTTAATTAGACTTATATAAATCTTTACGTATCTCGTACCAAGATACTCGAAAGACATTATTTTGAACGTGCAACTGAGGAAAATATACGAGCATCTTGATGTATTTTTATCGAAGATTGTGAATGTTTTTTTACGTCACAGTAAAATACAAATCTCAATATTAATATCGTCAAGATTAATTGACAGTGCTAAAAAATAACGTAAAAATTTAAACACAGACAATATCAGCTAAGGATACCAAAGATTCTTCTTGTCTTACTGTGACTATATAAGCTGCATTAATATCGGACTCGTTTCTCTTCTTTCATTATTTCAGGCATTATATAAATATTTAAATACCACGAGTCATCTGATTATATTATACTTATGCAAAGGAAAACGTACTTAAGAGTATCATTAAACTCTATGCATCCTTAGGATTTTATTTTATATAAAATAAGATTATTTCTCTTTCTCACTCATTCTTGACTCGATTAATTCCTGCAACCTGGACGAACTAAAGAATTAGCATACAGCCTGTAATGCGATAGACTGTTCGTTAATAAGCGTGCTTCAAGAAAAATCGAGGTGAAACTTGGGTTCTTATTATTCTCTTTTTTCAAATTCTACGAAAACGATTTATTCCTCAAGCGCGCTTATTAGAATATTAGATACTATAATATTGGACGTATAAGATTCACCCGAGTGCGGAGACACTCAGTCAAACTTCGCACCATTTAAATGCTTCGAAGAGAAGAGTTTCCATAAAGACTCCATCGGTCTTCGAGATTCCGAAATGTCTATATTGGCACCGACCAAACCTTATTACAACCTTTGTTCTGAACTGGGCTATCTTCTTCAATGTCTTCGTGTTGATTTTATACAGAGTGTCCCATAGGAAATTGCTGCAACTAATCAGCTGTCATTTTTTAATGCAGTTATTGAGAAAACAAAAATAGTGTTGGAAAGAGGAAAGTCTACAAATATTTTATTTATATCCATTAAAAACTGCAGACTTTCTTCCTTTTAACATAATTTTTTTTTCTCAATAACTGCATACTTAAAAAGTGACAGCTGATTAGTTTCAGCAATTTCCTATGGAACATCCTGCATATGAGATAAACGAAGCTTTGGAACCGGACATCTAGGATCTTCGGGAGAATCAGGTCGAGGACCAGTTTTCCGATCGCCACAGCAAGGTGTACATGCCATGCCTGAGCTCCTCGTTCTCCAGACTCTTCAGTGGGAAGTCGGTGTATCGCGCGATCAAGCTGCGATAGCCCTGGCCTACAGTAGCCAGCACCGCCTTCTTCTTGTCGGTGGATTTCAGGGTGACGATCTGGCAGACCTTGCCCTCGAACGGCCGGAACACGGTGACGGGTCGCAGAGTGCCGCACTCGGCGACGACAATGCAGCCCCAGGTGGTACCGATGTATAGCTGACCGAAGCTGGCCTCGAGCGCGGTCACCTGACACTTGTCCGTTGACAGGTTCTCCTCGATCGAGATAGACTTGAGGCTCTCGGAGCACGGCACCAGCTTGGACATGTCCAGCTTGTTCACAATCTGCCGGCCATCCACGTCCCACTGGTACACCACGCAACCTGGATATGTGTACGAAAAGACGAAGCTTTCGGCGGTTGCGCCAGCCAGATACGTGGCGAAGAGATTCCTCATGGCCGCGTCACTGGCGGTCCCGGTGGAGTGAGACAGTTGTACAGTGTCAACCAGATTGCCGTCCTTCAGCGTGTATACGGATATCCGGCCGAAGCTCTGGCCGGCCCAGAGCTCCAACACCCGTCTCTTCCGAGAGACCGCCGTCAGCGAATAGGTTTTGACATCAGCACGCGTCGCGTCCGCCACACCGGTGATTTCCGTCTTCTTCATCTGCGTGAACGAGTTCGACAGCAAAAAGATCCGACCGCTGTGCAACGCCACGGCGAATTGCTTCAGTTGCTCCAAGTGGATCAGCCCAACCACCTTGGACTCTCGGTTGTGATCCGCCTCGAGGTTGTGGCTGGCCACGCAACCGAAGTTGCCGCACAGATAGACGTGCACCTGGCCAGCGTTGTCGCCGATCCAGATGTAGCCGTCCAGACCGTACATGGCGTACGGTATCACCGGTGTCTCAATACGCACGTGGCGCAGCCAACCCTTCTGCGTTCCTAGTAGCATGTCGACCTCGCCGTTGTTGTGGCCGAACCAGATCTCGTCGCCGTTTAGGCTGTCCGCCTCGCTATTCGAACTGTTGCCGGCGCGGTTCGTCATGGTGACCGCCGTCACCTGGGTGCGCTCCGTTAGCAGGGTGACGTCTATCAGATGAGTGAACTCGGGCGCGGAAGCGATAGAAACGATCTGACTGGCTGTCGGTCGATCCTTTGGATTCTGCGCCCAGCATATCACCATTAGATCCAGCGCGTAACACGGATGAAGGGTTTCGCGATACACTAGCGGTGGTCTACCGCCCTCCAGGATGCACTCCTTTACCGCCTCGTGACCCTCGAACGGTTGGCGGAGCGTGATTAGCTCGTAGACAAACATGCCAAAGGAGAAGGAGTCTACTTTTTCGGTGTACTCTTCTTCGCCGTTGTATCTGATGATCTCGGGCGCCATAAAACCCTCCGTGCCTCCGAAACCCTTCGCTCCTGTAGGAAGCGTCAGTCTTGAAATTCCGTAATCGGCGACCTTGACGTGCACCGGTTCTAAACTCTCCTGAAAAGGTAAAGGTATTTGCCAGACTAGCACGTTCTCCGATTTCAGATCGCGATAGATGACGTGCTGTTGATGCAGATACTCCACTGCTTTGGCGACCTGTAGGATGATCGCTTGTAACGTGTAGGGATCCAGTTTAGCGCCGGAACGACGATAATTCTTCAGGACGCCGTCTAGCGCGCCTGAGGAGCGAGATCCAGCACCAGAGCTAATGGACTGACGACTATTGCCGATTAACGGCACGATGTTGGTGTGTCTGAGCGTCAGCAGGATGTTGAGCTCCTGACGTGCCATGCAGTAAGCCTTGCAGGCGTACTGCAACGGATCGCGGTCCCACTTGCTCTGCGACGCTTTATATGCGAGGATCGCCGACTGGGTCGAGTTTGGACCCGGAGAGACCGGCTGCAGCATCTTAATGGCCACGTCGGCGCGAACGTATGTTCCTGGTAATCTGCAGCTGCCGCGAAAGACGAAACCGAAGGCACCTCGACCAAGCAGCTTGCCTCGCTTCAGGTCCTCGGACTTGATCAAATGTTTAGCGCCCAGATCCATGAAGATGATGTCTGGCGCGACGTGCGACAACGGGATTTCCGAGTGCCTCGGACAGCTGATGGATTTGTTACTGTACGCTGCCAATATGCACTCCTCCACCATCCAGGAGTACGCTAGGATACCTTCGGGTTGCGAAGAGGGAGTCTGCTGCTGCTGCTGCTTCGACACGTCCGGGTGTGTCCCTCGAGCGATGGCATTCTGCTGGACGTCAAACTGTCGTAGCCGACGCCGCTGTCGCCGTCGGATTTGTAGCTGTCCTGGCTTTGTCTCTCACTGCGATTCACGGCGCAATACTTCTGAATGTCCTCGATCAATCGACCGTCACTGTCGTTCGATTCGATGTCGCTGCCCTCGGCGTTATCCAGCAGACAACGCGGACACGGGATGAGCCTGGTGACCAGCAATTTGCCCTCCGATGTGTGCACAAAGCGTGTACCCAGAGTAGGATACAATCTTCGAGGAGGATGTCGATGTGATCGACAATCAGTGCCATCAATTGTGGCATACTTTCCATCCGCGGCTCTACTACGATCGCTTGGTAGCCCATTGGTTCCTCATCTATGGAATCGGACATAATGGGTTGCTTAATCACCAGAGTGTCCACCGGAAACCAAATTTCGAGGATGGCGGAATTTCGCAGATCTACTGTGCACCAGATTCCGTCCTGCTTGAGCTTGAATTTGAACTGTCTGTAGTCATACGGTGAATTCTTTAAATTGTAGCAGACCTCCTTCAGACGCAACAACGTGATTCCCGAGTATCGCAGCTCAATTCCCGTCTGCCAGAGTACCCATTCGGCCTGCAAATCCAATAGACTGGCGAAGATGTTATCGTCGACAAAGTCCTTGAACGGCGCCAGAAATGACATGACAATCTCGACAATAGCATCATCGGCGAGAATTCGAGTGATCAATCGGGACCAGAAGCCGCTGGGAAAGTATGACATGAGCAGCAACCTGGTGACGGAGCAGTCGGGTTGCGATCTCGATGTAAGCACGCACTCGGCGTTGCTCTTGTCGCTGGATGGCGCACCCATGCACGCGAATATAGGCGAGGTGATCTTCTTGACGCGTACATGCCAGCCGCGCGTCTTCACCGGCACTTTGATGATCTGATTATTGCGCAGAATATCCTCCTCGGTCGGTAGAAGGGACGGTATCAGCAACGTACGGCAGTCCCATGTCAACGCGACCTCGAATTATTCAGCAGGCTAACGATATAGCCCTGTGTATCGATCGATGATATTGTGGAGGATTTGAAAACGTGCTGGATATCGTCCAATTTCATTATACCAGATCTGGCAAACGGATTGATCTCCCGTATGGTTACTACATGGGCCAGCATGTCGCAGAGCCACTGCGGATCCAAGAAATAAAGATCCTTCAACGTAGCATCATCGTAGTGCAAGATTATTCCGTTCTCATGAAGAAACAATGTCGCCTGATGCAGCTCGGCGGGGTCTCGGAAAGATCTGTGCAACTTTTGAAGTTCGTTGTTGACTGCCGCGTAATACTGATCGGCTTTTAACACTGGATCTAGGCCGGACAACTTCCTGTCATGCGCCAATTGGATCACGACGTCCTCCAGCGCGAGATAACTAGCCGGGACCTTCTGTTCTAGCAACAATTCCTTGCTACCGGGCGATCTCAAGCTGAAGACGACGTCGTAGATGAGATTGCACAGCATCTTGATGTTGTGGCGTGTCTTACAGCTCACTTCAATCGTCTCCATGACTTTGGGTAGGCCGCATTTCTCGGCATCGACCACATTGATAACTTGTCACGAATATATTGCTGCAGACCCTCGCTGTGCTCGTAGAAAATATCGTAGTGAGTGCCGATGATGATGACCGGTGAGTTGGGCGCTCTACTCTGAATGTTCACCAGCCACTGAAAGATCTCGGATACGCCCTTGAAACCGTCTGTGATCCGCCACACGACTAGGTACAGACTACGCTTTGACAAAAAATACTGATGCGTCGCATAATACTCGCGCTGGCCGCCAAAGTCCCAGGTCCTGAAGTAGACCGGACCGTGGGACGATTGTCCGCGCACTTTCTTCTCGTAGATCCAATCGCCGATGTCCACACCCACCGTCGAGATGGTTGTGCCTTTTGCGGTCTTTGCGTTGATGTTCTTGTTGCCCATTCGCTTGGCCCAGTGCTCGGACGCCTTCTTCTTGTTCGGTACTTCACCCTCCTGCCGCAACTGTTCCAATAGACTCGTCTTACCGATTCCTTGGATACCGACGATCATCAGCTTCATGCGCGCGTATGCCTTGGCGTCTTCCAAGATCGACTTCAGGTAACCGATCACGTCCATCGTCTTATACTTTTTAGACTCGATCATCGACTTGAGTGGCTCCTGCAACCGGCAACCCTGTGTGTTTAGGTTCCATAGGCGTCCCAGTAAACCCATCTGCGGCGGCAGCTCGACGATCTCATTGTTGCCGCTGATGTTTAGTACCGACAGATTGCTAAGCTCGTAAATGTTGTGTGGTATCTCGCGCAATTGATTGTTACTAATGTCCAACATACTGACGTTGGGAAAGAGCAAGTACGACTTGGAGCTGGAGTGTCCGATACCTTTCAAATCCTTGTCCGAGTCGTTCCGCTCCTCTTCCAGACATGGCATCTCACCGTCGTCGCACGACGTTAATTGTATGCGATTCAGTAGATTGTTCGCCAGAATCAGCGTGCGGAGATTCTCTAGCCGTAAGTGCCGCCTGTGCGCGCACACCGATTGCAACACGATTTCCCGCATCGACGTAGGTGTTTGCCGATTGCCGGGTACTATGCTAGGCGACTGCGCGTTCACGGTCGGACAATAACAGGCCGTGTTTGCTTGTTCCATACTATCGGAACTGTCGACTTGCGGCAGACTCGGCCACCGCGTGATCTGATTGTTCGACAGATCCAGCTGCTTCAGGCTCGCTGGATACGAAGTGATGTGGCTCATCGATCGCAGAGAGTTGTACGCCATGTTCAATCGCACTAGGCTCACCGCCAGACACGGCAACGCCACGGGAATGCTGTTAAAGAGATTGTGCGCCAGATTCAACGACGTGAGCACCGACTTGTTGTCGTTCTCCGTGTCATCGCTCATCCTTTCTGACAATTGAACCGAACTGGTCCACACATGCGGCCGCTCCATCTCGATCACCTGCGCGTTCGCGATCTTCGTGAAGGAGTCGAATTCCATGGACTCTATCCGCGGCATGGCGGCCAGTACGCGAAAGTTAGTAGACGTCTGTTGCGTCTCATCGCAACCGCGCTGCGACTTCCTCAGGACGTTCTGCGACGCTTGACTCGGCAGATCGCGTAACAGATTAAACGACGCGTTCAGTTCCTTGAGCTTGGGCGCACGCCACAGATTTTGCGGCAGGCACTGCACCTTGTTGTTGGATATGTCTATGATTTCGAGGGCTGGAAGATTCATGATAAATTCGGGCAGTTGTTCCAATCGATTGTCTTGCAGATACATTTCTTCCAGAACCGGGCACAGCTTGTCCTTCGGGTTCTTCGAGTCGGCCGTGAGAGTGTCGATTTTGTTCTGTGCCATGTTGAGGTAACGCAGACTCTGTAGGTAGAACATGGCAGACGGCACGGAAGTTATGGAGTTGTGGGAGATATCGACTCGCGTGATGGCGTACAGTACCAGATCGTTGTTCTTTGGGCTCAGCTTCTTGTTCACGTGCAGCACTGCGTCAATTAGCCACTGCAATCGGATCTGCGAGAGACGGCACTGTTGGTTATGCCAGTTGATCATCGTGGGCGTTTTCGGGAACAGCGTGGAATAGGTAACGTGACCGAAAGACGACAAGGCGGAGAAATGCGAGCTTTGCGTGCACTCAGTCATCGCTTTTTTGTTGATTTTATACTCGGAGTCCGGATGTGCTTTAATCGACAGCAATTTTGCGGTCAACGTCTCGTCGCGATTCTGCGCGGCAATCTTCAACGCCTTGCACTCGTTGTCGACGGCGCCATGCTTCAGCAACAGATCCGCGATTTTCACGTCGCGATTCTGACAAGCTATCGTCAGCACGCTCGAATAACTACCTTCCGGATCATTCTGATCGTACAGAACTTTGACAGGTAACTCTAAATTGGCGCCAGCTTGGAGGAGAGCGTTCACCACCTCGGTATGTCGACCCCTAACAGCCGCATGCAGCGCCGTTTCGCTGCCGTTGTTACAATAAAGATCCAAATTCACCGGATATATCATTTTATCATCCTTTTTGTCTGTTGGTGTTTTCGTGCTACGAAAATTCAAGGATGACATCAGCCTCTGGATACCGCTGGAGATTTTGCGCTTCGATACTGGGAGCTGCTGCGCGCCACTAACGCCATCCTCCTCCTTGGTCGTTCTCGCCTTCACCCGATAACCCAGAAGCAATTCGACACATTTGACATTGCCCAGCATGCTGGATATATAGAGCGCGTGCTGGCCAGTGACGTCTTGCGCATTGATATCAAACGGCAGATCATACTCGAACTCGCCGGACGGGTCTCTGTAGCGTTGATAGACATGTTGAGGATATTCAAATTTAAGCAACATGTCGATTACCGAATGATGACCGTTTATCGTGGCCGCGTGTATCGGTAGCCAACGTTCCACCGTGAGTTGCTGCACCTGCTTGGGAAAATGCCGGAGTAACAACTCGACAATCTCCACCTTGCCGTGATAACACGCTATGTAGAGTGGACAGTACTTTGTGACCGGATGAATCCTGCAGTCGACACAGTGATCCAACAGCAACCGAACGATGTCCTTGTGACCGCTCTCGCAGGCGACGAAGAGCAGCGTGTTGGCGCCGTTTGGCGCCATATTCACCACGCATTCAGATCGGTCGACAAGCCCTGGATGATGCTTCGGGCGGCCACGGTGTCGCCTTGGATACACGCTGCGCGTAAGGAGGCATGGGTCGCCTGTTTCGCGAGCTCGTACTGCTCGGCCGCCACCTTCAGAAGATGAATGCAAGCGTCGTGCTTGCCTTTCTCGGCGATGTCGAGCGGTTGCAGGCCGTCGTCGTCGCGGATCATGAGATCTGCGTTGAAATTCAGCAGCCTCTCCACGTTGCCGGCGTGGCCGTGCTCCGCGCACACGTGCAGCGGCGTCCGATGGTGACCACGCGGGCCGCAGATGACGTTTGGGTCAGCTTTAGCGGTCAGCAGGACGTCCAGGCAGCGGGAGTTCTCCGTGATCGCGGCCGCGTGCATCGGCGTTCTACCCCACGAGTCCTTGCTGTTAATGTACTGCGCGTGTTCGCCCCGCAACAGATCCTCCAGCAGCTCGGCATTATCCCAGAGCGCGGCCTGGTGTAGCAGCCGGCCCGGAAAGTCCTCATCGATCGGCGTATAATCCTCCATTGCGGGATCTGTGAAATCATTCGGATGAAAAATCTTTGCAGGTGTAGAATAGTAAAATAATTAATAGAAAAAATATTATATAAGTTGTTACATGCTATATATTGTATAATATTGCATTATATCATATTATAAATTATACAAATATATAATATTATATAAATTATTACATACGTTATTATATAAATTATATAAAAATTATTATTATATAAATGTTATATAAATATAATATGTTATATAACTCTATTTTATATTTAAAATATTTGTTAAATTTTTATGATATATTTCATGTAATATATAATTTTTTTCTATATTTTTACTTGTACAAAATGAAAAATAATGAGTAGAATCGATTAATAATTTTATATGAATGCAATATTTCGCACGCACAATTGCATACTTTTTTTATATCGATAAATTCATCTCAAAATTGATCTTTACATAAAATATATGAGTTATCTTTATCCAAAAATAAAAAGATGAAAGGCATGACGAAAGGTTAACACTTTACGAGATATATTGTACATTTTATGTCACATACGACATACATAAATGTGTGCATGTATATGTATATATACATATATAAAATACTTACAAGTCTTGTTTATAACCCGTTACATGATTGCCAATGTCAATGTCATTTCTTCTAATCTTATTGCCTCCTCTTGAATGACTTCTGCAACTTATTAAATGCATTTTATTTTACTTTATAATGTATATGTCATTGTCTGAATGTATTTACATAAATATTCTTTAATATTATTTATTACATTTACCTTGCAACATGCTGCGAATTAGTACACTTTAATCAGGCTTCTCGTTTCATACGAGATTTAAAGTAATTCTGATTTAATGAGGCTCCATAAGAGTTGTAAGCTGCAATTTAAACAAAATCTTATTATTAAAAATATAATACATATATATTTTTTTTAATTATAGAAAAAGAATTAAAAGTCAGAAGCAATTCTCTGTTTATACAAAAACGTATCAAATTATTTAATTTTTATATACGACATATTTAGATCTCTTTCTATTTGATTAAAAAGAAAAGTAAATATTTATATACATATATAAGAATATAATATAGATTTATTTACATATACTGTGAATACATAAGATAGATTTATTTAATGATCAAAGATCAAATTAATAAATTTAATGAATAAACCAAAATATTTTAACTTTATAGTAAAAAAATTATGATTTATTTTTCATAACTTTTTCATAAAAAATCAAAACGATAAAGACATCTTTTTTTAAATAAAAATAAAAAATAGATATTAAAATTTATTTCGATATTTTTAACTCATAAATTAAGTTTATTATTAAATTGTTATTCTTGAGCATATGCTTTCGATTTCTAAATTTCTTCGCAATAATCGAGTGTATAGTATATAAAGTAGAACAAATCGTGCGCGAAATCGAAGGATGAATCGTTTAATCATTTCGAAAGCGTTTAATTTCGAGCAAAACGAGAAATCACGTTTCGTAATTTGTACAATTTCAAATTATAGTTATTTTAATCAGTCCGCTATTTATTTCTACGCGCACGCGTAAATATATATATGTATATATATGGTTCGTGAACAGAGAAAAGAGTTGTCAGATGAGTATTTTAACCTCCATGTTTAATTGTTCGTGCGTCTGGGAAAAAATGAAAGCGCGACAGAAGCACGAATAGCAATTAACCGAATGAGAAATCTTACATTGATTATAAATTTCCACTGCGTTTTACTCCTCCCATGCAATTTATTACCTTTTATTATTATCATATTTACGTTGGAATTTTTTTCACGAAAATTTTCGGACCGCGAAAATTCGTAAAATAAATCTGTCAAATTCTATTAAAACCCTGCGATTATTTTTAAATAAACTGTACGTTACATAAATTTGCTCAACGTGACTGTCAACATGACTATCAAAAAAAAATGTGCATTCCTTCAAAACATAAAAATTATCATTTAATTCAAGCTGAACTTTCCCTGCAAAATTATTATAAGTCTCTTTCTCTCAAACACCGCATTCATTAGATATATATTCGTGGTTTGTTTGCTTTCGAGTCTCTCTTTACCTTTGTCATTTAGATATTAATTATCGTCTCGACAGAATTTGCGTCGACGCCGAAGCGTTCCTCGAGTATTTTTTGCACGTGTCTTTGGAGATGATTTCACGCATCGTGATTGACGTTGGGGATCAAACTGACACTCGCTGTCACGCGAGAATGAAGCACCATTATTGCGCGCGACCTACTGAAAAACGTCCACCCGGAGCCGGGTAGCGAACAAACGTCAAACGTCAGACTTGACAGCTCTCTCACTGCGCGACAGCAACTGGACGGAGAAGGAAGACGGCGCGACTACTCGATAAAACGATCCCCTCCGTTTTACACGACATCTGGTTGTTTTTTTACATAATACAATGACAACATATGAAAAGCAGAATTTTTTTCTCAAATCTTCGATTGAGGAAAGAAGCGAAGATGGCTGCGTTTGTCCAACGAGCTCGCGATTTCGATTGGCTGCTACCTAGGGAATTTTAGGGATCTCCGGAGATTCCTGAATCGCAGCCAATCAGGTACCTCCGAGTTTTCAATTTTTCTCACTTGAAACACTATCTATGTATTTATAATTTATAGTTATAGAGTCTCTTGGGGAGGAATACGTTATTATTTTTAAATAGATGTGTGTGTTGTATGCGATACTTTCTGTTAGAAGAAATGAGGAAGAATAAAGAAGAGACAGATTACGTTGTAATATTGTGATATAACCGATAGAAATCCATAAAAGAAAAAGCGAAAGGTATATTTGATACGTGGCGTAAACAGACGAGGTGTTTTCTCGATCATTCTTGTTGTATCAAAGTTTGGTGTTGTGATATGATGATGCCCGGAAAAACTCCAGTACAAGGTAAGGATTTCTTAATTTAATTTTTCCGTATCGTATAACTAATACTCAATATTTGATACGAATATACGAAATAAGATCGTTTTCATCATAAAGATGTATGAATATCTTTAATATCCATCTAATTCTTAATATAATTATAATTAATAATAATATAATTATATAATTATAAAATATAATAATAATATAATATTCTGAAAACTTAATTTTTATCTTTTTTTTCTTTACAGAGAATCCTTTAGGCCTGTCTTGGCACGACAGTACTTGGATTCCTGTCCTTAACCCAAGCAACATCATGGACTACTTTTCCGAAAGGAGTAATCCGTTTTATGATAGAACCTGCAATAATGAGACAGTCAAGATGCAGCGTTTGAGTCCTGATCAATTGACGTGAGTCTTAATTGATCTTCTCAATTGAATATGAGTGTATATTATTATAAACATACTTATTGACTCTATTGTTGTTATATTTTTATAGCAATATGACTGGCTTGGAATATATTCTTTTACATGTGCAAGAGCCAATCCTGTATGTGATTAGGAAACAACACAGACATTCGCCAACTGCAGCTTCACCGGTTGCTGATTATTATATTATAGCTGGTGTTGTGTATCAGGCTCCAGATTTAGGATCCGTTGTGAGTTCCAGACTGGTAAGTGACAAAATATATTAATATACATATTTGAAACTTTGTATAATATTGATACACGTTTGAAGAATACTTCATATATATATATATATTTTTTTTTAAATCAATTTTGTATAATCTGATACTTGTAAATTATTATATGTATATAAGAAATATGTCGATTATGCAGTTATCCACGGTCCATCATCTACAATCTGCCTTTGAAGAAGCTAGCTCCTGTTCGCGATATCATCCTAGCAAAGGTTACTTTTGGGATTTCAAAAACGGCAAATCTTTGACTGCAAAGAAAGAAACGCCGGTACGCGAGGAACCTAGCTCGTTGTTTCAACGGCAGAGAGTGGATATGTTACTTACGGAACTCACTCGTAAATTTCCCTTACCTGTGCCAAAACCAGTGCACCAAGCAACAGAAGTTTGTATGTAACATAATATTTTGTAGTCGTTTATTTTTCATTCTTATTTTTTATTCAATTTATTAATATTGTTAATTTTGGTTGTTTCAGCTACAGAGATTAAGCAGGAGGTAAAAACCGAAAAGAAAGATATGAAACCACCACCGGAAAAGAAACCGAGAGTTTCTTAATTAATAATAAAGGTAGATTTTAAATAAATTTATATATAAAATTGCTCATTTTTGTAAGATGCTAAATATAAAGATGCTAAAGAAATGTAGTATTTATATATGTACACATACACAACATACACAGACAAATATACATACATAAGTATACACACAACGTGAAAGTTTTATTGGATATTAAGATGCAATAACATATTTATTTTCAGAACATACGATTTTATATTTGCCATGCTTTAACTGAAAATAATTATGTTTAAAAGGAAGGGCACTCTTAGCATTTGCGTTAGTTTGATGCAAGTGCATTATTTTTATCTTTCTTGATAGGGATAATTAAAATGACTAAAATTCTTCTCCCTTCTTTGATTCAGCATGCACATCTCTTCGGTTTTTACTGGCCTTTTAATTTCTTTCTTTTGTTGTGAAAAATTTTTGTCACAACACATTCTCTCGATTTTTATCGCACTGCTCGAGTTTTATCTCTTCGTATTTGATGTTGTTTGTCAAAATCTTAGCAAAATCTAACAATAACATTTTGTTATGCCTTAATTTTTCGAGAGAGAATATTCGACTTTATTTCGCAAACATTCTATAAAGTAAAAATAATTGATCGATGATGCCATTTGAAAGTATTATATTCATCGGCGTGTTTTACTGTCGATTGCTGCTAGATTTATGATCTTTCTTTTTAAATGACATCTGGCAGAATGGAATTTAGATTAAATATTAAATTTATGTACATATGCATATTATTATAAGCAGAAGATAGCGTCAAATTTTTTTAAATTACAAATTAAAACATCGGGATGAAGATAATAAACTTTTGATTTGTTAAAGACGACGATCGCGCTTCTCAATTTTTACACGATTCGTTCGTTCACTTCAGTCGCGTCGGCGGCAAATTTTATCCGGGAGAAAAAAATGATCCCTTCAAATCGCGCTTTGCATATCGCGATAAATCATCATTTATACATCGTCGGAAATGATATGCGACGCGCGTACATGCGCTGGTTGTCGGTATCTGGAAGAGGACGACGAGCGGACGACGAATCTCGCGGTCTACCTGGCCAACTGTCAACACGCGAAATGCAAGGTGGTTCGCCTGGTCCGTCAGCAAATAAGTAAACTGCAGAACATGCAGGTACGGGTTTCCGCGTATTTCCCGTAATTGGGAGCTATCGATTCTCTTTACACGCTCCCGGCAGCGTTTATGTCATCCTTTGCATCCTGTTTGACCTGAGAAACAGAATATCCTCTCTCTCTCTCTTTGTTTTAAGATATACCCCTACAGGGCGGGATGTTTGCGAAAGCAAGTTGATTTTGCTTTTGCATTCGATAATTCAAAGCGTCTCTGTAATTCGCAGTGCAATGTTTAGGAAAGAGGAAGCGTATCTGAAGACATATATATATATATATATATATATATATTTTGCATTATAGGAAAGTATGATAGAAAAGTAGAGGAAGATTTTCGATGTTGTATTTGCTCTTTTACAAGAGTGTAAAGATGCAATTCTTCAATAAATATGGAAAAAGAAATGCTGAAAATTTTTTATCGTGATGCATGACATTTAAATTACTTAAATATGCACTGTAAAAATTTATTTGGACATTCTTATATTTAACTATCATGAAATATTTTTTGTCCTTGAAGTAAAGAAATTGATAGATAGCTTTGTTTTCACTTCTTCATGCGTCGCCGTTTCTTATTTTTACGTATTTATTTTATAATTTATTCCAAAAATATAAAAATGCAAATTAAAAACAACTTTAATCTCTCGTCTTGGTATTTGAAAAAATATATATTTATTTTACCAAGATTAAAAATTGAAACCCTGATTTTGATTCTTAGAAAATAATTCCTCTTATTTTTTTATCGCGATTAACAATAAGTTTATATACAAAAGAAAATTTTCATCGTATGCAGCGCGAATGGTATCTGACTACTTATGAAGAAGCAAAGCAAGAGGCGCGTAGGGAAATCCCCATTAAAAGAGAAGCATCTTATGAAGTTCGCGAAGTATATGGTGAAATTCATGGTGAAGAGGTACACGAGGTAGAAGGCGAAATAGAGCAAACGTATAACGAAGAGTACAACGAAGTGCATAACGCGGTTCCTAGAAAGCGAATTGTCGAAATGATAAATGCGGAAGAGGTAGACTAGATCATTTTTGATGATCGATTTTCCCTTATTAATTGGTTTCATCGATCAAATAATTTTCTTTTTTATCTTTATAATATATTTTAATTTATTATATTTATTATAATATATTTATTACACGAAAAGTATTTTCTTCTAGAATTTATCCTGAAAATTATGGTGATCATAGGACAATATATGGCGTTGGAAGAATTTTATAACAATTTCTCTTTAATTAATATTTACCACAATAAAAAATATGAATATGTGCATAGTAAATTTTACTCGAACATATGTTATATCTTATTGTAGATTAAATATTTTTTATTGTGGTAAATATTAATCAGAGAAACTCTTATAAAATTCTTCCAATACTATATTGTCTCACAATTATGATTTTTAGGGTAAATTCTAAGAGAAAATTCTTTCTGTGTATAATATAGTTATATTATACATAATATATTTATTATAATATATTATATTTTATTATAATATATTGTAATTTATTATAGTATATTATAATATCATTACAAAAAAATTATATACAATCACATATATAAAAATGATATACAATTGAAAAATAATTGGTGCATGGAGATGCAAGTAATCCCTTTCTTAAATAATTAACCGTTAAGTTTAACCGGATATTCTCTCCAAAAACCACACGTCTCCTTAGAACATAACGACCGCATCCTTGCATCGCGCGGCTTCTCCTCCCAGGAGAATGGCGGTGGACCGCAAGTGGATGCTGCGGATCCTAAATCGCGTTCGTCATCGAGCACATCTGATACTGGTGGCTGCTGCGGTGGGAGTGATAGTTTGGTCCGCTCTGGTGTACGGCGTTTTCCTGGGTGCGACCGCTTGCGGAAGCGGTCGCATCTGCCTCGCGTCAACCCTTAAATATAAACCTGCTAAACGCTCGCTTTTTTAAGTCGCCGCACCCCATATATCATCCCTTTCTAGAAAGGACGGTAGAAGTTCCAACTTTAATTTTTATTTCATATTCATATCGTATTCATATCACGAAGAGAATTTTCTCTTACAATTTATCTTTAAAATCATGGCAATCGGGACAATATGATATTGGAAGAATTTTATAAGAATTTCTCTGATTAAAATATTTACCACAATAAAAAATGTTAATAAAAGTAATCGAACATATTTTATATTTACCGTAGATTGATATTTTTAGTAGATTAATATTTTTATTTTTTGTGGTAAATATTGATCAGAGAAACTTTTATAAAATTCTTTCAATATACCGTATTGTACCACGATTACTATATGATTTTCAGGGTAAATTCTAAGAGGAAATTCTCTCTGTGTAAGATTGTGTATCCAGTAAATTGAGATTTTTAATGTCGCTTCTCTTAGAAACGGAGCAATGTTTCAAATATATATAAATAATTAGATTTTCGATTATTTTTATTTTGATTTTTCTTTTTTAAATTAGCTCTACAAATATAAAAAGAATTTATTTAATATTTGAGAATTCTTTTATAAAAGTAATGATATACACTATAGATAGAATTTTTTTAAATAAATTTATTTTCGTAAAAATCATGTATATATATCTGTCTCTAAATCTGGTCTAAAAAAAAATCTATTGATCCAGTTTACTAAATTAGGGAGCGATAATTAAATCTAGATTGACTGTTATAACAAAATATGTGAATTATTTTTGAAATGATATAAAAAATGTATTTGGAACATGTCACTCACACATACACACATTAATAATATATAATACACGCTATATATAGGTAATTATTAATTTATCAAGATAGCAAATTTTAATGAGCTAAAATAAAAATATATGAAACAAAAATATAACATATCGAAATATTACTAAATTTGTTATATAAAAATATATAACGAGAATCTAAAAGACACAGCTGAGGAGAGATGACATAGGCGTCCGCAGGATTGTTTTCAGGAGGAGGCATAATTAACTTTTCTTTTCCTTCATTTTTTTAAATCTAATTTTTTGTTATTTTCATTTTTTTATATTAAATATACAAACAAATTCCAGTGTTTATTCAAAAAAGGAGAGAAAATGCTTAATTATTTTTTTGCCCTTCTTTGCGGACGCCCATGAGAGATGACATATAATGGCGCTAGATGAAATGACGAGACGCTTCAAGACTTGACACAAAATATATTAAACTTGGAATAGTACACCATGTGTAGCGTTCGGTTAAATTATGCGACTAGGTCGTGTCGCGACGACATTCGCGACTTCTCGTCCCGGTCTCGCGCTGGATCGACGGGGGATCTAAAAAAACTCCCGAGGATCATCGGGGGAGAGAGATCGTGGCGCGCCACGATATGCTACGATATGCTGATATGTATGTTATCCGCTACGATATCGTCATCGATGATATGTCACACCGGCGCGCGAGTTATAACAGGCGAGACACGAGATTCGTTGACTTTGCGTTGATATATCCGCGTGTGTCCAAACGCGCGATACAGTTTTCAGGCTTTCGAAATCGATCGTTCTGTGCTAGGTAGCGTGTGCATATGTGTATGCATGTCTGTTTGTTGTGTGTATAGTGTGTGTAGGTATTTGCGTCTCGATTCACTCCCGCGATCAAGTTTACACGCAGCTCTCTGGGCCAGGTATGGAATTGGCGATGATGAGCTCCTTCATCAGATTGCGATCGGCCTTGAAGCTGATGGGCTCCCAGGGCTTCGCCGAGAAGGGATTTAGCTGTCAAACGAACAGAAAATATCGAATTTCTTAATGCGATTTTGATATGACACAAAAAAGAAAGATTAAAAGTTTAAGATGATGATTATTTTTTTTTTTTTGGTCTTTCTGCAAGTGTTTTTCAAAGGATCGATATTATTCATAACAGGCTGCGTTACAGTTGAATTGAGATTGGTTAGAGATAGCCGGTTTAATCTGGTTTAATTTATAAGCGATCGATAGAAATTCAATCTACGAAAGATTAAATTTCTAATCTTCCAAATCGGAGGTCGGAATCTTTCAAATTATTGAAACTTCATCTCTTAAAGTGTCTAGGAAAGAATCGAAGGCACGTCTCGTTTTAATTCCTCTATTGAGATAATTATAGGAAATATATTATAGAGACATAATTTTCGTTAATGAGAAAGAATTGAGAGATTATGTGTCACACATTTGTTGAGATATATTTTCGAGATTGTTTTAAGAACAAGAATTGGGGTGAATCTTTCTCTTCTCAATTACATATCGACATTTGATATGAGATATTCAATGCGAAGAATCAGTTTGACAGATTGCAACAGGGTTCATATTGCATTACTTCATCATTTCGATGTTCTTTTGATTTTTAGACAAAAAGAATTTTTTTTTATATAATATTTTTATCCTAAAAATCATAGTAATCGTGGGACAATATAATGTTGGAAAAATTTTATGAGGTTCTCCGATTAATATTTTTATCGGAAAAATATTAATATCCATCACAATAAGATATAAAATATGTTCGATCCTGAATACAGAAATTTTTTTTAACTTTCTCATATGTATTTAAAAATATTCAAATACTAATCTAAATTTTACTATGTATATATAGTTTTATTATGGTAGATTTAATATTTTTTATTGTGGTAAAAATATTAATCAGAGAAACTTGCAAAATTCTTCCAATATCATATTGTTTCGATTTGCCATGATTTTCATAAATTTTAAGAAAAAATTCCATCTGTATAAAAGAATGCTGTATAATTCCTGAACTTTACTTACGCTGCATCTGTTTGTCTGCAATCCCTGCTTGTGAATATCATAGGGCGCGAATAATGTATCCGGTCTCACTGGCAAAAACAGTTGTGGCTCTCGTTTAATCTTGTCTTGGTCTGAAATAATTCGTGTTCACATATTGTATTCCATTTTACTTTATTAACAGCTTCCAAACGATTTAAATAAAACATCGAGAACGAAGAAACTAGGTAAATGGATTCTTAAAAAAGAAACCAATTTATTCATGATCGTGAGCTCTCAAAATTTCGCTCTAATTTTAAGCGCATTTTGTCACCAGCTCACTTCTTATATGCAGCTTAAAACTTTTAGGCTTTTTTTAACTTAGTTAAGAAACAAATTGTTTGAACAAAAATATCCATCGCAAAGTATATCACTGTGATTCGAAATAGCATTTAGTGTCACGATGAGTTTGATTGGACTTTTAAAGAAATGAAACAGAAATTGTATTATAAAATCACATTGATTTCTCAGATATTCGACATTTCTAAAATAGCTCTCTCCGCTTCTCCCTCTTTACGATGGATATTGAATTCAATATATGGGAATCATGTGAGACTGAAAAATAAAAATGTTGGTTTACTGACATGTATTACCTTGCGGCGACTGTATGATATCTGGCTGATTATTGAGCGCGTAATCGGTGACCTGTTTCAGCGTATACTCGACGAAGTACGTGTGGTCGCCGTGGGTCACGTCCAGCATCGAATTGTTCCTCGAATCCGGCGGCGTGATTATCGGCTGTTTCATGTAGGGTTCAATGTGCACGGGTGACGTGGTGCCACGACGTCGATACATCATCAGCATCACCGAGATCACCGTCACGCCGAAGGCCAACAGGCAGCCGATCAGCAAGAGAATCAACGGCAGCATGCTAACTCCGGTGTCTGTAAGTAAATTTTGTGTTGTCTTGTGTTCTGCAACGACGGATTTGGCTATTGTGTCACTATATATATTTTTTCAATTATATACAAAAATTTAATTAGTTCAAAGAATTTCTTATTAAAATCAATTATGTGTGAGCGATAGCGAAATCGTGTTGCATCTTTGCATCTGTAAGTAAATGCATTTTGTGTTGTCTTGTGTTGTGCAACGATGGATTTCGCTATCGTGTCACTATATGATATACATATATATTTTTTCAATTATATATAAAAATTTATTAGTTAAAAAATTGCTTATTAAAATCAATTATGTGTGAGCGATAGCGAAATCGTGTTGCATCCGTTGCAATTGTATAAGCTATGATATGAATGTCATTCTTCTTTCACTGAAATGGAAGAAAGAGAAGTCTGATACATTTTTAATTGAAAAAGAAAATTTATTCGCGAATGTATATATATATATATTTTTTTGGCTAAAATAGGGCTTGATATAAGGTTTTCATTTATAAAATTATTATTCAGTTTTACTATTAGATTAAAAGCTCTATTTTTTCATCGATTTTATTGAAAATTTAAATGCAACTATTCGTCAATTTCGAAGATTGTAAATTAAATTATCGAGGATAAATTTCTATCGATCCTTTTTTAAGGCAATCAATTTTTTTATTCAATGTTTGATTTAATTTTTTTTTTTATACAAAAGGTATAGAATACGTTTTAAATTTCTCCCATTGAATCAATTTAAAAAAAAAAAAAAGAACAAAACTCCAAAATGATTAGTTTGACGAAAATTTGGAAAGCGTTTGATAGTATTAATGACACCCTGTAAAAAATGCATAAAGACGTTCTATTAACGTGTCATTTCTGCTTATCAATACTATTGTTTTATAACAGTTTTTATAAGGAGAACAGGTTTTAAAATGTAAAACTATTTACGTACTGCTATTTACATATTGAGTTTAAAAGAAGAAAAATAAAACTGGATTGTGTGAGCATGGGTGTCCGCAGGATTTTTTCCAGGAGGAGGCATAATTAAATTTTTTTCTTTATTTTTACAATTTAATTTTTTTATTTTGTTATTTTCATTATTTATATTAAATATGCAAATAAATTCCAGTTATTCAAAAGGAGAGCAAATGCTTAATTTTTTTACTGATTCCAAGGGGGATAAATGCCCCCTCTTGCTCTCCCCTGAGGACGTCCATGATTGAGAGTTTATAGAATTTAACTCTGGGGTACAAAGACACAAAAAGTCTTAAGATTCAGTTACCCAGATTATTCCAAGAGAAGGTATAATGAAATTTTGTTTTCTTAATTTTTTTAAATTTAATCTCTTTTTATTTTATTTTAATTTTCTAAATATTAAATATGCAAATAAATTTTAGCGTTATCCAAAAGCAGCAAATGCTTAATTTTTTAACTGATTTTAAAGAGGAACAAATGTCTCCTTTTGCTTTACCCTGCGGACGCCCATGATTGAGAGAGGTTGATAGAATTTAACTCTGGGGTATACAAAGACGCAAAAAGTCTTAAGATTCAATTACCCGTATGCTTCTCCGAGTCTCGCAACATTATATCCTCCAGTAGCGACACTTCGCTGCGACCCTTAGCGTTCACGGCGTACGTCACCAGGTAGAAGTGCGTGGCCGGCAAAAGATCCGCCACGGCGATTCGGAAGATCGGCAGATCGGCTGAGACGCTGGATGCGTTCACCCGAAGATTGCCGGTCAGTACCTCGTAAGCCTCGAGGCGAAACTCCTGGTGAAGCCCGCCGTCGTATCCCGGCACGCACTCGACCTCCAGAATCTCCGAGCTCTGGTTTAACGACGCCTTGATAGTGCAATTGTTCAGGGGATTCGGTTTCACTGCACAAACGCGAGAGAGGTTTTCGTCACGAGAGAGAGAGAGAGAGAGAGAGGTCGAGGTTGGCTTCCCTCACTTGAAATTTTTCACTTAAGATTTTAATTTTATTCGAAAGTTTTTATTAGAAGAAATATACACTGAAAAAAATTGTTAACTTAACGAAACCTTTCAATTAAATATTTTGTTAATTGAACTTATGAACATATTTAAATGAAATATAACATATTAAATCTTACAAAACGTATACTAATTTACGTTCAATTAACAAAATGTTAATTTAGTTGAAAACGCTTAGTCAAGTTAACAAATTTTTTTCAGTGATATATTTGTATATCGCGAGATGTATCAATCATCTAATCTAAATTACTATTTCGTTAATTGAACATATATTAGTATTTAAGTCAAATATACGTTTTGTTATATTTAATTTAAATATTTCTATATGTTTAATTAACAAAATAATTAGTTGAACGATGATTGAGTCAAGTTAACAATATTTTTTCAGTGCTTTTTGTGTACTATTTTTTAAAAGATTCTTGATATATTCTCGTTGTTGAGAAAAACAAAGAAGTCAAACTATACGTAAAAAATTAGAAAAAAATATAAAACATATATAGATATTTCCTTATTCCTTCAGCATTCAATGCGAATCAGATATAATAAATAGATCGAAAGATTTTAAATAAACGGGGTAAGTAAAAAATAATATATACTCTATTGCAGAAAACTAATATTGAGACAAATAGTTTCGAGTTTATGAAACACTGTATGATAAGCCAACTGCAAGCGAGTCGGATGGCAAAAAAAGCGTAAATATCGGCGCCGAGAGAGTTCCAAATACGAACATCGAAATATTATGTGTTTATGTCATACACGATGTAACATAAATAATATACAAAATATACATAATATTTAAATATTTCCGAGATATAAAATATATTTCTCTCTGCGTAAAAGCAGAAACGGTGAGAATTTTCATCTTTCGATTCCGACGAAAAAAAAAAAAAAAGATTATTCGATAAAATAAATATCTCGATGACAAAATTACATGACGCGATAAATGCATCACCTGCCGGGATGACTTGATAGATGCAAGGCGTTTCCTGCTTCCCTATCGCGTTTCTACCCTTGCAGGTCAGGGCGCCGTAATCCCTTTCGGATTGCGGGGTGTAGATGAGCTCGCTCATGGTGCCGTTGTTACCGTCGAATCTCGCCTGGCCGGTGACCTCGAAGTTCTCGCCGCTGTTGTTGAACTCCCAGAAGAAGTCGACCTCGCTCGGGTCGGCGTCGACCTCGCAGCGCACCTTGACGGACTCCTCGAGAGAGGCTCCGATGATCGTCACCTCCTTCAACGTGCAAACCGGCGCGACTGTTCGCGAGAGGGAGGGAAACAAGTGAGAGAGACTGTTTTCGATAGAAGGAAAAAAAGTGAAATTGTCAAAAGAGCGAGAAAAATAATTTCATCCCCCGCTATCGATCTTCCGCGCAAGTTTGACGACTAGTGCGGATTATACCGAGTTTAAGCGCCGTTTTATTCGCCCTTAATCGGTAGAATTATGTTGTTCGCCGTAGGGCTTGGATAGAGGAGGGTTGAAAATAAATTGGCTTCTAAAATGTAATCCTTCATATCTGACGTCCGCGATATTCCGCTATCGAACACAATTACGCGCAGTTGGCATATTGTGTAACGCGTATTTTGGAGTTTATATGCCCTCGGACGAGAAACAGGAGGAACAATGTTAAATGTTAACTTTCAACGATGTATGAAAAGGTCAAAGGTTCATTTTACCGCAATAATCTGTATCTTTTTGGCGATCGGGCATATATTAATAATTCACTTTTATATAGATTTCCCTGTTAATTTATGATATAAATAGACGCGCGTATTAAATATTTATGTATATGTACTTACGCATAAATATTTATACACGATAAATAATGCGTATTTGGATATTTAAATCTATTTATGCAAAATATATACTCTATAAATATCCCTCTCTATATTCAAATAGCGGAACTTTAATTTATTGAAATCCCATTAATTATCTAGAATTGTCGACGTTCGTTCGACCGAAGTTATATACGCTCGCTTTTTTTTCTTTTTTTTTTCTTTGGGAGGGTGAGAGATCGAACTTATCTACTTACACTGTACTCTCAGATTCACAATCGGACTTGTCGTTTCTCCGCGATCGTTGCTGGCGAGACACGTGTAATTTCCCGCGTTGTCGCGACCTATACCCTGCAGCACCAGGCTCTGGGTGCTCATGATGATACCAGCCGAATAGTTTTGCGTCAGCACGGCGCCCTGTCATTGATGGATTAACGCGTTTAACACGGAGGTTGAGATACGATAGCGTTTTATACCATATTTCTTCGGTAATAAGAAAAGCGAGAGGGTGGCAAATCGATATCGTGTAAAATTTTTCGTCCCGTAACAAAAACTGGACTCTCGTCCAAAAGGGAGGGAAGCTAGAGCTTTTTTCCACAAATATTCGATATTGGTACTTGGAATTTTCTCGTAGAATTTACCCTGACAATCATGGTAATCGTGGGACAATATAATATCGAAAGAATTTTACGAAAGAGTTTCTCTGATTAATATCTTTACCATATTATATGTTAATAAAAAATATTAATATCTATCATAATAAGGTATAAAATATGTTCGATTAATTTTACTATGTACCTACATATTAATATTTTTTATTGTGGTCAATATTATAGATAATCAGAGAAACTCTGATAAAATTCTGCTACATTGTTTCACGATTGTTATGATTTTCAGGATAAATTCTAAGAGAAAATTCTGTCCGTGTATTTTTTAAAAATTTATCTCTTTTTTTATGCAAATCGAGAAAAAAACGGAAGTGGAAAATTTTTCAATTTTTTTGTCAATCTTTTTTCCAGAAATCTGAAAGCTTTTTTTGGAAGTTACCCGATAACGTCTTAAAAGTTATAAAGCATCATGACTCAGGTCGATCTTTATTGAAATAAAAAAAGTTGCTATCGATTCTCTCTCTCGTATAACAAAAGATCGACATGTCATGTGTTTTCAGATCTCTCTCATTCTTCGCGTTTAATCATCAGTACTTTTTTTCAAACGTATTAAATATTTCTTTCGGAAAGAAAAATCAGAATTAATTATATTGAAATGAAAAAAAAAAGAAACCTCCAAGATTTCATAGAATATTCTAAATTAAAGTAGCATTTATCTTTGCGTGATTGCGAACTTACGTTATGGCGCCAGGTGATTTTGTGATGCTCCGGATTAGCGCGGACTTTGCATTCGAAGTAGACGTCATCGCCCTCCTTTATGTTCTCCGCATTTAGGGTGCTGCCCAGATGCAACTGTACCTTAGGCGGAACTGGGGAGAAGAGTTTTCGAGAGGTTTTAATACTTTAGTAATGCGATCGTACACGTACGTCTCTAATGAAATATTTCGATAGGTCCCGAAAAAAAGTGGCCGTGAAATATTAAAGCCGCTGGAACAGGCGAAGAGAGCAAGAGGGTATCAATAAGACATTCGCGACTATTCGTGTAACAGATTTACGAGTTACTGATCAGGGCAGAAATAGCAGAACCTGTTGAGTGTCATTTGTATTTGTATGTTACATCCTTCAATCGACTTTAAATTATGGATTATTAATTAGAATGAACGCGATACATATTATAGCTAAATGAAACTTCCTTGCTTACATTCTTGATCAATTAATAAATATCGCACTCCTTAAATAAAAGTGCAGTTTTCACGTAGCAAAAATTATTACTAAATCTAATTATTAAGAAATGTTAGCGTGATATTACACAGTTGAAAAATTTGTGTTAATTTGACATAATATGGATATGTTAAATCGAGACACAAATATTGTGTTAATATTTAAATTAAGAAATATCGCACTCCTTAAATAAAAGTGCATTTTTCTCGTAACGCGTAATTATTACTAAATCTAATTATTAAGAAATGTTAGCGTGATATTACACAGTTGAAAAATTTGTGTTAATTTAATATAATATGGATATGTTAAATGGAGACACAAATATTGCGTTAATATTTTAACACAAAATAAATGCAAAACTTCAAGTAATTTAAAATCAATTTTGTGTAAAATTAACATAGGTTTAATGTAAAAATTAACTAAAAATTTGTTAATTTTAGATTTTATCATTCTTACTTATATTACAAAATTAAAAAATCATTATGTTCTGTAAATTTGAACGGATAAATCTTGTCACTATAATAAAACAGAACATATAATATTTATTGTGTAAAATTAAAAACTGAAGCACATTGTGTTATTTTTATATCTTCTTTTAATTGTTTTAACAATCTAACATTTAAGTTTATAATTAACACAACAGCATTATGTTAAATTCAAACAAAAAATTTTAACGGGGGCTTATTTTAACAAATATAAATACAGAAAATACAAATTTTTCTACTGTGAGGGGACGCGATTATAATAAAGCGAGCGACTGTATCCGTATCGAGTTTTCAAAAAGTGCCTTACAGACGACGTTCAGCTTGAAGAAGTCTTCCAAGTAGGCATCCGTCAGGGCTGGATTTTCGCCGCGACATTTGAGGATCTTTCCGTGATCATCGGGGACGGGCGAGAATATCAGGGTGCTCAAAACCACCGACGCGTTCTCGTTCTCCATCGTCTGCCGGCACATTAATCGGATAATTGGGAGACGGGATAATTTCTTTGTTGGTATCGAGAAAAGAAAAAAAAAGAAGACGTAAAACGTATTTCAAAGTATATTGTATATCGACCTTGCCATTCCGAAATGTCTCGTTCCCCTCGATCCAGGTGATGCGAGCTCGGGGATGCGAGCCTGTCGCCTCGCAGGTGATGGAGTAGTCCTTTTCCGTTTCCATGATCGTTAATTTCGACAGTATCTTCACGGTTAGCGGTTTTACTGGAATCAATCGGTGAATCACTCTTATTGCGATTATACACTCGAGCGTTTCTCATTTTTTTTAAACTTGAAATTTAAAATCCAATTTTCCATCCAGCAATTTCACTTTTCAGTATCTCTTTCGATATCTAATTTTTTAAAAATTTCTTATTATTCACGTCAATATAATTTTTAATAAAAATATTTATGCACACAGTGCGAAAGCAACGATATCATTTCTTTTGAAGATTGTAAATGTCATTTTTAAACATTTATTACAGGAGATTATTATTTAATTATTTTTAGAAATAATTATACATATATCTATAGAGATTATTACTTCAGATCCGAGTAAATTAAAGAAGATTAAATATATTTTCACTGTTGCGTATATGAGCTACAATTATAACATGTTCGCTTCGCTCCTATTTTCCACAAACCTGTCAATAATTTATCGAGTCGATAACGTAAATGCGAAAGGATTACTTTTCGCGGTCGAAATTTAACTAATATGAATTATTAACAGGCTGAATGCCACGGGGATTTTGATTAACTTTGCAAAAGCATAATTAGAGGTTGTATAACCAATATTGCAAATAAATGCCATTTTTGTCAAATATACGCGTTACCTCATTTAATTGAGGTCTTCTCACTCGCGTTATACATATGCAACTTCCTAAATGCGCAGTCGATTGCACGTTTTATACGCAATCAAAATGGATCAGTATATTAATCTTTCGATGACCCTTGACTTTTCAATATTTTTTTTCCGCTTAATAAGTCAAAAGAGTCAATTGCTTTCACACCCAACCGCCGCAAGTACACGGAGAGAATTTTTCGTTATATTTTTACCACAAAATTTACTACAAATTTTTCATGTTTCAAAATAAGCCGAAAATTGCTGCATGTTAAAACTATCATGAACGATTAAACTGGATTGAAAATATTATGCTGCATTGTAAAATTTATATAAAATATTTTATATGTTTATCACTTTTTTTTGACATCTATTTTATTTAAAACACTGAAAGAATCATAAGTTTTTAATATATTTTAGAATTATTGAAATTTTTCTATATGTATTTTAGCAAAATTAATCAAATATATTTTATATCTTATTGTAATAAATATTAATATTTTTTATTATGGTAAATATTAATCATAGATAAAACTCTTATAAAATTCTTCCAATATTATATTGTTCTACAATTATCATGAATTTCAAAATAAGTTCTAAGAGTACGGAAAAAAATTAACCACCATAGCTAGAATTTTTTAGATAGAATTCTTCGTTAAACTATAGCTAAAAATATTAGTTATAAATTTTAGCTATGGTAATTAATATTTCGAAGAATTCTATAGCTAAAAAAATATCAGCTATTATAGTTAAAATTTAGGCATGATAATTAAATTTCATGTGTAATATAGAGAGCTATAGTAGTTAATTTTTGTTTTTCGCGAGAAAATTCTCTCTGTGTACAAGGAAAAATCTAAACAAATGTAAAAATAAGAAGAGAAAAACGTATAAATATTCCTACATTATTTTTAAATCGCTATATCAATCATTATATATTCGTGCTGCCAAAAGAATAAGCAAGATTAAAGTTACTTTCGCACTTCCGCGAAAATATTTCGCCGCCCCGGGGAACATATAAAATACATAAATATACAGGGTGTATCTAAATAAGTGCGAAAAATTTTAGGAGATAAATCTTTGTCGAAAATTAAGGGAGGTTCTTATATAAATACATATACACTCTTATATCCCTCCCTAAGGAGTTACACTCTTCTAAAGCGAGGGAAGTCAAAATTAAGTTTTTATTTTTGTTAAATATTAATAAATAAATATCCTCTTTATCTAGTGAAAAATATCCACCAAGTTCCATTTTCTTACGTGTCTGACATTTGAGAAAAAAAGAAACTCAATTTTTAGCTCCCTCCTCAGGGATGGATACAAGAGTACATGTTTATATAAGAAACCCTCTTTAATTTTCGCCAAAGAATCATCTCCCAAATATTTTCGCACTTATTTAACTACACCCTGTTTAAAAGCTCTCTCTCTCTTACGATAAACGTCGAGGATCACCGTCTTCTCCAGCGGCGGTATTAGATGCGTGTTGCTCGCCCGGCATTTGTACGTCGTGTTGCGGTGCTCCCGTCGCAGCTGCGGCACCGTCAATTTGCTGACGACGATGTTTTGGTTCTCGAACTCTTCGAGTCTGCCGTTCACCTCCTTGCCGTCCACCAGCCAGCTCACCACCGGCGTCGGTTTTCCTTCGCGCCCGCGAAAGCACGGAAAGCAACGGAAATTATACGCGGCTAATTAACCCTTGCCCACCCTCTCGCTCTTTTCGCGGTACCGTCGTCGATCAGCCTCGCGTGACAGCAGACAAATCACCGGAGAGCCATAATTACCCTTAATACCGGGTGTCTCCGATCGGGCGCGCCCGCGTAATACCCGTACTCTGGCCACTTAGTACCAGGTCGGGGCTCCGATTTAATTGCCAACGATAACCCGTATATATATATGTATGTATATATGTGTCTCTCTCTTTCTTTCCGTCTCCTTTTTTTTATTTGTTCACGCGATCTCGGAAGCAGGAGGGATTTACACCGGAGGTTATACGCGTGTAAATGTGGGCCGAGTCGGGTAATTTGTCATACTCTCTCGCCGAGATTCGTATCTTCGACTAAACATATTAATGAGAAGCCTGATTTCTCTCAAGGAGGGATATTAGCGAATGAAATTTTACAAATGAACGGAAGCGCGAATCGCGCCCGGAAACGTGAATTCATTGCTGTTTTTGAAACACGGAGAGAGAGAGAGATTTGTTTTATCTCTCTTGAAACACACCCGTATTTCACCCTCTCATATGTCTCTGCCGTTAATGTTAATCGGCCTCGAGAAAGAATAATTATGAGAAGGGGGAGATTATAAGGAAACAATTTTTTCATAATCGTGGCGCGGCTCGCGTGCGTGTAATTAATTGACTGTATACGCTGATGCTAATTTGCCGTCTCTTGGTGGAGAAATATAAATTGTTCATAAATTGAAATACATTTAAACGTACAAGTGAAAACATAATTGCCGACGTAAGTAACTCGTGAACAGAGATACGAGATGTGATAAGCGCGAGAGGGATCTGATAATTAAAGAACCCCGCATTAAATAGATAGAATTTGGACTTTCGTGGAATTGTCTGTTTTTTTTTTCATATGAAAGATGTAATAGCTTTAAGTAAGATTCAATTTTGTATGATTAGCACAAGGTTTTTGAAACTATATAAAATCCTAGATGAAATTGAATCAGCTAATTTTCTTACATGCTGTAACTTATGACTTGCTGAACAAAAAATGTAATAAGTTCAAATAATAGATGGTTACTGATTTAGTCAAACACAAAAAACTATTCGTGTAACTCAGTAACCATCGATTATCTAGGGTCATTACATCTTTTGTTCAGCAAGTCATAAGCTACAACCAGTGTTGTGCTTAGATGATTTTAAAATTAGCTAGATAAAGATGAGATAAAAATATGTAAATTCATTGTTAGATAAAATGAAGATGATTTTCTTTTAAATATATCTAGATAAAAGATAAAATCATATGACGATTCATCTAGATAATTTCCAGATAATATTTTCAAGACCGCTTAGGTGAACATAATTATACCTTTAAACAATTATACACAATACCTTTTATACCAAGTTATCTGAACATTATTCTATAATTTATAATAAAGATAACACTTTTTTCATCTAAAATGCAGATTTAGATAATATATATTTTTATTATCTATATAAAGATAAGATGAGCCGCCAAAATTCTATCTAGATGATCATTTATAAAATTGTCTTTAGATAACAGCAAACACTGGCTACAACATATGAAAAAACCAGCCAATTCCGAAAATGAAAATCCCAAGTACTTGGTGCGGAACCCTTTCTTAAGTTAAATCGAAGTCGAAGAATATATGTAACATGACAACTTACCTCCTCTTACTTCGCAAGACAAGCCGAACTCCAGCCCGACCCGGAACGGTCCGGCGACGTTTTCCACCTGCACCCCAGAACTGTCATAGATGAGCAGCTGATGCGGCGGCACTGCGAACACGCAAACACAATACCGCGTTCGCTTTCCATAATTGACGGATAATGGGTGGAATAAGCGGTCCCGGAGTTTTTTTAAGAACTCGCGAAAGTTAATTTGAAAGTTGCAAAAATGAAATTTCGATTAATTTTCCCCGAAAGTTCGGAGAAAAGTGGGTTAGACCGCGTTGCCCACCGGGCCCTTCAATTAGCGAAACCGCGAGAGACGGGGAGGCGAGATTGTTCCGGCAAGTTTAACTTTGCATCTTGAGATGAAAAAGGACCGCTGCGTATCGGCGAACGTTAACTGCAGCTAATATTCCGCTTCCATCCCTCCGTTTTCTTGCTCGCGAGAGAGAGCGAGAGAAATCTTCAGACGATACTGGGAAGCGTTTTACGCGTTAAGGAGCGCAGTTAATCATACCGGGGCAGTGTTATGGCGGTCGTTACGGTTAATAAGTTTTCTCTCACCGATCACCGTGAGATTCACTTGGAAGTTCTTGGTCGGCGAGTTCTTGAAGTCTACGCGGCATCTGTAGACGCCCTCGTCGTCCAGCTGGACAGCCTCTAGGGAAAGGGCGGCGGGTTTCGTCACGGTGACGAAGTAGGCCCTGGGTCCCACGGCGGTGCTGTCCGACCAGTTCAGGGCCTTGTTGAAGGCCCGGCCTCGCACGTCAAAACTAGAATTATATCAGACAATTATATTCGAACATTTCTCTCACATGTCGGTTTTATCGTCACTTTTATATAGCATCGTCTGCTTGAATATTTTAAGCAAGCTAATCATTATTATTTATAATTGAAGAAGGAAGATTCTATATATAAGAGAAAATGGAGATATATAACAAATTTTCATATGACTTGTGTAATATATATATATACTTATATATTTTAATCTTGCAGACAATTCTGAATTTATATAAAAAGAAATATTATCGATTATCTTGATTCCTACACGGAAAAAAATTAGTCACCATAGCTTTTAGCTGTCCCTATATTACAACCTGAATGAAATTTAGTTATCATGCCTTAGCTATAAGTAACATTTTTTAGCTATAATTTAATGAAGAATTCTATAGCTAAAAAATATAGCTAAAATTTCATGTGTAAAATTTAGCTGTATACAGAGAGAATTTTCTCTTAGAATTTACTCTGAAAATCATGGTAATCGTAGGATAATATGGTATTGGAAGAATTTCATAAGAGTTTTCTCTGATTGATATTTATCACAATAAGAAATAAAAATATGTTCGATTAATTTTACTATGTACATAGTAAAATTTATTATGCATATATTAATATATTTTATTGTGATAAATATTAATCAGAGAAACTCTTAAAATTCTTCCAATACCATAATATTGTCTCACGATTACTATGATTTTCAGAGTAAATTCTGAGAGAAAATTTTCTCCGTGTATTTTTTTAATTTCTCTATTTTTTTTTATAAAAATCGAGAGAAAGATGACAGTGGAAATTTTTCAATTTTTTTGTCAATTTTTTTCCGCAATTCTGGAAACTTTCGGAAGTTACCAGATACCGTCTTAAAGTTCTCTAAAAGGTCCTATAGTACAATCTGAAATTTAGTTGTTGGTCCTAAATTTTAGCTATGATAACTAATATTTTTAGCTACAGTTTAACGGAGAATTCTATAGTTAAAAAATAAATTGCTAAATTTTATGTATAAAATTTAGCTATGATAGCTAATTTTTTTTCCATGTACACAAAGAAAATTTTCTCTTAGAATTTACTTACTTAGAATTATTTATTAAGGAATTTGATAAGAGTTTCTCTGATTAATATTTATACCACAATAAAAAATATTAATATCTAAACACAATAAGATATAAAGTATCTTCGATTAATTTTATTATGCATACTAATATTTTTTATTGTGGTAAATATTATTTAAAGAAACTTTGATAAAATTCTTCCAATATACCATATTGTCTTACAATTTTACCTGATTTTCCACGTAAAAATTCCAAGAGAAAATTCTCTCGGTGTAGAAATAAGCTTTTTTCGCGTGGTTTTTCAACCTCTTTTTGATACATTACAATACACTATAAGCTACTTGCCTGTAAATGGGTTTCACCGCATAATCGCGGAACCAAAGTACCATGTAGACGCGATCTTCTCGCGTGGACGGCTCAATGTCGCAAGGCAAAGTGGCGGTACGACCAAGTACGGCGCTGACCTTAGACGAGGACACTGAGAAATTGAAAAAAAAAAATGATTAATGCCGCCGGCGAATAACTCTTTGTGTCTTATTGATTTATGTTAAAATTCAAATGATAAAAAATTAGATTAGACCGAGATAACCGAGTCTATCCATCAAAAAGAGATTATATTTTATTAGCGTTTATTTTTCTCTTTACTTATCAGACACATGCTCAGATAAAGTTGATTGAATTCTATATGTGGCAGTCAACGCGATAAAATTAATGACATTTTTGCAAAAGAATTGAATTCGCAATAGATGAATAATTAGCAGCGAGAAATTCTTTTTTTCAGCGTCACAAATAATTTCTTCTCTTTTTCTTTAAATTGTATTTGAATTAAATAGTTGAAGTGGAGATTTTTAAGAGCCATGAAGTTTCTTCTCTCGGTCTCTCTGATTTTTAACAGTTTCTTTGGAATTTGCTGTAAACAACAATGCAACTTTTAGTACTTTCATGGCTAAATCTCATTAACTTCACAACGCTTTGAATAATTTTACTTACAATACCTCTCTGTTTTCTTAGAACGAAAAAGCTAACATTACAGGTCGCTTAATAATTGAGTTAATAATTTTCACAAATGCGTAAAGCTACTACATAAAATATAATGTAGTTTTAAACTTTAATGTAATTTTAAAGACTATTTACATTTAATAACTTGTGACATTTTGTGAATTATCAATTATATTAGGTTAATTAGTTAAATGAACTGTGTAACGCTAGAGCTTTTATGTTATGAGAGAACTTAGAAATTTATTAAATTAGTTGTTAAATTAGTAAAATGCATGAAAAAAAAAAAATTTTTATAATATTTACTTATGTAAATTCAGACGTATACAAGAGAGATTGAGCGGTGAAATTGAAATTAAATTTGTTCCTGTCTGTCATGATATTCTAATTACGTTGAAGTAACATCATCGAGAGAGAATTTTCTAAAACGAACATCGTTTCACATTCATTTCGCGAAATAAAGTCGCATAAAGAAATGTGTGTAGATATTTTAAGGGCTGTTTTTCTCTCTCTCTCTCTTTCCCTCCCCTCTTCAATTTAACATTTCGTTTGAACGTGAGAAAGAGTCCTGTCTCGCGATATAAAAAGAAAGCCGCTTTACTTTCTTTTGCTTCGAATAAAGCAACGGGAAAGCAGCTTGAAAAATATCACTAATGAAGTTCGTTTTCGCGCATAATGGAGAATTTCCGCCCGGCGCAGCACGAAATATAATTACGCTGTGTAACATTTCTTTGAGCAGGTTTCACGCTCTAAGTGATTTCCGGTCCGATCGCGCAACAAGCTGCGTCTGATTTCCCGTTTTCCGATACGCCGCAATTTTCATCAATCGAACGACGTCTGTAACACGAATACGAACTCTTCCGGCAGGATATCGTTTTCACGTTTGTTTGTGACGCTCCGATGAAAAATGTACATGCTACGAGCCATTTATCTTTTTTAGCATCTTTCTCTCGTATCAGCGCGATTATTATCTGTTCCATCTATTTAAACGCGTGTCATTTTTTTATACCGAAGGTATTTCGAAGATAAATAAATGGGAACTGACAACGCGCGAATCTACAAATGGAAATAACTTTGAATAAGTCTTCCGAACAAGGGATTAATATTGAGAGGAGAGAGAAAAACACACTCCGGAGGGGATATATATATATATATATATATATATAACTACTAGGAAATTTGTATATACATATAAATCGCTGTAAGGGGCGGATTATAAATTCAAGAGCTGTGAAAGCTCCGTACTTTTGATCAAGCCTATCGCGGTGCCATTAACAGGGACTTATTTATTATTCTATAACGTTTTTAAGAGTGCATTCAACCTTGGCTGTTACGCATTTCGATCCAGTTTCATTTTGAAAAATATACGGTAACTTTGTAAATATCGATTCTAACAGTTTTCAATTTCATGACTTTGTCAGTTTTCCACTTTTCAATATGCATTTATGAAATACATATTGGGTTCCATTTTGCACACAAAAGCCATATATATATATATATATATATATATATATATATATGTATATAGCTTCGTTTTACGCCGAATATACTGAATGTACACAACAATCGAAGCTGCCGACAAAATTAAGACTGATATAACATTATTTCATAAATTATCCTTCGTTAATATCATATAATCTAAAGGGAAGCAAGAATAAACTTGGTTTATTTAATAATTCTTGTCCGGTGTTTTTACAGAAAGATTCACTTTCTTCTAAAAGTATACCTGCGCATTTATATTTACTTTTTATATAACTTTCTCTTTATTATATATTTATATATTTATTTCATAAAAATGTAAATATACCCAAGAATATAATATGGCCCGAAAATCACCGGATGAATTTTTAATCGCATATTTCTCGGTTAACTCGCGACTCGGTGCTTTTTCGGCACGAGGATATCGAAATATCGATGGTTTTCGAGTAATTAGCGATTGGAGAACTTCTCGCGAGAAAACTAGAACTTCAGATATTTTCAATTTCAGAAATGAAATTCCATCAAGATAAAAGTTCGTCAGGAGTTAACTGATAAACATTGTTTCGTTACTAATTGTAAGTAAATAAGTATATTTATCATTTGACTTTATAAGCGGACTTTAACGGAATTTCAACTTTCGAGCCTCTCGAGTTACAGAAATACGTAACGCTACAACTGCAACTAGTGACTTTCGGTAGCGTTAAAAATGACGTTAAAAATCCAGGCTTGAATTCGCTCGAAGGGATAAAACAAAAAAAAATTGAACACGAAAGCACCTACAGGGTGTCCCAAAATTAATAGTAAACCTGTTAATGGCAGATTCCTGGGATTATTTGGAGACGATTCTTCCTTAGCGAAAATGTCGAGGGAGGCCATCATTTTTTTGCGTGTTCCGAATTTTTACCATCATGTATCTTTGTAATTAAGGGGATGCTGATTAGGTCTGTCTTATCGACAAATATTATTTTTATTTAACTCTTTATTAGCTATACAGAATGAAAAATCCTTTATTAGAATTAGAATATTCATAATAACAAATCTGGGCTACTATATGTGCATATAAAAAGAAACCAAGAAAGTTAAATAATTACAGTTTTCTTATCGTTTAGGTTCGGTTGACCCAATACAAAAGACCGATAGAAAAACTGTAATTATTTAGCTTTCTTGTTTTTTAATATATACATATACAGTAAAGGATTTTTCATTCTATATAGCCAATAAAGAGTTAAATCAAAATTAATCCTCTTAAGTCTAAATTAAAATTCTATTAAAGCAAACTCTACATAAAATTAATAAAAGAATGTGATTTTATTAATATTTTATTTCCACAATTTTCAATCGCTTATACCTCGAAAATGATTGACATCTCGACATTTTCGTAGAGGAAAAATCGTTCCCGAATGATCCTAGGAATCTGCCGTTAACAGGTTTATTACCAGTTTCGGGACACGTTGTACAGTCAACAACGCGATTCTAGGACGCTGTTACGTAAACACACACTCGAGCGAGTCGGGTTAATCCCGATCGTTGGATTTCGGGGATATGGATTCGCCTACCTAGGTCATCGTCCTTATCCCAGTTGCCGCTGGCATTCACGTAGACGACCACGGCGAATATGTAGCCGCTAATCACGAGTCTCACCGCAATCTCGGCCAGCGTCCCGAGTGCCATCCCACGTAAGGGATGCGACACCTTCGCCGGACACCTCGCTGGCGCGCCGCTCAGATCCGTCCTCCGCATGATACCACTCCGCGGCCACGCCGTCCCTTTATTGTCATTCCACCTCTGCGAAGAGAAGAGTCCTCCTCGTCCCGGATCTTGCGTGCGGGACGAACGCGCGCTCACCTATCCGAGCGCGGATCCTTTAACAAGTTCCTCGACCGCCCGTCGTCGAAGCACATCGAAATACCTGGACGAGTCCTCGCTTTCTTCACCGTCTCCTTTATTTCTACGTCCTCGCGCACCGTATCACTGTCGAAAGTCAGTGCGAAAGGTTTGCCACGATGTTTTCTCGCTTTATGTTATTTCTTAGATCGTATCGGATTCATTTATGTACCTATAGAGAGAATTTTGTCTTCACATTTGCCTTGAAAATCATGCTAATGTTGTTAATAAAAAACCGTCATAATGAAAAATGTGTATCACAAAAATGTTTACCGCGCAATAAAAAGTATTAATAATTTGCCGCAATAATATATAAAATATGTACGATTAATTTTACTATGTACATATTAATATTTTTATTGTATGGTAAATATTAATCAGAAAAACTCTTGTGAAATTCTTCCAGTGCCATATTGTTCCACGATTACCATGATTTTCGGGGTAAATTCTACAAGAGGAAAAAATTCTCTCCGTGTACCTATATTAATTTATATATGAGACAAAATAATGCGTTGATAAAAATGTAGAATTAAATTAATACCGTTAAACAATAAAATTTTTTGCTCTCATTTTTGGTTTAGATTTGAATTCGAGTATGACTTTAAAAGCGAGTAAAATAATTTAAAAACCATGAAAAATAAATATAATTAAAAATTATTTTCTTATTAAAATGATTATAGCATTTTGTTATAATAATGCTTTAAATAGAAAAATGCTGGCTATAATACTGATCCTAACTAAAATTGATAAAAGATGAGAGTTAATATTTTTATAGATGAAAAATTGACACGGGGCACGAACCTTCCGCATCAACTTGATGATGTTAACGTAGCCTCGCCTATTGCTGTCGCAATATCTGTCCCGTCCCGATCGATCCGTTGCTAAAATATATCGCCGTTTTCGATTATGTCACGGTATCAAGTTCAACAACGGCTCATGTTTTCACGTGATTGCCTTCGATTATCCTCTCTTAACGTTATTGTCCTCAGTCACGTTGTAACATCCAATTGCGCTCTCTTTTCCTTCCTCTCTTGTTGCGTGCTCGCTTATCATTTTACGTTATAATATTCTCTCTCACCATTATTTTTCACCAATTCGTCCTTCGTGAAACCATAGCTTTTACGTTTTCGCGCTCGCTCCAAAATTCCTCGCGATTTTTCTCTCGCTGCCTCTCGCGTGATTTGTTATCGTTCGTGGTTATCGTTGTCGATTACATCCCGGTATTCGTTCCAGAAAGATGCATGGAGGTCCGGGATTACTCACTGTTGCGTTTCAAATTGACGTGCGCCACGGCTCAAATAAAGATGGACATCGCAAAAAACACACATCCACATCGGAATTTTTCCCGCGATGATACCCGATGGATTATTACAAATTTCTCGCACTATCTCGTTAACACATTGACGTGCTATTGTTATCATTATATCGGTCCATTCGCAGAGAGATATACACGCCCCTTTCTCGCAATTCACGATTTTACAGAGGGACGTAGCTTACATACGTCTGTCTCTCCGTGTTTGTACAGCAAAAGATCTCCTTAAGCAAATGAGTTCCTTTCAGTAGCGCAGCTCCGGGACCGGCCGGTTTCGTCTGATCAAGCGCCGACCTCTTCCACTGGCTGCACACGATTCTATAATTTCGATCCACTCTACTTATACCGTCTCCCTCCGAAATCATTCGCGTTATTGTCGCCCCGGCTGATGAAAAATTACACTTTCAATCCAGGGACAATATATATAATTATATATATTGACGTGAAAATTCTTCATGTATATACCTGATTGACGCACAACCGAGTGTTTTTTTTTTTTCTTTCGAAAACGTTCTCCACCGATGTCTCCTTTTTTTATTGTATACGTGCGCTATTTTTGATTAATTTATATATATATACTTTACTCTCGTGTCCGCTCTTACACATACACACATCTCGGTGAAGGAACGGTATTTGAACGCGTGCGGCAAACTATTTCAAACGTCGCTCGCTCGTTTGAATTAGTTACAAGTTACTCGGCTGCAGTTATATTTAGTCGGTTCTATAAGCAGAGGGAGAGCCGAAACTTCTTAACACTTGCAAAACAATCCGCCGCTTCGAGCGCGGAGAGAGAAGACTAATTATATATATATATATATATATATATATATCTTTCCCTTTCTCTCTCTCTCTCTTTCCTTCCTCGATTAATCAAAGGGGAGTCTTATTGTCATTCCGTCCGGAGATCAGACAGCCACTTCCTCCACTTCCACCCCACGACTCTCAGGGCTCAGGCAGGCAAAAGGACGTGGATGCTTCGTGGTCTGATCGTCTCGCGAGCGTTCGAGAGGAGTGATTTCACCGCGACGGTATTCTCCAACGATTTTCCACCCCTAAAGGCCTCCCATCCCCTCTCTTTCTCTCTCACCCACCCTCGGTCTCGCTTCCTCTTACCTCGAAGGTAGACAACCTCCTCCCACCGTCAACCCCGCGGCGATGTCCTCCGGCTAGGATCTCTCTTGAAGAGAGACCGAAAGAGAGAGAGAGAGAGATGGACACGCTTCTCTCCGAACAGTGCGACGATCTCTCGGAGTCGTTCGGCAGCCTGTCCTTAATGTTTCTTAATTACCCGCGCTCATTAATCACCGAAGTCTTTTGATGCTCCTCGAATTTCTTTCCTCACCTATTCGTGTAGAACTCGCGAAAACGAGAGAGAGAGGAAGCGCACCTCGAAGCACTCGAAAGCACACTAAAGCACACTTGTACACGCGAAGCTCTCGCACCTGAAATGGCGCAACGCGTTTTGACGAGAGAGAGAGAGAGAGAGAGGTAGCCGCCTTTCTCTGCGGGAGATTATCCCTCCGGGGTTACTACCCCCTTTCGGGGGATGGTAGGTTTTAGGGCTGCCGTTAGGCGATTCGACAATGGCGATGACAGATCGGTGTTTCGAGAGAGAGAGAAGGAAAGAGATCCACGGCAACTCGATGGGTTGTTTATTCTCACTCCTGCTGGTCCTCCTCAATTTCCGCCGTGATCAATCATCCCTCGTATCATTTCGAGGACTTTCGCGGAAAAGACACTGTCGGGGATTTATCTAAAATGTATAAGGTGGGCGCGTATATGAAAAAAAAAAAACGATGATATATAAAACACACGTAAAAAGTGGCGAAACACTCGAAAGCGACGGACGAGTTCGTGGAAAAATCTACCCTTATATAAATCTGACTTTATTTTCCAACAGCGGCAAACATATGCGTTTTGCTTTTCACCGGCGCGAATTGTTTTACTTTTTGACAGAGAGCAAAAATTTCCGCGCGATAAATAGCGAGGTTCGTTGTTCTCTCGCTTCCGCGTTTGATCTTCACCCTCTCTCGCGTTTGATTCTTTCTCTCTCACATACACACACACCTTCCCTCTATCCTCCCTTTTAAACAAATTTGGTTTGAAAGATATTTAGAATCGATTGGTTCAGTTTTTCAAGCTTTTTAGCGCTGTTAATCGTTTTGCTTAACAAGCGTAATTGATGGCTCGACGATTTTTTTTTTCGCGGCCGTTTATTCGCGCATATTTCCCTTTCCTCCCCCGAAAAAAATTGTTTTTCCAATCCTCTCTCCTTCTCTCAATTGCTCTTCAATTTATACATTAGTTCGTTCGTTGAAGCACCGATTTCTATCATCACCCGTTGTCAGCCAGAGCGGATCGTCGAACGCCGCGAACGAGTCTCAACATTCCACCACGTCGACGATTCGATCGTCTCTCACAACAATATCCCGGAAGGAGAAAATTTCGCACTTCCATTCATAGCTCTAGCGAGGGAAAAGTATCCCGCCCGTTCGATCTTCTAGGGGTAATAACGAGGTCGCCAGCCGGCAAATATATATCCGTATCTGTATATATCTGCGGCGCGAGAAACCTCCCCGTTTTTGCGAGGTCCTCCGCGAGATTCACCGTGTTCAACCAAATTCCCGAGTTCTCGTCGACGAACGCTTCCTCGTCGCCGGGTGAAAGAGGACGACGACGACGACGGAGGCCGCCGATCGATTCGCGCGAGTCAGTCCGATCCCCGACCGCGTCGCGTTTCGACGCGTTTCGATGCCCGCGCGATGTACAACCCCCGTACGGAAGGCGGTGGTGGCGAAGGTGGTGGAGAACGTGCCGCCGCCCAGGGCCGACTGTCCCGAGGGTGCGCGATCGTCCGAGAGTCGCATTTCCAAGAAACCTTGGAAGATTCAAATTATAGATTTTTTTCGGACAAAAATTCTATATTACGAATTTGTTGAATTTTTTAATTTACAAAGCCATCTTTTAATTATATTATTTTATTTCAGGGAGGTTGAAAAAATTTGTTTATCACAGATACGAGGGATGTTTTAATATATATTAATATGTTTTAATATATATATATATTTGAGATGCAAATTTCAATGATTAATATTTTATGTTCGAATGCGATATCGATATTAAACTCCGAAGTGGAGTTAAATTGAATTAAGCGGCGATAACGCGCGAACTATATTATTCGATTATTTATATTCCTTCGAATTGAATAATAGATTGTGAAGTTAAAATTGTGGTCTAATTGGCGGATTAAAGTATGGAAAATTGGGTGGAAAATAGATCGTAATTATTGTCTATTCTGTGTTCCGATAATTTTTGCAAAGATCGTCTGCGAAGATTTTTAAAAATTCCTCTCTCTAAATTATTGGATTTTTTTTTACTACGTGGATGAATCTTTTTACTTCTTATTGCTATTTATATTTTTATAATATACATATTTTTATTATTTCACACAAAATTCTATATTAATATATTTTTAACAAATTTTTATCATGTTTATAAATTTTCACGTTACAAAGTCATCTTTTAATATTATTTGTGTCACTCATCTTTAGAAAATATTTTATTAATATTTTAATCTTTTTTTACACGAATGAGCAAAATTAACGGATGTGTAAAATAGAGGGTGGCAAAGACTTACCCCGGAATGTAGATTCGCAGACTTTCCTGGCGGCTGTCTGTATCTCTCGCGAGTGCGACTGCGCGAACGGTGCATTCACGCCGTCGCCAGGATCGGAGGAAAGTATTCATGAGAAAACAAATTGGAGGCACCGGGACCTACACGGTATACGGGGTGTTTCATAAAGTTTACGTCAAACTTGAGAAGCGTATTTTCGACAAATTCGAGAGCAACCTTTCCTTTCGCGAAAATTTATGCTGAAAACAAAGTTGCCGGGCTTATAGCCTTGAAAATTCAAACACGCAGATTTATATAAAAACTAGTGAAAAATATATAATAATTTATTATATAAAATATTATACAAAATATATAAAAAAAACTAATAAATATATATATATATATATAATTTATTATATATTTCCCTATTAATTTTTAGTTGAGGTAACTTTAATTAAGAAATGTTTATGAAACTGGAAAAAATTTCGAAAGCTGCTAGAAACCTGGGTCAAGTTTTCGTTAAAAGATTAATTAAGAAATCAAGTGGCAATTTATTAATCAATAAATTTTCAAAGTTTGAAGCAAGAGTTGGGAAATTTTATATGCAAGATTTACCAATTACGAGATCACGGCCTGTCAATTTTACCAAGGATAATAAACTCGAGTTCTCCGTTTAACAAACGTATTAAAAGTCCTAATCTAACAATAAGTCAAAGTCATTTTTCTACATCAAGTACTTGGGGCGTCAATTCGACAATAGCCACCCTGTATTTAGCGATTCGCTTAAAATGACCGGATCATTCTGGTCTTACGAGATATTATACGGGAAAGACCAAGTGTTACGGGAAAGATAACGCATATACATACAACTGCGGTGTTTCCAGCTGGAAAAAATCGGCATCGCGATCCTCCAATGTTCTGGAAGCCAAGATTTTTCCTTCCGCTATTTAATCCAGCCTTTTATAGCGGTAATAGTCTCGCCTTTACCGAGGGAAGTCACGATGCGTTTAGGGGTGGGCGATAGACGCAGGGGCGTATATAATACGACACCTCCGCTAGCGCGTTATTACGTCACGAGCGAACGAACGAACGAACGAGAAAATTTTTGTTCTCGTTCGTGAGGCAACGTGTATCGAATCACACGCAACGTGACACCCGCCTGCGCTATTACGATCTTCATACGAGTGGAGAGGGTGGAATTTTTCGATCTCCTGTCAAACGGCAACTCGCGTAGAGTAATGAAATATCGTTTGCGAGATAGAATTTGCGGAGCGCTAAATTGAAAGATCTAATTAGCAGAAAACTGCCAATAATTTATACGCGCCAGGCAGAGCAAGTTGTCCGCGAGATTATTCATAATCCCGTGTCTCGATTTTTTGTTTAATATTAAATAAACATGTCTTTCTTAACTATTAAATAATATAGCTCATCATTACTTCTCAACATCGCGTGAGCTATATTCGAGGATTCTGCTCTAGATTCTAAACTCGTCGCAAATATATCAGCGTGAAGATTATATATGTATATAAAAATATATGCTTAATTATTATTTATTCTGCTCCGCTTGACGGTTGAGGGAAAAAATTGCTAGTTTATTTTTATAATGTTCGATATAACGTCGCATGTTTTTCGAGAGTTATCCTAGTTCGATGCCTGAGAGCTCACGATTGCTCGATTGATTTTAATACAATTTCCTCCGTTTGAATGCTTGAAAATGTCTATACATTGTTAATAAACTAGATGACATTTCTAAATATAATTTTTGTATTCATAGAAATTCGATTATTTTGTACTGCAAACCGATAACATTAATGCGCGAGTTTCTTTTTGCATCATCTAAAGTTTAATTTAACTCAAACTAAGTTAGGCAATTGCGAGAAAGAAGGAAGCCTATTTGCAGGCTAAAGTAAAAGTTGCAAGCAACAATTAAACATTTACAGCAATATAATTACATTTTAAAAAATGCGGATTATGTACACTAAATCTCCATATAAAAAAGAGTTGGAATATTGAATGAAATATTCATTTTGGATCGTATAAATTTTTTAATAAATTTCGTTTTAAATCATTAATGTTGCATTCAAATTCAACTATTGAAACGATATTCAAATCTTCTCTCTTTTCTCGCTAATTGAATAATGTCAGATTGAAATTTAGGACGTGTATGCAAAAATAAGCGGATTCTGATATTGCGGTTAGATGTTGTGAAAATTTTATCATCATAAAGGATCACCTGAGATGTAGAAATCATTTACAACATTTTATATAGACATGTAAGAAAGCGTGACGCGAAGGGTTGCAACTTTCTTTGTGAAGATATGTCGGGAGCAGACGATGTCGGGGGCGGAAATCAGGGGTGGCTCAATATTTGGCTGGCTAGGGTGGCCCTCAAACTGCCGGATGGCATTTATTCTCAATATCAATAATGTTCTTATTCTATATTATATCTGCTTGGAAGGAGATTTGAATATGGGGGTTGAATAACGAGAGTTATATCCGAGAGAGGAGAACAAGTTTTCTTCATCGTATTCCAGTATTTGTAGCACTTTATAGGGGATTTTCATTGTAAGATGCAAATCCAATGTTTACTGTTGCTTTTTGAATCGAATTTATATATCAGGTAAAATAGAAAAGAAATTAATTTGAAAATTATTCAGCAAAAATATGTGCAAATAATGGAAATTTCGACGATTACAGATGTAAATTTCTTAACGTAATCACGAACGATCGAAAATACAAATAAAAAAAATCCGTCGTTCTTGCACGCGGCTGCATTTATCACATAACGCATTAAATATTCAATAAGCGAAAGTGCATCGCGTAACACGAAAATGATTAATATTAATTATCCGCGTCAATATTTATGTCGCATTAAACAGCCGGCGCGTTGCCGATAATATTGACTTTACGATTGTCTGCGTCCGTGTCAAAATTTTCTCGCGCGAGTGCAACTCTCATTGATAACTCCTTAATCCCTTCTCCGCTGGGGAGGGAGAAGAATTCAGCATTAAGCTCTATAATTAGCTGCGCAATTAAAATGCAAATTCTAAAAGAAAAAAGAAGAAAAATTCATTTTTTTTTTCAATCTCAATGCGACGCGGCCCGATATTAATGCTCAGTTTCGCGAGAATGTGAACGTAAGCGATATACGCCGGAGTATAAACGTTATATGCACCCTTCTCTCTGACAGTTCGGCTCAACTGCGGGAGCATGTGGGCGAGACGAAACCGCTCGTGAATTGACCTGTCTACCCAGCCGCATTTCGACTTGTTACCCGGTCCATTTCGACCCATTTCACCTCTACGCGATATTCGTGGCGTTACGATATGCGTGGCGGATGCGCGCGTGTCAAACGAAAACCGGCGGCGGCGGCGGCGAGTGTCGCGTGTGAGTGCGCGAGTGCACCGCCTGCCCGTATGAGAGTGCGTGCGAGTGCATGCGTGCGCGTTAGATTCGAAATGCGGCCTCCCGTCGCCTTTGGGCGTTTCCGCAGGGCGATCGTTAACGCCACCGTCACCCCGTGTATCCGGAAGTGTCGAATTCAAGACCGGATCTCTTTTTTCAAGGGATTCCACTCGTCATTTCGTTGTTCGATGTAAACCGGAGGGAGGACAAAAGAGCGAGCGAGAGAGAGAGAGAGAGAAAGGAGGGTGGGAGAACAAATTCGTTAGCGCGAGAATAATTACGTGATATAGATGAATTAAACGACGATTGCGTTTGCGCAAATTAACATTGTTAAATGACAGAGAAATGCTTCTCGTATATATGCGATCCGTATATAGCGAGAAATGCAAAAAATGTGCGCGATCGACGTGCGACTATAAAAATGTAACTAATTTTATTGCCGCGTTAATCGATGTTTTGTTGTATTCGAATATAATAATGCGTCGCGAAGATGATAATTCTTTCTCTCTTTTTATCAGAGGTGGAGTAGAATAAAAATAGGGAAATCAAATAGGATCGAATCAAAAGTAGGACAAAACAGATTAAAAAATTAAAATGCAAGAAAATAAAAAATTGAACTAGACTAAACTAAAATAAGATGAGAAATAAAACAAATGTTTTAAATCGATCTTTTGTTTATTATTTAATAGTTTTTATTTTAGTTTGTTCTGCCCTATTTTTTTATTCGATTCTTATATAAATATAAACACATAGAGAA